TATGTGACATCGAACAACTCCCTCAATTAAGCATATATACCGATAAAACACAAGTAAATTCGAATACTATTAATTTAGTTGTATCACCAACATTGAAAAAAAAAAAAAAAAAAAAAGAGGGAAAATAATACTTTCCCCCCTCTTGACCGGAACGATGGGGACACACACAGCCTGTGCCTATCATGGAGTCCTCGAATGCGACCATTCGCTCTTGCAGTCCAGTCCACTGGAGATTGAGAAAATCAGCCCCAGAACGCACGCTCCAAGTTGGTCACCGGCTCGGGTCTGGGATCCTCTTGGTTAGGGGATATCCCCAGACCTCGTTATAGACGTGGCCATGCCTTCGGCTTTTCTTCTCCTTCTTCTTCTTTTATTATAATCTAGATATCTAAAATTTCCCCTTGGGTACCTTACTTATTGTACTTGACCTCTCTGCAAGTGCTGGTATCAACTCGAACTCGAAGTAACCCAACCTGCCCGTTGCTGCAGGGCGGTTTATCAAGGCCTCTGATATCCTCCAGGGCGTTTTTGCCAGTCTACCCCCCACAGGTTGATCATCGTCTGGGAACTCCCATGTAACAGCAGACCTCAGTTTTGCTCCATCTATATTTCCCACTGGGAGTGACATTCTGGGTAAGACATATACACCCTTGGACCCTTCGCCCTCGAAACAGGCATTCAAGCCATTCCTCGCTGGGGCTGTTGGCCCTAGCATTGTCGATGTATGTCCGCAACACTAGCGGATCCGTATCGAGGCTTCATGGTCAACTTCACCCATCATGTCAGTGGTAAAGACACAAGCCATGATGATATAATCTCTTACGGTGCACTCCAGTTGCTTCAGGATCGACCCGATATCCGCTTCCATTCCGATACAACCCTAGCACCTTTTGGATCTCCATCGAGCTTTCTTACGGATCGCATGATACCACGCCAGCCCACCCCGCATCACCATGCGCATGGCTATGAACTGTCCCCGCCTCAGGGCAACAGAAAGCGACAGCATGCCGACGACGACGCAGAAAGTAACCGTGGAATCAATTGCGATTATCCACCTCGACCGCGGCTACACAGCTTGCCCATCACATCAGCGCCAGGTAGCGAGTCGACAGAATTGACATATCCAGTCATTTCCGACCATCTGTCGCATCAACCTTCAAACCATGACTATCTACCCCCAGTCTCTCTCCCTATCCCACAGCAACATCATCATCACCGGCTACCCACTCAAGCACTGGGTCTTGCAAACTCTCATTCTGCGGGAGGATCTATGTCCGGCAACGGAGAAGATGAAGACATGAGCTTCTTGAAGCACGATGGACTACCGACGGTCCTTCCCGTGCCCAAGGGACCAAAGACCAAATTTGGCCCCGCAGAAGATGCAACTTTGATTCAGTTGAAGGAGCATTGGAATTTCACCTGGAAGCAGATCCAACACTGGTTTCCTGGACGAACTAATGGCACCTTGCAGGTCCGTTATTGTACCAAGTTGAAGGCCAAAAATGTCGTTTGGACCGAAGAGATGGTTTGTTTATTTCCGCTGCACCCTATGAGCAACCTACTGACTTATCCTATAGGACACGCGACTGAACAAGGCAATAGAAGATTATGACAATGATAAATGGCGGGTCATATCTCAGAAGGTTGGCAATGGATTCACGCCCGTGGCGTGTCAAGAAAGAGCCCCCATGGCGAGTCAACAACGAACAAAGAATTCTGGATGATATAAGTCTATCTGTTCCGTTAGAAGGAGTTCTTTTTTTTTTTTTTTCCAAGGGGATTTTCACTGTTGATAGTATTGTCACGATAGTCAGGTTTATGTTTCAAGATATGTATCATGCCATACCACAGCCCTATACAAAAAAGCCCTAATGATAGTCTCGAAACAGACATTCTGCATAGGTGGTCTTAGTGGACTGCCGTACCAAGCTTCCGCCAATCAGAGCTGAGTCATCATTAGTCGTGATCTCATTGGACCATGATTCCAGCCAATCAAAGGCGCTCGGGCCAAAGCGGCTTCAAACTCACCCAACCTCAAACCTCCAAACTCCCTCTTTCTTGCCCCAAACTCCCGCGTCATCAACCCTATTTCCTCCAGGACAATGTTCCTCCAGCGTACCGCCTCCGCCCTTGCCAGGCGCTCGCCTGCCCGCGCTTTCACTCTCGCTCAGCGCCCCTTCTCTTCTTCCATCATCCGCCGTACGTGACTCCTATGGCCTGATCCGAGCCTCTCATGACCTCCTCGTCCAACCCGCCTGGATTGCCTCCATGAAATCAAATTCGCTTGATATTTACGGACCCTTGCACAAACAACAAGCTAACGCGATAATCATATAGCCAATGAGAAGAAGTGGGCTCCTAAGCAGGAAGGCAAGATCCTGACCTTCGAAGGTTAGTGCTCCTCCCGACTTCATGGCGCTCAATTGCTTTACATATGGTCTCTGTGAACGGGGGGAAATCCAAACATCTGGTACATTTGGGCGATTCTATTCAATTGGAGGTTATTGAATCCCAAGTGTCAGCTCTGTGGATACTTTTTCCCCGGTCACAGGGTCCGTTGACCATGGCCCTTGAATGACAACAGTCACCCGCACGTCGTACTTACTTCTCCTCTTCCAAAAATACAGAGATCAAGGTTGAGGATGACCTTTTCGCCCCCGGTGCTAAGCCCGGTACCATTCCCACCGACGTCGACCAGGCCACTGGTCTCGAGCGTCTGGAACTCATCGGAAAGATGCAGGGAATTGACATCTTCGACATGCGCCCCCTCGATGCCTCCCGCAAGGGTATGTGTTTTCAACTTGGATCCCAGCTCTCCGACACAAGCTTCGCATAAATGACTGAGTGCTGCCAAAATCGCACGAACGTCACATTGAAGCGAAATACAAAACCTCGGCTAATCGCGTGGATCGTTCTACACAGGCACACTCGAAGACCCTATCATCGTTCCCAGTGCCGGTGACGAGCAATACGCTGGTTGCACTGGTTACCCCGTCGACTCCCACCAGGTCAACTGGTTGACCGTATGATTCCCGGCTCCTATGGCCTACGGCGATATATAATCTGTGGTAGATACTAACGTATCACTCCCCAGGTCTCCCGCGAGCGCCCCATTGAGCGCTGCCTCGAGTGCGGCAACGTCGTCAAGATGAACTACATTGGACCCGAGGAGGACCCCCACTCCCGTATGTTATTCATTCCGCTTGTGCCCCCATTGGTGCCATACTCTTAAATTCCCCGAAATCTGACATAACCTCCAATAGACGACCACGACCACGGTCACCACCACCCTCCCCACGTCGAGCCCAAGACCTTCGCCGACTACGTCAAGCCCGAGTACTGGTACCGGTAAATATTCAATGCCGCGTTTCTGATTGCGTCGCGGTCCCTTTTTGGCTGTGGCATGGAAAACCCGATATAGTGTGAACATTACGTTGCTTTTCTGTCTCATTTGTAGAATAGTGCTCTAGTGGTTGAATATGAGTGCCTAGATGGGGTTGTTTTTCTTCTGACATCAATCTTATACCGGTTCTAGCTTGTTCGATATGTAAAGGTGCTGGTGGACTGGGAGTGTTCCCATGCTGACGTACATTTTATAGATCTATATTACTACCGACGAGGATAGATTGTCGCATTTGGTATCAGGAGCAATCGCACTTGAGCACTTGTGTATCCATACTAACGGGCCCACATGTTGTGCCAATCCATTAAATCAGTTCTAAGCCGGGTCATCACAAAACCAAAATACATGATCCTTCGTAATATTCGAAAGCGAAGACCACCTGATCGTGGCTAAGAGCCATAACTTCTAAAACATCTAGGTACCCCAGACATGGAGTCTCTTTTAACTTTATCGCCGAGGCCTACCTCAACATCAATGATGCGAGGTCGAATAAGACAAGGGTTCATGGTAGAAAAGAGCAAGGCCCATCTCCCCATGAACATCGTCTTAGCAAGGGTCTAACGCCCCACGAAGTGGAGCTCAAGGTATCTGAGAGGAGGGTAAACAAGCGCAGCCCAAGAGAAACCGATATAATTTCCCATCTAGCGAGTGAGAAAGATTAGAACAAGCAGAGAGACGAGATTAGGGAAAGGCCACTTACATCCGCACCGTAGGCACCGACCAACTTCGCAATGGGGCCGATGTACCAAACCTGTGCCATGCACAGAATAGCCCCAACCCATCCGACGACAAAGGCAATGAAGCCTGCAATGCCGATTGGCAATTTCGAAGGATCCCGCCAGATGGCCCAGTTGTAGCCCGTGCGCGCACGGAAAATGAAACACTCTTCGAGTGTGATGGCAGTCCAGATGGCAACCCAGTAGCCCATCAAGGCTAGGAAGTTGGTGAAGATCTCAGAGAGATGGCTGCGGCCAACAAGCGCACAGACGGTGTAGATGATTACGGCAATGGTGTTCCAGATGACACGGGGGACTGCCTCGGCATAGCGGCCGAGGATTTGGAAGTCGATTCCTGCAGAGTAAGTGGGCGCCACGGTATTGGCGATCAGGCCCAAGGCACAGACCACGGAGCAAAATTTGCCAAAGCCGTGCAGCGGACCAAATCCTTCAACGATCAATGCACCTTGGCCTTCATTGTAAGCGGCGGAGTATTCTGGGTGTGTGGGGATACCCGAAGCAAGGCCCACGCCACACACCAGGGCCATGGTGAAAGAGACCAGCAAACCCGCCAGGCTGAGACTGAAGATCTTAGCTCGCGAGGTATTTTCTGGGTAGTAGACGAAGAAGTCGGCTGCGAGTGGGGCGTAGGTGATTGCAGCACTCACACAGATGGAGAAGAACGATAGCCTGGTATCACGTTCAGATATTGAAGCTTCCATTAAAAGGGCTGGCGCATTGACTCACCTGTTACCGGCTACCGTCCTGGCATCCCCTTCGGACACAGTTGACAAATCGAATTTCATTGATGACACTCCGAAAAGAATGCAAACCACAATCACCTGGGGAATGAAAGCAAACCTAGACGTCCATGAATCAGTGACATCATCTCTACCGGCAGTGCGCTCTTAAAACCGACCTTTCATAATAGTGGAAGACCTGAATACCGAAAGTTGCCACTACCCAGCTGATGATAGCAATGATGACAATTCCTAAAGACCCGAGTATCAGCATCCCCATCACGAAATTGACTTTGTGCTATACATACCAACAGCCACAGACATGCCATTGGGGGAGACAGCGGACAAGATTTGCCCGCCTACAACGCAGTCAATCAAGCCGTACCCAATCATTTGGACAAGGTTCAGCAGCACAATGATTTTGCTAGGCCACCAGCCCATCGAATAACGTCCGAAAGCCTGGGTGATAATTAACACTCGCTGTCCAATGATGACTTGACAGGCCATATGTAACACCTACCAGAGTGCGGATCCCAGAAACGGGACCCCATGTCGCCATCCAAGAGGAGACCACGGAACCAACCAGAGCACCAAAGACAGCACAAAGTGCCGAGTCCCGGAAACTGAGGCCATACACTGCAGGGCCGAGCATTCCCAGGGTAATATTGTTTGGCGCAAGATTGATGGAAATCCACAGCAGAAACGCTTGCAAATACGAGAGCCACGAGTTTCGCTTCATGCGCTCGTCCACGGCGACCCGTTCAATACCACGCGCCTCAAGGTTGTAGTCAATGAGCTGGTTCTCGAACTGTCTGATAAGGGAGCCCAATCGCGATCCGATGGGATTGCGACGATTGGTCGTCTCCGCGGCGTATATTCCTTCATCCTTGTTCGCCACGCCGGGGATTTCTGGTGTAAGTGTCGTTGGATCTTCCTTGGAGCGCACCGCTAGGGTGGTGATTTCGTTTTCTGGCGCCATGCTATTGATGGGGTTAGTATAGTGCAGGGGGTATTGGAGAAAAAGCGCATGAGTCCTTTCGCTGGAATTACCCAGATCAAGTTGAACCGTATATTCTCAGAACGACGAGAGTCGAACACCGGTCTTCGCGCAGGAGGCTTTCACCTATATACCTTGATCTTGAGACAATACCATACTACTCGTCTTCGTAGCCTGGGTTGTGTCACCTTTCGAGTCACTTTAGGTAGAGTCACTGTGAGGCAAGGTGGGGTTAGCGAATACCAAGGTAACACGGGAGATATCAGGTACCTAGCTGGGCTGATCTGTAAAGTAGAATAATTGTAAATGAAACAGTTGTGGAGCGAGAGATGGCAACGGGGAACTTTTGAGATTTGCCGCGGGGAAAAAAAATAAGATCCGCGCTGCTTCTCCGCCCTATGACACGCGCATAGATCTACAGAGATGGTCTAGCCCGTTTTATATGTGCCAATGTAATTTCCTGCTGGAATTGATGGGAATCGTATGGTGTTCACAGATACAGCGCCAGGATCATATAGAGAGAAAAAAAAAAGAAAAAAAAAAAGAGGCGCTTGGTCACGAAAAAAGAGAAAAAAAAAGAGTCAAACGCCGGTAGGCTGAAAAGAAAAGCGCAAGTTTCCAGCGCAGAGATTCAAAATAAGAATCGAAATCCCGATCACGAACTCCATCTGCCTTGTAAAATCAATGGCCTCCCACGACCATAGATGAAACTTGCATCGCTCTGGAATTGCAATCCGAAAGAGAATGCACAAACTCGGAAATAAAAACAAAAGATGCTAAGGAAACGGATTCATCAATTCATCAGATGCGTCGTCGTCGTCAGACATTCTTGAAATGCTCTTTGGCATATTGTTCGCAGGCCTGGGAGTAAAACGGTATAAGTCTCAGATACACATGGCAATTTCCCAGGGACTCACTTTAGCAGGCTTGCCGACTTTCTGCCCGATTACCTTCCACTTGTTCGCTTCGTACTCCTTGATTGCCTCGCGAAGCTTCACCGACTGTGCAACGTCAGCGGATGTGACCACAGATATCAGTAAAAAACAAAAAAAAACGACCTACCTCGTCTTCGGCGAATTCGGCATAGTGCATGTCCTGCGGAGGTCAGTCAGATGCGGCTGCGTAAAGCTCAAGTTCCCCCAGGATCGCCTACCTTGTACCAGTGCTTCTTGACACTGCCCTCGGTTCGAGTAGGGAAAGTCTAGATATAGATTCCCAGATCAGTGACCTAACCCCTTCCCCATTAAAAGAAAAGCCGCGCACCTTGGCGATTTCACTCCAGCTGCGACCGGCGTCGCGCATTGTCTTAAGTCGTTGTTCCTCTTCCGCGGTCCATGGCGTATTTGTCCGCCCCTTCTTCTTAGGCGTAGACTCTACTGTGGGAAGCGCGCTGGGATCGTCGATCGCACCAACTCCGGGGTTGACAGGCGATGCCATCATGACTGATCCTGTCGCGGGAGAAGAGGGACGTTTGCGCGAATACCCGGGATTTTGTTGTGTCGGTAATGGAGCGCTGGGGATTGGGATTCCCTCAAAGGTTGGAACGCGATGAAAGGGGTGAATCTGTTGTTGGGCGAGTAAATGCGGCGGGGCGCTCGTCGTAGCCGACGTCTTGATTCGCTTTGAAGTCGGGGGAGAACTAATCGGACGACGAGTTAGATCGGGAAGTCATAGTATTGGAACAACAGTGTGTTAAAAACGCGACCCAAGTAAACTATCCAACTCAGTCTCCCTCCCACAGCTGGAGGCCGAACGGAGATCATAGACGAAGGGACTTACGACATGGTGAAAGACACACAGGGTTTTCAATCACACTGTGTCGATTCATCTGTACATACAAAAAGGCCGCGTAGGGGGGTTAGCAAGATCTGGTACTGGCGCGCCTGGGTCAACTCTTCGGGAAGCGTTACACTAGACGATGACACAGGCGCATCCCAGGCAGAACCAGATCCAGGTAACAAAGTAGAAAGGTATCGCCCGCGACACAGGAAAGTCCAGACTCCGATCGGAGTGTTTTTTAAGTCCTTGGGGTGTGTGTGTGGGGGGGGGGGGGGGGGGGGATCAAGGGAAGTTGGGCTCACAGGTCAAAATCGCATGGTCGAAGCGTCGATTCGGGGACCTCGAATTCTTCCGAATACGGGGAGAACATGAGGCTAAGATGAAGATGATGTTGTGAAAGGAGAGTCAGATGGAAAGAACGGGAGCAGGACAGAGAGAGAGAAAGACCGAAGGGAAGTCAGTGAGAGAGAGAGAGAGAAGTGAAGTCCAGGTTACAGAGGGAAAGGAGAGTTGTAAGAGAGAGAAAGGCAGAGCGGGGGATGGAGTCACCTCATATCACAACACCGCAAAGTAATTATAGACGTGTTTATTGATTTCAATAGTAAAACAGCTATTTTGTTGTTTGGTTCTTTTTTGGATCTTGTTTTTTTAATGAAAATTTGCGATTATTTCAAGTGAGAGGAAGCTCTAGAAATATTATGGGTGAAGTGATAGCTATGTTAGGTCACCCGTTTGTTGTCTCCCATTCTGTTTACTTTCTCTATATGTCTTTGATATGTCCCAAAGAGAAATAAAAAATAAAAAATAAAAAGATAGTAAAAAAGAAGAAGAAAAAAACCCAGTGTCGATTCAAATACGCCTCCAACCCCTCCGGTGCATTCCACAAGTTCTTCCTTGGTCTAGGAACCGATGCCCGGACAGGGGCCTGGTCACAGATCCTAAGCTCTACCTGGGCTCCAATTCGGCCTTCGACAAGATGCAGAAGCAAAATGAGCCACGTCCCGCAACTTCCTTGAGACATTTGGGCCGAAGAGACCCGCGAGTGGCCTGTTCCAAAATCCGGTGACCCGGCGAGATCTCACAACACCGTGCGAGGATGACAGAACACGCCCAATGCGAGTCAACGACGCGCCCGAGGGCCTGACTATTGTAAAGACATCCAATGGCCCCGGAGCTCCTCCCGCAATCAACAATATTCCAACGACAGAAGTAGCAGTGCCCGTCCAACCCGAGACTTGGCGGGCTAGATCAGCCACAAGACGGTTTCGTGGGAAGCCACCGGGTACTGTTCCCCTCTCTCTTCTCATGCACGCCGTTTGGGAAAGCGTGCACACCCTGGGGCAGAGGGGCAGGAGGCCCTGGTCGTCATTTGCAGGTCTTGGTACCGCGCGGGACTCATCTGGGGCGGGTATATATTCGCGAAATCCAGCCTCTCGAGATATCCTGCCGGCATACTTCCCTGTCACACGCACAACATTGACCCCCCTGCTCGAAATTCCATGTATATCGAGGGAGTAAGGCTGCTCATTTTGAAACCGCGACACCACACTGCAATTGATGGCAAAGACGGCAAGTTGCAATTGCGAAGACTCTTTGGTTAGATTTGAAGACACATGTGGACGATCAGGATCATTTGCGCCAAATGCGGCATATTACAGATCCCGCCAAGGTTTACCGGGGGGTGTTTATGACTTGCATCGCCTATTCAAACAAATGGACAAGGTTTTCGCCGTCAATGCCAGGAGTGTCAAGCCCTTGATCAATCCAATGAAAAGGCGACAGGGTCAGATAGTGTCCAATACCCCTCAGAACAGCGCAAAGGTCCAAAGCCATGTATTCATTCCCCAACTTTTGTCAGTTGACAGCGAACGGCGCAGACTATCTAAACAATGGTAATGGATCCTTCATATAGTCAGTCTTCGATCTTTCATAACGGAGTTTTATAGAAAGCGAGCCAGATAGCAGCGAGGGGAGCTACAGCTCCCAGTGACAGAAAGTTTTCTTTATTTTTATTAAAATTGTGCAGCGACTCCATCTGTGTTGGGGATCTTACCGCGTCACCTGCATACTTGAAGCATCTAGACCTTCTCAAATTCACCACCTTCACGAGAGCAGATGCATGTATGTACACAATGGTGGTTAGAACTGGAATTTTAGATCATTGGTATCACTCCAGAAGCTTAAGAAGAGCCTCTGAATTATCATGGCACCGTCTCTTGTTTGACATTGTATACTACAACATCTGGCATTGTTCCTACAGCCCTGCATCCCCAACCCCACTTTGTCGGCTTCTGATTCTGATCCTACACAAAGTCTGGATCAAGTCATCTTTAGAGCTGTGAAACCAGTCACTAATAATGTGCTTGACAGGTATACATGATATCTAGAGCTGTGTTTTTTCAAACCGATCGATTGATATGTCTGCCATTTCCCTGCACAATATATGTATAAAGTATGTATCAAGTTGTTGTTGAACAGCACATGTCAACCACATAAACACAGTGCAGCCACAGGTGAGATATACCAACATATCTCACCACTCACCATCTGGGTACTCTGCTGTGAATTGATTTGCACCAAATTGTACAACTTCATGACTTCAGGTGTTTTGATCGACACGACGTCAGAGCTCACGTGAGCCCCGAACTTACGCGGCCCGAGCTCATGTGGAGTGCCGATAAGGAACTTCCCCAGGTGTGACTCCAACAGCTCCATCCCCTTCATTTGTTACTTCGTCCTTCTAGCCAAGAGCCTTCTAAGGAAGCTTATACGTCAAAAAAATCAAATTCAGATCACTCGATACCACTCGGAGACCTGGAACCATCCAGCTAGGTACTTGGTACAAGCCTTCTATAGCTTGACAGGTGTCCACACCGTATTTACAAGTCGCTCCTCGGTCGTCCGACGACACCCTCACAGCCATGGTCTCATGGAATGTCTTTCGCATACTGGGTGATGTCTCTCATCTGGGCTCAATATGTGTCCTGCTTTGGGCCATACACAAAAACAAAAGTGCTGAGGGTATGTACAATCAACCCAGTTGGAGATGGTTTACAGAGATGACTGACAATATTGATCCACAGGGATCTCTCTACTTACACAGCTGCTTTACGGAGTCGTTTTTGTATTCCGATATCTCGATCTGTTGAATCCGGCAACCTACAAGATTATGGGATCAGTTGGGACATGGCATGTCGTTTGGAATGTCACCTTCAAGCTCTTCTACCTAACCTCATCGTTTTATGTGATTTTCCTGATGATGAAGGTCTTTCCGCGCACCAGAGAAAGGGAGCGTGCTTGGAAACTCGGAATGTGGTCTGTGGCAGGATCCCTTGTTCTAGCTCCAATTGCGATATCAGTTCTCGAGCAGGAGTGGCCTGGAGATTGGTTCATTGAGGTCCGTGGCAGATGATCCAAATCAGATTTGAAATTGAGCTGACACACATTGGTAGCTTTGCTGGGCCTTCTCCGAAATCCTCGAATCCGTGTGCGTTTTGCCACAGCTCCTTTTGCTCCGCCAGACAACCGTCCCGACGGTCATCGACTCCTACTACTTGCTTGCATTGGGGTCTTACCGGGCATTCTACATCCTCAATTGGATCGTTCGCCTCTTCAGCGCAGAACCGTTCCATGATCAGATTGCGGTCGTGTTTGGCATTGTGCAGACAGCATTCTATGTTGACTTTGCCTGGGTATACTATTCGCGCCAACGTGTCAAGCTCCGCAACGGTGGTGTCGTTGACTCCGAAGATTATGGGAACAGTTGGCTTGTGAACCGTGTGATGAATTTCAGGCAATCCCGTCGTTCCACAGACGAAGAACAGCGTCTCCAGGACGAGGAGGAAGGAGAGGGCCAGACCAATCACAACCGATGGGGCGCTCGTGGCATTTCCATTGCAGCAGATGACACCCTGGAAAGTGATGGTCATAACAAGGCACACCGCCATGACGACAGCCTAGACGGGTTTTCGGGAGATGAGGATGAAACTGATAACCACCGAGCCAATCTCTCTCGGTAGAGGTGATTTGCTATTGATAGACTTGCATGCGGCATGGGACTACTACCGGGCTGTTTGTATGGGGAGCATAGCCCCCATAGGCCCACCCGGGGGTTGGCTGCACGGGAAGACCCGCCAACACTTGTTCTCTAGTTCGGCAATCTCCCGGGATCTCATCTCCACTTCATGATTCACCATCTTCGTTGAACTCGGTGATAGGAGAAATTACATTCAGAAGTTTTTTTTTTTTTACTATGGGGGCGTTCCCTGTATGCTTTACTCTTAGTGTACCTGGTTTCACGATGTCACCCGGGGGCCATGGTCGCCCCCCCTATGAACTCATCCCACCTACTTGAACATCAACGACGGAGGAACTTGGTTTTTTTTGGGGTTTTTTTGAAGAAGAATAAAGGGGGAAAGAAGAAAGGAATTATTTTGCAAACATGATATTAGCACATGACAACAGACAAACCAGTCGGGTACAAATACATCCAGGTAGACATTTCACGAAGTAGTCAACTTGGTCGCCGCTGTCGAGCCCTTAATGCACAATGTCAAACTTTAGAACTCAATCTTTCATACCCGGGTCATGTTTACCTCCAATGCGTCCTGATAGATCAAGGAACGAGTGATCCCATTCAGACCCACCGATGGCTTTTTCGCAGCGCTTAGAGACTTGGGGGCGGAAAACAAATGTGGGGATCGGGAGAGTTCCACTAGGTTCGAACGTTCGACAAACCGATGAAATCCCGAGAAATGGATTAATCAGAACATTAAAAAGAAAAAAGGAAACGAAAAGGAAAAAAGACAGCGAAGGCAAAAAGAAAGTTCTTCTGAACCTTCGAGATGAATAGGGATTCGCCGGCTTCCTGCATCAGCGCTTAACCAGCGGTCATGAATTCTCCGTGAACGAAGCCACCAAGCGGCTCGCGGGGCCTCTCAGCCTCAAAAGAGCCCCGGGTTCATCTTTGACCAGTCGACAACCGCCGGTGAGCAACTGCTATGCAGGATCATGACCCCTTCATCCCAGCGTGCCGAACATCCTTGCACAAGGGGGTTTTTCCCCTCTTTGGCCCTTTCTCGTGGGGGCTGCCAAACTAGAAGGGATGGAAGTAAAGATAGATAGGCTGTTAACAAGGCTGACAGAGTTGTGCAGAAGTTCGAGTGAAGAAAGCGGGATGCGACAATATGCTGGGGCCGACTAGTAAACTTGGGGCCGTGACTTCACAGTCATGAATTTTGGACTCTGGACCATCTTTTTGTGTGTTCTTGCTAGTCAGACCTATACCCGTTAACTATACGCAGTACGGAGTGTGGAGTACGAAGTAAAGTGATCCATCGTCTCTAAGCGCCTTTTGACGCTTTGTCTCCCTTGCGCCCAGAGAGCGGGAGGGGCCCACCTAACAACCCTAAGACCTCTTCGCTCTTCTCATTGGACTCGACGAGGGCCAGGATTTGAAATAATCAAATAATTAATTCTTTTGACCCATCACGGTGGGCCTGAAGTCATAGAAATGATCTCAATTGCAATTCACTATGCAGATGCTGAGCCCCTCCAGGGGATGGGGGCGGAATTGGGATATCGATATTGGACTATTGGGTCCGCAGCGCTTAAATATAGGCCCTCGTCGAGTCTTGATGGGCTTTCCCACGCTCCAATGCTGCAAAGCGCTCGCCGGCGGTAGTGAGCTCGGTTTTGGTGCACTCTGAGCCTATAGTTACCACTGCGACGGATTGTTCACATCCTGCCTCGCAAGGCATCCCGGTGCTGGTTGTGATATCGCTCAAAGCGGAGTATGAGCGGACTTGCACAGCTATCTTGCCCTTTAAACTCCCCCCCTCTTTCTCGAGGGTCGAATCTTATAAGATCCTATCGTCGACAGTTGGGAATGCGAATATTTTCAAACCGAATCTCATCTTGGGTGCCAAAGCCTCGTTGATGTACAGCCAGCCCTAACTATCCAACCATCGTTCTCCAGCAGGCGCCTACAGTCCCAAACCTTCCCCTGCCTCGAGTTTCATACCCCGTTTCATATTCTGCTGCTTCGGCGTCTATCCTCCACTTAGACAGCGCAGTAGACATTGAAGTCGCTAAACGTGTTTCATCTGTCGCCAATTGCAACGGGTCATTATGTCAAACCATTCCAACGTTCCATCTTCTGAGGAATTGCGAGAGTACTATGAGAGTCTGCCTGCTCATTGGTCCGGAGCAGATCCGGTATGTCTCTATGTGCATCCTGCAAGGCCACCTGGGCAATCGAAATAAGCTGACTCGTATCCCGGCTTAGTCCCAATTCGTCGGAGTCAACCACCCTTACTGCACAGAGCCTCTAGTTCCACCCTGTGTCCTGACCCCAATCAGTCTGCCGGATAGCAGTTTCCGCCCAAGTCCAGCACTCAGTCACCCAGAAGACTACCAAGACTATCAATACAGCATCAATGACTCCATCCCCGGCTCCCAAGGGTTGGGAATCTCAGCACCATTCCCAAATGAATTCCCTCGGGCTTCAGCCCCGACATCAAACTATCTCTTTGCTCCAGTACCAGGCGACGCCCATCATGGGATGACCCAAACACCTAACCAGTCCCCCCAGGGCCCACCCTCACACAAGCGCGCCAAACGCCAATCTTCTGGGTCATCTTCGCGCGAGCCACATGCTCATACGCCAGTCAACATTCTCCCGGATCCCGAGGGCGTTATTAAAATGGAGAAAGATCGACAGAACCCCCAGCCAATCAACATGCCCCCTAAGCCACGAGCTCCTGGGCGTGGGCGTCGGGACCCTCAAGCAGAAGAGGAAGATGCATTCGTTGAAAATTTGCGAAACGACAACGTGGCTTGGAAAAAAGTCCGCGAAGAATTTCAACAACGATTTCAAAAAGATGCCTCCGAGGCTCGCTTGCAGATGCGCCTTCTTCGCCGACAGAGAGAGCGTTTGACGCGCTGGGACTCTTCAGATGTGAGTATGTATCCCGCAATGTGATCCCCTACAGCTCTGAGCATCAGAATTGTTCATGTGAACGTCTGCTTATAATGCATTGCAATAGGTCCAAATCTTAATTAAGGCCCATGATCTGTGGGAAAAGGAGAAGTATCACTTTCTATCAAACAAGGTGAGCTACTACTATGATGCTATTACCCCCAAGAACCGACTAACGAAGGATATTTAGATTAAGGAACTTGGTGCTACCAGATCATACTCGCCTGACCAGTGCAGGACACAAATTCGGCTTTTGGAGACAAAACAACACCATAGGGATCGAATTAGTGCTTCACCATCTGCCCTGTCTGATCCTGTTCCCATGACGCCTCATTTGTCTCGAAAAAGGCAACGGGCACAGTCTTTTGAATCGGAGTTCGATATCGAGGGATCTTTCTTCTAAATTTCGGGTATTTTCCTTTCTTTTTTCATTCTGCTTCTTCTTCTCTACTTTTATTTACCCCTCTCTCTTCTCTCTTCCTTATTCCTTATTCCTTTTTATTTCATACTCTCCAATTTTTGTCCAATATTGTGTTCATTAAATCGGGCTGGTTGAGGTTTCTTTTTCTTCATCTTCATCTTCATCTTCATCTTCATCTTCATCTTCATCTTCTTCTTCTTCATCTTCATCTTCTTCTTCTTCTTCATCTTCATCTTCATCTTCATCCTCTTCTTCTTCATCTTCTTCTTAGCACATGTCATGACTAGCAGCCAAAGAACCTGGTCAGACAACCTTGCATCACTGGAACATTCTAGTACCAGTTACTATGTGTCCATACCTATTTTCAGATACATACATTCCAACTATGGTCAATTTCATACATTGTCTCAACTTGGGTTCCATGTTAGCTGCGCTGATATACCGATGAAACTTATTAGTACGTCGACTTAAGTACAAGTCCAGGGTTGCAAAGGGTGAGATTCTTTGATATCCATGGATAGATCTATTTGTGAAAGATTGGCTTCCAAGTCGAGATGATCGTAAATCCATCCCCAGGGCTGGGAATGATTCTTTATTCTGCATCAGAATCTAAATCTTCTTCTATGATGGGGAATGTCAAGAGTGCAGCGATACCCCCGAGCCCTTCGAGACGTTTGCCACTTTCATGATCAGAGCTAAGAATTCGCACATCGCCGCCCTCGACATCACGAACTCGATCCACAAGCGTCACCCAGCGTTTACGCTCAGCGATATCCTGTGACCGGAACAAACGATTTGACACAATTAGTACGCCTCCACCGCGACCGACAGCACCTTGGTCAACCGCGGACTCAACCTCACGTGGACCGTAGGTTGCTTTGTTGGTCTCCTTTCGTAATTGATCGAGGAAATCATCCATCAATTTCGTCTCGCGGGCGTACTTGGTATCAGCTAGAAGTGTCTTCACCGCGGGTGATTGTAGCACCTCTGATAGTGAGTTCGTGTATCCTGACGCGGAATGCACGACGACCACGCTGGGAAGAAGTCGCCTGAGCCCGGGAGTCGTTGTTGATGCTTCTGACTGGATATATTTGTGGAAACCAGCGGCGACAAACCCGGGCGACGCAAGAAGAACGGGCCGCACAGCTTCATTATTAGCTCCTGAAGTAAGACTGGTGTTGAACTCCATTTGACGAAGCAGTGTTTCGAGAGTGGTTTTGTAGAATTTGTTCATGCCCTGTAATGTTTGACATCAGCTTCAGGCTTGGCGTGTATGATTTGACATGAAGACCTACCTTATCGTGATCCCCTCCTCCCTGTCGTTTCCGGGGCACGGACATTTCAACCTTTTGCTTCATTATCGTTTGGAACTGGCCGATGAAGCAGATATGAGCCAGACCCTCTTGCATGACCACGGCGATGGCTTCTGCGCGACGCTTTCCACCTTCGTCCACAGCATCCTTCAGTGACTCAATGGCAATACTGTCCCAGCCAACACCTTCTCCATTGGCGCCAGCCTCTTTCTCTAATGTGAAATTTCGGTTTAACTCTAGATCAAGGGTATGGAACTGGCCAATTTTCGTATGCTGTGTCTCGTTGATAATCTGCCCTGAGACATGAAGCTGGGAGCTCTGCGGATCGAAGTCGAGGTTTTTGACGCGGATGACGAGGTTGAGATGAACGCGTGCTGAGCTTGTGGACCCGGTATCTTGAACTGTGGTGACGCGACGGATTGCGCTAGCTCGGACAATGTCACCAGGCCGAATTAGGTTGTATGCATGCCACTAGATTGAGCCGTGTTAGACGACTCGGAGAACCGCGTGCGGGGAGCTAGGGCTGGCGTACCATGTCTTCGGGCTCGTCTGGGCATAACGTAACAGCACCCGATCCATTGTGCTCAATCTTGTTCTTGATGCAACGCATTGCTTCTGTGCTCAAGGGCGATCTTTGGTCAAATTTCGGGATGGTAAGGTGACAGTGACAGCTTCGATGCTGTTTATGCAATGTCGTATGATATCTTGGAAGTGCGCTTTTGAGGGAGGTGGTGAAGCGTTCCGTAAGCACAAGATTGAGATATTATTGAGGTAGAGGGCCAAAAAGAACAGCCGGTCCAGTATTCTGATAGCTTATCAAGTCCACGTTCAACTTTCAAGATTCAGACCAACCCCACCATGATATACTGCTGCCCGTTACCGCCCAAATATGAAGTGGGCTTAAGACTCGCGAGAACGCGAATTGTTCGTTTCAACTCGCCAAGTTGATTGAAGTTTCTCAATAGTCATTTCCATGCTTATAACAAATCTTGGAATATAACCGTATGGCGGTTACCATCAGCTCTGGATGTACGTGCATGGGCTATGCAAACTACAGGGTTTATTGATGCAGCCCTAATCGGGCCAGACGATTGACGTCAGGGCGTCCAGGTACACATAGACGTGGCGGATTTCCTTTACCGGTCCCATCTGCTTGCCAATGCTTGATCTAAGATTATGAAAGCTTGTACAAAATGGATCAAACACTTCACATTGTGAGACCCGAATAATGTCTTGGCTTGAGCTAACTACTAGTTGCAGAATGGCTCGCATTGACGCGAGCTCATTTCGTCGCCAAGGAAACGGCTCTCGTAGATACGTTTACCAGATCCATGACAGCATCAAGCCTGATTACTCGCTGTTTGAGGAGTACAAGAGCAAACCTTCGCCGCATGCTTGCCCTCGCAGTAAATGCATAAGCTTTTGGGGTTCTGGGCGTCAATCCACTTCTTGACCCATTCTTCCGGCTTTGTATCCTTTGGGGGCTAATTCTTTCGAGCGGGTTGCGTGGATGGGGTCGTATTTTTGTTGGAGGGGGGTTTCTTCGCTGCAGAGGCAGCGTCAATGAACCCAGCTCGCTCTTCCATCGGCTGCACACGATCGAGAATGCTGCGGCAGTCCTTCAAGAATTTATCCATTGTGTAAGTATGCTCGGCCTCTGCGCCCAGATCATGGAATTCTGCAATTTTGACGTTCATATAGCTCTCTAAATGAGGCATAGAACTCAATTCATGCATGACCAGAACCATCAAATGGTACGGGATACACTGCATTCCAATATTTGTGCCCCGTAGATTCCAGTATTGAAGGTCATTGACGTATGCTTCGGTGGTTGAGTAAGAACTGCGTCGCATATCCCGAATGGTAAGCAAAATCTTGCTAATGCGTGCAGGTCCAACACCACGGAAGTCTGCCCGGAGATACTCCATAAACTTATCAGCAAAGATCGTACAGATCCCACGGGTTTCCACCCTAGTGACGATATTCGCATCAACGCTGCTCGCCAACCAGGTTCGAATGGTCTCAGACAGTTCCAACCACTTCTCAGCATCAGCGCCGTCGGGGAAGGGTCGGTTGATCGCTGATTCCACTAAATTTTGTAGTTTGAGAGAGCTTAATACTCCCATAATGGCTCGGTGCCACTCTTCAAAGTCACCATCATCGGTCAACACCGTTCTGATCTTGTAGAGGGTGAAAGTTCCCGGATCAGGCAGTCCCACAGACTGGTCCTTCTGGGCATCCACTCTGCGGCGTTCCCGTACGATCTTCTCCCACACCTCAGGGGCAGGCTGACCAGTGCGAGGTGGAGGGGGGGGGGAAGGCGGCAGTGGAATCGAAGACATCTTGATGATAAATGTAGTATCCTGTCAGAAGAAGCGTGTTGAATAGCGTATTCTCAATAGAAGGGATCTCATAACCTGTTGACCCTACAGGCAGGAGAGAAGGAGAGAGAACCGATTGAATTGATTGCTCAGGGAGAGAGAGAGGAAGAAGAGAGAGAGCCTAGGGAGGAGGGTCTATCTACAAACAGCAAACGAGGGTTGCGACGAACTTCTATCTCAACACCTTCTGAGCTTCGATGGCTTTGCAGCCACACCAATGACCATTACACAATCGACCTTGACCGCGAAATTCTCACAATTAACCACAGTGTCCACTGGAAACTGGGAACATCCCACGACGGAACAAACTATGGCTCTGGGCCATGGTAGATGGCATATGCAGCTACCAGCCTACCATCTCTCTGCGCATATGCCCAAAAGAGCACATAGCATCCCCAGACATGGCGTTGCCCAAGGAAAACTGGACAGTTAAACATTACATCCACTTCATGGCCCCCAAGATAACCCTCCAGGAAACACATCATACCTTTCTCACTTGCGTCCTAGTCGACACTATTATCCAATACAAGGACGTGATCCTTGCGTTTGGAAGGGAGTGGATCCCGTAATCTTTAGTTTTCCGAGAGCTAGCCTTTGCTCTGATATCGATTGCGTCTGATCAGGTCAAGTTGCTTTCCTTCCCCGCTCAGGCCTGTGACTCTCGAGCTGCTTGTACACAGTGGCCATGGGGGAGCTGCAAATCGAAACACCTACCTAAGTCCCCCTGGCTGGCTTTCCGAGGAGTGGACTGGTCAACCCATTCTATTGCTAGAGTTTGGGACTCTTTCTCATCAGTCTGGTGAGCCCCCTGGAGCATCGCCCAGGGATACACTCACTTTCAGATCGTTGCGTTATCGCTCTTTAAAACGGCCTTGGCAGAGGTAATTTTCAAAGATGGCTTTGGTTCATTTATTAAAGCCAGCCACCCCATCGATCTCTCTCTACGCGTCGAGTACTGTACGAGTACACATCCTCGCCATCGACCTGAGTGACTCCCTGGAATGAGCTTTCAGCCATCTCCAGTCGAATTGATTGATGAATTTGAATGCACTGGTAGAATCGATCAACTATAAACCCACTTTCCTAGGCTTATCGGGCTAGTGAACTTCTTCGAAGCTGCCGCGAGCCGCCGTGCGGCATCCCCATTCATAGGGATCCTCCCGCCAGATGTCTACGAACGTGTGATCAACTTTGTGGACTACGAGACATGGAAGACATGTCTCAGTGTGTGCAGGGTGCTTCGTGCTTGCTGCCTTCGCAAGCATCGGCTAATTGAGTCGAAGGCAATTATCGGAGGGCCTTTCGAGAGGCAACAAAATCCCCACAGTCGCCCACATATCTCTTTCATTTTCGAAGACTTGAAGAAGGGGGAGGTCAGGTCCATGACACAGGTCCTGCGTTGCCAGCGAACGGAGGAGCTGGAAGGAAACTGGATGCCGATTGTTGGCAGCAAACGAAAAGCGCTGATGACCAATGTGAATGTGCAGTTCAAGCCGGCACATCCAGTACAGGTAAAGGGCGCTGTCAATTAGGACTGGTTGTCCAACCACGACTCAGGCTTCTCCGACCGTCTTCCTGACTCTCACAAAAACGGCATATTTAGAATGTCTGCTCTGAAAGGCCAAGGCGCAATGGTCTATGGTATCGTGCAGTATGATTTTCAGGCTACGACCAGCAGGAATTTCCTCGAAGCCGACATTAGCCTTGGAAGATCACTTAAGCAATATTATCCCTTGGGAAAGTTATGTTTTACAACATTGGGTGGAATCTATCCCATTGGGTTTCACTTTTATTTTGACCTATGTATGTACGAGTAGACTTTCTGAAGCCCTAATTTAAACTTGATTTTAGGCATAGCTTGGCATCAATATTGCCTTGAAATCTCGTTGATACAGAGGATTGTATCTGTACTTAAGTAGATGCAGTATTGACTCAGTGAGTTGTGGGCAGAGTGGGTCTATATTTTACCTACTCCTTAAATGGCAAATCCTCTAGATAAAGTGAAGTGGAGTGAAGACTGTTAAAAAAGCCTACGAGTACAATTGAAACCCCCACTAGTAGTACTATAGTGTGGTATTCCACTATAGTGTAGTATTGATCAGCCGTCGGTATGCCGAATGCAGTGCCCTCCATCGTATATCCCCACTTTATATGGCGTCAAGTTTCTTCGAGAAAGCGGGCGGGAATTACGGGACCGAGGTGGTCCGTGGAACTCCCACTTATAAACTCCCGAGGCTTCGTTACTCTCTTTTCTACTCGTAAATCATAATGTCTCTCTCACTAAAGTCCACCTACAAGCTGGTTTCGGGCTATGAGATTCCCGTTGTTGGGCTCGGAGTAAGTATCATACTTGTTATGTCCATGATGTATGACTGACAGCTGCGCGAACTAGGTCTACCAAACGTACGTTGACTATTCACAAGCTCGGTGAATACCATTGACCCTTTCATAACTAGACCTTCCGATGTCACCGAGAAGGTGACTTCCAAGGCCATTGAGCTTGGATACCGCCATGTAAGCAAATACCAAGCTGTAACCAAAATCCATTCCCCGGGCTGACAACTATCGTGCAGGTCGACTGCGCCAAAGTATACGGAAACGAATTAGAAAGTGCCAAAGCCATTCGCGACTCTGAAATTGACCGTTCCGAGATCTTCTACACCAGCAAGGTCCCCCGCACCTGTATGGGATATGAGAAGGCTAAGCGGGCCATTGAGGAGAGCATTGCGGCCGCCAACCTTGGCTACATTGACCTGTATGCAGTGTTTCGCAGGGATAAGAAATGGCACAGGCTAACACTCGCACTTAGTATGTTGATTCACGCTCCCTACGGCGGCAAGGAGGACCGCCACGGCACCTGGCGCGCACTCGTCGAGGCCCAGAAGGCAGGCCACATCCGCTCACTGGGTGTTTCCAACTTCAGCATCCAGCATCTCGAGGAATTGGAGGCTTATATCAAGAGCGGAGCCGGGGGTCAGATCACCGTTGGCCAGTATGAGATCCACCCGTGGTGCCCGCGTGACGATATCGCGGAGTGGTTGCAGAAGCGCAACATCGTTGTCGAGGCGTACTCTCCCCTTGTTCAGGCGACACGTATGAAGGAGCCTGTTCTGCAGGGCTTGTCCAAGAAGCACGGCAAGAGCGAGGCCCAGATTTTGGTTCGCTGGAGCTTGCAGAAGGTATGTGACGTTGACGTTGACTGACCGTGACCCTTGAGACAGTAACATTAACTTCTGGTTAGGGATACGTGCCCCTCCCCAAGTCGGCGACCGAGTCTCGCATTCGCGAGAACTCCGAGGTTTTCGATTTCACTCTGTCCGAAGAGGACATGGCCAGCTTGAAGCTCGACTTATATGAGCCCGTGTGCTGGGACCCCGTCCGCGACTGCAAGATTTGAATGACGTCACTGAACCATCACTTAGTGTCACGAAACATAGACTCAAAATCAAACCAAAAGCCATATGTGCATTTTGCCTGGAATAGATTAGAAAAAAGTACTGCCTACTCCGTAGTCCGTACAGAAAATAGGAAAAAGATAGGAACTTCGTCACATCCGGCAGTTTGTTGACTTGGTTACCGCCAAACACAAGAACCTAACAATGGAAGAACGTTTGCGCGTAACGTCAACAACCCACCCTCCTTCAACTCGCCCCCCAATGCACGGCAGAGCAGCAGGAAGTCGATGCGACGGTTGTCACCATGCCGGATGAGCCACGGCGCATTATCTTGGAGAAATCCAGTACTGTTAAACGCCGGTATCAGCGCAGCAACCAACGATTCCAATTCACCGCCGCAGAGATCGCGCGACTAGACCGCGAGGAGGAACGAGAGAAGAAAGCGAAGCAGCTGCGCGAGAAGGAAAAGAAACGCATTGCTAATAAAAAACGAAAAGCCGAGCAGGAGGCACGCGCCCGCGAGGAGCGGAGGCGCCGCGGTCCCTCCGAACCTTGTGCATATCGCGTCCCGTCGAGCCAGCCACTCCTATCGATGTTTTTGGGGAAATCCTCGTCTACTACAGCCGTTGCTCCTGCGCCTGCGCCTGGCCCCGCTCCTACGCACGCAACTACTGAGGTCGAGGCAGAGCCGCATGAGACTAAAGAGGACACGGACCCTGGGAGTGCAGCTGGCGATACGGAAGCTGAATCAGACGCATTCGATGATTTAGATGAAGAACTGAAATTAGAGGAATACGGACTATCTGAATTGGGCGCGGGCATTGTGGATCACAAAGGATCTATAACCACAGAGAACAAGGCCCCGACCGATGATGACGACGAATTCTCGGACTGTTCGGTCTTTGAAGACGATGCGATCGCTACAAGAATGACTGACGAAATGAACGAAAAGGCCGCAACCCCTACCCTACCTGAGCCAGCCCTTCCCCAGTCCGTCTCTCGCCGACCGGAAACGGTGCCCGCATTATCACTAGAATCCTCATTTGGAGGCCCCTTCGAGTATGAAGCGGCGGATTTCTTTGAAGCCGAGGCAGCCATCACGCAAACACCCAACGAGAGTAGAGCTCGTCCCCCGCTGCAAGAAACCCCACACTTGCGACCTTTGGAGCAACCGCGCACTATGCCCGCGTTGGCATCTTGTGGAGATTCCTTCCGGGATGAAACTGCCGACTGGATTGAAGAGGCATTTGCATGTGGTGGCGATGATCCCTTCGTTGGACCTAACAAGATACCCTTACAATGACCGCAATTGAACACCAAATAGAACGGACGGCATTTTGGATCACGAGTATAGAAATGCTTGGCATGGAGATCGGCTGCGGTCCGACGGTCGGGTGCTGCATCGGATGCGAGCAGTCGAGAGAGACGAGTGGACAAAGTTCCGACGGGAGAAATACGAAGTGCGATAAGTTATCGGCAATGACGTTCTTATCAGATAGATCCGCTTTGGATTTCCTACTTCCCCCTCTTGTGTATACTTCCTCATATCTTCACAATGCCCTTCGTTCAAGCCAACAGCCACCGTCTGAACTATGCAGACTCCCACCCGGATGGTGCTCCCACGCCAACCGGTCTTACATTCATCTTTATCCATGGCCTGGGCTCCTCACAAAACTACTACTACCCAGTGATCCCACACCTTACAGAGTTCCACCGCTGCATCACACTCGATACATATGGCGCTGCCCGCTCCGCATACACAGGTGACAGAATCACCATCCCCAGCATCGCGGAGGATGTCATTGGCGTGATGGACACGCTGCAGATCCCCAAGGCTGTAGTGGTCGGCCATTCTATGGGCGGGCTCGTGGTGACGGAGCTGGGCGCTCGCTACCCGGCTCGAATGCTAGGTGTTGTTGCAATTGGCCCGACACATCCCTCGGAAACTTTGGTCTCGGTCATGAGCAAGAGATCGACGACCGTACTTGAGTGTAAGTCTTGCCAATGGAGTTTGCTCTCCTTCCTCTGCGTCCTACAATCCTGTACCAAATGATCCCAAAGAAGCTAATTATGTACGTGTTTACAGCCGGAATGGAACCCATGGCCAACACCATCCCCTTCGGAGCTGTCGGCTCGCGCAGCACCCCGCTGCAGAAAGCCTTTATTCGGGAGCTTATCCTGGGCCAGGACCCGAAAGGGTATGCTGCACTTTGTCAGGCGATTGCTTCCGCCCAGCCGGCAGACTATGGCGCGGTCAAGGCGCCATTCCTGCTCATCGCGGGTGAAGAGGACAAGTCTGCTTCCATGGAGGGGTGTGAACATATTTTTGAGCGTATCTCAAGTGAGAAGAAGTCTTTGGAAGTGCTGCAGGGTGTCGGGCATTGGCATTGCATCGAAGCCGCTGAGGAGGTTGGCGCCTTGATTGCCCAATTCGCGAAAGTTGCTCGTGCTTAGAGTATTGGTTAGCATAGAAATAACACGCTAGCTGGGAAGTGGGATGAAACTCCTCGATCTGCGTAGCCTTTCGTTTGATGATATAATTTTACGCCAGAAAAACGATTCAACGGTGAAACTAATTCGATTTGAACCATTGTTCGTGTGTGTGCAAATAACGCTGTAAAATACATGTAACTCCAAAGAAACCCCCAGGTGATTTTGCTTATGCCCCGTTGGTTTTTGGTGCGTCCGCCACCAATTTGATATCGTACTCAAGCTCGATTTGGGCTTGAGGATCATCCTGGCGCGACACGAAGTCCACAACCAGGGAGTCTTTAACCGCGAATACCGAGTCATTGTCAAGATACTTGTCCTTGCGATCAAAGATCTGAGTGGTCAATGGACGGTAATCTTCCTTTGTGGCCTAGAGAAAGTCAATACCTCACTTCAATAATATTCCAGAGCCAACTTACCAGGATGTGAATATGAGCAGGACGGAATGGGTGGCGGTCCATCAACTCGAGGATCTTGCCAGCGGGACCATCGTTGGGGACAGGGTACGGAGTCGGACGCAAGCAGTAGAACCAGTACTTGCCCTCCTGATTTGTCTTGAACTTGCCACGCAGATTGAACTCGACTTGCTCAGGATCCTGCTGCTCATACAATCCATTGGTAGAGGCTTGCCACACCTCCACCGAAGCACCAGCCAAAGGCTCTTTGGTCTTAAAGTCCAACACCTGACCGTGCATGAACACCAGCTCTGCGTCCGCAGGCCTTGTCTTCACGATATCCTCACCAAGTTCGCGCCACGGCGTATCGGCACGGAAGAATGGCCCCAGAATGGCGGTCGCTGTGGGCGCATCCTTTGCTTCATTCGCAAGTGTGAATGTAATCTCATCCACCAGTCTGCGCCTGTCAGTCTCTTTCCTACTGTTTCATTGGTTGACAAGGACGCATCTCACGTTTCCAGACCGAACACATCACAAACCAACTGCCCTTCGTTACGCTTGTTGTCGCTCATTTGTCCAGCCCAATTCAGCATTTGCACACCAGCCATCCACTCATCGACAGTGAGTTCCTCCTCGCGCGCAAAGTCGTGCATATGTCTGATCAAGCCGGACATGAGCTTGCGCATGCGCGGCGTCGTCTTCGGACCCATCGCATTGATGACATTGTCCGTGAACTCGGGGTTGAAGCGGTGGGTGGCCATTATGAATAGAGTGGAAGCTGGTTAATCGCAGTGCGTGGAGAGAGTCTTATATACCCCGCGTGATGTCTCCAGCAAAAAAAAGCACGGCGTTCCGGAGCTAGAAGCAGATCTGACCAACACCATGACGCTTATTCGAGAATGACCCCGCAACAAATGGCATGATTGGGAGGTCGGAAGTTCCTGCAGTCGGTTGCTGATCGGCTCAGGGATCGGATCGACCGGCGCTTCCGATTTCCCCACATTCGGATGTGGCACTGATTTGGCGTTGCTTTACACGAAGTATGGAGTATTGAGCAAAGGAATGGATGGAGTCCTAATTTGCAGTCCACGGGTACGCAGTACAGTATATTCTGGATCTACATGTCAAGAAAATGACACTTAAAGCCGCTTGGATCAACTACCGAATCTTTCGGAAATGGTGGGATATTCTAATCATCGGCGTCCCTTGGGGTTGCCTTTGTTCGTGAGATTCTCTGGGAGCTGCTTGAGGACTTCTCCATGCTCCCAGAGCTTGCCCAAACCAAGCTTGCGCTCTGCAACCACATCAAAGAACTCCAACGACACGAACTTTTGCTCTTCGCCCTTCTTATCGCCCTGCTCGCTTTGAGTAACGGGAATTCCTTCGCTTAGAATAACCCCATTCTCACTTCGCCAGAACGGAACCCCCGCAGCCAGGGCTTTGCGAATATCAATATATATGAGCACCTGTGCATCGCGTCGCATGCCTGAAATCACCCGGGATTCATCTGGCTTGGATGTTCCCTGCGCAACATCACCGCCATGAACAGCAAGCACGGATTCCAGCGATGGACCTGTCGCAAAGTGAATGTGGTTACGACCCATACAACGTAGTCCCCCAGATTGTAGAATCACCGGCCAAGTCGAGTGGAATGTGCCATGGACCACGGTATCTGGTAATTTCGACTCGTCCGACAAAAAAAGCGGCTCGAGGAAAGACGCAGCTTCCACGGTTTTAATACTATGTCCTTGTGTCGCGCGGATTAGGAAATTCGCAGGATTGGTGTCTTTCACAGAGAGCGCGTGGTCGGTTGCGGATTGCTGGGCTTCGCTTGTGGTCGGAGCAGACTCCAGGACTGATGTCGTGGGCTGATCAGCGCCCACGACTTTTCCGGCTTGATTCTCTGCGTCGGGCGTCGTTGATGGGAGTGTTGTCGCCTGCGCTGTGGATTCGGTGGGCTGGGCGGATGGAATGTAGAGAAGGGCGAACCGCTTTTTGTCTGACGAGTCGACTGCGTGGAGAATCTCGGGGAAGGTGACCTTCAGTGACTTGAGTTTTCTCCATTGTAGCTATTCACAGGTCAGTTGGTTTAAGCCATGGCTTTTAAGTCGGTCGAGCATACCACGTCGGTCACACTTGCGTAGCCTTGCGCATTCATCTTCAGTCCTTCTTTCTCGGCGGCATGGCGCAACAGCAAACTTAGTGCTTTGGAGACTTGGACATCGCGTCCTTGCCCTCCGCAACCTTTTCCTCGGCCTTGCCCGCGCTTGTCTGAATGATCGGGCATCTTTGTAAAACAGCAAAGTCGTGGTGCGGGGACAAATGCTTTTAGTGGGGCTCTGGTAACTCCGATCCGACAGCTGGGCCAAAAGTTGACTGAGTCAAAGAGACTGAGTCAAAGAGACTATTTTGGCCCAGTAACGTGATTCTACACAGTTGTTGCATTGGCCTTGCAAACACTCGGCCATTTGGCATGCATACATTGTACATTGATAAACAATCAGGAGAGCAATGTCTTATCTTTTAATATTCTGGCATATAAAACTAACTGGGTATAGGGTGTAGGAGAAGGAAATCACAAGGTCATCACCGATCACAGATACAGTTGCACTCGGCAACAGGGCAGACCTTATGTCGCTTGAACCATTCACTCGCATGGTTTGCATGGAATCCATGATTGCAATGTATACAGAAAACCACGAACCGTCGCATAACCTCTGCCTCGGTGGGCTTGCGAGTGACCTCTGCGTCCGCAGCAATACTCGCGCGCGTCATTGGGTCTGGCGACCCCAACCACAACGTACATACCCCACAGCGTGGCATATGTCGACCGCAGCGCGGGCACACGGTCCCGGCCATGGTCGCCGAGGCCAGTGGGTTGCCCGCAGTGGGGTGCACAGTCTCCGTGCCTTTGGCAGAGGAAGACAATTGGGAGGAAGCGTCATGCTGTGTGAGTGGGTTAGTGCAGTAGTTGCAAGTAAGGCTGACCTGCTGCGGTGGCGTGGGGGCAAGCTTGCGACCATCTGCTGTCACTGCGAATCGGCGGGAGCCCACATCAAATCGGGCTCGCTCAAGTTGGAGCTTCCATGAATTCATTTGACGCCGGTAGGTCTCACGCCAGGCTTCAAATTGGATAATATGGTTTTGATTATTGATGAGCCTAGGCACGGTATGACTCATGGCCAGAACAGGGGTTTGAACGTCGTTGAACTTTCCAATGTATGACTGGAACAGACCCATGGCCAAGTGCCCCAAGCCTGTGAGCACAACCCCTTCGATGTCACCTTGTCGAATGGCTTCGGCGGTAGCATCCTTGAGATAAACACTCAGTTCATCGTCTGGAAGCCATCGCAGAGCAACTTCGACACGGTATTTAAGAGGTAGAGTCACTTCTTTGGTGACCGCATTCCAGTCACCCTTGCTCACAAGAGCTAGGATTGCCCGGGCATAAGGATCAGTGAGCTCCTTGGCAATCTCTGCACAAGTCTCTTCCCAGTCCGTGTCACTGTCTCCTTTGGAAGCACCGGCAATTGCCATAGCTAGTAGTTTATGGGCCTGAGTGGGTTTGTTGCCTCGAAGTCCAAGATAAGCCAGCTTTGGTTCATCTTGGAAAACAGCTAGCGCGGCGGCTTTGGTATGCTGGTTATTGCCAGAAAGCTCCTTCACCGTCTGCTCCAGTTCGCGGTAGGATTGCGATGCACCGCAGAGACGAAGGCAGAGGCGACGGTGGCTGGGATAAGCAGTATCACACCCCTTCGTCTCAGGTAGATCTAGTTGTCCGGCTAAGGATTTTACTGCGTCCGCAACTGTCTGTGGGCTATCTGTCTTAGCATTGATGAGACGTTGCTCCAAGCCACGCCCTAATACCGATATTAGCTTGGAACATAAAGCGCCAGACGAATAAACAAACCTAGATCGTTGTTCCAGAGGGTTGAAACACCCAGATAATTTAGATCCAAGCCATTAACTACCATTGAGCTGCCAGAGGAGTCTGTCCGGGCACCTATTCGAAAAACACGTTAGATATGGATGGAGACTTGGAAGCATGAAACATTGGAAAACTCACGTTCAACCCAACCCCAAAAGTCTTGCAGGGCTTGGTCATCAGCCGCCACTTTACGGTTCCGAGCCTCATCGAAGAGATAGCCTTCTTTGCAACGAGATTTGTTGACTGCGCCTAGAGTAAGTGCCTCTTTAGCAGTAAGTGGAACGCCCAGTGATCCCAGTGCCATGGTGCGTTCTCGGTCTTCATGACTAGAGACGGGATTTGGCTGGAGATTTCTGGAAACAAAGAGTTGACCGTTTGAGTTTGCGCTGTGCTCTTGCGAGCTAAAGCATACGCGTGACCTGATGTTTCCAATCAAATCCGAAATGGGTGATATTTGGTCAGAGAGAGGATGGATTGACCTCACATCGGAGTCGCTTGATGAGATGCCGCACGCCAACACACTCTGTGAAGACAGATTGACTGGGGCACATGGTGGCTGTGCGGTCATGATCTGAGGTGTTCCGTTTCCATCTAGTGCTATAGCGCTTGCTTGGGCGGTCAGGCTCAAGTTGAGAACATCGAATGAAACAACTCGGTCTTTAATATTGCAGCCTCGCGTTGGGTGATCAAAGGGCACACACACATCCCGCACATGTTTGGTGTAGACCGATTCTGGGTAATTCCTGGAAGAGCCCTGACCCAGGGTCTCATCTATCGAGGACCGATATTCCTCCGGCAGGTAGTCTTTAGCAAGTTCATAATGCTTGAAATGACCAGTGCTAGATAGCGCAGCAAGGTTACCCCGGTTGGTTTTGGAAAACCGCAAGCTCCAGATAGAAGCTTTTGGATGAAACACGTTCTTCAACTGCAGCGCAGCTGTTGCTTGACCCGAGTCGGCAGTGGCGGCAGAAGAGCCCACGGAAGGCGATGTGAGTCGAGTTCCCACACGACGATCCCACACGCAAATGGTGCTTTCATTGGAAGGTACACAAGATGCAATGTAGTTTTCGTCAAGTGAGTCAATGGCCAGGTTATGGACACATCGGGTTGAGTATTGTAATGATGGATTTCCGAGTCCCTCTTTAAGCGCAATCAGCTATGTCCATATATCGCACCGTAAACAGCAAAACAAACCTCTGAGATCGTAAATCCGAACAAATTGACCCTTGACACCGGTCACAATAGTATCAGGCTGGTCCCTGAAGAACTTTATACTAGTGATGGGCTCAGACATAGCTAGCTTTCTCAAAGGTTCAGTAAACCCTTTAGTCCCGCCAGCAGGACTTAAGCGTTGATTGACATCCCAGATGTTCAAACAGAAGTCGTTGCGGACGCGATCGAGGCCTGATGCCACGAGCCCATGCGTACTAAATGCGACTGCATTGCAATATCTTTGATTGCGCACCGGAAATGAAAGAGCCTCCTTGACATCACCGTCAAGACGTAAGATGGTGGCCTCACCCGAGGACTGGCCGACAGCGATTAGGTTCTCATCGGATGTAGACCAGTCGAACGCACGAAAACCAGGAACATTGGTGAGAGTCGACAAGACTTCGTGGCGCAAAGTTTTGCCGTCGAGTCCATTTACCCTGCATAGCCGAAACGACTTCCCTGTGACGTCGACAGAGAGGAAGCGTTGCTCAGTGGCCGACGAGGTCGGGGACCAGCGAATGGCAGACTCCATGCTGGTCCTGCTAAGCTGTGTCCGGCAAATACCCTAGTCGCATGTGATTCTGAAAACCCAAATTATCGCCAGGGACCAAAAAATCTAAGCAATTGGGGTAAATCTAATCAATGCGACGCGAGAGGGCGGCGGTGATGGTTATCGACGGAGTCGCTCATTGGCTGTTGCCAATCTGGGGACGGGCCGACAATCCGCCGATATCTTTTTTTCTTATCGCTTTCGCAGCTGCGTTTCTCGACTTTCTCGACTCTCGTTTCCTCGCCTGTTCGTGATCACCATGTCTACTGCCTCTTCTAAGCGCAAGACCCGGGACGGGTCCGAGGATGCAGCTCCATCCCGCAAGAAGGCACAGCGCAAGGCCGACAAAACAGATCAGCAACCCGAATTCGTGGATTTTGGCAGCGGAGGCGAGGAAAAGAAGCCCAAGTCAGCGCGCAAATACAAAGACAAATTCGCTCCTCGCCCGGAGAAGGAGTACCCGTCTATCAACGATCTCAAAAAACGCATTCGAGATGTCAAGCGACTACTCAACAAACAAGACCTTTCTGCCGACGCCCGCATCTTGCAGGAACGTGCGCTGGAAGGTTACGAAAACGACCTTAAGGATGAAACGAAACGCCGCGAAAAGTCACAGCTGATCAGCAAATACCATTTCGTTCGCTTCCTTGGTATGTGTTTGAGCAATGCCGCTATGGTATCCATCTCTTGCTAACAAATGCTTCCAACAGACCGCAAAGCTGCAAACAAGGAACTTGCCCGTCTTACCCGCCGCCAAAAGGCAGAAGATTTGGATCCGAAAGAAAAGGCTCAGCTCGAGGCTAAGATCAGCGATTGTCAGGTCAACATCAACTACACAATCTATTACCCCCTCACCGAAAAATATCTCTCAATCTACCCCAAGTCTAATGGGAAGCCTGAGGCTAAGGAGGCCGAGCCCTCGAAGAGAGGGCCCGAGGCCGCTCAACCCAAGCCCGCGTTATGGCCCATTGTTGCAAAGTGCATGGAGGAAAAGACATTGGACCTCCTGCGTGAAGGAAAACTGAACATCAACTTCAAGGGAGAGAAGATCCAAGATGCATCCGACAAAACCACGACCAAAGATACCAACAAGGAGAAAAGCACGAAGAAGGAGCACCAGAAAGACTCAAAGGCTGCTTCCCACAAGGACAAGTCTGCCAAGCGGGAAAAGCATAGCGGCAAGAACGACAAATCGGCCCGCAAGGCAGACTCCAAGCATGTCGCACCACAGCCCAACGCAGATGACGAAGAGAGCGATGGTGGATTCTTCGAGTAACCAGTATTGGGGTGGCGCAGAACTAGTTCATGTATTATTTGTCTTGATATCCACCCTAGCATTCTTTTTGCAATACAGCGTAAATGACTCTCGGACAGAATAGATTTCTAATGAATTCCCTCTAGAAACTTCGTAATGAGTCTAAATTCCAAGGTCCTATGATAGATCTATGTCCACATAGCTCAAGTACGCACTGGAGGCCCATCGGATTCCTGATGATTTTGAAAAAATGTCACCGAAGAATCGGATGTTAGTGTTCAAGATATCCTTGAGAACAATCAGTCCAATTCGACCTAACTACTTAAGTAGGTCGTGGTCGTTGGAAATAGCTATGGGCCATCCTCTAATTTTACTACGAAAGACATAGCGTAGATTCAATACAGTGGAATCTAGTGATAAACTAACCATGCCGACGACGTATCTAGAAATGATAGGGCTAGGACACTTTCGATTTGGTAAAGTGAAACAGATGCATGAGAAGCCGATATGTAACACCAATAAGACCCATTCTTAACATGAACGCCTAGGCTGAAAGAAAACTAGAAAAGAAGGGGAGGGGGGAAACAAAAAAAGATGTGCATTGGAGATCAGAAGTAGGATTCGGGCTGTTGCATGGTAATTCAGATATGGAAAGGATGATAGCGGCCCCCTAAGTCGCGATGTATCATGCCTGGGAGGTTAATCCAAGTGAAAGAAAAAGGTCATAATATGCGTAAATCGTATGAGTATTCGGGCGATCCAGCGCCGGATAGATTGACATCTCGCGTCTCGCTCTTTCAAGTAAGCGCAAAATAGAAAAAGGCGAAAGCCGTGTTACTGTTTCAGAAAGATGATTCACATGACAGTACATCCACCGCCGCTCTGAGCGCGGCGACGTCTGCCACCTAGAGCGGTGATTGCCCCGCCGTATGCATCGGCCTCGTCCTCGTCAGCGTTGTAAAGGCGCTCGGCTTCGCGAGCGCGACGCCTGCGTCGGCGGGCACCCGCACCTGCAGCGCCCGCTTCCTCGGTTGCCATCATGTAGTCTGCCCATTTCCGGTCCAGCCGGGAGGCTGCAGCAAGATCGCCGCGGAGAACGCGTTTTGTGTGTTCGTCCACGGTCATCTGCCAGCCGTAGAAACATTTCAGCTGAATGATTTCGTTTGGAAATGTTGGTGAGGGTGAAGGGGTGGAGGTTGGTTTGACGAATGTGCTTGTCTCGGGGGAGGATCCGGTGTCTGAGGTTTGTGTTACCGTTACCACTGTGGATACGGGCTTGCGGGAGGCGCGAGGAATGTAAGCATTGCTGGAGAGGACTTCCTTGACGCCTGCCCAGGTGACATTTGCGCAGTCGAAGATCATGAGTCGCAGTCCGATTTGGGGGAGGTCATCGCTGTATCCACGCCGGCGGATGCGATAGCTGGCTTCCATGAGAGTCAAATCGGAGACCCTGGTGTTGTCCATTTCTACAGATCGTAGTTTCGGGCAGCTTTTCATAACCTGAAGCATTCCTGTGTCACTCAGATTCTCGCAGTAGCTGATATTCAGGTGCTCCAGGTTCTGGGAGCAGGGAGATTTCGCCAGCTCCACCAAGGTACTGTTTGTCAAGTTCTCCAGATCTTCTAGTTCCAAATGAGATAGGTTGGGCGTTGTGCGGATGACATCCATGACAGATTCGTCTGTCAATTCAGAACACTGGGAGACCTGCAAGCCTTGCAGTTCTGGCACGTTATGGGCCATGCTTTTCAGCCCACTGTCGCTAATCTCGGAACATTGATGGAGATCCAAATGGCGGAACCGTCGAGGTGGAACGATAGGCCTGTCGGTCAGCAAATCCATGTTGGGATCCTTGCCGTGAATAAGTGTCTTCAAACTCTGATCGGTCAAGTCGGTGCGACTCATGATCAGACGATCCAGGTTGTTGCGCTCGAATAAGGCCAGTGTGAACTTCTCGTCGCTGAAACCACGAATTTCGCTAGCTCGAAGATCCTTCAACCGCTCACAAGACTGAACGACTCGAAGAAGGCCGGTAGTATCAACGTTACTGCACCATGAAACATTCAAGGTCTGAAGCTGTGGGCAAGATCGTGCAATCACCTTCATGGCCGAGTTTGTAACAGTTGATAAGCCTGAGACATTGATGTATTCCAGACGAGGATTGTGGAGTAGGAAATGGTGGATCGATCCCCTGTCAATGCGACAGCCCTCAAGCGAGAAGTTGACAACGTTCCGGCAAAGGTTGAAGATGCGCTCCCCATCCGAAGACCACTTCTCACGCATTTGAACACAACCTCGGAGGTTGAGCTCTTTAACAAACGGACCCCCTGAGGTGATGAGCTTCACCAGGACATCGCTTGGAATCTTAGAGTAGTACTCAGTCGCATCAACCTTGGACCACAATTGACCATCATAGCACATCTCGTTCCACGATTTTGAAACAGCAGAGCACCGAATAATCTCCTGTGGAGTCAAATGCTGGAATATCTCCATCTTGAGCTCCTGTGGCATATCGCCCCAGAAATCCAGAGTTCGAGCCGGCTGAACCTCTGGAAGGGGGACTGGGTCTTCAACCTGGACCTCCACAGGAGTTGCCGCACGCGGAGACCCTCCCGATGCTGGCCTCACGTCGAATGGTAAAGGGACGGTGCGAGGAAGTGAGACACTAGGGGCGTCGGTATCTACCAGTCGAATGCGGGGGTTGGCGTCCTGTGGCCCACCAGGCGAGCGAGAGAAACCTGGTGTAACAGGTCGAGGATTGAGACCCCCGTATAGCTGGGAGGAACTACCATTGCCCAAGCATGGTGAATAAGAAGGCGAAGATAGCGAAACGCAAGATAGTGAGGCCTTGTGGTCTCGGCGATATCCAGCAGTTGATGATGAGCGCCCTCGTCTGGTCAACGTTGGGCTAGACGACATGCGTTGGAGACTTTGTAGTAACTTCTGACGGCCTTTCAACTTCGGTGGTTGCTCTGAGGGGATCTGACCGGGCGAGACTGTCGAGTCCTCCGGGGCGGGCATGGTATGAGTTGGAATTTGAGATGTCATTCTGTCGACCTGGCTCAACCAGTATCTCTCGATCTGGGCCACCGCTCTCTTGTTGTAAAATGCGGGAGGCCGGCTAGATATGGAATGTTACGGATCTCGTGAGGAGTAGGACGAGGTAAACGAAGATCGAAGGGCGACGGGCGCGCAGGATTGTGTGGGCTCTTAGACGACCATGGTGATACCCCAAACTCCGTAGTGACTGCAACGAGGAAGAAAGGACGTAAAGAGAGAAAACCCACGTTTACTGTTGTCTCGGGGGCCCGCGGCCAAAAGAACCGTGGAACAGGCCTTCTTTCCGGCACTTTTGCCGAGTGACGTCCAGTGTACCGAGAGAGCCGAGTTGTTACAGAGCTGGGTTTGAGAAAGGGAGATATACCAGTACCTAGTACTACAAAAGAAAAAAAAAAAAGAAATGGCGGAATGCAGGAATGCGATACATCTACTAAACCTGGCACCAGCGCAGCGATCACATAGCGAATGATGTACTTCCGATGTACATGTCTCGTTATCGCTTATCGTGCCCCACCTTAGGCACCGGTATACTTCTTCTTTTGAACGTAGTAGTACTGCGACACTTATAAGATCTATGCGATCTACCTCATACTTTCCATATCTCTACTGAACTAGAAATTTTGATGTTCAATGTATCCAGACTGTATATGGCTCGCCTGAATGCCACTGTAGCAGATATCTCGAGATTGACAGTGTGGCACAGACCATCTGATGTGAGACCGGGCAACACCCTCGGCTGACGACGCCTGAAAAGAGGCCACTAAGAGAAAGTGAGTGGCCCAGAACATAGGGACAAAGGACTGTTAAATTGTTCCTGACTGGCACTCCGGTTTTCGCGCAAGTGGGGGGGCATATGCGGGGGACTCGAAAGAGTGCCATGGTATGTGGACACATGGACCGTGGAACCTCAAACCTTGGAACAGTCCTTCTTTTCGGCTTCTTCGTCTTCTTTGGACGTTCTAAAGTTACTTTGTTCCGTCCCCTTTCCTCCCTTTGGTTCTGCACTTTTTGAGGCGTCATGCCATAAAAAGTAACACTAGTGAAGATCACGCAATTGATATGTTGAGCCTCTCCGCAAGTCGGTGAAGCCGAGTATAAATTTCTTCCGCTCTAGTGGAATATGCAAGTCAAATGCTAAATGCCCCCCGCCCCTACCCCCATCAACGAAGGAAGAAAAAAAAGAAATGCGTTCATGCATATGAAATACTCACAGGCCCCGAAATGATACCCAGATAAATCCTGCAAACGAAAGCAACTTTGTGGGGTATCGCGTTATTTTTGGTTTTCAATTAAAAGATCATGTCGCCACCATCCACGGATGTTCAAGCACCTCGGTGATGGTCAGCCGATTATCAACGTCGCGATCGAGCATAGTACGGATGAGATCAATGCAATGTTCCGAGAAGGGGAGGAAAGGGATGCGGAGGGGGTGGTCGAGGATCTCGTCGACGTTGTAGAACGGGTTTTCCTTGTAGACAATCGTGTAAAGGAGAATTCCCAGAGCCCAGATGTCCTGCTCTTTACCACGGTAGGATCGGCCCTGGAGAACTTCGGGCGCGGCGTAATCTGCCATGTGGGGTTAGCATTGGCATTCTGCGGGGGGGCAAATTCGTCTTACCAATTGTGCCGACAAAGACGTCGAAAGGCCCATTCTTGATGTAGGCTGCACTGCCAAAGTCGATCAATTTTATCCGCCCCTCTCCATCAAGAACCACGTTCTCATCCTTGATGTCACGATGCACTACCAACGCCTTGGTATGGAGGTGGTTGGTGGCGCCCGCGACTTGTTTGAAAATGTTGCGGCATTCGGATTCGTCCATGTTAGCCTTGAGCTCGATGTAATCAAAGAGATCCATCCCGGGCAGTCCATGAGGGGTCATTTCAATGTAATAGTTAACATCGTCCTCAAAGAAACCCTCCATCTCAACAATGTTGGGATGCTTGAGTCCATCCCTTCTCAGGAAGTCAAGGACATGGATTTCTAGAGGCACAGTCCCGAGCCGTCGATCCCGGGTCCACGTATCTACCAAAATCCGTTTCTTGGTGACGAATTTCAACACCATCTTCTTGGTAGGGGTCTTCTTCTGGCGTGCGAGCTTCACTTGCCCATAGGCTCCTTGGCCCATTTCCTCGAGAATGACGTAGTCATTGATAGTCCGTTTTGCTGCAGGCTCATTTTTCGCTTTGGTGGATGACACTTCAGGAACAGGCTGTACCGGACGGTCGGTGAGCGGCTCTGAGGCCGCTTCGCTGAGCTGTTGGCTAAGGGTCGATGTCGGAGCTTGAATGACCACAGAAGACTTGCGGTTTTCGTTGTTTTGGGAATTGGAGCCTGAGGCCGATGGCTGATCCGAAGACGGATTATGGGTCGGTGATGTGGGCTTGGAGGTTGGTATCGAAGATGGCGAGAGTCCTGCAGCAGGTCCTGCAGCGTGAAGTTGTCTGGAGTAGGTAATCCATAGAGCATAGACCAGCTCTGTGACTGCAATTGTGTCATCACTGTCATCTGAATCACTACTGCGGTCACTGCATTTCTCCGCCTTTTCCTTTGAAAAGAAGGTCCCGCTTTTCACCACACGCAGTTGGATGTCCACAACAATAGTTGAACCGTCCCTATGTTTGGCAAGCAGGCCACTTGGCTCTGTGAAGACGGAAGCTGCATTCGACTTTCCATCACGAAGGATGGACAAGGTTCGTGCTCGACGGAAGCTGTGTTCGGGTATGACGATTCCATCAACCAATGGTACGTTGTCTTCCTCGGTCAAAACGTCCAGAATTTCATCAAAATCAGGAATAAGCTCAGTGATATGAAGCCCTTCGGGTCTGGTTTGACCAAACAAGACAGAGGAGAACACGGAGTTGGAGCTGATCACGTTCAATGACGAGGACGACAGCACCATCATACCAGCGACATGTGGGAAGCTGGAGACCTGGAGAGTTCTTTCTCCCTCTCCCTTTCCGATGGCCACGGGAATACAAACGCCAGCTGCAGTGCGGGCGGCAAAGTGCTTCAATTGCACGATTTTATCCAATCCTTTAGCAAACGACGTTTCGAGGGAGGCTAGTGGTAGACAGGGTAGAAGATCGGAAATTGGCTGCCCCTTCTGCACAACAGATGAACCCCAAATCTTCTCTGGATCACCCTTGGCACCCATGACAGTCCATGAATCGTCACATTGGACGGAAGCAACATTTTCTGTGATCTCTTCAAGAACCCAGATCAGGCCACCGCGCTTCTCCATAACCCACACGCTAGCAGACCCCCGGGTCCCGTTGCGCTTTTGGATTGGGACCACGTCACCGCAAAGTAAGACCCCCCGGGATTTGTTACCAGGGTGGTTGTTGTTCCGGGGAGCTCTTGTACTCGAGCCGTATCCATCATCGGTCTGTGATCTCCGAGACTTTTCGCGCGAAGAGGGTTTGCTGAGCAACTGAGCTGTCACTCCATTCCCAAGACCACGGAAGTTGGGATTGACGGCACTTATGTTTGCTCTTTCGGGCTTAAGTGGCATACGGGCTGCGGCATCGGTACTTGGATCCCGAAGTTTGGCCTCGAGCCATTCTCTATGCTCCTTTTGTACAACCTCTAGGATACTGAGGCGGCGAACTTCGGATTGAAGTACACCAAAAATCAAACAAGAGAGATCATTGGCAGCCAAAATAGTCCAGGGCGCCTCGGCTTCGGTCCTGAAAACGGCCTGGGAAACTGGGGTCCATTTGCTGCTATGGGTGTGAAGGGCGGGGATAGGGAGTCCCATTCCAGTAGTTGACGAGCTAAGCGAGGCGAAAGGGTCTGCCGAAGAGGTGTAAGGTTGTGCTAGAGTTTCCATCAGCTTGCTCTTTTGTGAGACAGAGCAGAGATCCGTGTATGTACGTTTTAAGCTTACGCGCCTGGAGGTTGGTGTCGAGAGTAGGTCCCGCCTTTGGTTGGAGATCTGGTCGCTGGGCACAGGGCTTAGCAAATGGGAGCTATCAGATCGATGTGAGCCCGAAGTGATGGAATCCTGAGCTGCGTCCCGGGTGCTGACCGGAGATAACGAATCACCGTCTGAGAAGGCTCTCTCAAACACATTATCGCCATTGATTTCCGCGGGTCCTGTAATGGGTCCTCGTCCTGGGATTTGATGATCCTGGGTTTCAAGCATGTTTGCCCGGGCGAGCAGATCCATCATGCCTTGCATCTCTGGGTCCCCGCTGACATTAGCTTGTGCGTTGGCGATGCCAGCGTTTGTCGCGGCCCATCCCATCCGGTCGCGCATGAAATCGATGGATCTCTTGAGAATGTTTTGACGGCTGTGCAGTAGCTCCTCGGACTGCTGAGCAAACGAAAAAGAATGCAGTGACTCCAGGGGAAATCGGTGTAAATCCTCCAGATCTGTGGAACTTGCGTTCATGGATGAACGCCCGGTATGAGCTCGAGTCGACGAGCGCGAGCGCGGAGACGGCGAGGGTCGTTGGGAAGGCATCGGGGAGAGTGACGAGGTAGATAAATTAGGAAGAGTCAGAACTCTCGATGGTTGGTGCTGGCGTATACGATCCAGACCGGAGGGGCCGAGTCCATGGTCGCTCTCGAATAACGGAGATCTGAAGGGCAGCCGGGTGTCAATTTCAAGCAGTTGATCAAGAGAGATAGGGTGTCGCTGACCTTGAACTGGGGTCATATCCCGAAGAAACACTGTCGACTGAGCCTCTGACTCGATCTGTCTGTAAAGAGAGTTTGGGGAATCCGGACTCAGACTCGGGCGACTCTGAGAGGGGTCCTAACGGCGACGAAAGAGGACTCGGCTCGCCTATATTTGATCAGCATGATTCACCTCGCATTTCTATAAACTCAATCGGCGCGGGTCGAAGGTTCCATTCCACGGGCCTTTGCAATGTGATGGCCTTGAATCATTCGGACGGTCGATCTCCGCGGTCAGATGCAGCTCCAAGCATGTGCCGGACTGCGACTTGCCTCTGATTGCCTCTGACTAGGATACACGCACACAGCTTGTCAAGCTGTTTCGTCCAGTCTTGGGCTTGAATAATTGTCAATTTGGAGGGGGTTGTCTACCCCGTCCCCGCCTCCACTAGTTCCTCGAGGCCCATGGAATGTGAAACAACGACCAAAAAGCAGAGGAACAAAGATCAAAAAGCACGTGAACGTGACTGACCATCAGGATTGTAAACCGATCCCATTCCCTTCGCTGTTTTTGGCAGATACACTCGGATGGGTAAAGGTCAGATGATGAAAAAGGTGTAAAGATCAAGGTGACGCGACAGTCATTCGCAGCTGCGGCAGAGGTTGGGAGGGCAGCTGCCTCGTGGGATCTCAGGCGGCATATGTGGCGTCGCGGCGAAGCACGCGAAAAGGAGAGGTTTAAAGGGGTGAAGAAAAAGAAAGCAGCGGGGGATGGTGGGGATAGGAAAATGCGAAATGCGAAATGCGAGCAAAGGGACTGGATCCCTTCCGTGATGTAATACTCGTTTTTAAATTCTTCTTTTATATCGACGTTTTTGGTTTCTTTTTTCTTCTTCTTTTCTTTTTTTCTCTCTTAAATCTATTCATTTTGTATTGAGCCGAGGGTCTTTTGGAGATACATCCGATTTCGATCGGCTGACAGGTCGAACGTCAAGTTTCTACTCTACGACAATTTAAGAACATCAAGAATAAAAAAGGGAGGTTGCGACTACCATTTGAATACTTGAAGCAAAGACCGGGGGCTCAGGCAATTGTTACCCCGCTTCGCCAGCACATGTCACTGCCAGGTCGCTTCCAGGTATCTAGTGTATCTGGTATAGATCGATGGTGCAGCCGATGATGCAAAGTGGCTTTCTTGAATAGATCCGAGCGCATGAGGGTGGGACCCTGGGCGGAACACTTGTTTAATGTCCCGATGGTGAGAAATTACCCTAAATGTTCGAAGGAGCTTTCCCCCCAAGTCCTTGAGGTTGCTATTTACAAGACTGGAAGGGTAGGTACGGGTACCTAGGTGCTGAGCTCAGCCCAGTAGATGTCCATGGGTGAGGTAGTGGATCTGGCGCAAGATTTTGCATCGTCGAAGTGTGAACGACATGAACATTACTTATCACAATGGGCCAGTCCCTGAAAGAGGGTCCCGGGACCCCCGAAGGCTGTGTAGTGCCAATTCACCGTGGCCGGCATCGGTTCCTGGGCGGTCATCTCCACCAGATCCAAACAAGGCGTTGTGCTTGCGGTTTTGGTCGAGATGCCTAGTCTGTTCCGGTGGGGGTGATGAGCTCACAAAGCCCGACAGGTTCCGACCACCGCCAAGCATCCATGAGAATCCCGAATTTGTGAGGGATGGTCGCACAGCTGCTCGCGAGGGGGTTGTCCGCGCGGCATCGGATGTTTTACCAGTGTTCATCCGGTCTGCCGTGGCGATGGAGGCGGGCTTGGGGGTTCCACTATCGGCAATCGGCTCGGTCCAATCCGTGTTCTCGGGATTGGACGTTTGTAATCGAGACTTGCTTGTCAAAGTACTGATACCATTATTGCTCGTTGGTGAAGTGGCTCTGTCTTGTGGCTTGCTCGGTTGACCGTGCTCAGCATCCCCGTTGGTGTAGATTTCCGATGTCTCGACTGTAAGAGAAGGATCTTGCAAGCGGGCTTGCACGCCCTCAGCCTTGGATAGGGCATGTTTGATGGCACCATTGACATCGGAATCCAAGTCATGGACCTTGGCCAACTGTGCACCAAGATCCTCCAGTGCCTCCCGTAAATCAGAAGCCAGAGCCTGGTTTCTTTCTTCAAGAAGAGCAATCTTCTTTTCTAGTCCCGCGGTGACCTCTGGACGTGCTGTATACGCCTTTGATTGAACACCGGGAGCTGTTTCGACAGGGGCAGGCCTGGAAGCAGTGCGCATGTTAGGGTCATAGTGCATTGTTTGCATATTCTTCCGGGCTTCAGTCACAGCACCTCGGACGGCTTTAGCCACGCCCCAGGACTCGGTGCGACGTTGAATATTCTGAGAAACGTCTTGGAAGATCGACTCAAGGCTCTTCGAATTATTTCGATTGGAATGATGAGAAGGCGAATTGCTCTCGCTGCGTCTTTTGAAGTCGTCCCATAGAAAAGCCCTCCTCATGGGTCGAGTGCTAGACTGGGCAGGGCTTTGAGAATCAGGCGGCCTACCCGAATATTTTGAGATGATGAAATTGCCTCTGTCGGCTGTAGGGTTCTGTTCCAAATAAATGGCATCCCGGACAAAATCCTGGGGGGCATGCGGTTGAGGTGAGGGATATCGAAGTAACAAGGTAAGTGCGGTAGTATAATCCGCCTCGAGTACTACATAATATGTTAGTGGGTAGAGTTCGAGGTAGATGTATTTTTGCGCACGTTGAACTCACACTGCCAACGAATTCGGAGCAACATTGCAATACACGTGAAATCAACAAGATCTGATCTTAGCCCATGAGCAAACAAAAGATCCCACGTTGTCAACACATCTTCGAATGGGAATTCTCGGCCAAACAGAAGGCGCATCCAACGGCTTTTCGATCAGTTAGAATCTAGCATCAGTCTGTATGTATCTGGCAGGCACTCACGTCAAAAATATTTGCGGCAAAATATCGATGGCTTCCAAGTGCTCCGCTAGTTCGTGATCAACGACGGACAAAGCTTCCTGATGTAGATATTGACACCGTTCGACTATGGGAATCACACCCATCTGGCCGTTTACAGATCGTACCTCCCCATGTTCATAATATGTGCGAGCTGTTTGCATAACGGAGAGAAAAAGAGTAAATGAATCGTGTTCCACAAATCGAGGATCAAGAAGCCGAAGCATCAGTCTCTCACTCTGATCCTTGCCCGGGCCAGTTTCCGCAGATTGAGGGCCCACAGAGTCTCGATCCACCACCCAAAGAATGGGTGCAAGGAGCTCGTGCATTCCTTGCCGATAACCCACGTCCGGATTGAGTTTTGAGTAGACGAACAATATATCGGTCAATTTGGATTTCGTCTCAGGTTCATGGAAAAAGAGGTTCTCTTGTAAGCATCGGTCAACATCTTGTAGGATTTCCGCGCGCAGCGCCTCGTCGTTTCGGAGGCTTTTCCATGGTGACTGTTGTGTTGGCCGGGTTAGCACTAAACCACGATCCTCGCATGATGTTTGCAAAAAAAGCGACGCCCGGAGACGCATACCTGTTCATCGTCCGCCAGCGGATCGAGGGTCGAGTCCAAGTCATCTGGATGTTCAATGTATTTCAAGAAGTGGTCGCGCAGTGCGCAATACGCGTCCCGGGATTCGTCGAGCTTGGATGTCCATTCGTTCCGATCCAAACCGTCGAAGATCAGGAATGCCTGTGTCAAAGATGAGCACACACTTTTACCCAGTGTATCCAGGATCCCACGGAACCTTCCAGCAAACCGATCTCAGGCCGTCATTGCACAGATCTCCCTGCTCGGACTGTAGCGCCGTTCGAAGGTCGGAAGGTGTATCATGATCGGAGAACAGAATGTCCCATCTTTTCCTGCGGAAATAAGTACAAGTGCAAGTACAAGTAGCTCCTGTCTGATTTCGAGGCTTACCTGGTCTCCTCAATGTTTCGCATCGCTGGAGTGTTGATGGAAAGATGGAGGGGAGACGGGCGATAACGTAGACCGCCTTATCGCGCTAATCGCATTGCGACATTTCACCAGGTCTACCTGGATATTCTTTCGGATCGATGTGCTTTGGAGACTCTGCCTTCAATACTGCGGCTGAAAATACCTGGGGGTAGTCTATTCGTGGCTGACACCGATATAGGCCTCGTATTGCCCCTGCAGAAAAGCCCACAGCTCCTTTTTGCAACATCAGGACAAGGCTTACAATGTCGGCTGATTTGCTGGCGGAGTTTGGCCAGACAAAAGCTCCGGCAAACGTCTCTGTTGGTCGACAAGCGTCGAATAAACAAACAGCTTCATTATTTGATGATCTAGACCAGGAGACCGGCACCTTCGGATCATCGCAAAGTCTACACACTGGAGCACCAAATGCACAGTTTACATCCGAGACGTCGTGGCAGACGGCTACAAATCAAAACTATGAACTACCTACGCCTCAGCATAGTGATGTCCTGTTTGATGCAGCATTTGATGCACCGGCGAGTGACACAGAAGATGACTGGGGTGAGTTTGAAGGGCCCGCGTCAAGTACACCAGCCGCACCTCAACCTGTGGCTCCTCCGCAGTCCAAGGTACCTTCAGATACAAGGAATCGGACTGATAAAATAATGAAGCCGACGTCTGGTACAATTGATCTGCTAGACTCACTCTCCATTCAAGACTCGGCACCTGCCAGTTCAACGCCGTTGAAGGTTATTGAGAACAGGGAAGCTTCCAGGGTCAACACAGATCAAGCCCAGTCAACGTGGGATGACAATTCGTTCGACGATTGGGGTGATTTTGCCGATGCACCAAGCCGGCCTCGGCATCAATTGGGGCAATCAATGGAAACACCACTCACAGAGCCACCTACAAAAACCATTCGAAAGACACCCCAGAGGGCACCCGAAAACAAAAAACCAGTCTCGTCAACTTGGGATGATGCGTCCTTTGATGATTGGGGTGATTTTACGGATGGACCTGTTGTACAGCCTGTCCCCAAGCCGAGGACCACGCCCACGCCACCTGTGTCTAGTCCTTCTCCGAGTAGCTTTACTTCTGGAGCTACCACCCCGGCAGCCACTGTTCGCCCGACCAACATCCCACCTCCATCTGTCCTGCTTGAGCTTTTTCTGGATGTGTTTGGCGAGCTCCACAAAGAGGCTACCCACGCAAAGTCACAGCTACGATCCCAGACATCGCCCACACCCTCCACACCCTCCACACCCTCTGTTTCAACAGCCGCCTCAAATATTCACAATGCCCTTCAGTCGGCCGCCCGCGTCATTGCAGGGCGTAGTCTCCGGTGGAAACGGGATACAATCCTCAGTCAGAGCATGCGTATTGGTCCCGCTCGCTCTGGCAAAGCCGGGGGCATGAAACTCAACAGTGTGAACAAGCAAGAAAATATTAAGGAAGAGCAAGACGCCGTTGATGTACTAATTGCTTGGCGGGAACGTGCGGCAATCTTCAACACTGTCTTGCAGGGTGCAGGCCAACGGCCGATCCCTGCAGTCTCAGATCCCAGTGCCCTTAAGGTTATTACCGCCCGGACGGACCAAGGTGCGCTAAAGGCGTCGCATCCCTGTGCGCTTTGTTCGCTCAAGCGTGATGAACGAGTTCTCCGGGTAGATGAACAAAATGTCCAGGATAGCTTTGGAGAGTGGTGGACGGAGCATTGGGGCCATACGGCATGTCGGCAATTCTGGGAGGCCAATCGATTCCTACTTGGACAAAGATGAACAAGTTATCTAACCAAATGACAACGTCATAAAATTGAAGTTCAGCCAAGAGATTAGAATAGGACGTCTGACCGGGAGGGAACCCGATGGTCTTTTTAGCGCAAAGATAAGCGCTTCGTATCGGGGGTCCAAGCTGATTCGATGATCCGGCAGTTCCACCCCTCACGGACTTCCCCGCATTTTTTTTTCTAAATGACACTTCGCATTCATCATATATCCAAGAAAACACCTATGGCGGGCGATGGAAGAGTTACAAAGCGGTCGTCGAATGCGTAAGATACGGAGTCTCAAGTCTGGAGGAGCATCCTGGCTAACAGGGCTTATCAGTTGCGTGCGATGCCGGAGGCAAAAGATCAAGTGCTCCGGCTCGCAGCCCTGCGACGGCTGCAGCAAGCGAAAACTTTCATGTGTCTTCAATGATCGTGATCAGAAGATATTAGTGACAAGAGGGTGAGTAAAGCACAAGCTCCAAAAGAGATCGTCGCTAATGCTTGCACAGGTACATCCTGGAACTGCAACAGAAGATCGCGCGCATTGAGCAAAGCGAGAAAGGCCAAGCCAGCCCTTTTAGCTCTAACTTTGAGACACAAATCGCCGGTTCGTTCTCTGCTCCTATTCGATAAGACTATCGCTCATCTCTACAGACCCGAAGGACGGTGAAGATGTACCCCTGGACAGGACCGCCACGCCGGAAGACCAAGATGGATCCCAGGATTTGGAGGATCCAGAATCTTCCTTAGCCAATCCACTATCAACCGGTCCGCCTGCTTTTATGTCTGCAGCGAATGGCCGAACGTGTGAGTTATCCTGCCGTCGCGAGACGAATACAAAGCTGATGTTTGCAGTCTATCTTGGGACATCTTCCAATTGGTCGTTCACTCGGCGAGTTCTCAGTCTGGCCCACCAACACCTCTATCAGAACGTATTACCAACGGAAGCTTTATTGTTCGATGAAACTACTTATCAATTAGGATGGGACGGGCTGCGAACAACCCCGAGCCCAGATGTGCCTGTGGTCCCAACTCGCGACCATACAATGTATCTGATTAACGCTGTACAATTCCGATGTGGCCAATTGTATCATCTGTTTGAGGAATCTGATTTCATGAGTTCTTTGGAACAATTTTACTCTGGGGATGGACAAGACATGACAAACAGCCTGTGGTATATTCACTTTCTCCTGATCTTGGCTTTTGGGAAAGGCTTTGTTCAACCTAAGGCCCAAGGCAGAAAGCCACCGGGTGTGGGTTATTTCGTCAGAGCTCTGCAACTTCTACCCGACCCAAGTGCCCTATACCGGGATCCAATGCTCGGAACGGAAATCCTCTGCTGCATCGCCTTGTATTACCAATGCGTCGACTACCGAACATCAGCCCATAATTATGTGAGATTACCCAAGGAAAGATTTGACAGTGGGAAAGTACTGACCAAATATTAGATTGGCCAAGCCATGCGGATAGCTATGGCACAGGGAATGCACACCAACATGCCAGTTGATGATTTAGGACACGACATGGTACAAAGATGTGGCAAAATCTGGTGGACTATCTACATTCTCGATCGAGAGATGACATCTTTGATGGGACTGCCTCAAACCATCAATGACCGCTATGTCCAAACACAGATCCCAGTGTTTACAGACCCGACAGAGACCATCTCCCTAGGCATGCACATTAAGTTGTCTCAAATCATTGCCGAGGTGAACAGCAGTAAGACTCAGTTGCCCCTAACTTTCTGTGCCCAGCTCTAACAAGCTCAACAGCAATTTATGTCATTGATGGACGTATCAACCGCACGTTCCTCCTCAGCACAAAATCAGCACTGGCAAACATAGCAGGACTGGCTGATGAACTTCGTCAATCGTTCCCATTACATTTGGAACCATCGAGTGGTGTGTCTCGATTATCGGCATACTTACATCTTCAATATCACCAGGTAAATGCTAGCTCTGGCCTGTAACTTGAAGAAAAGCGGCTAACACTTGGAATTGTTCAGTGCATCATTCTCGCTACCAGACCCCTTCTCTTCTGCTTCCTCAAAATTCGTTTTGAGTCTCCAGAATGCTTTCTCGAAACTCTCAATACCTCCCGCAACGTACAGAACCTGATGCAAATGTGTCTTGAGTCTGCCCATCACATCATAAGCATTCTTAACAGCCTCCAGGGCCAAGGACTACTCGGTACGCTCAATTGGAATACCTTTGAGAACAAAATCATGCTGACTGGAAGATAGAAACTTTCCTCCCCTTTGACCTAGAATCCGTATTTGTCTCAACAGTGATCCTGTTGATTGGCCCAGCAATCGACCCACGTCTCCTCGAAACCCACCCCACCTGGCTTGAAAAAGCCTACTCCATCTTCGACGAAATGATCGGAGATGGGAATCAGGTCGCAAACTTCCGACGAGCGGAACTACAACAATTAGACGAGACTTTACTGGGTTGTGTGTCTGGAAGTCAGTCAGGCCCATTGGCGGCACCTGCTTTCTATCAGCAACATGGTGGCGTACACCACCCATCATCCCCGTCAACATCGATCTCCGAGTCGATGGCGCATCCCTTGCGATACGATGCTCTTCTCAAGCCGGTCCATGAGTTAGATGGAGAGTGTGATTTCGGTACGATGCTGACTTCAGCCGAAATCATGGCTGTTGCAGACTCTATCGAGACGTTTGATACTGAGTGGGTTTCCAACGCGATGGTTGAACACAGTATCTGGTAGATGTCAGTTAAGCTTGATGAATTTCTACTTTCAAATGTATTAGTAGACTTGGTCATTAGAATGGCGAATTAAACCACTTAGACGAAATGGAAACCTACAAATCACAACACTTGAAAGCTATCATTCTACGAAGATATCAAGCTGGAAGTCTCCTGATTAATCCGGAGTTTAAGTCCTAGCATTATTACATATAGTTTCTACTCAGCGTTCAAAAAGCTATGGCGTACAAAGAAGACCCATTGGGCATGCATGTAGATTCGGAAGATCTAAAAAAGCGGATTGATAATGCAACAAAATTATAGACTCCAAAGAGTCTAAAGCTTAGACAAGACCTTGGGCCGAATATCGGTAAGCTCCAAGGATTCTCCAAGTCGCCAGCTCACATCACCACCCCAGTTACCCTTTCCTTCGTTGGGGTCCGTCTGCTTCCACCTCCACCGGGCATTACGCTGCTGGCTGTGTGCCAGGAAGTCTGAAACCCACGAACCAAAGATAGGGAACATTTTGAAGGCGTGGCCTGAGTCGCCGGACAGAACAACAACAGAGTCCGAAGTCCCGGGAACATAATCGATGATAAAGTCCGAGTCATCGGTATCAGCAAACCAGCAAAGCGACTTCTTGACCAGAGGTCGGTTCGCCAGTGCCGGAAGCGTATGTGCCAGAAGCTTCCTCATTTGCTTCTCATCGTGCTCTGGTACAAAAGCACTCTCCTCCAGGGTATCAGGAGCATGTGAGATTCCAGTCTTGGGATCAGTGTTGACAAAGCCTCCTCCCATAGGACAAATCTTCAACAGGTTTGTCTTGGGATCCGGTTCAAAGAGGAATCCGAGATCGCGCGCATAGGTGATAGGGATACCGCGCAGAGCGGAGGTTTCTTCATCGGTGAGTTGAACGTGGGCAACAGACCAGGACTTGGCGACGACTTTCTTGCCAAGCTCGGGGACCAGACGTCCCACTGCACCTCCTGCGGCGACAATCACCAGAGGTGAGGGGTGGAACTTTCCATCCTTGGTTCGGATTCCGGAGCTCTTGCGGCCTTGGAGCGTGCTCACGTAGACAATTTCGTCGACTGCGCCGTGCTCGCCGAGGAAAAAGCGTACGCCGGCAGCTTGGGCGGCTCGGTATACTGCTGCCAAGGCATTGCCAGAGTGGGCGTAGCCATCGAAGCGGTTCAGGTATCCATTCCAGCCGGTCAATGGACCATCGAGCTGCCAGCATGCCTGGCGAACATCGTTCACGTTATTGAGGGGTACGACGTGGGGCTTGATTTGAGCATTCTTTTCCGCCGAAGCGCGGAATCTCGCCAGGGTGTCGATGGCTTTTTGGGAGGCATCACCAGACACGCAATGTAAGAATCCGGTCTGGTGGAAGAAGGGCGCAAAAAGAGGAGTTTTCCATTCTTCAATAGCTTTCTGTGAGGCACAGCAAACTTGTCAGAATATCTTCATCGCTACTAGATCGAGCCAATACTTACAATTGTCAGATCGGTGTAGAAGGGATCCTCATACTCCGCGCGCACAATCTTGTTCAGGTCATTGGCAGCCGAGTAACGAGGAGGAATGTGATCATCTTTCTCGAAGACGGAGATATTGGTAAATCCAGATCGAGTCAGATGAAGAGCACTTGACAGCCCAAAGGCTCCACCGCCAACAATGATGATCGGGTCGGACTTTTGAACGCCCATTTTCATGGATGCAATTGCAGAAATGAATACAATTAGGTCTGTACCCAAGTAGTTATAGATAAGTACTGCTACATCTAAATCTATCGATATAGGTCCGGCTTCGTTGCCGGTCTATCGCAAGTGCGGGGGGAGAGGTGCGGAGAAGTGGGCCATCGGGAGGCCTCCCGGTGGCCTCGATAAGGCGTCTCGTGTAAAATTGATATGATATTTGATAGCGCATGATCATTCTAATTGTCCAATGGAATACAAAGCCGAGAGACCTGGTTCGGTCCCGCCCCGGAGCCGCGGGGTCAGCAGACATCGCCATAGAACTCCCCATGCATGGTCTGAGGTCTGTTCCTCTTGGTTGCCCGGGATCTGGTATCTTCTAGCCTTGGAAAGTTCTCTCGAGTTCCAAGGTTTGATTGGTTCTAAAACAAGCCCCATTTGGCCAAGCTACTTTTTGGTACCTCGATATCAAACCACTCAATATAGAGGAAATGAACCATCTGAATCGCCTTATTGATAAATCAACCTAAAAGAACTAAGGAAACAAATAATATCTATGGATCCATATCAAATTTCACCAGGCTAAAAGTAATTGGAGCGAGTTCTGAACTTTAGAAGTTGTATATTAAGACCAAAAACGAAAAAGGTAAAAGAACCCGCCATCGGCAAGGTACCGAAACTTGAAGTATCAAGCCAATCCTGAAGTCGACCTGCATTCCTTGGTGGGAACCTTGGAAGATCTCTTATTTTCAAATGGTCGACATTTCGGAGTCCAAAGTTCTATAGATATGTATCAGAGATAATCACCCCTTCACATCGAATGGGTAGTCACTACGGGACTTCAGGAGAAGAACCTTGAAACCAACAAAGTCAAGTGAAGTGAAGTGAGTAAAAATCAATCAAATTGAAACGGATAGCATATGGCGTCGATCAATCTTTGGCAATGAAATCCTCAACTTTAGAAGTTCTGCTTAATGGTAAATTCAATGGATCTGGCTTCCAAGGTTGTACTCAAGGATTCACCTTCCGAGGTTTTTTTATGTACCGACTACTTAAGTAGGTTTGAGATATACCAACCCTGAGTAGAAGCAGCTATTGAGAGCATAAAAGCATGATTGCATTGTGAATATACATATTTTGCTAACTTTCGAACGACGCTTCTATAATATATTTCATGTCACATTCCAGCACCCTTAGTGGTTGCTAGGGTAGGTGAATCCTTCTTGACCGAAGAACTCTTCCTTAATCAAGCGAGGGCTGACGAAGCGGCGGAGGGGATCGGAGCTACCAGCCTTGTCGTTAGTGCCACTAGCACGGGCACCACCGAAGGACTGCTGTCCAATAAGAGCAGCGGTTGTCTTGCAGTCTGTGAGCGAATATGGTTAGTTTCTAAATTTGAATGGGATCATGGAGATGGTGGAGACTTACTGATGTAGAAGTTACCAGCAGAGTAACGGAGCTTGTCTTCAGCCTCGCGGATGGCAACGCGATCCTTGGCGAAAACGGCACCAGTCAGGGCAAAGCCACCGCCGTTCTGGTCGACAGACTTGAGAGTAGAGGACCAGTCGGCGTCCTTGTAGATGTGCACGGCAAGGACGGGGCCGAAGATCTCCTCGTTGAACAGAGCGTGGTCAGGGGAGTCGGCAAGGTACACGGTGGGGTGCACGTAGTAGCCAACGGACTCATCGTAAGTACCACCGGCAAGCAGCTTAAGGGAGGGATCCTTGTTGCTGGCGTCGATGATAGACTTAATCTTCTCGAAGGAGCCGCGGTGGATCACGGGACCCATGTAAGCCTCCAGATCCTTGTCGGGGCTTCCAATGGTGATCTCCTTGATACCAGCCTTCAATTGGGTAAGGAACTCTTCGGCCTTGGATTCGGGCAGGTAGAGACGAGATGTAGCAGAGCACTTCTGGCCCTGGTACTCGAATGAACCGCGGATGGTGTGGTTGACAGCGCTGGAAATATCAGCGGTAGGGTGAACGAGGTGGAAGTTCTTTCCACTGGTCTCGGCAACGAAGCGAGGGAACTCGCGGTAGGTCTTAGCGGCAACACCCTGGCCAATGCGGCCGTACAGGGAACGGAAGACGCCAGAAGAACCGATGAAGTTAAGACCAGCAAAGTCACGGTGGGAGAGGGCAGTGTCGGTGATAGCCTGTGCGTCACCAGTCACGAACTGGATGACATTGGGAGGCAGACCAGCCTCCAAGAGGACCTTGTAAAGGATAGTGCTGGCGTAGACGTTGGAGGGCGAGGGCTTCCAGAGCACCACGTTACCCATGATAGCAGGGCCGGCAATCAGGTTTCCACCGAGGGCTGTGAAGTTGAAGGGGGAGATGGCGTAAACGAAGCCCTCAAGGGGACGGTAGTCAATGCGGCTGTTGGAATGTTAGTGATCTTTGTTCTATTTCGCTTTGGTCAGAATTCTTTTCGAGAACTAACCTCCACATGCCGTCGCTGCCACGAGTAGGCTGCTTCTCCAAAATTTCAGCAGCCCAGTTGCAGTTCAGGCGGAAGAAGTCTGCCAATTCAGCCGCAGCATCAATCTCTCCCTGCCAGATGTTCTTGCCCTGGCCAAGCATGGTGGCTGCAATGATTTCGTATCGGTATTTGGTAGTGAGGAGCTCGGCAGCCTTGAGGAAAATCGAGGCACGGTCGACGAATGGGGTATCTTGCCAGCTCTGCTTTGCCGCGAGAGCCTTCTCAATGGCTGTGCGGGTTTGCTCTTCGGTTGCGAGGGGGTAGTTTGTGAAGGTAGTGGCATGCTCGGCGGGTAAGGGCTGATCGATGGAGGTAGAGCTTGCTTGGAGCTTTCCGTCGTAGAAGAGCTCACTCCGCACGGGCAACTGGGAGCGGAGCTTGGTCAAGGCCTCTTCGAGCTTGGCGCGCTCTGGGGAGCCCTTGGTGTAGAGAGGCTATATGGCACATTAGTTGATGTTTCAATTATCTCATTGTTTCCAAAACTCACGTTAGGCTCATTGCGAGCATCGGGGAGTCTGAAAGGCATGGTGGTCTTGGTGCGGGCCTGGATGGAGAGCCCGGGGACAGAGCGGAGGCCAGTAGGCCGTGCTGAGCGCATTCTCATGAGTGTGGCTGTAGACATTGTGACAAAGGCTCAATGTGAAGTGTGAATTGGAAAACAGATGAAGCAGACACATCGATGGATTTAAAGAACTAGGACCCCTCAGCAAAACATCGGAGGCTTGTCCGTTTACCCCACAATTTGCAGCATTGATTTCGGAGCTTGGGCCTCTTTGCGATAACGCTAAATCGATTGCTGCTGCTTGGTTGATGCAGCATCGGGAGGCCATCCGGGAGGGTTTATCGGGGCGGATGGAGTGGCCTTGAATGTAAACGCTTTCGAAGTAGATAAGCAGCAGACTCGGAATGTAACTAAAATCAAGTCTGTCATCATGGAAGAAATTGAAACACATCGTTGGAGCAGCCCCCAGATGGGACATATCACCGGCGATATCGCTGCGGCGGCGCTCTCAGCGAGTTTAGTGACGCCCGCTGTCGCGATCATCGACAGGTCAGTTTCCATGATAAGCGCGAAGATCGCATGGCTGACAAGCGCCCAGGTCACTAGTTGAGCAGTCCGCATTCAACCAGCCTATTCTCCGCGGAATACGTCGAAATGCGATGGGGGCGCTCCGACAACCGGGGCTATTCCTGTGTTCCAAACCTCTGGCGCTCGTATGGGCCATGTATGGAGCAACCTATTCCGTGGCAAACGTCGCGGACACCATCGGTCGCAAATTGGAACTAGCCGCCGCGGGGACAGTGACGTTTGCCGCTACAATGCTGGCAAATGTGCCACTAGCGCTGTGGAAAGACATGTCGTTTGCGCAGGCATACGGGACCGGCAGGGGTCCCGATGCCAAGATCACCGCGAACATCCCCCAGAGCCCAGTGCTCAACAAGACTATGGCCCGTGCGGCTGCTGCTATCTTCCTCGTGCGAGACGGCGTGACGATCTTCGGGTCCTTCACTTTAGCGCCTCACTTGTCGGAGGCCATCCCCGACAGCTGGGCAACGCATCCCCATGCGAAGCCGATTATCACCCAGCTGACAGTACCCGTGTTGACTCAGCTGGTGGCGACTCCGCTACATCTCCTGGCGTTGGATATGTACACCCGTCAATACCGAATTCCCTTTGTAGACAGGGCCAAACATTCACAAAAATATGTGGTGTCCTCGACGTTGTTGCGCGGTGTTCGCATCATCCCCGCTTTCGGTGTTGGATGCTTGGCAAATATGGAGTTACGATCTGCTTTCCATGCAAAATTCTCATGAAATTCTTCTTCTCATTCGTGTCTAATTCTTGAAATGATTGGCTATAGGGGCCACATGTGTACATACGTGATCTAATATCTGATCTATTCCCAATTACCACCATGTTGAAACAATACCTGCAGGTCCCTCCAGGGCTTTGCAGAAGCGTATTCATGCATGCTCAACCTGTTTCTCTTCAATTCCCTTTTCGGTCTCATCGATGTGGGCCAATATTTCTGTTTGGAAAGGCATTTGACGAGCGATCCGGACCGTATCGAACGCGGACTTGGACTGCACAAAGATATCGTCGATCTCCTCAAGTGTGCGGCCCTTGGTCTCCGGGCAGAAGATGTAGAAGAAGACGCATGCAAATGCGCTAATGCATGCATATACAATGTAATACCGCCAGCTGATTGTCGCGAACCCAACTGGGCTCACCTCGGCCAAGACGAAATTGAAGAGCCAGTTCGCTGCAGCCGACATGGCTGTCACTTGAGCACGGGTCCGCAGTGGGGCAATCTCTGCAGCATACATGAACGGCACCAGGAAAAGGCCAATAGGGAAGCAGAAGAGTGCCATGAAGTAGAACAAGAGAGAAGCCCCAGCGGCGGACTTGTTCCCTAGGTCGCTCGAGAGTCCGGCTAGACAAGCTTGGGCGACAGTCATTCCAATCGCAGCGGCGATGAAGAGCGGTCGACGGCCGACACGATCAATCAATAAGACGGCCAGACCGGCTGCTAAGAATTGCCAAATCTGTAGACATCCAGTGATAATTCGAGACATGGTACCTGAATACCCCAAATCACCTTCGAAGATGGTGTCGGAGTAGAATGTGATGATGTTGACGCCTGTCATCTGGGCCAGGATATTAACACCGACAGCCAAAATAGTTCGATGTAAATGCCGGTTCTTTGTGAGCGCGAAAGGTGAGGAAGATCCGGACGACTCTGCGTTTTGGTCCAACACAAGTGATTGGCGGATGATGTCCATCTCTTGCAATACGTGCTCGGAGTCTGCGGACATGTCTTCTATCCGGGCTAATACCTCGGCTGCCTCTTCCAATCGTCCAACGCGTGCCAGCCAGCGAGGTGACTCGGGGAGCAACATGATACAACCAACAACGATCAGGGCGAAGAGACCTTGGAACGCAATGGGAAAGCGCCAGCTGACAGAGTTGTCACCAACATAGTAAAGCCCGAATTCTAACCACGTTGCGAGCACAATTCCACCAATTGCAAACCATCCCTCGAGTAGCACCATTCTTCCACGGGAATTTGCCAGAGAAGACTCGGAGACGTACATGGGGATTGTAGCGGTGAAGCCACCCACTCCCAGACCTATACTTGATTAGATGAGATTACGCATATCTCGAGGTTGAAGAAAACGATACCAGTGATAACTCTACCGGCGATCAGCTGGCCAAGTGCAAAAGGACTTGACTGGATGACAACACCGATGAGAGCGATGCAACCGGCAAGGAATATAGTCTTGCGGCGGCCCAGTCTGTCGCCCAGAAAAGCACAGGAACCAGCCCCGAGTGCACACCCAACTTCATAGATAGCAACTGTTGTTCCTGAATGGGAAGTTTGGTCAGCTTATTTTCCCGAATGAACTGGTTAGATTGACTGGTAGCACATACCTTGGATTGTAGAATTGTGAGATTTCTCGCTTCCAGTAGTATGCACAGTGTCGATCTGAGGGAAAACGGCGATGAACGAGCCCAACGTCAACAATCCATTTGAAACTGCCTGGTCGTAGCCTTGTAGCACAAATCCAACGGCGCCAATCAAACCGATGACGCGGCTCAGTGATTTTCCTCTCAGCTTCCCGGAAGCCATATTCACTTCACTTTTTTCGTAATTGAAACTGCGAATGAAGTTGTACACTGAGTATATTGAGTCGGTCAAAAAAAAGAGAAAAAAAGCACCTCCCGCTCGAGGCAAGGAGAAAAAGGCGAATTAAGATCCGATATCGCCGGAAGCCAATGTAACGGCGCTACTTTGGAAGCGAGGGGCCCCAGGCTAGGGCTGGGGAAGAACAAGCTTACCAAGCTTCGGAGGTTCACCGAATACACCAATCAAATAGGTAGACCAAGCAGAAAGTGGACCCCAGACTCCGGGGGAACACAGTTCAGTGGGCCACTAGGCGTGTCGGTCCAGAATCCCCCGGCTTGTTCGGGCGTCTGTGCGTACTAGTCCCCTCCGCATCCTCTCCACGATTACTTTCCGTGTGTTTGATTGGACACTTAATGGTTGCAAGCTTGAAATGAGGATTCCATCACACCCACTTCCCCTCGTTTTGTTGAGATGATGGGCCCGCATATACCGCAATCTCTTTATCGGACCGACCTTCTACCAATCGTGGCACACACATGGCCAATATCCGGAGTTTGGGGCCAATAAGCATTGCTCTCCCGCTGCTCGTTTGCCTCCGGTGAGATTATCACCGACTATGTATCACGGGTTGTCACGTCTAACCCGGGCCACGTCATACCTTTGTGGATTCGGGCTGGTCCTAATCTGAATCGCCGATATTGTTGCCACCCTGTCCTTGTCACACTGAGTGGACTAAATTGTAATATTTCATGTGTATTTGGTCTCCTTCGCAACTCTGTGAGACATACCTTATCGTTCGTGTCTAGGTCTCCTGGCATCATCACGTCATCATTGCGGTGAGCCTCCAGGACTATCTACGTCTTTGGACCACCTTGCTTACATGCAGAATCATGAAGGATTGTCAATTATACATAATGTGTCTTTCTGAAAAATGAGTCTGGCTCAACGTGCTCTGCTGTGACGGGATCTGTTAGGGGATATTTAGGTCACCGTTGAAATCAAGAATGCTTCTGGCAGCGGGTCTTGAGATCGATCGCGAATTGCACACACCGGTGGCAGGTTAGAAAAGAAAAAGCTGATATAAATCAGCAGAGAAAATATCATGATCACATTGATCCAGTTTGTCTAATTAGTTATTTCTCTCTTTCCCCCCCTAGCTGCACAGCTAGCCAACACACTTGAGCGGTTTGTTACCTTCTCACTCTTGGTTTCATCAAAGGATGACCCATTCATGCACATCTCTGGTGTCATCTACGAGACGTATGATTCTAGTTTGGGGAATCGCATGTGCATGTCTGGACCCCAGGGCCCCACCGCTAGCCCCGAGCAGCATCAAAGAGGCAACTCCACATCGTCGGCCTACGCCATTGGCAATAACCTCACCTACTTCAATGTAAATCAACCGAGCAGCAAAATCGCAATTCAAATAACATGCATCCGTAATCGAGAAACTGCAAGGCGGGTGTTATCTTCGAATCGTGACCTTTGATCGGGTCTTCGATATATTTCGGGAGATCCGCAATTTAGCAATCAGCCACATTTCATGTCCATGTTTGAAAATAGTAGAACGATTGGAATCAAGGCCTAAGTACGACCACAGAAAACGACAATTAACCCCTATTGAGATACCTACAGAGTACAGTATTCATGGTGAAATTTGCCCAATTCGTAACCTTGGAAATCGTTCGTGAAATCATTAATTCGTGAATTCGTATCCAATCGCCAATCCCGGAATGCTTCATGGTAAATCCTCTACTTAGTACAGATCTAGGTATCCACAAAAGAACACAATGATTCATCAATTGTTCCTGGCATTTCTATCATAATTTCATATGCTATTTATAGGCTATGAAGAGGAGAAGACGGACTTGCATCTCCGGAAAGTCTCCGACTTCAATGCTTGATATTCGCTATCCGTGCGCAGAACGGCATCCCGGTTCTCAATCGCCCGGCGAAGAAGGTATGCCAGACATTCGCCCAGTCCTCCCCATGTAGAGCACTTGTAAACCTCTGGTGATCCATCACCATCGTTCATACCAAGTAGTGAGAAACTCACTTCATCAGACATGCCGTGGAGCTGAGCAAATCGCACAGGAACGGTAGGCAATCCTGACTTGGTCCGCTGTTTGTGGAGGTTGTGTGCATTCACCACGCTTTCTTTGTTGTGACTTGCCAGAAACAGATTGACGGAAGGGAAAGGACGGCTGCCCTGGTCACCAAATTCTCCAATGTTTCGTTTCAATGCACCCTGGGCAATCATATTATATGCGTCGTCGGTTTCTTGCTTGGTGTCGTGGATCAGAGAGCGTTCATCCGAGGCAATGTATGCACCTCTCACAACCTTGAGGCCGAGAGTGAATCCATCATCCTTGGCTGCAGCCAGGTGGTTCGCCAATGTCGTAGGTGTGCTCTTGAGGTAGGCTTGATAAGTGTTATAAACTGTAGCATAGCCATCCCGGTTGAATTTGCGCATCAGGTCCACCGTAATACGGGCGATACCCTTTTGGAAGTGTTGGGACTCGGCATCGACAAGCATTCGAACTCTGCGGGCCTTGGCCTTGGTGCAAATTTCATCCAATGCATCGATCATTTGTTGTGGGGGTAGGTCTCCGTTGGAAAAGGCATCGGTCACTTTGAGACCAGCACCAGTAAGTCTGGACAATGATTAGTGTTTGATTCTTTGGTAAAGGTATAGTGGAGAAACATACTTCACGGCAAGATAATCTTCTTCACTCGTCATGTCGATGGTTTTGAGAGTTCCGTCCCTCCAGGCCTCGATACTAGGGCATGGTTGAACTGCGGCATCGATCGCAACATCACCACTCTCACTCTTCAGCTCAGTAATACCAAGACCTTGTGAAGACCCAGTGCTGTGGTCAAACACAGTCTCTTTCGCGTATGTCAAGATCACACCACGGAAGCCCATGTCCTTAAGTTCCCGAATTGTAGTATTGCACTCGGCTCCATTCTCGCCAGCACAGAATTGTTCGTAGAAGGTCTTCTTCAAGATCCCGTGGAGAATAGGATTGCGATCGACATCAAATAGCCAGCTTCTCCCGGGCTTGGACAGGAAGGACATGAAAGAAAGGGCAGGAATGAGGAGATATCTCTTCGAGGAGATTGTGGCGACAAGAAGGGATCTGAGGAGGATTCGGGTCGGTACAACAGAGAGAGGAGGAAGGGTGGCATTGGATGCTGTCTTTGCTTGTACCTGTGCTTGTGCCTGCAAGGTCGAGGTAAAGCGTAACGTCGTTGTGGCTTTCACATTGCTTGGGAAACTGCACCGCGTGAGAGCGGTTAGGGGCTTTCCAGGGAGCATAGGACCCATTGCTTCGAGTTAGACTTCGAATAATGATTGTTCCTTTGAGAAATCCGGGGGATAGAGCCAGCTTCTTTATTCTCCATTGTCGCTCCGCTCGTATAGAGCCAGGAAGTATATCGGGCAGCCGCCCGATGTCTCTGATTCTTTGATAAACGATAGACTCCACGATGCGGGGTTGATATTCATTGCGGTAATCTGTTCCATTCCTAAAAGTGCAAAGAAACCCGGCGAGCCGATCTCGAGGTGTGTTTCCATTGGTGCTCCCTAGATCCCATTGGTGTGCTGTTTGCACGGAAGAGAGGCCGGAGGCGGGGTACTTCACACTGGATATCAACGGTCTGCCTACCGATGCCACGCCTGCACGCCTAATGATTATTAGATTTAGCCTCAGAAGAGATAAGCTGAAGTTTGTGCTGCACTGCATGCCTTGGTCTTGCATTTGAGGTCACGCGTGCTCCTGACCCCCTACATGAGGCGTACATTGTATGAATCCGAGTCCATCTCAGTGTATCTATAGGAGATCATTCATGTCAGACTTATTGTTTAAACTGTATTTCTATGACAAATTGGTTCTATGGGCATTTGATGTACCTAGTCGAGTTCGGTGTAGGGAGCAGTCTCAGCAACGTATCTCGGCTATGTTTGACTTGTCATGACTTGGGAAGCCATAACGTAATTCTTTTGTATGAAAACACATTCTCAGTGTGTTTTGCATTTAATCAAAGGTCCGTTTCGTTACAAAAGACTTTTAGTGTGTGCCCTCTTTCAGGGTTGCCACTTTTGCCTAACACTGTCAGCCGCCCGCATGCCCGATCAGTGGGCAGACACATTCCAAGGTTCTAAAGTTTCATTACTCAGATATGGGATCGCTTCTTAGACCATACAATCCTAGTCCTAGTAGCTCTCATCATCTATTTCGTTCAAATCCGGTTTGTAATTTCGAAGTAGCTCTAATTTCTTGACCTCGAGATTGGTATTACAGCAAGATCATCTTTACGACTCCCTATGCAAAGATAGGCTTAAATCTCAAAAGATAAACAATCCCCAAAAGAATAATAACAGTGCAGCAAAAGGGTCCATATGGTAATATAGTAGCGATGGCACGTGCATTTGGGCAGATGTCCCGATCATCTACTTAAGTACGGGGCATAGTACCTGGGTATCTAGCGGCTGAGGACCCGGCCCGGTGCAGTTAATCCACCCGATTGGATACTCCGTCCAGTAGTTGGTGAACTGATTAGCTATACCCGATCAAAGTAAACTCTGAGTGTATTAGTATGCTATCTGATGATTTTACTATTCAAGTATCTTGTTTCAGTCCTATCACGTTGTTTCGAATCTTGGGACACAGATGTACCACTCTGACTCGGGTACCCGTACCTAAGTAGCACATCATCTAGACATCTTCAAAGTTGAACTAAATACTTAATTGGCAACAACTGTGCTTGAATGCATACCTCTTCAGACCTCGGAAGAGACTCAAGCTTACCGCTTCCAGCGTGTCCTCACTTGGCCCAGCATGAGGACGTGCCCAGGGGTTGAATTGAGACACGAGTACATCAAGATACAGTCCGAAACTTCAACACCTCCAGAGCTTTCTTGTCCCTATATAGCCCTCGACAAAGAATTTGTGATATATCACATAGATCAAGTGATACCCAAGGCTGTTGAGAATGCCTAGGTAATTGTCGGGCTTTCGCTATGTCGGATGAAACCGGGCCATTAGGGTTTCCTGGCGGTATACGTTCGTGATTCATCCTACAATCGTTCAATTTGTTACCGAACTTACACTGTATATTGTAGAACATCCCATTCTCAACAAGTGAGGGTTTTCTGACTCACAGTCTGCGTTCTGCGTAGTAGGGAACAGAACTCCCGCAGCATAAAAGGGGCAAAGATGCCCATACTCCTTCATTACAGTCAGAGACAGAGTATCTGAATAGCATTTTCCGATTCATCTTCCATTTAATCATTCCTCGTCTGAATAGCTTGTCATCATGAAGCTCCATTCAAGTATGACTCGCCTTGCTCTTTCGCCCGCGCGTCCTTTGTACCCTGCCATACTCGGTACAGGTGCTCTTCTTTCGACGAGAAAGGCTCAACATGTCAATAATAAGCTTCACCTCATACCCACGAAGCGGCAGCATACAACAAGTACACATATTAGCCAAAAGTCCTCATGGACACACCCTATGTGAGTGTCACCCATGGCTGACATGTTTTTTTCCCCGTGGATGATGGTCTGACATGAACTTCGATCAAACCAGATACACCAAAGATCAAATTCTCGCTGTCCGAACCGCACACCGAAAGGCAAACACCTGGCAAGACAAAGTCGCTCTTGGAACCGTGCGCTTCCTGCGCTGGGGCATGGACTTTGTCTCAGGATACCGACCCCGAACAATCAATAGCAACGGACAGTCCACAGGCTACATCATGACAGAGGAGAAGTGGATCACAAGATTCATCTTCTTGGAGAGTGTGGCAGGCGTACCAGGAATGGTCGCAGGAATGCTTCGTCACCTCAAAAGCATTCGCAGAATGAAAAGAGACAACGGGTGGTAAGCAGATTCTTCTCTCAACGAATCCTCGGCATTCATCTCACACAAAGCAGGATAGAAACGCTCCTGGAAGAAGCCTACAACGAGCGAATGCACCTCCTGACCTTCCTCAAGCTCGCCGAGCCTGGCCCATCAATGAGGTTCATGGTCCTGGGTGCTCAGTGGGTATTCTTCAGCGGTTTCTCGATTGCATATCTCATCTCGCCGCAGATATGCCATCGTTTTGTTGGGTATCTTGAAGAAGAGGCTGTCATCACATACTCAAAGGCCATTCGTGACCTTGAAAATGGTCATTTGCCTGCATGGAGTAGCCTACAGGCTCCTGTAATGGCCGTCAAGTATTGGCAGATGCCCGAAGGACAACGCTGCATGCGGTCTTTGTTATTGTATGTTCGGGCCGATGAGGCCAAACATCGCGATGTCAATCATGCACTGGGAAACTTGAATCAGGATACTGATCGTAATCCGTTTGCAGCTCGGGTTGGGGCTCAAGTTCAGTCCGTTGCTCGTTCAGCGGGGATGCGCCAGCTGCAAGGGGAAGGCAACCGGAAGGAAAATTGATCAAAATACCCCGATTTTGCCGTGTTCAGCCCTGAGAGATAATCGATTATATGACGGTGGAGCTTGATAGACAATCACTAGAATCTTACCCAATTGGCTATAAACGAGTGTCAGTTTCTGTTTGATCAAGGCAAATATTCAGTACACCGTTCTCCGTAGGCTGCCCTAGGCTATGTGTTAGCGGGCCTGGAGTGGACAAAGCCCACATTAGAAGTGGACATTGGCCAGAAGATCAGTGGACTCCTTCCAAACCAAGTAGGTCCGTAAACAAAACAACCTAAAGAGTAGCTAATATCGAGTCTCGAGCAAAGATCAGTAGTAGCGGTGTAGGACAAGGTTCTCCTATAGACGAGTTCTCCTTCCTTCACTGGAGCCCACGGGCCAATAGTACTCCAGTAGCCTTGCTACCCTATGTCGCTGTTATTGCATGGTATTGCCGTGATCTGGTTCTAAGTTCACGGGCAGAGATTTCTTATTTTAGGTGAACGGTTATGAACTCCAAGTAACACCGTTTAATTGGGACAAGAGAGTAGAGAGTAGATACATGTGAGAGAATGCTGAGACAATCATTTCAGAGGCTTGGTGTGATGTCCCAGCTGGGTCGGGGTAGCGAAGAACCACTCGAGGGCCATAGAATTTATCTAGAGTCTCGACGCTTCGCGTGGAGTCTCTGCATCATGACCAGGAGCTATATGAAGCAATAATGCAATAGCCGGTGAAGATTCTCCGTTACCCCCATCTTAGAAGTCCTCTTATCGAGTAAGTCGAGTTTGCGGGTTTAGACCTGCGAGTCTGCGCACATACTGGTGCCACAAGGGCTCACATGCGCGGACCGGTGAGTTCAAACCGGTTCAAATTTGCGCCAAGCCCTATTTTGGGCATCCATGCTGGGACTTTTTAGTCCGAGGGTTGGTGCAAGAACCGGTGCAGAGGAATCGTGGTGATCAGCCAAGTTCGAAGGCGATGGGGCGACCATTCTTGTAATGAAGCGACAGCCTTGGTTGTTTCTGGGCAGCGGGTGTAAAGACCGAGGCCAAAACAATTATGACAGATCGCAAAAGTTGATATCAATTTGCTGCGTGGAGCAACTGAGGCACCTAATAGCTTTGGGCCGATACCGCCGCGGGCTAGAGTTCGTTAGCGACTAGATCATCACAAGGCTTCATGATTCGTCTGGGGAGCGTTGCACGGTGTAATGGGAGATCACTTGGCAGGTGGTCTGGAAAGCAAGGGGGACTTACAGGACTGTTCAGCATGCTGTTGCGTTGGTGTCGGCCCTTCTTGATATGATTCTTCAGGGCGGTTGAATCCAAAGGTTTCAATAGTTCAAAGGAGCAAAGAAGTTCACCGGAGACTGACATGATAGCCCCCCAATTATCGAATTCACCGCAATACTGTTCAAGGTTAGTGGGATTCGGCAGTTGAGCAAGAAATTGGGAATTCAGTCTTACGTTGGGCGCGGAGAAAACTGTGACCAGAATGCGATCCTGGTAGAACTCATAACCATCCTCGACCACCATGTGAGCGCGACAGACCAGGTCGAAGTCGTGGCGTTGCAAGAAGTTCATGATCACCTTCTTGCCAAAGCAGTAGCTGACGCCACGTTCGTTGGGCTCCCAGTCTTCCTCCATGTCTGCAGGGTCACTCCAAAGGAGATCATTCAGCAATCCATAATCGGGAACATCGGTTGGACGGGCGATTCCACGAATATCGTCCATATGCGAAAGACTGGGGGAGAGACCACCATGAACACAGAAGATCTTGCCGGCAACGATGGCGGCAATAGGGAGGCAGTTGAACGTGTCAATGAAGGTCTTCCAGACCTTAATATTGCAACGACGCTTGCATTCGTCATAGAAGCCATATACACGGGTAACATTGGCGCATTCGTGGTTTCCACGGAGCAGGAAGAAGTTCTCGGGATACTTGAGTTTATAACACATGAGCAGGAGAATTGTTTCCAAGCTCTGTTTTCCACGGTCGACATAATCGCCTAGGAAAAGGTAATTGGATGCCGGGGGGAACCCACACATCTCAAAGAGGCGGATGAGATCAGTATATTGACCGTGAACATCACCGACAATTTTGACAGGAGCTGACAGTTCGACAAGAGCAGGCTGCGATAGGAATAGCTCACGTGCGGCGGTGCAGATGGCAGTGATTTCTGCATTCTTCAAACACACGGTCTTAGTAACCTTGCCAGCGTAGCCGGCATCCAGAAGCCGCGAGATCATGTCATCCAGATCAATTGACTTCAAGGCACCCATTCCCATGCCGGGAGACCCAGAGGTCTCGAGGGGGGCGTTCAAAATGAAGTCCAGAATGGGGTTCAGTTGGTTCTCCCGTTTGACCAAAATGGATTCACCTACAACTGGGGCAGCGGCTCCAGTTGGCGGACCTCCGGTGGGAGGGCCCTCGGACACATGGTCAACCTCACCGCTCTGTTTCATCGCACTGACATCCTTGTGGCCTCTCTGCAAGCTGGTGGAGAGCGAGGGCGACGGTGGTGGCTGAGGGGAAGCCGGTCGCGAAGCGGGCTCGGAGCCGGGGGTTTGAGGAAGACCAGCATTAGAGCTGGGGCGGCTTCCGACTGATTTGAGGGATCCGGCATCGGATTTGTCGGTCTGAGATTCGGTTCGGGAGAGAGCTGTTGTGGAGCCCCGAGGGCTGTCGGAGCTGCGGGCACCGGGGATTTTGGACCGGATGGATCCACGGAATGAGCGAAGGGACTCCTTGGTGTCGGATTTGGAGAAGGAAGGATAGGATTGCAGAGGGTCGCCCGCGGCGTTTCCCTTGGAATGCGACTGACCCATGATGGCAAGGTTCGGGTAACCGCCAAGCGCGGGCTAGGACGATCGCACAAACGATGTCTAAGCTGTTACGCGGAAAACCCCCTGTGCTGGAATGTCTTGGCCTGAGCTCGGTGGTATAAGAAAGTCCGATGTGAGCCTGTTGACCCCGAATCGGCTTTGGCAAAAGATTCCCAACTTATTCACTCTGGGGTTCCGGGCACCAAGGGGAGAAGAGTGCACGATGTAAGCACTATTACAAGATTGCCAAGAAGAGGGCAATCACGAAGCGAGGATCTAGCAACCAGATGGTGGTTGGCGCAGATAGGACTGGGCTTTGAAGAAGAGGAAAAGCTCCAAGGTCAGTGGGAGGGCGGGAGCTTCTAGGCGGCAAAGCTCTACAGTGGGTTAGCTTCTAGCACGAGATGAATTGCAGGGCTGACTCCGCAAAGGTGGCATGTGGAGGTTTTGGATAAGAGGGAGGAATCAAAAAAAAAAAAAGGTAAAAACGCAAGGGAGGCCCTTGATCAGAGAAAGGAATGGGGGAGTGGGTAATGCGTCATTCAGTACGGGGCTTTTGAACGGTGGTGATTACCCACCAGAGTAGGTCCCCACGAGTGAGCACAACGTACCTCAAGGTCAGAGATCGAGAAGTTGGCAAAGAGGAAGAAGGATCAAGAGGGGGAGTGAAGGTCCAAAGAGATATGTAGGAACAAAGTACTCCGCCACCGCTAGTACAGCAGGAAGGTACTTCGCGGGTACCACGAGATCTCTCGATTCGGGGTCTGGGTCTGGATCATCTATCGGCCCGAGACTGTATACGTTCTAGACGTTGTTACTGCGTTGAATATCCGAGTATATCTGGTTTTTTGTAATGTACTCTGGGTTTGGTTTTTGTTTTTCTTATTTTGAAAGAAGAAGAGTTATCTACCTAGGTACACTTATTCTCATTACTTGGACGTTGGCCAATACCGTTCACGTTCTCGTCCCGTCAGCTTCGTGTGCCACTGTGGGGTCCACTTGGGGTTGAAGTGTGGAAGTGTCAGTGTCAGTGTCAGTCCACCAGCCTCATTCAACCCAATTTTCTCAGGTTTGTTCGTTGTCCAGCTTATTCCCGAAATTACTATCGACTACGTTGCTTGTGATTCTGCGTAATTGTGATATGCTTCAATTTGCCTTCTTGTTTTTGTTCTTGGTTCGTTGTATAGCTGTGAGCACAACGCCTAAGATGTCTGGTCTTTGTACAAAGATCTACGGTGGATTGGAATCTGGACCACCTGAAGCACCTAAAACAACGAAATCGGAGCTCGGACACCTTGAGCGCCTTTGCCGAGCTAAATCGGCCATTGTCCTTGAGCATCTGGGGTCTGGACCCCCGCCAGACCTCCTATCAGAAGGAACAAGATAAAGTGCAGCATCCACTAACCCAACGACTCGACTCAACGGTCCAAAGCACGAGAGAGATACATGAGAAATGCTTCACACCATGTCCGGTGCTCACTGCACGTACAGGCGGATGTTGCGACGAACGAGATACTGCACCCCGGCCACATGACCAGGCCGCACTAACACCGAACAGAGCCACAGATAGTCTTGGTTCTGCACGCAAGCTGCTATGCTGCACGCCAAGGCATCTCTGTGGCGAAAACACCGCCTTTTGCCCCTCCAACCCCTGATATCCCGGAAGAATTACTTTTTTTTTCTAAAAAAAAAAAAAAAAAAATTCCCTGGCAATGATCTAACAAGGCCTACCGGCCAAGTCGCATGAGATCCGATGCAGCCGCTGTGACCCCCCATGCTACGTTGATGGCGGAGCAGCGAAGACCAAGGCCTGCAAGAAAACCCTCTTGGCAGCCCCACGTCTAACCTTCGAGCTGATGAGAAAGCAGGATCTGGTATGAACGTGGGCGTAGGGCAGAAAACCGGCATTCTCTTGCATCATCTAGCGTAGTTGAGGGTAATCAATGATTTCCTCGGCATGTCTGCCTAGTGTAGAGGCGGCAGATTCCGGTTTATCATAGGCAGAGGACTCGCGAGTGAAACATGAAGGTCTCGTCAATACGAGCCCGAGTTGGGCCCAGTGTAAGGTTTACTCCAGCTCTATTTTGGTGATGTGCCGTCCAGGAATCACGATCAGGCCAATCAGCCGGTGTGTCATGTTCACTTTAACGGTTGTGCTTTTCCCATCGGACACATTCCCCCACGAACCTGTCGCTTTTGCCGCGGCTTCTACGGCAGGTGTTGTAGGCATGCGATATTCGAAAGAGTTGGCAAGAATGATGTTTCTATCCTATCAGTGGTTTTCTGTTAGCATTCTGTCGCAATGTGCTTCGCCCTGTGGCGCGGAGCTCTCAGGTGACTACTTACCGCATCGGTACACTTGAAAAGTCCAATAAACATTCGAGTATCTGTGGTATGTATCCGCAGAGTACGCCCCAAGAGATTTTCGAGGTACTGGGTGGCTTGAGTGTCTTCCATTGTGGTTTGTTGATTGTTCGTGTCAGCAGACGACGGAGCTCCAATGTGCGGGGGTTGAAGTCGAAAAATAGCTCGGCGGGGTTGGCGTTGGCGGAGTAAGAGAACCTAGGCTCCGGCTTGAGGGTTGACGATGACTCGTTTGTTGTGAAAACACAGACTTGGTGTTTGCATTTGTCTGCGGACTGGTCCTAGGGAGAGGGGCTCCCGAGGCGGAGTCCACGGTTGTTGGATCGGTGGTCACAAAGCTGATTATAAAGTGGGCGATTACGGCCATCGCGCTGATATTCGTTGCGGACAGTTTCATGGATTAAACTTCCCTGCCACGAACAACATTTTAGGAGCGTCAAGCGTACAGGTCATAAAAAATGGAAACAGAATATTATATTATAGGGGCCCTTTGCTTTCTTGGTTTCGTCCAAGACCAAGCCTCATAAGAAGGCCCCAAATATCTGACACTATGAACGCCAGGCGCAAATCCAAACTCCAGTTCCCGAATGAAAAAAAAAATAATACAGGTAGGACTATAATCCTGTGACATGTCCTTCCAGTAGCCCATAGGTATACCAAAAGAGACAAGAGGTAGCCAAAAACTTCCAGAAACTAACGCCAGCGCTAGTTGGCGACAGCATGGGGCGAAGCTACGCCCACGCCGTTCCACTCATCCAAGTGTTGGGTGTCTGATTGGACATATCACTTCCACTCGCACAGTCCACGTCCATATCCATATCCATATCCCCATCAGCACAGGTCTGGGTGTACCCAGGGCTGTTACCTTCACTTGCGCTTGCGCTGCCTGCCCCATTCAATTGATTAAACGCCCGGTACCGCAAGCTCTCTTCTTCCGCCAAAGCTGTTTCGTTGGCACGAGGAGCGAGAGCCTGGCGGGATGGCCGGAAAGTTGGCGATTGCTGGGGTGTTTTGAAGAAGTGGTGTAACGTTTGTTGGCGGGGATCGACAACCTCGGGCTCAATAGTTGGCTCGGAGTCCATTGTATCATTTTCTGTGGTCGCTTGAGGCTGCTGTTGCTTTTGAGCAGAGTAAATCCATCGTAAGGTGTTCTCTGTGAGCTTCAACGTCAGCCTGGTTCACTGACAATTCTGGCAAGGGAGCACACGACCAAGGGGGTGAATACTTACGGTAGATGACGTTTTCACAAGGGCGGTCATCTCTGAAGCGCTTGCGAGTTCGACTGTGTAGGTGGGTGTTTCCATCCAATGCCATATTCCATTCGCTGGGGGCCGGAACCAAAGGACTGTTCGGAAGGGCTGTGAACGAAGCTTTGCGCTTAAGAGACATTGTATAATATCTACTTCGTAGAACGCGTTGGGCTGAGAAACGAATGTGTGTGAAGAGGCCGGTGACAATGCAGGAGACGTGTCAAGGTGAGGAATGAGGTCGAAAAGCAAAGCGGATTTACCAGGCGCGTCATTGGAGATTCGCGTTGCATTCTGGTTACGCTAGTCCTAAACAGGCAATATAGAGGCTCATTGCATTCATTCGACTGTTTGTTGCAAATATTTCCTGATGATGGTGAATGATATTTTGTATTTCAAATCTGAGTATTGGGGTTACTGATGAGCGGCTCTACTGAGCGATCAAGTCCCTGCCATCATGAAGTACTCCGACTATCATTCATCCGGTACTTTAGGTATCCAAGACTACCTGTATGTCATACATCTTTGGGTGCATACCTAAGTCCCCACTGCCCATATCGCCTGCCCTGTAAAGAGAAGTCCAGATTCTATTTGAAGCTTATAACCCTTTGTATTGGTCTTCTATGTGTCTTGGTAAAGAGAGCCTTGAAAGCTTCAGCTTTCAATGGTTGCGTAAACCTGGACATGTTGGGATAAACACTGTAGATTGGTATGGGACTTTGTTTCGGATTATTTAAATACCAACACCAACATCTTTCAAACGAACCTTGTATCCAACCACAACTTCAAGACTGAGGTTTGGCATTTTGCGCACTTGCATTGGAAGGTCCGCTAACCCCCACTTCTCCTCACTAAGCTACCTCCAAACCACCTTCAACTACCCCGTGTGTCCTCCTCACTTTGAAAATGACCTCTCGACATGCTTCGCACTCTGGATCTTGGTACTCGGCTAGCCCCGATACTTTGACCCGTCAGCTGGATGGCTGGCTGGCGCAGGTTCCCGATACAATGGGGAAAGTCGGCTCGCTGCCAACACCGGGAGCGAGAGTGATCATTGCACCGTATGTCTGATCTCCTCATGAAAATACCACGAGGAAATTTATAGATAAGTATATTAACCAACCAGGCATGCGGGCTTTTCGTATTCCGGTCCATGCGCTGCGTACGCCTACAAGGCATTGGATCTGTCCAAGGCGTGAGCTCGTTCTTCGAGACCTTCACGGTTTAGTTGCTAACCTAGGGGATCAGCAAGCGAATCTTCATCCTGGGACCATCGCACCATGTCTCTCTATCGACGCTAGCACTGCCAACATTGACTTCCTACCGTACCCCTCTATCCGCTGAACCCCTCCCGCTTGACACCGAGCTGATCAGCCAGCTCTCCGAAGCGCAAGCAACCCGACCCGACGGGTCAAAAGTTAGCTTCACTCACATGCCACGCTCTGTCGATGAAGATGAGCACAGCATCGAGATGCACTTGCCGTACATCCATCGCCTACTGCAACTCCAATTCCCAGATTTATCGACCTCCGAATACCCACCTCTGGTTCCAATCATGGTTGGAAGCACCTCGGCTGCAACAGAAGAAGCATTCGGTGCCTTGTTGGCCCCTTACCTAGCAGATTCTTCCAACGCATTCGTCATAAGTTCGGACTTTTGTCACTGGGGCACCCGGTTCCACTACACATACTATGTGCCCCAGGCCCCCAAGCCCGGACCTCAACTTCCGTTGTCTAGCGACGCACTTCCGCAACCAGAGTTAGATACCAGCAGCGCTGATCTGAGTATCGAAGCAGTATCAGCAGGTCGTTCCTTGACGCGCCGCGATCGCATCTCGAGCCGTGACCCCGCGATTCATGAAAGTATCTCTGCATTTGATATTGCAACCATGGCCGCTATCACGACCGGATCTGCAAAGTCCTTCCTCGACGTTATTAATCGTACAGATAACACCGTATGTGGGCGCCATCCGATTGGGGTAATTATGGCAGCCTTGCAAGTTGTCACGGCCAGTCAGCCGACCAGCCAGCAGGGTCGCTTCCATTTCTTGCGATACGAGCGCAGTACTGATATAGTATCGTTTGATGACAGCTCGGTGAGCTATGTGTCTGCGTTTGCGGTGCTCTAGAGTGAACCGAAACCGCCACTTGCCACGGATTGCAAGGCGTTCCCGTTTGCTTTAATTTCCGTTCACTTCTCCTTATTCTATCCTTATCGGTTCTGCAAACGCTAGCAAATTTAAAGACGAGTCCGGAGAACTCCGTATCACATAATGGACCATAGCATCCATGGATTGCCTCGCAATGCACTGTTAGCTCTACGAAGGCAAATTCCAGTGAAACGCAATGTGCCATACTGGCTATAGAGGAACAAGAACTCTTCTAGAAGCATTATGGGACTCCAAAAGCAAAGACTCACAGTTTCCAATTCAGGCTAAGGCTCCAGGGCTGAATGGGTGGGGTTTCCGGGATCGGAATTTTGAAACATCGCCAATTTAGGGCCGATACGAGTAGCCCACAGAGAGTAAAGAAAGTTGATGGACCACTGCACCGTGCACCGAGCCTGAGGGGCAATCCATTTAGTCGGATTCCAGTTGTTTCAAAAAGGCAGATCTTTGAAGCCAGGCCTCTCCATGGTTGTCACTATACTAGATGTGACTTTTTGCCTGGGAAAACTCGAAACCACCTATCTGACTCTACTCGACCATTGCAATCGGCCATTGGAATATGGACTGATCTCACTGAGATCAGGCTTGCGGCATTATACCCAAATGGCCAAACGTCAAACACACCAGTCCCTTAAATTAGCCGCTGGGCTAGTGCAGAGCGTTGACCAACCAATCCTGGCCTCGGATCACACCGGGCATCAGTCATTGTTCAAGCCTCTTACTCTGCAACCCTGTCATAGTGGGCCAAACCATATGGGTCCTTTGTCTGATCGGTCCAGTCGGACATTAAGCGCTGCGTATCTTCGTCTGACAGGGCTCTGCAGGGGCGTTATTTCTTTGATCGATAGGGCAAATTCTTCTTTGGGGATTTGGGTTTCCCTATTGTCGATTTGTTTGAATAGCAAGAGGTGGATCTGAATGAAAGACAATGCGCTATTGTCAAACAAACGTAGAAAAGCATATATCTAGGCCATGGCCTCTTTCTCTCCCCTTTCCCACTCTGGTCTCTGTTTTTATCATTCTCTTCGTAACGAGCAATCGTTTCTGGTCATTCCTTAAGCCAGAACGATATTTAACGATTTCACTTCTTTTCACTCCTTCATCCTTAGTGTGATAGGAATTCCTTGGCTGGCACTAGGACTCCTTCACCGCTTACTTGAGTCATGTTCTCTCTTTTTCTGGCCCTGGTTGGCCTTCTTCCTATCATCGTGGCCTCCCCGCTCCCTGCCGAATACCGAAGAACAATGGCATCCGACGAAAATCATGGAAACCGACTGGTTTTCTGTCATTTTATGGTGAGTGAACTCTTTAGGGCTGTCGTTTTTTTCAATATTAACAACTCTTTTAGATGGGAATCGTTAGCAACCGCCAAAATGCTAGCGATTATGACGACGATATGAAACGTGCAAAAGATGCAGGCATCGATGCATTTGCATTAAACATCGGCACCGATCCGTATACTGATACTCAGCTGGCCTTGGCGTATCAGTCTGCTGCGGACAATGACATGAAAGTGTTCATCTCTTTTGACTTCAATTGGTGGCAAGCCAGTGAGGCTACCTCTGTCGGCGTAAAAGTCGCAGAATTTGCCCATCATCCTGCCCAGCTCATGGTCGATGGCAGGGTCTTTGTTTCTTCCTTCTCGGGTGACGGTGTCGATGTAAACGAGATGAAGGCAGCTGCTGGCAGTGATGTCTATTTCGCCCCCAACTATCATCCCGGTCAAGGTGATTTCGGTGATGTTGATGCTGCTCTCAACTGGATGGGTTGGAGCAGTGATGGGCGTAACAAAGCTCCGACTGCCGAAACAAACATCACCGTTGCCGATGGCGATAATGCTTATAACGAAGCTCTTGACGGGAAGCCTCTTATTGCGCGTGAGTGTTCTAATCCTTCTCGTCTCTTGGTTGTTTGATCACTAATTCAAAATAGCTGTCTCCCCTTGGTTTTCGACACATTACGGCACCGAGGTCTCCTACAGCAAAAACTGGGTTTTCCCTTCTGACCTCCTCTGGTACAATCGGTGGAGAGAGATTCTGGAGACAGGTCCTCGCTTCGTGGAGATCGTCACCTGGAACGATTACGGCGAGTCGCACTACATCGGTCCGCTCTCATCGCCCCATACAGATGACGGTGCCTCTAAATGGGTGATGGATATGTGAGTAAAACATACTTGACACACATAAAGGAACATCAACTAATGTAGAAACAAATAGGCCACACAATGGTTGGCTTGATATGGCTAAACCATTCATCGCTGCCTACAAGGCAGGCTCGGAATTCCCGATCGACTTCCTCGAGGAAGAGAAGCTAGTCTACTGGTACCGACCGACTCCCAAGGAGGCCGACTGCGACGCAACCGATACTACAATGCAAGGAGACCCTGACAACTCCAGCGGCAACTTCTTCCGCGGCCGACCGAACGGTTCCGACACCATGACTGACGAGGTGTTCATTGTCACCATGCTGAAGGAGCCCGCGACTGTGGAGGTCCAATCTGGTGACAAGATCGAGACATTCGAGGCCGATGCAGGCGTATGGTCGCATTCGGTTCCCATGGGCGTCGGGGCGCAGAGCTTCAAGGTCACCCGTGACGACGAGCCCGTCGAGTCTCTGTGTGGAACTAGCTTGAGGGATATCACTGACACTTGCCCTTGTGGCATCTATAACTTCAATGCCTATGTTGGCACTTTGCCAGCGGAAGATTTCATTGATGAGTTGCAGCCGGCTGGCTTGTCTATGCTGACTGAAGGATTGCAGGTCGAGTGTGCTATTAACACTCTTAGCAGTGCTTGTGCTTAGCGGATTTGAGGCATTCGATTTTCAGTACTCCGTAACGAATGTAATGAAAATGCAGGCATTTGCATTATCAGCATGACACTTGTAGACTCCACTATGCAATGTAGATCTAGACCCTGTACGGAGTACTGCATGGCCAGACATTCAGGTGTTGATTAACCTACGTTATTTGCCCGAAGACTTTATCTTATTCACAGCTGAATAGCTGCACGTCCCGTCCACTTTGGCTCATCTCAGTTTCTTTATCTTCCCACACCGACTCTTTCATAATCCTCGGAGAAATTCGCGCTTGTACTTGGCGCTGACCGTTCGGATTGACAGGAACTCCAGTGCCTGGAGTCGTGCCCGATGCGCTTGATCAGCAGACCATTCAATTTGGAACTATGCATTTATAGGGCGCTTCTTCTAAGTCATCATGTCTTGTCGCAATTTACCATCTTTTCAAAATAACTATATTCATTCACAATGGTCCGTATGAAGCCGGGTGTTTTCTCATGGGATGATGTGCTAGCTCAGCGATATCATGGTAAGCAGCGCCTAAACAATTTAACCAACACAGGCATGTCAACTGCGACTCTAACAAGACACACCAAACAAAAAGGCAACAAACCACCCCCTCTCCCTCGCCGGAGCAAACAAGTAGAGGCTTCCCTACCACAATCCCAAAGTCGCCTACTAGGGCGGTTATCCCCGGAGCTTCGTCTCATGATCTGGGGATACGTCCTCGGAGGGCAACGAATACACATTATTCAGCGCAGCGGAAAGCGACTGGGACATCTGTTGTGTCCGTGTTCACCGTATCAAGAATCGAAAGTATCGAACAAGCAGTATCAACGCCGAAGAAGCGACCATCTCTGTGATATCTGCCATGGGACCGGAATCCCCCAGCCAGCCAAGGAAGGAGAGTTTGCGCGAAGCAGAAATAAGGTTATGCTACTAGGGCTGGCATTGACATGTCGACAAATGTATGATCAACACAGCCCTATTCTACCCATCCCCTCTCTGTCCAATTATGCTACTAGGGCTGGCATTGACATGTCGACAAATGTATGATCACCACAGCCCTATTCTACCCATCCCCTCTCTGTCCAATTGAATTCTTACACTGAATATGGACCTCCACCAGAGTCATTATCATATAAAAACCCCTTCAAATCCACTCTGACAGCAAAACAGATATCATGAATCCATCGCCCTGCTCTACAGTCTCCCAACCTTCGAGTTTAGTAACCCTTGGTCCCTCCCCTATCTCCACCCGACCATCCCACGTCAACACTGGGAGTCAATTCGCACCGTTGAACTCCGCTGGTCCTTCCCAGGCCACTGGCTACCAAGCAAAGACTCAGTGCGCGCAGTCTATGTCTCCGCCGGCCAGATGCAATGGCAAGAGACATGCCAGTCTCTGACGCAGATGAATGGGCTACGGAGCTTCACCCTCGCCTTGGAGAGTACCTGGTTCAGCGAGAGTGCCGGGAAACTGGTGGGATTCCTGGATCCATTGAAAGGACTGGCAGTGAGATCTGTGAATACAAGTACATTCTCTGGCACGGAAAGAAGCCCGGGAAAGGTCAATGGGTCCGGGGAATCCTATGGGTTTGTGGGAGAGTCGGTTAGTACTCGTAGTTCTGAGGATGCGAGCCCGGGGTTTCGGAGTTTGTCTGAAACTTCGGCTGTGTCGGGATATACTACGGGCGCATTGGCTATGGGTTGGGAGCTTCGGCTTCACGGTCAATCCTATTACCCGCATGAACTGCGGAAGATAGGAGATGATCTGCGGCAGAGAGGGATAGATTGCTGGATATCGGTGTGAGAATCTTCCAAGGTTGTAGCATAATTTGAAAATCGTACGAGTACGAGTCCAAGTACTGTAGGCATTGATCCGCAATGGCGTGATCATTATATTTCCCGAGTGCACGCATGGAGTATTATTTTCCTGTCTGAAGGGGAAAAGGGAAAAAAAGCGTTTTTTTTTTTGGCCCCGTCGATCAGTTCTAGATGTTCGACCCCTTTTTCGCGTCTGCATACGAGTCCAAGTTACATTGAGCGTGAGACACCGTTACAGATCTGCACATCAAAACCGGAGGTTTGCCGCTCGTACACTCGTAAAATCTGTTCTCTCCGGAGTACTAGTAGCTAAAATGTGTTTATTTCTACTCCGTATGCTTCGTACTCCGTACGTATATATAGCACTAAATGGAGCTACTCCGCTTCTCACGTGTATCTAACCCATTCGAGGTGAGACCCTGGACCCACTGTATAAAAATATCCAGATCGTGCCCTTGCTGAAGGGGAATGCATTCTGATATCACGATATTCCATTCCATTGTATCTTCCATTACACGGATATGATGTCGACAGGGGCAAAACTTGAATTCGGCTCCAGCCCTGGCGACCGCTAACAGCGCGGGGAAGATCGCACATCATAATCAAAACGACGATACTAGTAATTCCCGGTAATACTGATAGTGGTAATGATGGACAGGGTCTACATTCAAGAAACGGTGTTGGAAAAAAAAAGTCTTGGTATTGAATAGGTGGAATAGCCCCACAATAGAAGTGAAGACGGAAAAGAAAAAGAAAAGAGGACCCAGAAAATGGTCAGGTATATCACGAAAAGAAAAAGGAAACCAGAGAGGTCGAACTGGCGACCCTGCCAAACATGCAGAGAGCCAAAGAAATCATAAAGAAAAAGAAAAGGGTTCGTCCGTGACTCGTACATGTAGCTCGTCGGACAGTTCCAAAAACATATTAGAAGAAAAAGTTGATAGAGAATGAGAACGATAGGGAATCGTCATCACCGTGGGCGCCGTCCAAAAACCATGCTAAAATCAATGCCATGATGCAATTCCACCGGTTTGTAACCCGAATTAAGAGAGAGGGGGAGAGGACGCTCAGATGGCCTGGCTCCATACCTCGAGAAGAAAGAAAGATCGAAGGTCGTGTAGATTTGGGGGTTCGGAAGTGTGCTTGAATGATCAATGATCAGAGGCGGGCCAGCATCGCCAACCATAAGCGATCCTGAAGCCGGCTCATCGGCGGGAGCACAGAGTTGTGCTGTCCGATGAGTGTGGTTGAGTTGATGCCGGCACTAAGAAAAGGCACTGAAATCACAGGTAGATCGCCTGATGCGATCGCCATGGAATCGGTCGATGCTGGGAGCCCACGTTGCAGGGAAGGGTGTTGTTCAATGCCAGTCATCCAATTGGGTAAATGGACTGCAAGGAACCAGGTTGTGCGATCGGTTGATCAGGGGTGAGGTCCATATGAGAGATCAAAGACCAGGAGAGAGAGGTTATACTGGATGTTCGGAGATGGTTTACCGTCCTTCATGAGATCGGTCTGGACCGGAGTGGCCATGGCCTCGGGCGGCAAGCCACTCGGTGGAAGCTTCTTGGCGCGCACCAGGGTGTTTTTGGTCTTCGGGGCGACCGGAGAGGCTGCGTGGGAGCATGTTGTTGATTTCTGCTGCCAGCGCAGAAGCCATATAGCACCGGAGTTCCTTCTCTTCACGCTCATCTTCCTTGATCAAACGGCGCTGGTCAGTCTTGGACATATTCTCCCGACGCTTGCGGCGAATTTCGTGAATAGACCAGAGAACAACTTCCTCGGAGGCGCGGTTGCGGGGGCTGCCGTGGCGAGAGAAGTTGCGGACATATCGGCGAGTGACGTCGGTCGCACCATCGATGGAGAACGCCACACAGTATGAGATCTTCCGTTGCCATCCTTCGGTGTAGAGACGGGGCTGGTCCCAGGCGCCTTCGCAGGCGTCGACATGCACCCATCTTCGTTGGTGCTCGGAGTACACCTCGGTCCAGACGTAATCCTCGGAGTTCCAGACCCAGCGGACTCGGGCGCCGACTGCGCGGCAGAACATGCTGAAACAATTGGCCCATTCGCCAACCCGGCCTCGACGGGATTGCAGCAGTTGCCACACATCGGAGTACCTGGGGAATCGTTCGTGGGCGGCACAGCTATTATCGGAGCAACGGTATAGCTCAACTCGGGTGGCACCGCGGGCGGTCTCGTCGGGGCTGGGTGGAGTCATGCCTTGCGCAATGGTGGGCATGTGGCACTTTGAGCAAGGAGGGTTGTTGACAAATTGAAAGAAGGATCCCTTGAACCATCTGGCGAATGATGTGAGTAAGGGCGCAGTGAATCTAGACCACTCGAAAATTCCAACATACCTGAGCAATGCACGAATGACACAATCTTGGTAGCCCCATTCCGGCTTCCCTGATACGCTGGCAGCCGATGCTTGCATGATTTGGGACTCCTCTTCGGCCTCAGAATACAAGCGATCGAGGGGAATCACACAAAGGGCCTCATCCAAAAGACCGGGGTTCTCGTATTTGGTTGGCGTGACCGACAAACCTTTCAGTAGATTGAAGAACTTCAGCGAGGCGGGATCCTGGGGAGGCGATGGCATGATGGGAAGGCCGCGTAGGGCTGGTGAAGTTGTCGCCGGCTTGGGGGATGCGACCGGAGCTCCGACCGAGGGAGGCGGTGGCGGCGCCCGTGAGGGAGGTGGTGGAATCGATGAACTGGACATGGGGGATGGTGATGGCGAGTGGGAGCGAGAGTGTGAGCGTTCCTGAAGGCGGTTGAATCGTTTGGTGCGCATCAGTTGTTCAAATTCGCTGGTGAGAGAGGCGGCATCGTAGTCCTTAGGGGACTGTGTCCGTCTGCCGTCTGCCATAGTTGATGAGGGAAGTCACGGCAGACTTCAGAGTTGGCGAGTGTTGAAATCCAGGATGGGACGGGGGATGGGCGAAAGAGGTCAATTTGACCCAGGGTGGAATTGGGGAAAGAGAAGATCGTAAGGGAAGGGGTCGGGAGGCGAGAGCAGTAAAAGAAGGGACTGCCACGCTACAGTTGACGTAGCACTAAAGAATTCACTAAAGACTCGTATGTAGAAGAGAGTGAGAGGTCCCTTGAGAAAGAGTGAGAGAGTGAAGGGTCACCGTACGGTGTATTACGAGCGTCGTCAGCGTCTCGCCCCAATCACGGGCCCCGCGGCCAAGCCGCGTGTGCGAAACGGAAAAAAGCCAAGAAAAGGACCCTTTTTTTCCTGTAATTTTGCTGCTTCGTCCGTGAACACGTAACTCCCCTTGGCACTTTTATTTTATTTTATTTTTCCCCTACAGGCTTCTTTTTGTATCTATTCGTACGCTACTTTTTACATTATCTTGTATACATATATTGCATCTTTGCTTCCATTATCTATACTTCGTAAATCATATTCGTCCGTACAATGTGCTTTGCCATAGCACATTTCTTCGTACGGAGTACGAGTACCTTCTACCCAAGTCAGTCAGGTGGATATCCACCTTACGTGGCTTATCTGTAACAGCCCTGAAGCCCTAATTGTGGTTAACATGACATGAATACAGTGACACGATGTATGGTGAGTTCAGACGATCAAGCATCGGCTGGAGCCGCCATACACGAGATATCAACTGACCAGAAGAAAAAAGAGCGAGGGTAAAAAAAAAAGGGTAAAAAACGACGATTATCAAGCGGTTGCGCGGCCAGGGTACGAAATTGCATATAACATCAGTCAAAGGCTGGAGACGCGCAATCAAAAGGCTTGGCATTTTGCACCGATCGGCCTAGTGCCTCCACTGCCCTAGTCCCCTTTGGGTACTCTTGACACCCCTAATCTGGTTTAGCCCAAGGAGATCTTGGCATCCAATACGAGGCATGTTGCAACATCTCTCTACTCATACTTAATGTTGTCGTTTCCTTTCATATTTCGATTGACATGGTTGCAGAATTGAATCGCTCCACGGCTGTCACTGAGATCACAGGTATCTACAGAACCAATTCGAAAACCATAGAAAGTTCTTTAAAACAAACTCAGGGTCAGCTCCCCATTCTCTCCTACTCGTAGTCAAAGCTCGGAGCGTCGGTTCCATGGCTCCGACTCGATCTACAACCCGTCTCTACTCCGTACACGTAGGCTACTGGTTGTATAGCGTCTGATATTTGAATCAGGGGTTTGGAGAAGCTACTATACTTAGCGCACTTCAACACGGGGTATGGTTCAACCTTGGAAGCCCATCGCTTGGGTAGATCATTAATAATCAGTAATGTATGTCCGGGTGCAACAATGAGGGCAGCCCTGCGGTATGTCAACGGGATAACAAGTCCGAAGCTCAGCCCTGAGCTTCGGATATTTTTGTTTTCTATCCGGGGAAACCGATGAGCCGCTTGTGTTTCAGACTCCGAGCCGCGTTCGACCCTAGTAATATTTCAAGACTATACTTAGTGGCTGTGCGACCGGGGCAGCCTTGGATTATAATGACTAGGATCACATAAGAAGCAGAAAGGACCATAACGTGCACATGTGCAATTGAGATTTTGGGTTTTCAACCCCAGGCCTTGGAAGGTTTTAAATTACCGACAAATACTCCGTACTGGGAATATCCATTCGGGAACCGTTCACAATGAGGTTACCGGCTGGAAGGAATCATTTCTCAGTTGCTTTTTTTCAAGCTCATCTGGACATCGCATCATGCAAGGCACTAATAATTACAGAATAAGGACACCAATAGCAGAAAGGCAGAGATTGACAATTCGGGCTCATTGTACCGAGCCATCCCCCAGACGCCAAGCGCCAAGACCCGGTCATGGCTCATTGCTTGAAAAACCGAGATGCACTAAGACACTGCTTATCCTGGAAACCTTCTGACGTATCCGATGAGCTTGGCTTTACCTTTTTTTTTTCCTTTCTCTCTCTTTCTCTCTCATGCCAAGCCCTATACACCACGCTCATATGAGTAAGTGCAGACCGCGCATCGACTTTCCACGCGTCAACATCCAATACCTGCGCGTCTCTCCACACCTCCCGAAGATCTGTCAATCCATGTGACGCTTGAGAGGGTGGCAATCACTCTTGAACGACGTGCGCGTGCCGTCCCGAAGCCAAGAAAGGACACGCATTCAACGGGGATAATGTGTCATGCTGCGACCTTAAGAGCTTAGCCTTGCGTTGACGTGGATCGGCCTGAGACTCCATGCGTTCATGATTTCGTTTAACCGCCGACCCAACAATTTTCTATGACTACGAGTACAGCAGATGGATGAGATACTAGCGTTGATTAGTGCGGACCGGGTCGTCACGCACTGATCCACTCTAGCTCTTACGCTGTCGCAAGCTCTTGATATTGGGACATATTCCTTCGCCTCTAATCGTTTGACTGGCCCATTTGATGAGATGGCTTGGACCATGGTATTTCCCATTTGGGCTCTTTGTCGGTGCGCTATGCTCGGTTCTTGTCGTTGGCCCGAGTGTACGCGGCTCTTGCGACGAATCGTGGAACTAACGGCCCAAGTGGCTAGCGTCGTTTTCCTTTTCAGATATGACCTTTCCATACTCCGTACAGACCATTTACTCGTACGGCGCACTCTTGGACCACTTTCCTGACACGGTTAGTTCCCATCGCTTGCTATATTAACCATTTTCCTTCATCCTCCATGTCATTGGTCATCGCGGTGTCATGCCCAAGTGCCCAGGTGAGATCCCGGGTGCAGTTATCTGTAGCTGGTGCACTGGGTAAGAACAAATTCTTCACTTCTCCACTCGAAGACGTGTGCTGTTTATCGGAAGGAATCCGGTTACTTACTACAGTGGAGAGCTAGCTATTCTTTTGGGGATCAACTTCCTGTCAGGAGCCGACTGCTGAGTGATGCAATCAAATCGCATGGATATGTGCGTATAAGTTTAAAAAGCTATAGGACTGGAAGCTAGTTGAATCCACTCTTCACACCTTCATCTGCGCTTGTACATCGATCGTGCAAACTCGGTGGCTCAGGCGTCTTGCAAACTAAATACGACATGTGATATCTCCATAAACGCCGGCTGCTGGGGACAATGAAATAGATACACTCGAAGGTGACATCATCAGAGATGGAAGTCAGGCCGTCAGGTCCCGTGAGCTCGAGACATGCAGAGTTGGTATATAATGGACAGTCCCCAAAATGCAAAAAGAAATGTCCCGGTATGAAGGTCTCGGGCTGTATGTACAGTGCTCGTGCAGAACGTAACAAAAAAATTCAAGCCGATAGGCAATGGCTGAGAGGACAATAGGAAAGTCGCTGAAAGCTAAAATACATTAGTGGAGAAGCTTCTCACTGGCTTGGTGGATGACGTTGGCGACGCGGTCGATCCAGTGCTGGGCCAGCTTCCAGTCCCCGGTGTCAATGCTGTCTCGAATAGCAGGGAAAAGCGAGGAATCGTAACCGGACCAAAGCTCTGGGCCGAAGATAACGTGGCGGAATTGTGTGCGGTTAGGAATCTAGTGATTGTTAGGTGGGGTCAATAGGAGAATTGCACTGATGATTGACTTACGCCTCCGCCTTCTGCCAGGTCAAGTAGGTTGGTTTCGAATGCGGCCATGCGAGCGTTGTGGTTGACTCGTTGGACTGCCATAACATTGCTTTCATATCCTCCCATTCCCCACACAGTGTCGTGCCATATGTTGTTCCATGCCTGGAATTGAGCAGTGTTGGCCTTCATTACCGCGGAGGCGTTGAACATAGGCTGCATGTCCACCTTGGCATTCTTTGACTTGGCGTATGCGTCCAATTTTTTGACCCATCCGCCGACAGAGTTGCCGTAGGCTTCCATGTCAAACGGCAACATGAGATTCTCTGAGAGATCAAGTAAGAGAAGTCCCCAGAACTGAGCCAAGATCTTGTGGTATTGGAAATCGGGGTCGACGTTCTGGACCATCCAGTCGTAGGTCTCGTAACAGCTGTGATAGGGGTAGGGCTGCCCTTCGAATCCAAAATCAATGCTTGATGTGCCAGCAATATCCTGGAACGCAACATAATCACTTCCTGCGCCAAGTGGTGCGATCTTTGAACCCTTCTTTTCCCAAAGATCTTTCAACGTGGCATTCGCATATGGGTCTGAGAGACGGCCCAAAATCTGCATCACCGTGCGTTCAAAGACAGGCGACGCTGATACACGGAAGTCTGGCCCGGCCACGCCGACATCGACGTTCAAATAGGCATAGGCATTTGCGCGGAGGTCATCAACCTCTTTCTCAACATGTTCTGTGGAACCAATCAAATTGTATTCTTCGCCGTCCCAGCTGACAAACTCGATAGTGCGGATCGGTCGCCAGCCATAGGTGAGCAGCTCGCCAAAGGCACGTACAACTTCCAGGAATGCGGCAGTGCCACTTCCAGGGTCGACACTTCCCATGCACCATGAGTCTCGGTGATTGCCAACAATGATCTTTTTGTCACGCTCGTCCATACCAATAATTCTGGCGTGAATGTTATATATCGGCTGTCGTTCTACTTCATCTTGCAGATTCATAAGATGGACAATCGGGGAGTTTTGATCACCAGTCCACCAGTCGACTTTAGGCACACCTCCCACCCACTCTTTAGGTACTTTGGAGCCATGGCCTTTCAGGCCTTGCAAGAGCGGCTGTGCGTCACGCCAGGCGAGTGGAAGACTGGGAATCTTGGGCAACCCAAGACTTTCCGTCGGAGATAAACGGTGTTTCTCTCCCGGTGTGGATGCCCACCCAGGGGAGAGGACATCTCCAACCACCTGCGACATCATGCTGACACCGCCTCTTTGCACGCCATCACTAGGCATGTATCGGCCTTCAGGGAAGGCTGGGCCTCGGACAAATCCGTCTTCGGCGGGGTCGGAGTAGATGATGCAGCCGGCTGCACCGGCAAGTTCGGCAGCCTTGATCTTCAAAGCCCGATCAGACTCGGTTCCGTAGTAACGAACCAAGGCGATCGAACCTTGAAGTGCGATTCCCTTCTCTGCGAGCAACTTAAAGTCTTCGCGGGATCCATAATTGGCATACACCAAATGTCCAGTGACGTTTCCTGATTTCGAATGTCCGTGGAAAATCAAGTCTTTGGCGTTGTCTTCCTCGAGCTTGGCCTCCCATCTCAAATTAGGTGGGTCAATGATTGCCACTCGTCTCCCATCCTGGCGTGGATAGTTGAGATAGACCTGGAACTCTTCTCGCGAGACTTCGTCAAAGCCTGCGTTGTGGAACTCTTGCTCGATCAGTTGGGATAGCGCAAAGCTACCCTCTGTGCCGGCAACGTGGGTGTAGTTGGTGACTCGGCGCAAATTCTCGGCGATGTTGGTTTCGTTGATGTGACCCTGGATGAAGTTCTCAACGGATGCCGCACTGTATTGTTGCCCCATGGCCATGCGACTGTTGATGTTGAAGATGTCGGCGATGAAAAACACATAGACTAAAGAAACCACCAATAAGAGAGCAAACAGCCGTAAGAGCATGATACAGCCCTGGTCTCTCAGACGTGACCTCATGTCCCCCAAGTTTATTGTGAAGCGGAGATTGGGCATGTATCGTTGGAAAGGACGTTGTATTGTGGACAGCGCACGGCTTAGACTGGAGAGTTGCTTGGAGAATCGATGTCGTAGGGGGGGTCGTCCGGTCAGTGAGGTCGCCGAATCATCCACATCCATCTGGTCTAACTCTCTTCGTAGTTCTTCGGTTGACCCCCGATCCGAGTGGGAGGCGGCGGATTCGAGATCATCGAGACTGGTGCGCGCGGATTCCACGGTAGGTGGATGGTACCCGCGGGGGGCATCGCGACGATTCTCGCGACCGAGAAGACCTTCTCGTTCCACATCTGTTCCATCACCGAGGTCTGATCGCGATGAAGAGGGTTGGCCGGTGGCTTCTGCGTATGAGGGGATGGGGACGGCCTGATAATCAAACTTCTCGTCGCCCATAGTGGTTAACCGGCTCCGGGGAGCTGTAGCGGGGATTCGATGGGGTCGGGCAGATCATGATCTATCGGGGTGACAAATGAGCGACCGACACCCCATCGATACGAGTAGTCGATGGTGTTCAGGGGATATGTATAGGAGAGAAGCAGGCAGACGCCCCCCGGACACCGACCCACGTCTCGGCAACTTTCATTACGCAGCATTGGCATTGGCATTGGCGTACGCCGTATTGGCATGGCACACTGGTCCCAGGTATTTTGTTAGATGCATGTTCCAGGGCAGATAGGAAATATTTACATTGTAATTTGTATCCAGAGGTCCGTTGTTTCTTTTTTTTTGCCATTGCGTAGGATCTACGGAGTACTCCGGTCTAGTCCTGGGATTGTCATGGGCCAATAAGACCCGATCTTGAAGTCCACATATTGTATGCCGGTATGTTAGAGATACATACGGAAAACATTAGGTGAAGGTACTTAGGTACTAAGTACCGAGTAGTTATGGGGAAATAAAAAAATAATAACACTAGAAAGAGAAGTCAAAGTCAAAAGAATTCTAGTATAGTCTTGTATTTAAGTAAGCCATTTGCTATTTTGCACAGTTCCCAATCCTCCGTTCACATATATATAATGGTCTGCAAACTTCGCGGGTACATGTGCCACCTGCTCAGGCGTAGACCATCCGGAGTGATGCCACTGACATACTATTACTATTACTGATTAAAAGAGCAATCAATATACGAGTATGAGCACAGTGGAACAGTGGAACAGTGAAACAGCCCTCCGTTGTTAGGAGAAACCCTTAGTGGAGTAGATCGATAAGATGGACTCAGTTCTACACCGTAGCTTATGTCCAGATGCGCTAATTTCCTTGGAAGGGATGTTCAATGAAATGTACATGATCGAGTTCTCTGTCGAAGTCAGGAGTACGGGGTATTCTGTAGCTTAATAGTGCATAATCTATCTTGGAATTTGGGAGTTGTGTGGTACTTCTAAAATTGGTACATAGACAGTGTGGTGCACAGGTACAAACCAGGTACCATATCCTCACATCTACGGAGTACATCAGCGACTTCAGGAACGCCCTGGAACCTGCATTAAAGACGCACTAGCCTGGAGACTAATGACAGCCCAAAATCCGATATTCGGCTCAAAGGAAGAAAAGAAAAGACTCCACCGAAAAAGAAGTGGACAAAAAAAAATGTAGAGGGTGACAGATCGTACACTGTAGATCCGAGTACACAGACTCCTTTTCATGGAATTTCATGTATATTTATGCTGTCCCCTCTGCACCTCTCCTTCTCATACTCGTTGCTAGATTCCTCACTGTCTTAATCTCTTGAACACCCGTATCTTTCTTTCTTCATCTTGTGTTGTTCGCTTCAAAAAAAAAAAGTTCACCCCTCCATCCCCCCACCATGGCTGCTCGTCCCCAGAACATTGGTATCAAGGCCATTGAGGTCTACTTCCCTACTCAGGTCAGTCGGAATAAACAAGGATTACTTCTCCCAGACAAATACTAACTCTCCCTTCACAGTGTGTTGACCAGACTGAGCTTGAGAAGTATGACGGTGTCAGTGCCGGAAAATACACCATTGGTCTCGGCCAGACCAAGATGAGCTTCTGCGATGACCGCGAGGGTATGAATTATGAAAACCTCCTAAATTTAAAGGAGAAACATAACTAACCGGACCCTTTAACAGACATCTACTCTATGGCCCTGACCACCCTTTCCTCCCTCATGAACAAGTACAACATCGACCCCAAGTCCGTGGGCCGCCTCGAGGTCGGCACTGAGACCCTCCTGGACAAGTCCAAGTCCGTCAAGTCCGTCCTCATGCAGCTCTTCGCTCCCCACGGCAACACCAACATCGAGGGTGTTGACAACGTCAACGCCTGCTACGGTGGTACCAACGCTGTCTTCAACAGCATCAACTGGCTCGAGTCCTCCGCCTGGGACGGACGTGATGCCGTCGTTGTGGCTGGTGATATTGCCCTCTACGCCGCCGGTGCTGCCCGCCCCACCGGTGGTGCTGGCTGTGTTGCTATGGTCATCGGTCCCGATGCCCCCATTGTTTTCGACGCCGGTCTCCGTGCTTCCTACGTCACCCACGCCTACGACTTCTACAAGCCCGACCTCACCTCCGAGTACCCTGTCGTTGACGGCCACTACTCCCTGAAGTGCTACACTGAGGCCGTCGATGCCTGCTACAAGGCCTTCGACGTCCGTGAGAAGACCCTCAAGGCTCAGACCAACGGTGTCAATGGTGCCGCCGATGAGGCCCAGACTCCCCTCGACCGTTTCGACTACCTCCTCTTCCACGCCCCCACCTGCAAGCTCGTCCAGAAGTCTTACGCTCGCATGCTGTACAACGACTACCTGGCCAACCCCTCCCACCCCGCCTTCGCCGAGGTGGCCCCCGAGCTCCGCGATCTTGATTACGAGAAGTCTCTCTCCGACAAGGTTGTTGAGAAGACCTTCATGGGTCTGACGAAGAAGCGCTTCGCCGAGCGTGTCAACCCCGGACTCCAGGTTGCTACTCAGTGTGGTAACATGTACACTGCCACCGTCTACGGTGGTATTGCTTCCTTGCTTAGCAACGTCACCTTCGACCCCAAGGAGCCCAAGCGTATTGGTCTGTTCTCCTACGGCTCTGGTCTTGCTAGCTCCATGTTCAGCGCCAAGATTGTCGGCGATGTCTCCCACATCGTTGAGAAGCTGGACCTCCAGAACCGCCTCAACGCCCGCACTGTGCTTGAGCCCGCGGCCTACGATGCCATGTGCAAGCTCCGCGAGCACGCTCACTTGAAGAAGGACTTCAAGCCCGCTGGCAACGTTGAGACCATCGGCTCCGGTGTGTACTACCTGACCGAGGTGGATGACATGTTCCGCCGCAAGTACGAGATCAAGGCTTAAAAAAAAAGTCTTGTTGTTTTGATGTTCTGTGATTGCCTTTACCGTTGGATACCATTTAGACGGTTCAGAGAGATTCCCCCGAGCGTTTTTTTTCCCTTACAAAGTTGGTCTATAGATAGCTTTTCTTTCCCACCTTTCATTTGAGTGTTATTTATTTGAACCCATTTGGAATGAAGTGATGAAATAATTAAAATGATATAATGATATTCAATCATCCCATTGTGCTAATTGTTAATAATTAGAGGTAATGTTCTTCGCACTATGTACTCCGTCTTCCATAGTGCGCGCTGAATTAGTGTATTCCGTTGAAGCAGGGGTTCGCGACTATGCAGCGCGACTTAACCCTTCTCCACTCTCCACACTACACTTCACTATACTTCACCTCGGAAAGATACCTAAGGTTAGCATTTATGGCACTTTACTGTGTCAAATTATTGCTAATTATGGGAACTTGCACAATTAACCATATATTCCACCACCAATCACTGCTTATCACGCCGATCCGGCGCGTACTTGAGACTCATCCCACATCTGTAGCCGCCGACATCGATATCACATCCCCGCGGCGCATCGGCAGCTCTTTCAAAACAATTCAATCCTGCTTGAACCCTGGCTTCACTAATTCCCCACAGGCTAAATTACCCCCCAGTGCCTATTTTTATCCCTCTCTACTTGCCTTCTTGGTCTTCTAACCGCCCATCTAACGAGTCCTCAGGCAGCGTCACCAACAAGACCGCTAATTAACCTTGAAGAATGTGACCTAATTGTTGCCGAATTTAGAACAATTCTTCCCTCTTGCAGAGGACTAACTTCTTTAGGGAATCTGAAGATTGTCTTGCCAGCAGATACCAACTATAGCAACATCTTGACGCGCGACTGTCCGATGAAACCGCACTATACCCAACCTGACCTCCTCACTGCAGCAGTTTCAAGTGCTTCTGTCGCGCAACATGGCCCTCCAGGCTCAGTGTCGGCAGTTTCGCGTTTCATCGCGTGGCCGTTCCTATGGATCGGAGACTAGGGTCCCAAAAAAAGAATGCCAGGCCCTGGCGTCACGATGGGGCTCTTCTCCATGTTTCATCTTTTCTAGATCCGCGACAGTTCGTCAGTCGATCTTTTTATATGCATCTTGCTTGGCTGTTTGAAACTTGGGGCTTGTTCATTTAATATCCATATACCTCCTCATGTTTTGATCGTCTGCAAGGCATCATTTCCCTTCGTTGATCACTATTGTCGACAAGCATACACGACGTCAATCATGACCGTCGAACACGCTCGCTACCGGCCAACTACGCCGCCACGTCTTCCTCTTGAAGAGTATATTGGCTCTGGACGTAGTCGCCATGCTTCCACTTCTTCCGTTTATTCGGGCGAATCGTCTCCCTGGTCTACCGTCACTGGTAATACCAGCCCTGCCACCTCGCCAACTAGACATCACCATGGACCGGCTCTACTGCCCAAGATTCGTCCTCAAGATGTTGTAGTCGAGCCTGTGTCTAGCGGTGGACCTCTGCGTCACCGTCGAGTCATTTCCAACACTCGAAACCAACCCGGCTTCATGCCTTACCCACCAAGTCGGCCATCTACAAGCCGCCAAAAGCGCGAAATCTTAGATCGCCTGACACTGGCCTCTCCAGTTTCACCAGCGCCAATGGCTGTGCAGAGTAGCTGCTCTGCCTTATCATCACCCGTCACTCTCACTCCGTCATACAAACGTAAAGCAGACGGCCACTCGCGCTCAATCTCGGCCTCTGTTGTTGACATTCAAACTTTTAACCGCTTTCGATATCCCACCTACCGTGAACTCCCCAAATACATGCCTCAGATGCAGGCTCAGACTACGCCCACTACACCCGTCACTCCCGTCACCCCAAACATCGTTGTTTACCCGTCATACTCGCAACGACCAGGCGGTCCAGCTCCCTTATGCACGAATCCATTGACTGTTCCTACCCCTCAATATTACGGAACATCTGCCCAACCTTCACCGGCCCTGCTCAGTCCCCAAGAGGACCTGCCACGGTCCACGACCTTGCTGTCCTACCTCACTCGCTCAATCCAGCCAATCAACTTGGTTCGCAACGTGAGTGTAGTTCCAACACGCGGCATGCACGACTATTTCTGGTGGGATATTCGCAATCTCCGCAGCTGGACCTCCTTTTCCCTCGCCAAATTCGGCTCCCTGGACAGTCGTCTCATTCAGCTCCTCAGAACTGAAATCCCAGGCCATCGTACACCCGCCGTGGCAGTACCACCCGCTTCTCTTGCCCCAGAATCCGAACCGGCTCTTGTCTCCCTTATCCGAGACCTGTATGCCCCGAGAGTCAATGCCGCCCTAGCTGTCTCTCAGGGTGATGACCACCTCCAGCTCTACGCTGCACCCGACGTCCGAAACACAGGACACAAAAATCACGGCCATCCTCATTTTCTGGCCAACTACGCTTCCGACACAGAGCATACAAGTGCCGGTCTTCCCCGCGGTCGATTAGTTGGAATAGTCAAATCCTTTGACCGCTGGAACACCGGTATGCGAAATGAAGCCCCCCATCGCCGCGTTGAGTACCTCAACGGCTTAGCGCATCTCCAGCGCTGCATGCGCGAACACTCATGCCGATACGGATTCATAATCACGGAAATTGAACTCGTCTGCGTACGCGCAGGTTGCGATCCAGGCGACGATGTCCCTTACTTTGGATTCTTAGAGATTGCTGCTTCAATTCCTCTCAAAACCGCCTCGACTGGTCTGCGCCGCGATTGCCCTTTGGCAACGCCCATCAGTGCGCGCTCTTTCTCATCCTCTTCTTCCGCTTCTTTTCCTCCCGACTCTCCCATCATCGACGAAGCAGATGATGTCCCGATGACAGCTAGTCTGGCTTTGTATTTCTTATTGATGCTTTCGAAATCTGTCCCGCTTCCGCACCAACCTTCTGCTCATCTCAACGTTGGTGGGCCTGGAGCGTTGACTCGTCAGCGGATTCTGTCCGAGCCCAAGGATAAATGGATCCCAGAGCCGCAAATTGGGGAGCGGAGGGATGCCAAAAGGGTTCGGGGGTGGGTTTGGCCAATGGATGCTTGGCATCGGCGGGAGGGAGGTGGTGCCTCCAGATCAAAGGAAAAGAAGAGGTGAAATGAGTGATTTTCGTGTAAGTATTTCCCTTTAATCTTTCTTTCGGGTGGAGCTCTGAGGGGGTGTTATTTGATTCAGCTGAGATTTTGATTTTTCCCTCTTTGCTGTTTCGGTGTCTGGTGTCTGGTGGCTTGGTGCTTTTCTATTCCCCTTACTTGTCTTTGGTAGTAATTTAGTTTCCTTTATTTCACTTCAGACGCTTGTCAAATAGTACATATTAAATATACCAATTTTTTTACCTCCTTGAACGGGCAGTGAGGCGTGCAACCCCAAGGTACTCACAAATAGCCTACAATCGATAACAGATCGGCATTGCCAATTGTGGGGAGATCAGCCTAACAATGGTTTCATCCAAACCGCCGTTGTTTAAATGACCGGCGGATTTGCTTTTTATATTGTTATCCATGGATATAGAGTTATCTCCAGGGCTATGAGTGCCCAGGTGTGTTCATGCCGGAGATGAACCACTCCAGATTCTACTTGGTTGCAGGCAATGCCCGAGGCCACAATGTCCATGCAAGTTGCTAAGCTGCCCGTGGGCCCGTGGATGTCAATTTAGCGGAGACACTACTAGAAGCTCTTGATCTAATGAATGAAGATGGAATCATACATTGCGTACGAATGGCATCAATCGATCGACCCCTAAAAGAGCGGAGCTAGGACCATACAATGTCACGCAAGCCCTAAGGACCTTGGGGAAGAGTACCTCGATGGCCATCCCATGTGAGGACATTGCAGTCAGATACCATGCGTTATTCAAATAGTATAAATGCCAATAGATTTCTCTCATATCCGCTCCTTTGAAGCCTTCCCCCCCTTCAGCTCGGTCCAGTGATTTATAAAAAAAAAGCCTTACATATTGTCGACAGTACCTTACTCAACATGACCTCCCCTCAACCTCTTCCAGAGGACAACGAAATCCGCGATGTAATCATCATCGGTGCTGGTCCATGTGGCCTTGCTGTCGCAGCACGACTGAGCGAAGAAACTCCATCGGCCGTCTTCACAGACGAAGAACACCAACGTTATCACTGGATCAAGAAACACAGCGGACGAATGAACCTTGTTCAAGCACGGCACAACAAAATAAATGGAGTTCGGGCAACAAAGTGGGATAATGAGAAGCAATGTCCCTGTGATGAACGTCGTCGGCGAGCCTCGACAGACTCAACTTCTTCAGTTCCATCTTTGACTGAATCCTCATCCTCATCCTCATCTTCTTTCTCGACTCTCGTTCTTGATGGATCAGGTGATAAATGGATGCAGCGTTGGAACAATGCGTTCAAGACGCTTGAAATCAAACAGCTTCGCAGTCCAATGTTCTTCCATGTTGATCCAGGTGATCGGGATGGAATGCTGGCGTATACACAGGAAACTGGAAGGGATTCCGACCTGTGGGAGATCCCTAACTGTGTGGGAAAGGAGATGAGCAAGCATAAGAAGAAGAAGAGAAGGCAGGGTGGCAAGAACCAGTAAGTTATTCTCTCTGGACAGTGGCTTTGAATGGTTATCTGACTCTGAACCGTCTACAGAACCCTCGGAGGCGAAATTGACGAGCGAGACCGAAAAGATTACTTCTCACCATCGACGGATCTATTCGCCGATTACTGTGACTCAATCATCGATCGATACGGGCTGGACGAGCCAGGTCAAATATTGCAGTGCGAGGCAACCGATCTCTCCTATGGTTATTTGTCGGATAACTCAGCATCAAAGGTATTCACCATAACCACCTCCACTGGAGAGAAATATTACAGCCGGACTGTTGTTCTTGCTATTGGTCCTGGTGGAGCAGGGGTTTCCAAGATATTCCCCTGGAAGCCATCAACCGAGCAAGAGGGAGCTGCTGCGTGTTGCCACAGCATGGAGATCAAGCAGTTCCCCAGTCCCGGTGTACGTGATAAAATCCAACGACGACAGGAGACAAACATTGTCGTTGTTGGAGGAGGGTTGTCTTCGGCGCAAATCGTTGATATGGCCGTCCGCAAAGGCGTGACGAAAGTGTGGTTCTTGATGCGATCTGGGATCAAAGGTCCGTTACAAGCTCCCCGACGAGAACTTCCAAGGTTGAATTAAAGCTTACCTCAAACCCAGTCAAGCATTTTGATATCAATCTTTCCTGGATGGGCAAGTATAAAAACTGGGAGAAAGCAACCTTCTGGTCCGCCGATACTGACGAAGGTATGGAAAGCCCTAATTCCTCCCGAAACCAAGACTGACATCAATAGAACGCCTCGAAATGATCCAAACCGCCCGCAATGGAGGTAGTATGACACCAAGATATACAAAGATTGTAAAACAACATGCGGCACGAAACCGCGCCTCTATCCACCCTTGCACTGAGATCAAAACGCATGAATTCAACCCAACAACACAAACCTGGACCCTGACGACCGACCCACCAATTCCAGACCTACCTCCAATCGACTTCATCTATTTTGCAACGGGAGCAAAAGCCGACGTGCGCGAAATGCCACTTCTTAGGGAAATGAACGATCAATACCCCATTGAGGTCAAATCAGGTCTACCTTGTCTGACCAACGACCTGTCGTGGAGAAATGACGTACCGCTATTCATGACCGGGCGCATGGCATCCCTGCGCCTTGGACCGGGTGCACCAAATCTAGAGGGTGCCAGAGTGGGTGCAGAACGTGTCGCGTGGGGCATCGAGGAGGTTTTACAAAAGGAGGAGAACGCTGGTGAGCAGTGTGAAGGATTCTGTGGCCTTGGCAATCGGTATGCTTCATTGGTTGATGAATAGTGTCTGTCTCACGGGGCCTGTACGGGATTTCACCGTCCATGGCATGTGCAAAACAACGTATACTCTCACGAAATTGAAAATGACTCAAATTCAAAACCTCGTTGAGCCTGTTTCATGTCGCACTAGGGGTGTAAATCGAAGATCATAAGACTTGCGCTGGATGAACTACCCAAACAGGTAGCAAGATCTTGCATTCACCCCTTCATTCCAGATGATAGTTAATTATCCCATGCGCCTGCCGAGGATAACCCGGGGAAGGTTGGAGCCTTGCTGGGTCAAAGGAATGTCTTGATCCCTTGTCTCCTGTATCTCTCGGGGGGTTTAAAGGTCCTAGAAATTAGCCAATGCTACAGGTGGTACAAAGTTGTCTACAACGATAAAACCAATCGGTGGTTTCTGACTGAGCTCATGCCACAGCGAAATGGCTGATACCACCAAAAGTCCAGCTGAGATGGAGGCACCCATAGAACCTTCGATGGCGGAGCTTAGGGCCCTACCGAACAACACCAATTCAAATTGGATCAAGGACAAGGGCCTGAGAAAGTTGAACCTCGGCATTCTCTTCATGTACTCTACTGCTTCCTCGGCGGGGTATATTGGAAATTTGGTAAATAGCTTGTTGGTGCTCCCTGAATGTAAGTGTTCTGCCCCGAAGCTGCAGCGCAGCTCTAACTCGTACAATCGCAGTTGGTGTCATCGTCGGTGGTCTCAATCCGAGCATAGTCGGCTTGATCATTGCCGCGAGTTCTTTGGGGGCATTTATCTCCTTCGCACCAGCGTCCTACATCGCTGATGTGTTCGGGCGCAGGGCCTGTGTCGGAGTTGGGTCCGCTCTGACGATCGTTGGAGCAATCATCGGCGCTGCAATCCAGGATCACTGGGCCTTCTTCGGTACCAGGATTATATCGGGCATTGGTATGGGTATCGCCCAGACTGCGGCTCCTCTCCTGGCAACCGAGATCGCCCATCCACGCCAACGCCAGACTGCCACGGCACTTTACAATGCATCTTGGTGCTTGGGCGCTATTGGATCAGCAGCAGCTACCTATGCAACGATTGGATTAGGTAACAGCTGGTCGTGGCGAGTTCCTTGCCTGCTGCAGATATCGTATCCCTTGTTTCAAATATTGGGGGTGCTTTTCATCGTGCCCGAGAGCCCAAGGTGGCTTGTGTCGAAGGACCGGAAGGATGAAGCACTGGCTATATTAGAGACATACCATGCCAATGGTAGTACAAATGACGAGTTGGTGCAGCATGAGTTCCAACTGATTTGCACCACGATTACCGCCGAGATGAACAACACGAAGGGTTGGAGCGCGTTCTTCAAGTCCAAGGGAGATATTCACCGGTTATCCATCTGTGTGCTGGTTGGACTGATGCAAGAATGGGCTGGAAATGGTAAGAGTCTCACATCAGTCAACAAATCACCTCTAACAATGTTGTAGGCATTCTGTCGTACTATCTCCCGCCGATTCTCGGGTCAGTGGGCATCACCAAAGCCGCAGACCAAGCTGCGGTCAATGTGAGCCTGCAAGCCTGGAACTTTTTGTTGTCAGCGGCCGGTGCGGTTGCTTCAGAGCGATACGGTCGCCGTCTTCTTTGGCTCCTCTCCACAAGCCTAATGATCGTCTTCCTGTCATCGTCCACTTTGGCCGCTGGTCTGCATGACGAAAAGCATATTTCTTCTGCTGGTTTAGCCACAGTTCCTCTCCTTTTCCTGTTTTTCGGATCATTTGACATTGCTTATGCCCCCCTGTTCATCTCGTATCCCGCTGAAATCCTACCGTTCCAGCTGCGTGCCAAGGGCATTGCTGTGACCCTCTCTGTGGATGCTGTGGCGTGTTTCTTCAACCAATATGTTAACCCGGTGGCATTCACAGCCATCCAGTGGAGATATTACTGTGTCTTTATCGGATGTTTGGTTGCATTCTGGGCTTTCATCTACTTCCTCTTCCCCGAGACGAAGGGTCGGTCATTGGAAGAGGTCGCGATGATTTTCGACCGCAAAGAGGAGCCCGACACAGAAGAAAAGAAGAAGTCAAAGACATAGTTGAAATCTCAGATTCCAAAAGAAGAGAAGTAAAGAATCTTGAAAGAAAAGAGCAGAAAAAGGTCATACTAGTAGACAGCCCAATCAGGGGCGGGGAGTTGTTAATGCTTCCCCGCAAATGCAACGCGCCCGCTGTAACATCGTATCGCTCTTTTTTTACATTTACATCGCCAATCCTCCATATGAGCATATTCCTGCCATAAAAGGGCATGTTCTCCCCTCGACCTAATTGAAAATGAATGCGTGAAGCCTACGTCCCAGTCTTGACTTTGCCTTCAGTGAGCTCCGACCCAATCTAGCCCCGCATCATGAAAGACCCGTCCAATCCCAAACAGCCTCGCTTCCTGGTTATAGGCGCTGGCTCTCGCGGAAATGCCTACGCTCGCGCCGTAAATACTGCAACAACGGGCGTGATTCACGCCGTTGCCGAACCGCATGCCGTGAAACGCCGCGAATTCGGCCGCAACTACATCTGGAAAACCGTTCCCAGCGCTGGGCAGGAGTTCGCAGACTGGCGTGAATGGATAGCGTGGGAACTTGGGCGCCGGAACTCGGCCGAGTCAGCAAACACTGTCGGCGTGGATGGTGTGTTTATCTGTACACTGGACGAAACACACGTGGAAATTGTCCAGGCTGTCGCTCCACTTAAGCTGCATATTCTCTGTGAGAAACCTCTTGCTCTTTCGCTGGATGACTGCTTGACGGTTTACCGTACGCTCCAGCCGCCGGAGGGCTCGAGTGTAACGCCTCCTGAGAAGATATTCTCAATCGGCCATGTCCTTCGCTACAGTCCGCATAATATCCTCCTTCGAAAACTCTTGGCCGATCGCGTAATTGGCGATATAATTTCCTTGGAGCATTGCGAGCCTGTCGGGTGGTGGCACTTCTCTCACAGCTATGTGCGCGGGAACTGGCGACGCGCCACGGCGGCGGGGGATGGGTCCCTCCTTACGAAATCCTGTCATGATATTGATTTTATTATGTGGCTACTCTGTTCCCCGCCTACTCCGGAGACGGGCACGCAGCAGACGCTCCAGCCACATTTCCCGCGATCCATATCTTCTGCAGGAACCATGACGCAGTTCCGGCGCAAGCGCAAACCTGCCACTGCTGGTAATGCGACGAATTGTCTCTCTTGTCCTGCGGAGCCAGACTGTAGCTACAGTGCTGTGAAAATCTACAATGACCGCCATTTGGCACAAGGACACACGGCTTGGCCTGTTGATATCGTTTGTCCCGACATCGAGGACGTTTTTCGTGCACAGGGCAGCAAAGCTGCTGAGTCCCTGCTTCTCGCCCGTCTTGGCGAGGATTATGACCGGACTACAATGGCTGATGAGACTATTGCTTCACGGCCCTGGTATGGGCGCTGTGTCTACGAGGCAGACAATGATGTCTGCGACGACCAGGTGGTAACGCTGGCTTGGGACGATGAAGAGACAGCGCCGCACCGGCTTGCCAAAACGGCCTCCTTCCACATGATTGCTCCCACGGAGAAGCAATGTGAGCGACGAGGTCGTGTCTATGGCACAACCGGTGAGATCGCATATGATAGTCATTCGATCTCAATCTACGATTTCGGGACGCAGAAGACTTCTACCATTGATGTACCGAAGCCGCCTCCTGATCAGAAGGAGTCACATGGCGGTGGGGACTATGGACTCGCTAGACAGTTTGTCAGCGCCGTCGAGGCCGTTGAAAACGGTGGAGTGGACGTTGAAACTGCGCAGGCACGGTTTGTCGGGTGTTCACTTGAAGAGGTAGTTCGCAGCCATGCAGTTGTTTTTGCGGCCGAGGAAGCGAGGAGGGAGGAGAAGGTCATTAAATGGGAATCTTGGTGGAGTGAAAAACTGGAAACCTCTGCTGCAGCATGTAAGACACAAGCATAGAGTTCATGCCCAGATTGCGAAGGAGCCATTTGGAGGTTGTGGCTCTAAGGTTCCAAAGTTCTAGATGTATCCATGGATTGCTTCCACGGTTCCATCCTTGTGATTATTTTTAGAATGAAATGGAGAAGAATGAGTATGTTACTTTAATCAGCATCCCTCTTGTGTCTATGTATATATTTCTAAAGTTAGGTATATGCCATTATGTGTGTACAAAGATGCTCTTCCGCAACATATATTTAGTTGGCGTTTGCACATTAACTTAGAAGAGCTATCTTGTAAGTCGGCAGAATCAACATACATAATAAATAGGTAGAAACTGGCAGAAAGGCCTGATGCTTCAGAGGTCAGGCAAAAGGCCTTCAACTTAGTGAGAACGGAGTAAAGACGGTGAGCAGAATAAAGGTGGTGTGAGGGATATTTGAAGGCGGTGTGAGAGTAGAGTCAAGGCGGTGTAAAGGTTCAGAGTGCTTGGGCCCAAGGCGGTGTGAGAACTCAGCATATATGTACATACAGGGTAATTGGAGGCAGGATGATACTTAGAGTGTGCGGAGCCAGGTACATATGTAGTGTGCAAGTATCAAATTGAAATGTTTGTATTGTTTGCATGTTGCTGTGTTGATGTTTGTCTATGTAGAATGTGGAAGGCAACAGATGATGCCTCAGGCCTGGGCCGTTGTCAGGTCAACTGTCGACACTAATCCCAAACAGGCAAGGTACACCATAACAGTGGCATGGCAGCTACCAAAACATCTTGACATCGTTAATTCCTTTTCCTCTAACCCCTCTGTGCAAAGGAACCTTCTATTATTACCAGCACTCTACCTCAGCATCTGAGTATGAGCCTTTGAGTCCGTGTACCGCGACCATTCTTTTATCCATTGGCTTCGCTGTATTCAGAGTTGTACCGCCAAAGTACCTACGGTACCAACTTGATCTATCTTGACTCGACGTTACACCCTATTTCCAAGCCTGGACTGTCAACAAACAAAAAACCCAACATGACTACTGACTTCAGCCATGGCGGCCAGATGATCGAGTACATCCAAGGTCCGTACAATGTTTTGGGACAAGTTAATCAGCGGTGACCCGAATTTCAAAACTAATACATGCTTCCGTTTAGATCGTCTGTACCTCGCATCTTATGACTCTCCTCCCAGCTCCAGGACCCCATTCCCTTTCCATCTGGATCAACCCAAATCTCCAAGCAAGCGCGCTCGTGCGCAACCTGCGACACCAAGCAAGCGCCGATCGCCTGTGTACTTCACCATTGATGATACTCTGCTGTACAATGCATTCCACGCTGATTTCGGTCCCCTTCACATTGGTCACCTGTACCGGTTTGCGGTTCTGTTCCACGAGATTCTGGGTGACCCAGCGAACAGCGACCGTCCCGTTGTGTTCTACAGCAAGACAGATCCGCGCAGTCGGGCAAACGCAGCCTGTATGGTTGCATGCTACATGGTCATGATTCAATCGTGGCCACCTCATCTGGCCCTGGCACCCATCGCACAGGCTGATCCTCCCTACATGCCTTTCCGCGATGCTGGATACAGCCAAGCTGATTTCATCTTGAACATTCAAGACGTTGTCTATGGTGTGTGGAAGGCCAAGGAGCAGTCCCTATGCGGACTTCGCGACTTTAACCTCGAAGAGTGAGTCTGATCCCTCCGATCGTTCTGAACATCAAATACTGACTCACCCCGAAGATATGAGAAGTTTGAGCGCGTTGACATGGGCGACTTCAACTGGGTGACCCCGGATTTCCTCGCCTTTGCTTCTCCACAGCAACAGCCGGTCGCACCCATCCCCGCAAATACCCCCGAGTACGACGCACTGCCCACCACGATCTCGGAGATATCCTCATCCAAGCTTCCCATGCCATTCAAGAACGTCCTTGCACACTTCCATCAGCGCAATGTAGGTCTTGTTGTGCGACTCAACTCAGAGCTTTACTGCCCTTCATACTTCACCGCAATGGGAATCTCCCACATTGATATGATCTTTGAGGACGGCACCTGTCCTCCTCTGCAGCTCGTTCGCCGCTTCATCAAGATGGCCCACGAGATGATCACTGTCAAGAAGAAAGGTATTGCAGTCCACTGCAAGGCTGGTCTTGGTCGTACGGGTTGCTTGATTGGTGCTTATCTGATCTACAAGTATGGTTTCACCGCCAATGAGGTCATCGCATTCATGCGCTTCATGCGTCCTGGCATGGTTGTTGGACCCCAGCAGCACTGGCTCCACCTGAACCAGGGCTCTTTCCGGGAATGGTGGTTCGAGGATAGCATGCGCGAGAAGCTCGCTCAGTCTGTACCCGCAACCCCGAGAGTCTCGACCAAGAAGCGTAGCAGCAATGGTGTGGTTTCCACTCCCCCCAACAACAGCCACTCTAAGCGCGCAGCACTCGGAGAGATCGACCACAACGATGCTGCTGCTTACCCAGACCAGGATCTTCCTGCACCTACTCCTGGTCAGCCCCGCAAGTCCCACCGCAAGGACTCACGGCACCATCCTTACTCCCGCACTGCCTCGGGCAACCTGGCTGTGGAGAGTGAGCAGAGAGCCCCGCGCAGTCACCGGAAGAGCAACGAAAGCAGTGAGAGCGAAGAGGAGATTCAGCTCCGCAGACTTGCCAAGCGATCTTCCAGATCTCCTGTGGCTTCACCTACATCACGGTCCATCAGCTACTCCGCGACCGTCACGGCTAGCTACACCCTTGCTGAAGACAACCACCACGACCAAGAAAATTGGGTTGGCCACTCGGCACCAAAGACTCCGGTCAGCCGAAAGAGCGGCACAGCTCCAATCTCTGTCAGCAAGGTCCGTTCCAGCCCTCGCCGGGTGACCGACAGCAACCGCAGCGAGTCCCGCGGAGTTCGCAAGCCTAGTGGCCGCGTCGGCAGCAACACCATTAGCCCAGCCCGGCCAACCAAAACTGTCCACTGAGTATTGTGCTCGCTATGCGTTGGTGTAGAGATTTTTCTTTTCGATTCTCATCGTCCTTCGGGACACTCTTTCTGCATACCCTTTTTGTGATGCATCTGGATGCTTTTTAATGCTTGTGTTTTCATTTCCTTTCGGTCTGACTCATCGGTCTGTTTTCTCTGGAGCGAACGCTGGGTTTTGGGCATGTTCTGCGCGGCGTTTGGTTTTTGCTGGTTTATGAACGACGAGAAATTTGCAGCCGGGCTTCGATGCATTTCGAGCTTGCTGGCCCTGATTCTTTCAAGTTGCCTTCGTGTCAATACTATTTCATGTGACGATTTCAATCACGAGCTCTTTCTATATTGCCCTCATTCGCTCAGTAAAACTGTATCTTGAACCCTCTATCGCTGGAAGTTAAAGTAGACGGTTGTGAGGTAGAAGAAATTACAGCATTAATCGTACATCCTCGTCATTGGGGCGAGCAAGTTTTTGATTTCATAACCTATCTTAATTGCCCGCCTTAGTTTGCGGCGAGGAACTATACCTGGGTCAGTATTTCGTGCAGACCTCCAGTGCATGATACGTACCTGACGAGCCTCACTATCTTCAACCGTCGAGCTCTCGACCTCCTTCTTCTCAATGAGGCCAAGCTTTGCCTTTCTCATAAAATACCACAGCTCCGTTCGATCACCACCAAGCTTCTCAGCTAGCATATTGTCCTTGAGACTGCGTACAAATTCATTATACACTGCCGGCTCTTCATAATCAACCAGTTCTTCACGCATGGTCCCCAGAGCTTCGATGACGCGGTCGTAGTTAGAGTGAGCTAGACTATGTCTGATTTGAGACTCGATGATAGACGCCATCTGCTGCACGGCGTCGTGGATGGCTTCGATGTTCTCTGCACGAGAGAGGGTCTGTTTGAATTCTGGAATTGCGTTCTCAGTGGAAATCCTGGACCGTTTTGGCTCCAGGCTCAGTAGGGCATCAACATCTAGCCCGGATAGGGGCTTCTCGGCTTCACGTTGACGTTTCCGGCCCTTCGTTTTCGGAGGAACTTGAAATGGTGTTAGTTGGGCTTAATTGACTGTAAAGAGGTAGGCTTGTATACATTTCTTGACGTCCGCTGTAGAAATCAACTTCGTTAGGATTGATTTGGATCTGGTGACCATATCTTCTGGCGGGTGTGAAAATTCAGTGAGTATTTCTGCAGGCTCGAGAATCGGGTCTTCGGGGTGAATGGCGCGGTATCGGATGGCAGAGCCGAGACGGTGCACTAGAGGTGAGAATGAATCTTCAATTGGAAGACCGGTGATAACATCTCTGGCTCAGTCAATTAGTAGGTTGATCAAGTGCTGGATTAGAGCCACTCACCCTTCGTCATTTTTGATATCCAATTCCATACTGTCGACGTAGTCACTCATAGCAGCCTTCAAGTTATCATCTGGAAGGTTGCGGTGCTCTGTCAGAACCTTGCCAGAAATAGTGACGACCTTATCCAAAGGTGGGAACCTGTAAGATTGAACGTCTTCGGCGTATGGAAGCTGCACTTCGATCAGGCACTCGTAATCCGGCTCGATTGACGGCGCCAGCAACACAACCATCGGGGGTTTGCTTTCTTTGGTCACCAATCGAGCAACTGCATATGATTCAACTTCGTGAAGAGCATGGATGAAGGACGATAGCGCCAGAGATGCGTTGTCGTTACCGCGCTCTGAAATTATGACGTTCGTGTTAGACATATGCAAGTAGCGATCATACTGTGTTGACATATTAGCAGTGTGTCCTGGACTGTGGATGAATACGCACTTTGTCCTCGTGAATGAAGCCAATCAAATCCAGTCCAGCAAATGTTTGCAGATTGGTGACACTCTCATCGGACTGATCAATTGCAACTGCTGTGCGTCCATACTCATAACCCTTTGCAAGATCATCACGTTCAACGTCAACATTCCCCCCTGGGGCAGATTCGTCCGAGATTTGATATGTCCGTGATGTCCGAACCGCCACGAGAGATTCATTGGCATTTGGAGCCGAGCTTCCTGGAACAGAATCCTGCCTGGCTTCAGCGCCGGAACGCATCACGAAAGAACTTGCTGAAGTGGGCTTGGCGACAGCGGTTCGGAAGAACCGTTCCACTGGAATGCGCATTGCTGTTTCATATTGTTCGGGGTCCCCAAGCCTTAGCATGCCCTTGAAGCTAACAGCACTCTTTGTGACCTTGATGCGGGGAATATTAAGTTCCGAAACGGCCTGATCCAGCGTTCCAAACATTCCTTGGCAGTCCTCTGCAAAGGCTCGGAGAAGTGCCTCGTTATTCGCCTGGGGGATGTTATTAAGATCGTTCTCTCTTCTCTTTGGTTATTTAATCTTAATACATACCTTGTTCAGATCTTTGTCTTCTTCCTTCACGCCATATTCAGCGTCATCAAAGTCGGCACCCCTAGAAGTTGTTAAGAAACACTGTCGAATAAACCCGCGAGAGGAGACTTACAGAATCACCAGCTCGATACCGAGCTCCAGCATCTTCGAAGTTATGTCTGAATAGCTGTCGTTGCTCATTGCTCCGGTGCCATTGGTCACAAGAACGATCTTGCGCTTGTATTTGAGTTTCTTGGTAAAATCAATGATCATACCCATACCAACAAGAACAGCAGAGATGGCTTTGACATAGTTAGCGCCTAGTTATGAGAGATGAGCTACCAATACATACCATCGCCACGGTTAGTGTTGCTGGGTGTGATCATCTCTTTCAATCTCCGAATGTCAGGCATGAGGACCCTAAGCCAGTTTAGTCAGGTGGTCTGGGACAAAACACCCAGGGAAAAAGATCATGTTCAAACATACTGGCCAAGTTCAAATAGAACTGAAATGTTGGAATAGCTGTCATCATGTTCTTGTTCATTGGAGGTGCCTGACATCTCGGATGTTAGATACCCACTTAGACTTGTAGGACCTCACTCACCATCTGTCCTGAGCCCAATCACGCCAACATTTGCCGTCTTGCGACCGGTTGCAACCTTTCACTGTCAGTACATGAATATAAAGGATAGTCCCGAGACGCACTGTCGTAGTGATTTTATCCCAAACATACTGCATGGCCCATTCGAGATCAGTCACAGGGCGGTCATGGTGACGTGCGCCCATGGACTTTCCCACATCCACGATGTAAATCGTTGCCTCCTTCTCGGCCATGGTGAAGTGTTGAAATGTTGAGGATGTGAAGTTGACCTCAATGTTGTAGAGTCCAGATACTCGTACACCAGGCAGACGCGTGATATTTCTACTTTGGGATTAGCGCCGAACGCGAAGGCACATGACATCACCTACCTTGGCGACTATTTGTCAAGTGCGTGGGCATAAGACAATGCCACACTGTATGAGCGTGGAAATGAGAGTCTCGTAAGGTCCCGGAGCGTGTCCTTATCGGTCGCTTTCCCTGCTTGTTACAGCCTCGAGTCAGTTGGTACCTCTCGAGTTTGATCCTACTCCATACCTCGTAATCATATCCAAAATGACGGACCCCCGCCCATATCACATTTTGAGGTTTGTCTTTGAACATATTCTCAAGCTTTCAAGGCTAACAAACCAGCTATGGCACCCTTCTCGGAACCCAGTTCTACCAAGTAAATCCAATCAGCAATCCCCCGTCTTGCTGCATCAAGTCATCTATATTTGTATCAAAACCACTTTCTGACTTCTTATCAGTCATTTGTCGGAGGATTCGTCGCGTTCCGTGCACTCCCGCGGCCTCAGTTTGCGAGTCTCCAGACCGCCATCTTCCCCATCTACTTCTCGCTGCAGACTGCACTGCCAGTAGTGGTTGCTCTGACCGCCTCCCGCGGCGGACAAGCCCTTGGCCTCTCTGGTCTTGTGGCGCCTGAGAACCGCCTCAACACTCTCTTGCCTATGGCAACTGTGGCAGTGACTGGCTTGGTGAACATGTTTGTTCTGCGTCCCATCACCGTCAACGTGATGCGCGAGCGTAAGCACCAAGGTAAGCTTACTGCAAATCTTGAAAATCACATTGTGACAGTTTCTTCTTTTCATTTGCTGATGTGCTATAGAAACTCGCGATGGCAAGCGAAGCTATGACCCGGCCCCCCACTCCAAGGAGATGCTGGCCTTGAACAAGAAGTTCGGCCGTGTGCATGGCATTTCCAGCTTGGTTAACCTCCTCAGCTTGGTTGCTACTGTTTGGTATGGCGCTGTTCTCAGCAAGCGACTCGAGTAGTAGACTCGGGGCTTTGAACTTCCAATTATGTGTCTTGGCTTGGGTTTATGCACATGGTCATGATTTAGTACAAATACGCCTTTTCACTGCAAATACACGTCTGTAACCCCCACCAGTGGTATTTCTGGGTATTTGATAATGATTCAAAAATCCAACCGCTTACATTGGAGTGATCTCATCTAGAATGCACTGAAGCAGAATTACGGAGACCAGCGGATAGAAATCTGCAGGGTTTCCTTATTCCAAAATTTAATGGGGTAGATTGAATACCATACAGAGATAGCAAGAAAGACCTTTAGAATGTCATTTTCAAGACATTAAAAACATGGCCGAAGCAAAGAGCATCCGGATACTTTTGGGTCCTATGCATTCTACAGTTTGATTCACGGTGTAGAGGGTACTTCGTACAGTTGTCATCAGCCCTTCCTAGGCAACTGGGCAAACCTTTAAACTGATTTAGCTCGGAGTCAAACCTTGAATTCTTGGAATCTTGGAATAGGCAAACTGGTCAAAAAACTATTGATACCACAGCAGATTGGCAGTAGTCATTATTCACAATGTTTTCTGCAGATGCAGGGGAACTCCAACCATCTCTGCCAACAACTGTCCTCGAATAGTCGGTCAGCATCTATAAATGACTTGAATGAGGACACAATACCATTGTTGCTTTCCTTGGTCCATTTTCTTTGTTTTCTGATCAATGAACACCCATGAGTGGCTTAGTTGCATGGGCTATTGACACTCTATTCTTAGATACTACAGTGTGAGCCATACAATGAGAGTTCTCTCCAAAGCTCTTTCTATTCCATTGAATCTAATCAATAGCAGTCAACAAGAATTTATTCAAAGCCCTTCTAAAAGTTATAGATTGGCCATAAAGAGCAAAGTAGCTCATTCATTAAGTCCATATCTTTGATGGGCTGGAGCTGGACAAAGGCATTCATCTGCCCAGGCTATGTCTGTGACTTCCCCTCGCTCTATAAGAACCTCGAGCTCGAGGTAGCAGAACTCAACTTTCTCATCACACTTCATTTTCTCCTTCCACAACTCCCAGATCTCCACTGCGAGAACCACAATGATTTACATTTACGTTTTGACGGCCATCGTCGCCGCCATCAACGGTATTGGCATGCGCCATGCCGTACCGCTTACCGGCATCAACCCGGCAAGCAGCTTTCTTTCGCGAACCTTCAGCTCCTTGGAGGTTGCGGCCTCCATTCATGGGCTGCGCTCACTGCAGCCCATCGTTTCCCCCCTCATCTTCCCCTCTCACTCTGCCGGCATCGAGAACGAGTTCCTGACCCAGCACGCTCTCCACTTGAAAGCATACAAAGACGCCAAGATGGCGCTGGAGAAGTCCTCTGCGAGCCTCGCCCACCTTTCAATTTCTCACAACGGCACGGAAATGAACAACTGGAACCAGGTTGATGCAGAACTTTGGGATCGGGAGACTCCCCAGTCCCAGTTCGACATCAACCACTGGGTCCCTTGGGTCATTGCCGTTCTCGCGATGCAGGCCTTTGCCCTGATGTTGATCCTTGATATCAAGTGTCGCCACCGCATGATCGAAAGGAATTTATGCGGACTGTGGAAAGGACTCCATGCGATCTCGCCAGAAGCTCCCAACAGCTTGCAGAGGTATGAAGGCATGGTCCTTAAACATTTGGAAGAAGTAACGAGCCTCTCTAGGAGAATCATGCAAGAAATCGGGATTCTGTATCGAGAATCGGACAGGGCTTTGACAAGCATCGACGGGAAACTTGGGCAGGCAAGTTTGGACGGTTCTATCCAACAAAGGACAACCAAAATCTCTAACACTGCAGAACAGTTGGCGTCGTACTACGGCAACCTCAGCGAAGATATCTCCTACGGTGTGGATATGCTTGGTCTTCCCCGGATGGCACCAGAGACTGTTGACTCCGACGATGCACCAATTAGTCCCGGAAGTACTGCTAGCAAGATGGATGCTTCCAGCTCTGCTCTCCAACTTCGATTCCCCCTGAACTCCCCCGTCATCCCTGGAAACTCTTCTCCCGGAAGCTCTTCTGGCAGCACAACCCCTACTCCTAGCAACCCCAAAACACCTCGTCATACCCCTTCGCCATCACCTGTACCAGGTTCGCCTTCATCTGTACCGGATTCGCCGTCGCTTAAGCCTGCTCCACTGCCAACTGTGACCGTTCTGCTGCCATCTGTTCCCACTGTGAAGCCAGCTGTATCTAAGCCTGCTTCGTCGCCTTCCAAGCCAGCTAAGCCGTCATCTAAGCCTGCTTCGCTGCCACCTGTGCCCGCTTTGAAGCCATCTGTCTCTAGTTACGCTTTGCCACCATCCAAGCCCACTGAGCCGCTACCTAAGCGCATTACGCTCCCACCTGTGCCATCTGTGCCTGCTTTGAAACCATCTAAGCCTGCTCCGAAGCCATCTCAGCCTGCTCCGAAGCCATCTCAGCCCGCTCCGAAGCCATCTCAGCCCGCTCCGAAGCCATCTCAGCCCGCTCCGAAGCCATCTCAGCCCGCTCCGAAGCCATCTCAGCCCGCTTCTAAGTCATCTGGACCTAAGCCTGCTTCGCCGCCCCCTAAGCCTGCTTCTCCGGCGTCTAAGCCCGCTTTGAAGTCATCTGTACCCGCTACACAGTCATCTGTACCCGCTGCGAAGCTACCTGTGTCTGTTGGGATCAATGGACAACCTCCTTTGAACTGGCACAATGGCCCACCCCCGACGGACTCGACCCTGGGGTGAGGATGCGCTGTCGGCCCTCATGAAATAGTATCATAAAGTATGTCTCCCACGGGGAATGCATGGTATGCCCGCAGCTTGGGCCCATCATTCCAAGGCAACTCTATCATACTGTTCATGACGGGCCGGTAGTAAACATTTGACCCGCATCTTGGACTCATTGTCTTCATGCATATCGAGGGTGAACATTGAGAGACTGATTAGTTACTGCCATGTTGCATTTATTTGAGATATGATAACTATGACACAATAGCAACGTGATTGATATTCATCTTGTTCTCTTTTCTTCAGACTGTAGTCCAACCGTAGAGCCCATGTAAAGCAAAGTCAGCAAGTGATTCACACTCACGACTCAGGTGCTTCAACAAGATATTTGCGACAGGCAGTTTTGAGCATGTTGATACGTCTCTGTGTATGAATGAACACTTCTCGATACATGTCAAGGCTTTGCTGTACGACCTCCTGACGGGTTTTAGTGCCCGAACAGATCTCGAGCATTCGCAATTCCATTTCTTTTCGGAGGAATGGTTTGCTGAGAGACACACTATTTGGAAGACCTGCAACAACATTGTCATAGCCCTCGACAAGGGCAACCCCTAAGCGCGTCGGGATAAGTTCGGAAACTGAAGAGCGTCCACTGCCCCGTGTATTCACGGCAACGTACTCTCGTTCTTTGATCTTGGCAATATGCTCCGCCATGGTGGCATCAGTACCAATCCCATTGGCATCCATCAGGCCAATAAGTTCGGGCTCAGTGAGATAGTTTGGAGCGGTTGTCTTGCCCTCGAAAAGATTGGCCTCTGTGGGCTCAAATAGTTCATCCCTTTCAAAATTCGGTAGCTGCTGGCTGCTTTCCCACTTGTCGTAGACGTATACATCCAAGTAATTTCGCTCCAATACAATGAGGCCGTTTGCATGGAAGTATTCATCGCCGTACTTGATCTCAACCTCCGAACTCTGACCCTTTGCGTCATCAGAGCAACAGGCGAGGAACCGACGGACCACAAATTCGTAGACTTTTTTCTCGTTCACATTGAGCGAACTTGGAGAAACCCAGCTTACTGGGTGGATAGGGGGATGGGCTTTGTCGTTGTTACGGCCCCAGCGAGGAGTTTTAAATTTGCCATCGATAAGTCTGCACCAGAACTTGTGAGAGTGTGCTCAGCCAAAGGTTTCAGGTAGCTTACTCTCGAGCGTATTGGCCCCACGAGCTATCGGGATATTGCTTCTCCACTAGTTTTTTCAGATCAATTGCTTTGTCGAACTGATCTGTTTCTGTTCGGGGATAACTAATATACCCCTTCGTGTAGAGTGTCTCTGCCACCTAGTAATTTGTCGGTAAACTCGATTCTCCAGAGGCGGGTTGCGACTTACCTTCATAATCGTTTGACTGTCGATGCGAAGGAATCTACTGCCCATCATCTGCAGATCAACAGTGGTCAAAGGCAAAGGCCGCCATTTGCTTTTGGGCTTCTGGTCAACTTTTGTGACTTTTGCTTGTTTTGCAACAAGGCAGCGCTCCAGCATCATTGTCACGACAGCTCTATCAAAGAGATGCACCCGTTTCCAAAGGAAGTTGACTTTCTTGCCCTCCCGATTTATAATGACCTTGAGTCCCCAGAAGTTTTCGGGTTTGAAATTTTTGACTCTCAAGTATCGGTCAACAACGAATCCCAACGTAGGAAACTGACATGATCCTGCGACCCGTTAGCTTGCATCCACAAAAATGAGGGACATAGTCCAGGTGAAGCAGACCGTAGCTTATAACCTTTTCCTTTAAAGCAGCCACGACCGTCTGCAGCTGCAGGGTCTGCAAGCGAGTGAATGCAGCACCAATCCGAAGATCCAATTCGATTCGGGCAGCCACAGCATTGGCCTGATACTCGTCAAGGTCAATTGGTGCTAGAGCAGCCTGGCGGACATGACTTGTTGGCAGTTAGTAATGTTGATAGCCTGTACCACAAGTTTTTTCTCAACTCACGCGCGTTCCGTGTTACTGAACCTGGCCCGCTTGACCTCAATCCGACCATTTCCTGCTTTCGCCTGATTACGGACCTCAGAGCCGATATGCTCACCTTCGCGATCACAATCTGTCCAGATGAAAAGTGCTTTGGCATACTTGGCTTGGTTTCGAATGTTTTCAGCAATTGGGAGTTTGTCCTTGTTACAAACATCAGCACTGGAACGAAACAACCATAGACATTTCCTAACCTTGTCAACGGCTTCCTGAACAGGGGCTTCAAAGAGTGACCCAGGAGGACATGATTGCCAGCCTTTGTACTGGCGATCAAAGTCCAGACCGGTGAGATGGCCCACCACACTGGTCACCGTGACGGCGCAGTCACCCCAAGCTCCCCCGAAATTGAAGTTGAATTCGTAGTTCTTCACATATTGGTTCCCACGAATGGAATGCTACTGATGTTAACCAATATCCCGCCAGGCCCTTCGAATGCTTACTGTTTGGAAAGAACCTCCGGACAAATGAGTGGCCACAGCACGAGCAATGGCAGGCTTTTCAGCCACGCAGAGGATTTTGCGAGCCATTTGAAGCTCCAATTTTGATCACATGAAGTTCATAATTTGGTGGACTTGATTCTCTGTGGATCATATCTGCACATGACGCGAGGGAAGAGATGGATATCTGGGGGTGTATGCCTGAGTGCCTGAGTGCCTGAGTGCCTTGGTGCCTGGGCTTTCAACGCGCATGAATGCCTGAGGCAATAATTACCATTTTGGGAAAGTGTTTGTCCGATGAGGTAATCTGTACAGAGCTCCACTTTAGCAAGGGCTTGTGTTTTGTTTTCCCCCCTGTGCAGTTTTCGTTCGAGTCTGTTGTGCAAAGATGGCATCTCTACCGCTTCCCCGCCTGGAGTCCCTCGTGGACTATACTTCCTTTGACCTCACCGTCCGTCCTTACTTGTCACAGCTGCCATGGCTGCCGGACAGCTTGTACGAAGCTGGTCGCGATGTGTATAGCTTGCAGGCTGTTTACCTGGCCACAAACCCTATGGTCTCTGCGCTTGCATTCGGTGGAGTCTTGGCTGCGCTTTTCTTCCTAGCAGCTGAGATTAACCGAAACTATTCGCAAGTCGACCGGTTTTGGAGCATTTTGCCTGCGCTGTACAATGTTCATTTCGCCGTCTGGGCTCGGTTGTCTGGTATCCAAACTCATACCCTGGATACGATCGCGGCCATCAGTGTCCTCTGGAGTGTAAGATGATTACCAACTATGAACTCGAAATACATTTACTAACGGTAATCGCCACGCAATAGGTTCGCCTGACATTCAACTATTGGCGCAAAGGAGGATACTCGATCGGTTCCGAAGACTACCGCTGGCAGATTGTGCGTTCCAAGGTGAACAACGCTTTTGTTTTCACAATCTTCAACCTTGGCTTCATCGCATTGGCCCAGTCCCTGCTCCTCCTACTCATCACTGCCCCAACCTACATCTTTGTTGTCGCCGCATACAACCAAGGCCCCGAGACCTTTGGCCTGCCCGACGTGGCATTCTCCCGCGCCATTTTTTTCTTCATTATTATTGAATTCTTTGCCGATGGTCAGCAATGGAACTACCAGACTGCCAAGCAGGAGTACCAGACCAGCGCGCGCATTCCCGAGCCTTACAAGGACCAATACAGCGCCGAGGATCTCGAGCGGGGCTTTGTTGTCAGCGGTCTTTGGTCTTGGTCGCGTCACCCAAACTTTGTTGCCGAGCAAGCTGTCTGGCTGACCATGTACGCTTGGGCCTGCTACCGTACTGAGACTTACTACAGCTGGGCCGGCCTGGGTGTCTTGGGGTATCTTGCCATCTTCCAAGGAAGCACTCGCTTGACTGAAGGCATCAGTGCAGGAAAGTACCCTGAGTACGTTGATTACCAGGCTCGCGTCGGCAGGTTCCTGCCTCGCTTTTCAGTTAAGGCTAAGAAGACGAAGAAAGCCACCAAAAAGAATGACTAGACTGAAGCCCTGGAGACATGTCATGTATAATTGGAAAACGACGAGTTTATATTATCAAGGCGGTTAAATTTGCTCTTTTGCTCTTCCTGTTTCCTTTTTGCAATGTTCAAATCACCTTGTTTTTCAATCTCAGATACTAATATCTGTTTTTTTAACAAATCTGCAACGTGGTATCCACCAACGTACCCAGGTTCTTTTGTACGATCATTCCCAGCGATGATTGGTTTAACGAGAGGCTTGTATGCGCCGGGCTTCTTCTGCCTCGATGATGTGGAAGAGTCTCCCCAGGCTCCTTATGGCACCACCCAACGGCTCGCCATCTTTGGACTTTTCCAGCAATTCAGAGATCCATGACTCCCACTCTGGTCCTAGATTCACGAGTATGAACTGGCACCATAGCCACTCATTATCTACCCCCTCGTTGTCTGTTCCTCCGTGGGGGCTGCCTCCCTCTCTTCGTTGGTTCTCTTTCTCCCCGTGAGGGTTACATTCAATTGCACGAATGCACAGCATCATATTCCGTAGATATTCCTTGAGTGATGAACACTTGTCATACCTAATGTTCATTATATCGCGCACACCCTTAACAGACCGTACCCGCAAAGGCACGTCACCTCCGCACGTCTTTTCCAGAAACTGCCATGCTTCGTGGGCATCCGAAGTTCCTAAATCACTCAGATCTTGTTGTATCTGTGATGACACGTTGCTGAAAATCACCATCCAGATGTTCGGGTTGAATTGGGTCCATTGAGAGCTGGACTCGCCATAGACTAGCGCAAGCATAATGTCGCCTTCCAGTTCCCATGCAACGGCGCATTGCCTGAGCGTTCGCTCCATCGCCACCGCCCAATGCTTGTAGTTCTCAGGGCCAAGCAGCGTTTCCTGTAGAATCTTGGGCTTGTAAAAACGTGTTGCTGGTTTGCGTAATAGCCGCAGGGAACGGCCTCTGATGTTCCATGTCTGGGATGGTTGATTCGGTACCGTCGCGTTGTGCTCGATGACATGGGAGTCTGAAGTTGAATATCTCCTTCCGCTAGACATACTGGTTCTGCTCGATGCGCCGCCTTCGGTGACAACACTTCCTTCTCGGACCCGATTAGGGAATTGACTTCTTGATGGACCATACCAGAAGCGATCAAATCTACGCAGATTATCGTTTGACCATTGCCTCTCGATCGCTTGCATTTCTGTGCTCGGCCTCTCGCTCAACAAATCCCGGCCATTTTCATCAAGAAGCTGGGGGATTGGTGAAATCTCTAGTGGAGCGAATTCCCTGTCCAGAGTTTGCGACTTCGGCTTGTTGGCCTTCGGCTTGTTTGTCGCAAAACGCAGGAAGTCGAATGGAATGGCGCATTTGGCGTTAACATCTCCCCATGATCTCATGTTGCTGGTCTTCTTCCCAATGTTCTCGCCGGCGAACTTGGTTCGTACAAATAGGCAGTAGGTGCGCTTTTGTGTTTTTAGTCTGCATACGTTATTCTTGTTGAAGCCTAGGCGATTTTTTTTTTGTTCTCTTTGCTATTCGACTTTCTTTGTGTAATGCAAGCCACTCTGCGCTGTCAGTAGCCATGTAACAAGCATTGCTGAATGACAGAGTAGAGAAGACACTTAAGCACCTGCCCAGGTGATCGCTCGATTCATTCATTTCTCGACGTACCTTGAATTTTGTGATAAAGCATGGCTGGGTCTAAGACTTATTATTCATGTATGTTCCGCAGCCCCAAGGAAATTGTTCAAGACATGAGACTCAAAAGTTGACCATGGCTTTCCACAAAGCATCGCTCCATTTTCGCTTTTTAGAATGCCTAGGTATCCATGTGATACACCACAACGTCTAAGCAAGTGTCCTGCTAAAGTATTTCAGAGCCCCAGGCGCCACAGTCTGTCTCGCGGCTTTAGATTCCGAGCCCTAACTTGATCCATACATGCCAAGTCAAGACACTTGAGCAGCGAATCACGTCAATTACAGTATCTTTACATCTACACGGCTTGAATCTATGCATATAAAGATTCAGCGGGGGTACCCAAGCTGATTCCCGCTTTTGACATGATTCCCAAACACCGACTTTATTGAACTGAGTCTTGGGAGGTTCGAACAAACCAAATCGGATCTTAACATAAGTGCCCGAAGGCCTGGTCTGTAAACCCATTCACCAAAGGGGCAAACGGATTAAGAGACGTGTTCGAGACAATAACCAGCGTTAATTTTCTGGCCGTGAAATGTGCCTATATTCTACATGATATAGTTGCCAAAAGAAATAGGTGTCAAACGTGGAAGACAAGTCTAAGCCCAATTTCAAGTTTCAACTAAGAACTCCTTATTATACACTCAGTACAGTAGTACAGATCCAGATAAACACGGAGTTGGAGGGGGGATGGGGGGGGGTTCGGGGTGTGAGAAGGGGAAAAAGAAAAATGATCTTATTGAGCGCAACATGACAGAGAAAGAGATGTAGAAGAGGGTAGAGAAAGGAGAAAAGAGAAGATGAGGGGAGTAAAAAGATGCCATAAATACAAAACAACGAGAGGCTACAGTGATATCATTCCTCTCAATCAAAGCAAAGCAAAATGCACACCTCGCCTCTATGAAGGGGGGAGAGGAGTCTCGTCCCGACCATCCTTACCAGCAGTCTGTTCAGGACCCTGGTGGTCAGGCGGGGCGATGGTCTTTCCACCCTTACCGTCGAAGTACTTGGCGAATTCGCCAGACTCGGGGTAAGGACGAGGGCCAAGGAGACGAATTAGGTCGTCGCGACCAAGAACCTCCTTTGACAAGAGTTCCTCGGCAACGATACCAAGCTCCTTGCGCTTCTCCTCAAGAAGGGTACGGCATTGAGTGTGAGCCTCCTCGATGATACGGCGCACCTCGAAGTCGATGTTGCGGGCGGTATCTTCGGAGAATGGCTTGTGAAGCTGCTGTTGCGCATCGTCCTCATAGTAAATATAGCCAAGTTTGGAAGACATGCCAAACTTGGTTACCATTGCGGTAGCCATGCGAGTGACCTTGTTGAAGTCGTCGCTGGCACCGCTAGTCACGGTTTCAAAGTGAAGTTCCTCACTGACACGACCACCCAAGGTCATAGCCATGCGATCCATCATTTGGTTGACATTCATCAAGTAGGTGTCACCACCTGCGGGAAGATATTGAGCATAGCCCAGCGCACCTTGGCCGCGAGGGATAATAGAGACCTTGAGGAGCGGATCGGCCCACTTGAAGTACCAACCACAGATGGCATGACCAGCCTCGTGGTAAGCGACGGTTCGCTTCTCCTCGGGGGAAAGGACCAGGGATTTCTTCTCCAGACCACCGATAACACGCTCGATGGCTTGCTCGAAGTGTCTCATGATAACCTTGTCGGCGTTCTCACGGGCGGCTATAAATTAATTAGAATCTGTCATCCAAGTTTGATGGGTGGAAACTTACCAACAAGGGCTGCCTCGTTGACACAGTTAGCGATATCGGCACCAGCAAATCCAGGAGTCAAAGCAGCGAGTCTGCCTTCCATATACTCCAGGTTCTCGTCGGTGACAATCTTCTTCAGGTATACACGGAAGATCTGCTTACGACCATCCATGGTAGGTCGGTCAATGGAAATGTGACGGTCGAAACGTCCGGGGCGCATCAAAGCCTTGTCGAGAACATCAGGTCTGTTGGTACCGGCAAGAACAACGACTTGCTCAGAGGTATTGAAACCATCCATTTCGGTGAGAATCTGGTTGAGGGTGCTTTCGCGCTCGTCGTTTCCGCCACCAACATTCGACTTGGCGCGGGATTTTCCAATAGCATCGATTTCATCAATGAAGATGATACAGGGAGTGTTCTTGCGGGCATTGGCGAACAGATCGCGGACACGAGAGGGACCAACACCGACAAACATTTCAACGAATTCGGAACCACTGACACTGTAGAAAGGCACGCCAGATTCACCAGCGGTGGCCTTGGCAAGCAGAGTCTTACCAGTACCAGGAGGACCAGAGAGAATAGCACCTCGGGGAATCTTGGCACCAAGCTTTTCGAAGCGCTCGGGCTGCTGAAGGAAGCTAACGAATTCCATGATTTCAACCTTGGCTTCATCCATACCGGCAACATCGGCAAACTTGGTCTTGATGTCGGTCTCGTGGTTAAATCGCTTGGCACGGCTCTTGCCGATGCCAAAGATTCCACTCTGACCGCCACCACCACCGCTAGCACGACGCGACATCCAGAAGATACCACCAAGGAAGAGAAGTGTAGGGGCCAACGACATCAAGACGCCACCCCAGGGGGTTTCATCGTGGTAGGCAACCGGGATACGTTCATCAGATGGGATTCCAAGTTCATACTGAGCATTCTCCAGCTTCATTTCGAAGCTGTCCACCGAACCGATGCTGAAGAAGACAGGGGAAGAAGGTTGACCATTTTCACCAGGAATAGCGACAGACACAGCCTCGCGGTTGAGATCGACGCGAACCTTGTTACGGTTCACGACAGTCAATCGCTCAACGAGTCCTTTCTCAAGGTAGTTTGACCGGAATTCTTGCCAGGTAATATCTTTGCCCTGAGCCTCGCCGGGGAAGAAGCTGCGGTATACGTAGTAGGTGACCAGAGAGGTGATTAAGAAAGAAGCGGGATCGAAGCGGAATTCAAGGACTTTGCCCATGTTCGGGGGCATTTTGCCCTTCTTGTCATCCTGGTTCTTCCGTTGCTCTTGCTTCTTAGGGTCCTTTTGCTCGGGATCATTGTCCTTCTTAGGGTCCTTAGGGGATTGTCCACTGGGTTCGTTGTCCTTGTCGTTCTTGGGTTCTTGGTTCTGCTTCTCCGGTTTTTCGGAGAAGAAGTTGAATGGGCTGCTGTTTTGTTTGGCTTTGTCCTGCTCCTGGAGCTTGGCAATTGTCTCGTCCGAGGTCGTCACATCCCACAGGAAACGCATCATTCTAATGCGATCCATCAAGGTCGGAGGTTGATTTGGGTCGAGGTGCTTCCTTACTTCGGCGGGGAGACCATTCTTCATGAGATGCTCACGAACTTGGGTGCGTCGCACCTCATCCATTCCCTGTAGCCATTCGTCCACACTCTTCAGCTCGGCGTCAGTCAGCACCGAACGGGGCTTCTTGTCCTGGTTCTGGTCTTCATTGGGCTTGTTGTCCGGGGGTGTCGGACCACCGGTACCTTGTGTGCTGTATGTTCTGGCGCGGTGTGATAGAATCGATGAGAGTCGTGACGGCTGTGCACGCACGGAAGCTAGTCCTGTGCGACCGGTGAATTCCGCGGCTTTCCTCGAGTAATGAGCGAGATTGCCTGGCCGGCGGAGCAAGGTGGCCATGGTCGAGGTAAAGCCCCGAGGGCTGCGAGGGCGGGGGTAACGGGTGATCAATCGAATTTGTAGGTGATGGTTTAATGGACTGACCATCAAAAATAAGGCGTGGAGAAGGGGTTTGGATTGGGGTGGTGTGAAGTCTCTCCGGCCTACCGAGTGACGCCGTGGCCGTGCTTCTCAATTCTCCGGGAATAACCTTTATCCGAAGCCGAGTCATCGGTCCTTGGAAGCAAGTGGAAACCGCAGACTTGTGTTCGCACCGTATGATCTTCAATGCTTGTTGATTTGGGAAAGCAGTACGCTACGGGTTCTTATTTAGAGAAGTTGAAAATCGGCCAGAACTGCAACAAAAATACCTATGCTACCTCAAGTCATTGAGAAAGCTAGGCAACATTCACCTAACTAGGGCTCCCAGCTAGACCTCGGGAGGGGGGGTATAGGATTGATAATCTAACGGGGCTAGTGCCCAGCCCTGTGGTTTATTACTTGTGCTAGTTGGTCTTTGGTAGCGGGAGACTGACCTTTTCATACTCCGTACTTAGTATCTAATGTGTACATTTGCACCAAGAGCTCGAGATAAAACATTTATCTCATGCTCTTTGATCATTATTTCTATGGGGTATCCGTAAATGATTGAAGGGGCGTGGCATGTCCAGATTGGTGTGGTGGTCTCTAGCAGTACACTGCTTGTGGCTAAAATCTGACGACGATGTCTTGGTAAGGCTGCTGCCCATAATCAATAATTTGCTGGTGGCCTACCTGTAAAAACAAGTTGCTACTTTTTCCTTTTGGCTTCGGGAAACGATTCTACCTAAGTATCTCAATAGAATAGTTTTACTAATAAGTTGTGACACAGTCGCGCCATTCGCTACATAACCCAATTACTCCATGGAGATTCAAACAGAGGGGAGCGCTTCAAGATACAAGGGTAGTAGAGATGCTTGGTTGAGGGGAGATGATCGCTGTAGCGAACTTGTAAGACATAAGAAGGTCATAATCACTGCCCCGGTGGTGGGCCAGCACCTTCAAATGGGGGGAAATTAGTGGTCATATCTGCCCAGTCCCATTCGATTGTCATGGGCATTTGCCATAGATCCTGGGGAACAAATGGCTGTTGGAATGGCGCCATTCCTGGGCTAGCACCGCCAAATGGAGGCTGATCGGGGAACCCGACACCCGCCATCTGCTCGGGACTGAGGATATCTGAGAAATCTTGTCCGACGCCAGACATGGAATGGACATTGCTTGGGAGATCTGCAGGCATGCCACTTGTCGGTGGCCTTGTAGCCCCTGAAAAGGATCCACCCGGGCCAGGCGAGGGGCCTGCGGCCGTGGGGGTTGTAAATACAGAGGGAGAGAAGGCGGCGGAAGTGGGCGGCGGTTGTGAACGTTTGGCGGACGGGGAAGTTCTCGATTGGTTCTCTTCGCCTTGTTCCGCTGAGTCTTCCGGGGCAGTCTTGCGTTTTTTGCGAGATTGGGATTCCTTTTCTGAGCGATCCAATACCACCTTGGCGATCCTCTCAAATTCACCACAAAGACCAAGCATACGCTTGATGCTGCCATTGGATTCATCAGAGACTAGGGTAGAGAGGAAGTTGACCACCACGTTCATTAATTTGACGTCGGAGCGAGCACGAGCATCATTGGGGTTCTGAAGTATGTTGGCAAACAGGGTTACAAGAGCAGAGACCGGATAGTAGAGAATCAGCCTGATACCAAGTTAGCAAAGTAATCTGTGATCAAAATGAATAGCCCCTTAGTAGAACGTACCAAACACAGGCAAAATCGCCTTGTGGAATATACTTTATTAAGTTGATTGAAGCCCTGGCAGCAGTGACACACAGAACTGCCGACAAAAAGACCCTGGGATTTAGAGGTCGAGCATTGAGTCCCTGGATGGCATAATTGGAAAGACGGCTGGTCCAATAGCCATGGTGGACAGACATGCGGTGGATGGTCGTCAGGCAGTTGTAGTATGCGAAATGTAGTACAACAACGTGGATGATGAGCGGCGTGTGTGTAGCTTGAATATCGTTTTCGGGTCGGAAGTCAATAGGGATACTATCCTTCCAGTCTTCCAGTTCTTTGTCAAGTTCCCCAATTGTATTGAGCAATTCGCCATCAGACTGTTTCGATGCCTTGGCGGAGTAAAGCCGCTTGTAAACATGACTTTCAATGGTGGCGAATTCACAGAGCGAACGGAATAGGTTGAACTTGCTTCTTCCATCGGCCAATGGTACGTTTCCGACATTGTCTGGTGGGTCTTCACTCGGCAGCTCGACATTCATGTCATCGTCGTCCTGTACTGGCGGGCGACCGGACCGGAGACAAATGCTTATAATCAGTTAGCATAATCCATGTAACAAGTGTTGAATAGTAATTTCTTACTCTTTATCGCAGAGGTATGCAATCCAAAAGACTCTCTTCCGCTGCTCAACTTCGACTGGATTGAGACCGAAGCCAGAGCCGCGTTTGTGCAGACCAATGCTATGAGACAGTCGAATGGCCGCGGCAACGAGGAAGAAGGCAGGCTGTGGGTTAGGAGTCCCCTGTAGGAATAGAGACATGCCCAGGAGTGCTTGCACACTCAAAAGATCGGTGTTGCGCATTGTGAGTTCAGTCAGAACCCCCATGGCGTTCTTTAAGTATAGCCAAGCTTTTTTATCCTCCTCATGTGGTACCAGGTTACTCATAACTCTGAGTCTGTGAGAGATGGCCAGAGCAACATTGATGCTAGCCCACCAACCTGAGCCCTCGTAGGGGTCGCGTGAGTATTGTCGCTCTACCAGATGCATGAATGTGGCTTCGTGGAACAACGGGAACAGGCAGTTGAAGTTTTCGAAAAAATCTTTGAACAGTGAAAGAGCCTCTTCTTTTGGTGGTAGAGGTTTGAACACACGTCTTGCGAAGATATCGCTAAAGATCTCGGGTTTCCAATACATCCACTTGTTGTCATCGACATACGCCGATGATATCATGTCCTGGAAAGATGTATCACCGGTCTTCTCATTGACCCATTGAATGCCCTTGGGTGAGAATATAGAAAATCCAGATGAGGATCCAATATACCGAGTCTCACCGCAATTATTTGTCACTAAAGAGCACATCATATCCGACAGGGCTTCAACTTCAGTTTCCGACTTATGTGATTCCGGTGATGTAGCGGCCGTCTGAGGGCTGGAGTTGGAGTCCATCCTTGGAGTAGTGTGGTGGGAGCTTGGGGCTCGCTGGGCTGCTTGGGCCATGGATTTGGCTGCGTTTTTCGTTGCATTTGTCGCACTTGCTGCATTTGCTGCATTCAGTGCATTCGTTCGATCGGCAAGTCGTTTCTCTAATGTTCCAAGATCCGTCTTGCCACCGTCATCCTCCGACAAGAGACCCGACAAGCGCAATAGCGACTCCATGCGCCCTAGGCGATTTTCGAGGCCTTCGATGTATTTCGCCCTATAATTCTCTGTCAGATCAAGAGAGCTATGCGCAATCAATTTACATACCCTTTCGGGGGGTTGCGCTTCTTCTCGACTTGGGTGAAAATGCATTCCGTCTTGTAATTAATGCAGTGTGAGCACTTGGGCATTTTGCCATCACATTTGATCTTTTTCTTGCGACACATATCGCAAGCCTGTCGACATTATATTAGAGCTTTCATGGCCATGGGTGCTGGTGTGATCCTCACCCTAGCGATCCTCCGTCTTTTGGCGTCATTGGTTTCGTCCCCCGCGCCTAATGACGAGTCGTCGTACATGGACCCTGTACCACCCTGCATCGGATTGTCATAGCTAAACAGCTGCGGTGTTTGATTCATCATTGGGTTCATGTCGAACCCCAAGCTGTCGTCCCCTATGTCCATTTTGCTATGAGGGGCAACACTCCGCGGAGTGGAGGCAATGGCGGTGTCGGGTAAGGAGACTGCGGGGAGCCGTGTTCAGGTGGTATATGCAGGCGAGAGCGCTGAGAGCGTTGGGCAGCTCCAAGTAGGAGTTTCAGGGTCTAGGACTCTGGACGAAAAAGAGGGAGCCTTGTGCGAATGGATGACGCATCAAAGACCCCAAAGGTAGACAGATTCTTTCGGAGATAACGGAGACTCCGGAACCCACTCAGTAAGGACTTGGTAACACGGATGCGAATGCGAAGAGATTGATATGAAGATCTCCTGGAAATTCCCCATGGCTTGAGAAACGGAGGCCGCGCACTCCGAACGCCGAGAAGTCTGACGGTCGAGTTCGTCCGATCCGGGTGAGCCATGGGCGACTTCCGAGGCCAGGGAATTTGGTTTCGAACCCATACATGCAATTTGTTCATGAGTATCACTATATTGTCTTTCTTATATCTGCGAAAGTCTGAATTTCTATCGAATAAGTATGGGGCAGTGCATCGTTGTACGTCTGTTATACCCTACAGGGGACTCTTAGGCTTCCAAATACGGAGTACTGAAGTAGAGACCATCGTATGGCATATGGTTATAGAAGTACATTTGAGGAGCGGCGATCTCAGGGATATGTAAAAAAAAAAGAACAGTATAATACAGCCAGAATCGAAGGTTCCTCCGACTTGGTAAAATGCCAAACCAACGCCACGCTATGAGCCCAAAGTAATGGCCGAATTGTCGACTCAGATTTCACTTTTCCTCATAAACAAAATGTTGAAGAAAAGAGGTTCGTTCAAACATGCTTATCGAGGAATTCCTTTGCTTCGTTGATCTTGGTGGCCAGGTAGGGGCTGCCGCCACGATCGGGGTGGTTGAGTAGCATGAGCTGACGGTGGTTCTTGCGGATCTTGTCCTTGGTAAGAGTTCGCTCGCTGGAGGAAGAAGGATGTCAGTGACGGTTGATCATTGAATATTTGGGTTCACATACGCAAGTTGCAGGATCAAGGAGGCTTCGCGACGGGACATGCGCTGGTCAAATCCTCTGGGTATCGTTAGCCAAGTGTTACCAAGGAGACCAATTCATTTTGATTCAGAAGTCTCTTACCCTTTGTAGAATGCCTTTCCGGCGGCGTTGAGACCTCCTTTGGAGCGGCGGTAGGCGACCAGACCGGCACGGCCCTGTAAACAATTAGCCACTGGACTGGATTCAGGCCTCTCGATCATACATACCAGGAAGGCGGTGGTAGCGATACCGAAACCGATAGCAAGAGCAGATGCCATATTGAAGATTGATGGGGGTTTATCGAGTGTACGGGAGTCAAGAAGCGGAGAGGCGTCGGGATAGAAAAGTCAGCGCACGAGCCCCAAAAGGGTTTAGCGTGGTCTGCTCCACCATTCAGGCCCAGCTTCAGAAAAAGTTTCTTGCGACTCAAACACAATAACCAACACCACTTTGCAGCCATGCGGTAAGTTTGTATCGATATTCTTGACATACAATGTCTAACAATCGATTCCCTCTATAGTGTTGAAACCTGTCACTTCTGTTCCCGCCCGGCATTCCCGAGTAAGGGAATCACATTCGTCCGCAACGATGCCCGACAATTCCGCTTCTGTCGGTCCAAGTGCCACAAGAACTTCAAGATGAAGCGTCAGCCCCGCAAGCTGAAGTGGACCAAGACTCACCGTGCCGCCAGCGGAAAGGAGATGATCGTGGACTCATCGCTCGTCCTGTCCCAGTTCGCCAAGAAGAGAAACGTCCCCGTCAAGTACGACCGCAACCTGGTGGCTGCCACTATTACTGCCATGGAGAGAGTCGAGGAGATCAGAACCCGCCGCGAGCGTGTCTTCACCAAACGCCGTCTGGCCGGCAAGCTGGCCCGCGAGCGCCAGCGCGAGGCCGACCGCAAGGTCGTCAACGAGGGCGAGCACCTCATCCGCAAGGAACTCCGCGAGCGCGAGGAGGGCCAACCCATGGTTGCCGAGCAAAGCAAGGTTGCCAACAGAGTCCACGGCGAGGAGAGAATCCGCCAGAAATCCAAGGCCAAGATGTTGGTGGATGGTGGCGTCGAGGAGGAGATGGATGTCGACTAAATTTCCCGGGCTGTTTTTTTCTTTTGTTTTCATGCTTCTTCAGATATGACACGGTTCCTGCGCTTTGCAGATTTTTGGAGTTGGGCATGCTTTGGTGTTTTAAAAGCTATCAATGTTTCTCATCATATCTCATATCCCGTGGGCTATTGGTCTCTTGCTTTCTAAGAGCCCAGTCAAAATGTGTTTAAATGGCCCTAAATGTTACATAGAAGGTTGCTACCTAGGTAGTCACTAAAGTGACCAGGTGGTGAAACGACCATAATGAGATCTTTGGAGATGGACCCGACAAATATCCAATGTAGGCATGCAAGTTCGTAGAGCATTCGCAATTTGGTGTCTATCTATGTGATTCACTTTGCCTTTCGCTTCTTTAGCTCAACAGAAGATCAAAAACCGACCACTTGGACCTGGGCGCCTCTAGCGGATCAGGGTCATTCTACGCTAGAATGAACCTCCTGGTAGACCAAGTAGTTTATAGTCCGGGCACATGTTACAATGCCCTGTAACCAAATAAATGACTAACAGACTTATAGCCTAGAACCTTTTACAATGTGATAACAAGCACGCCCATGTAGGGCACGCCCCAGCGGTTTGTACAGACCAAGAGACGTGAGATTTGACCCTCGCCAGTAAGACTGAAGAGGGTGTGCTCGAGCCGCTCAAAAGAGCTGATTTTGATATGTGAGTTCTTAAGAGCCTTGGGAATGGGGCACATGGGTCTCTCAGTCCTGGCCGAAGGGTATGCATGAGCTACTTTGGCAAACACTGCCCAGATCCCCGTGAACTGACTTAATGATTCCGGCATATCGAGTTATTGCACTGGTTTGTGCGTTTGTGAGGTTTTTTTTTTTCTCAGCCTCTCTTTCCCCGAATGGATCGTTTTGTGTCTTCCTTTCTTGTAGTGGGTTCTTGAAATGGTATGCGAGTAATGGGTCCTGTCATCGCCGCTTGGCCGATCGGTGAGCCTTGGGCAAAGGGGATGCAAGCGCTGTTGCTGCTTGTGCCTTGAGTATTAGCCCTGCTCATGAACCCCCTGAAAGGAGGAAAGACACGAAACGATCGATTCGAGGAAAAGAGCTAGAGGTAGAGGAAATAACCTCACAAACGAGCAAACACTATATGGGTTTTGTCTATGAAATACCATCCCAGACCTCGCCAATTTGAAAGAAAACTCACCTTTAGGCTGGCGGATTGGGAGAGCAAACGACATGCCACATGTGGATTTCCACTGATTGAAGCTTCGAACACCGACAAAAGACAATGAGAAGGTAAACTCGCCACCATGGATGATGGTCGCGGCTAGTATTGTCAAGAATAGCAACTAAATACAATACAATCCAAAAATGGAAATGAAGAGAAGGGTGCTGGGAGGACCGAAGAGGGAAAAGCGAGAGGAAGGTAGGAGGTAGCAACCCTAAAGAAGAAGAGGGAAAAAAAAGGAAACATATAGCGCCCCTCTGATGAGTGAAAACTCCCCTATTTGGTCACCCGACATCCTTATAGATCAAATCGAGTCCTGTCATATGCGCCAAACACCACCCCCAAAGAGGGGAACCAAACAAGAAAAAAGAAAAAAGCGAATGCGATGGCTGTAGGCGAAGATAGCAGAGAAAGACGCAGGAGGGTATGAATATCAACGGAATATGATAAATGGCTCATATAGACAGGGTATCAACGGCCAATCAAATCCGGGAAAATAAATGCTATGCAAACGAACTCTAGGTGCTGTTTGAACGCAGCAATATCTGAAAAAGAAAAGAATTAGTCAATCGCATCGGGAGAAACGGGTTCAAACGTACAGCTAACGTACCCGCTCGTCGATCATCTCTTCGTCCTTGTCTTGTGGTGCTGGACTGACGACGCTTCCTCGGCTGATGGGACCGGAGGAAGTTATAGACCGCGAATCCACAACAGGGCGTGGGGGCTGTGGCAAGGGCGGCTGTTGGGGCGGCTGCGATTGTTGCTTCTGTGGCCGCTGTTGAGATTGTTGTTGTGGTTGCTGCTGTTGGTTTTGGTTGTCGGAGGACATAGAGTAGTTGGGATGCATTTCCCCACTGCTGGAAATTCTTGACTCTTTGCTCTTCTCCAACAGTGATCCACCAAGGGTGGCACACTTGAGAATAGTTTGCATCATCTGGTTCTGTTTTAGTGGCTTCGACAGGTATTCGTCCATCTGGGCCTGGATGCACTTCTCGCGATCGCCCAACATGGCGTGGGCAGTGAGCGCAATGATTGGGGTGCGTTGGAGCCCACTCTCGCGTTCGTACTCGCGGATTTTTCCGGTAGCTTCAAATCCACCCATGACCGGCATCTGAACATCCATCAAGATTACATCGTACCGACGTTTCTTGACGGCTTCGACGGCTTCCAGGCCATTACCAACAACGAATACGTTGTGGTTGTGTTTTTGGAGGATCTTCATTGCGAGCTGTTGGTTCACATCGTTGTCCTCGGCCAAAAGGATGTCAAATGACCTGGAGTTGTCTGTGGTGATGGGCGTCGAACGACCTTCCAAGGCCGGCAGCATACCGTTTCCAAGGTCAATGGGTTGACACGGGGTAGTCATGTATGAGCTAATACCAAGGTCGAGAGCGGATTTCAAGCTGACACACACCAAAGGACAGACCAGAACAATTGGAATGTACTTGAATTCGTCAAATGTGCGCAAAATGCGAGCTGTGTCCACGGAGTCCACGATGATGACGTCGTAGGCATGTCCTGATTCCTTTCCAGAAGGGTCTTGAATCTCAGGTGGTGGCACGTGTTCCTCGTTCCGCACCACCAAAGGTTCAAGTTCGATCTTCTTCAGCATCTTCATAACGTTGGACGCTTGAACACCGTTCTGGCCCTTGTCAATAAACAACACGCGATGGTTTCTGTATGGCAAGAGCTGGTTGGCGATCACGCTCAAAGATTGATCTGCAAGCTTCACAACGCAGGTGAAATGGAAAGTACTGCCGTGGCCATACTCGGAAGTGACCCAAACGTCACCGCCCATCAAGTTGACCAGCCGCTTGGAGATGGAAAGACCAAGACCAGTACCACCAAATCGGCGGGTAGTTGAGCCATCGGCTTGCTGGAAGGTGTCGAAAATCAGATCAAGTTTATCTTCTTCGATTCCTATACCTGTGTCGGACACAGAGAACTCGAAGGCGTATTCAGTGGTTGTGCATTGCTCACGATCGGACTTGCGAATCGTGAGCTTGACTTCGCCATGTTCTGTGAACTTGATAGCGTTGCCAACCAAGTTCAGAATAATCTGGCGGAGGCGGAATGGATCACCAATGACATAGTCGGGAACGGTGTTGTCAACTTGGTATGTCAGGCTCAAGAACTTCTCATTGGCTTTGACAGCCAACGTCTTGAGGGCGTTGAAAACAGTACCCCGGACCGTGAATGGAATGCTCTCGATTACCATACGGTTGGCTTCGATCTTGGAAATATCGAGAATGTCGTCAATGATAGTCAATAGACTGTTTGCCAAGTTGTGCACAACATTCAGCATTTCGCGGGTGTACGGCTTGAGATCGTCCGTGTCCAAGGTCAACTGAGTCATACCAATGATACCATTCATCGGAGTTCGGATCTCGTGAGACATGTTGGCCAAGAACTCAGATTTGGTACGATTGGCTAGTTCGGCAGCCTCCCTGGCAGCAGTGTTCCTTTGAATACTATCACGCAGGTTGGAAACCATCTTGTTGATCTTGCGCTTCAGTTCGTCCATCTCACCAGATGCATTAACGGTGATTAGTTTGGTGAAATCACCATCAGTGGCAGCATCTGTGATTTCACCGAAAGCACGCACTTGAGATGTCAAGTTCTCGGCCATTGTGTTCACATCCTCCGTGATTTCCTTCCAGGTGCCTGCAATACCCTCCACGTTGGCTTGTCCACCCATCTTGCCGTCGACGCCGACATCTCGTGCGACCTTCTTCAACTCAGTCGCGAACTTCGCAAGACGACCCACCATGTGGTTGATGGTAACCTTGAGAGTGAGAATCTCTCCCTGCGCGTGGACTTCAATCTTCTTGCCAAGGTCACCCTTGGCGATAGCTTGCGTGACATCGGAGATACTCCGTACTTGAGAGGTCAAATTCTGCGCCATGGTGTTCACGTTATCGGTCAAATCCTTCCACTTTCCTTCGACGTTGTCAACCTTAGCCTGACCGCCAAGGGTACCATCCGTGCCGACCTCACGAGCCACTTTACTGACTTCAAAGGCAAATGTGTTGAGTCGGTCCACCATGCCGTTGATTGTGCTTTTCAGGTCGAGAATCTCTCCTTGCACATTGGCAGTGACCTTTTTGGTCAAGTCACCCTTAGCGACGGCAGTAGTGACGTCTGCAATCTCACGCACTTGGGTGGTAAGATTGTTAGCCATACGGTTGACATTCTCTGTTAGGTCCTTCCATGTTCCTTCCACGTCATTGACCGTCGCTTGGCCGCCCAGGACACCATCGGTTCCGACTTCCTTGGCGATTTTGGTGACTTCTTGAGCAAATTGTCGTAGTTGGTCCACCATGGAGTTGATGATGTTTTTCAACTCTGCGATTTCACCTTTACAGTTGGCCTGAACCTTCTGCGTAAGATCACCCTTGGCAACGGCCTTTGTGACAGTGGCAATATCTCGCACTTGCGTGGTAAGATTGTTGGCCATGGCGTTGACATTAACGGTCAATTCATTCCACATGCCCTGGACACCTTCGATTTGAGCCTGTCCTCCGAGTACACCTTCCGTTCCGACGTCACGCGCGACCCGTGTTACTTCCGTGGCGAACGTTCTGAGTTGGTCCACCATGGTGTTGATGGTTTGTTGCAATTCGAGAATTTCTCCTTGGGCACGACTCTCAATCTTCTGGCTGAGATCACCGTGGGCAACACCAGTAGTGACGGAGGCAATCTCTCGCACTTGGTCTGTCAAATTCTTTGCCATGATGTTCACGTTTTCGGTAAGTTCTTTCCAAATACCATGGACGCCAGTAATCTGAGCTTGTCCTCCAAGTATACCTTCGGTACCGACCTCACGCGCGACACGAGACACCTCGCTACCGAAGACTTGCAGTTGGTCCATCATAGTGTTAATAGTGCGTTTGAATGTGGCGATTTCGGGGTCCATCTCCAACGGATGGATCTGGACTTTCATGGAGAGGTCACCATTGGCGACCTGGGTGATAATGCCCCCGATTTCACGCAAGGCTTTCTGGAAGGCCTCGTTGGCCTGTTGGTGCTTGCGGAGCTCGCGTTCCAGAAGGACGACATCTTCGTTTTCGACCTTGGTGAGAGCGCGTCGAGTGTGTTCCTCCTGTTTCTGCAATTCGTCGCGAACCTGGGCAATGATGTCTTTCTGGGAACTTATTTCCTCGGCCTGCTTTTGTACGTGGTTGCGGAGGAAACTGATGTCCTCCTCCCGCACGACGCGGGTGCCGGCTTCGTCTTCGTCATCGGTGTCGTCGTCAATCTCCCCCAGAGGGCGGTCGTCGGGGGTTTCCACCGGTACTATGGGGATCGATTTTTGCTGCTGTAAAAGGCAAGAAGAAGAGTCAGAACCTTGACCTGACGCGAAGCGAGAGAGCCCAAAAGTCCTCAGAAAATCAGGGATCTTCTCGTTGGATTCTTCAGCAGACCCTTCCCCGGTGTGGGGAGTCGTCTGCTGTTGGAGATCGTCGGGGAACTGGTGACTGACAGCTTGGAATTCCAGGTGGTGCACACGGCGCACCAAGGCCTCAAGCTCGGCTTCGAAGGCTGCCTTTGCAGGACTATGGTCTCCGGGGAGCTTGGCGGACTTGACACCGTTGGATGATAATTGAAAATCAAATGGGGGTGAAGAGGAGCCGGAGGTAGGCTCGTCTCTTGCCAGATTCTGTAGCACAACAGTCGCGGCCACGAGGGTCTCGTCTACGCCAGCCATTGTGCCCTAATATCGTTAGCCACAGACCGATACCACTCTCAACGAAAATGAAGGTGTTGCCGTATGGAGAGTCCGGACCAAAAGGCGGATGTCGGAACGGGGCTACTAAGTTTTGATAGGGCTTCCGAGGGTGAGAAAATTGAGCTCCAGGATGACATACCGGATATTCGAGATCCTGACGCAAAAAAAGTCGGATGTTCTAATTAGGGCGACATGAGGTGATTCCAGTCAAAAACCAATAAACATGAAAAATGAAATGAACAGGTCCCGAGTCTATCGGGGATGATGGGAACCTTCAAGGTCGGGAAGGGGGGGGGGGGGGGGGGGGGGAAAAAAAAGGGGGGGGGGGGAAGGAGGGAGGGGGCCAAAAAAAGGATGGGGGGAGAAAAAAAAAAAAAAAAAAAAAAAAAACAAAAAAAAAAAAAAAAAAAGAAAAAAGAAAAGAGGAGAGGGCGGGGGTGGGGGGGGGGGGGGGGGGGGGGGGGGGGGGGGGGGGGGGGGGGGGGGGGGGGGGGGGAGGAAAGAAAAGGGCGCCCGGTAATTATGTAATCCGCCTAAGAAAGTATGCGGGGGACAAGAGACAAGGTTAGAAAAGAGATGCCAAATACACAGAGAACAAGAGCGAAAGTAGGGAAGAAAAAAAGAGGGAGAGGACACAGATGATTTTGAAAGGGGCGGTGATGCTGGGGTTTTTGTCTCTCCTCTTCTCGAAGACGCCACCCTAAACAGAAACAACTCAAGGGATATAATGAAGAACTTCAATAGATTGACTCTACTCCGTAAGATTTTTTTCCCTCTTTATTTTCACATTACACCATGACTGCAGATGTGCACGGACTGGATTGATTTGTTTAGGTTTCGAGAATATGTACTCCGTACCTACGACGTACTCCATGGCTACTCGTACAAGAAAGGCAAAAAAAAAAGAATAAAGAATAAAGAATAGAGCGGTAAATGTACTGATCAGCTGTTTCATATCCCGTGGTCCACCTGCTATCGATGTACCAAGGCCCAAAAGCGTGATGATCGACTACGGAACTAGTGGCGATCACTTAAGGCCGTTTGAGATGTTGATAGTGCTTCTCTCTGCAGCTTGTAGGTAGTACATACTCTGTACTTGGGAGGTACCCGAGTGCATTGAACACAGGACATAGAAAAGAAAGGGGGGAAAAAAAGATGAGTGCAAAACGACCTCGCTATGATCGATCATTGGATGATGGGGTCTCAGTCCCATTTTCCGTTCGATTTCAACTGTTCGGTACGAACTTTGGTGGCTGAGCCGTCCGCTTAGCGTCACGTTGTGTGGCTTCATTGGCGCTGTCCCTCGTGTCCAGGGCATTTCCCATCGTGAAAGAGATAGGAGATCTCAAAACCTTGTCTTATTCCGTCAATATTAAGTACTTAGGTGCGGAGTACATATGTACAGAATACTCCGTGCAAAGTACTCCGTACTCTGTACTCCATACTCTGCGTTAGGACAAGGTATGTGGGAGATGGGCTGGCACTGGAGGTTATACGGCAGGGTATATGCTAGGTGTTAGTGGCCTGGAATCTGCTTTCTTCTGAGAAATAAACAAAACAAAACAAAAAGAAAAGAAGAAAAAAAAAACGAAACATGCCAACATAGGAGGTCAACGTTGTGGTGTTTACGGACTGTGCCCATAACCAAGTCCGCAATGACTATGGCGGGGTGGAACTGCAGAAGTGGTCTTTGTCGCCTCCCGCATTTATCTTTTGGATCCCGCCGAGTCATAATTCTGCGAAATATTGTCTGACCTCAAACGCCGAAAGTATCTCCAAAACAAAATTCCAGTCTGCAGGACAAGGCTGCAATCATGGAGATCGACTTGACAAACCCCATTTTGGACGCCCTGTCCGCCAACGATGCGCCCATTCTCACCAGCAAAGCCTTCCCCTCCACCCCCTCATTGAAGGTCAAAAGTGCGCTCGACCGCCTTGGCTCCCGGCAGATGGTCGATTGGAAGGTTCTGGAGAAGGAAATCGTTACTCTCACCAAGGAAGGAGAGGAGATTGCCGCCAATGGCAGTCACGAGGCCAAGGTCTTCGCCGCCGTCGTTGCTGCGATGGATGGATTAAAGATTGCCGACCTGCCTGGCATTGTGGGCAAGGACAACGCCAAGGTTGGACAGGGAAATGCCTTCAAGCGCGGCTGGATCAAGAAGGATAAGGACCTACTCCGGGCATCCACGGAGTCAATTGTCGATGAGACGCAACAAATCCTGGTCGGGGTTCAAAAAACAAAGGCCCTGAGCGATGCCAAGGCCTTGCAGGACTTGAAGCGGAGAAAGCTCGTTTCTTTGGCCAAGGAGCATGACTATGAGATCTTCAAGGGTCCCAAGTACGCCCGAGAATTCGTGAAGGAGGAGACTGATCTCACTCCCGAAATGATCGCCAGCGGCTCGTGGAAGACGACGGCCTTCAAGTCCAAGAACTTCAATGCCAAGGGTGCAATTACTCCATCCGGTACCTTCCATCCTTTGAACAAGGTGCGACAAGAATTCCGCAACATCTTCTTCGAGATGGGCTTCGAGGAGATGCCCACCAACCGCTTCGTGGAAACTGGTTTCTGGAACTTCGACGCCCTGTTCGTTCCTCAGCAGCATCCTGCCCGTGACCTCCAGGATACCTTCTATATCTCCGACCCTGCCGTAGCCGACGGTCCTCGCGCAGACGCCCCTAACGACCCTCACTGCCCCAAGTCAAAGGACGGCGAGGAGCCCCTCGATTACCAAAAGTACTGGGACAATGTTCGTGAGGTCCACGAGCACGGCAAGTTTGGCTCTATCGGCTACCGCTACCCATGGAGTGCGGATGAGTCTCTCCGCCTTGTGCTCCGCACTCACACCACCTCTATCTCAACCTACATGTTGCACAAGTTGGCCGCCAACCCCCGGCCAGCTCGCTACTTCAGTATCGATCGTGTCTTCCGTAACGAGGCAGTCGATGCTACTCACTTGGCTGAGTTCCACCAGATTGAAGGTGTCATTGCCGACTTCGGTCTGACTCTTGGTGGTCTGATTGGTTTCATGGAGGTCTTCTTCGCCAAGATGGGCATCCACCAGCTGCGCTTCAAGCCTGCTTACAACCCCTACACCGAACCCAGTATGGAGATCTTCGGCTACCACGCCGGTCTGGGTAAGTGGGTTGAGATTGGTAACAGTGGTATGTTCCGACCGGAGATGCTAGAGTCCATGGGTCTTCCCAAGGGCCTGAGAGTCTACGGATGGGGATTGAGTCTGGAGAGACCTACTATGATCAAGTAAGTTCCGACGAGCCTTAATTTATACATCTACTAACATGTGTCTAGGTATGCTGTCAGCAATATCCGTGAACTTCTTGGTCACAAGGTCGATCTCAACTTCATTGAGAGCAACCCGGCTGTTCGACTTGAGAAGGACTAAATGGAGAGATGGTACACTCATGTATAGAAAACAAAAAGATTTCTCTGGGTTGTGTCTTGCTTGTGGGGTCATGAGATAAATCAGACCTCACTCGCAATCACGAGTTTATGCGCAAGGAAACGTATTGCATGTCAACGATGGACAAGGTGTGAATAAAACACATTCCTCACTTCTATCCCAGGGGTACCAACCTTGACGTAGATTAAGTGCTTGCGACAGAGAACTTGCATAATTGAGTAGAGTAGATGTGTGTGGATTGACCAGGATGACAACAGATTTAGAATCCAAAAGAGAATGGTATTCGCTCAGAACACGATCAGTAGCTCTACAGTGATGTCCTGCCCGTATCTGTGCCCCAGCGCATGGGTCTCTGCAACAGTGGCTCTTCAGCAGGCGGGAGCTTGGAAGCATGATCTTCGGCAATATATGCTTATTTCTGCCTCCTCGCTCACAGGGTTGGAGACAGAAGACCAAGACCAGCTAACCTACCGGGGTAGGCAACGAGTCTGGTTTTCTTATCTACAAAGAACGAGGGGACTAAAAGCGCCGTGTAGGAGGACAAGGAAATAAACTATGCAGCAGGAATGAAAAATATACAAAAAGATATCGGATCGATTTTTTTTTTTTTGGCCTGCGAGTTTGCAGTCGACACGGAGCGTCTATCGCATTGGCGGGATTGTGAGTGGTAGAGAAAAAGAACCTGAACCATCAAGTCGTCGATATTTTATTCATTTCGATAGATAGGTAGGAAAACAGGAGTTTCTCTGAGGAGAAAAAGAAAAATGAGAACTAAGGAAAAACTCATATCCCTTGGTCCTTTTTTGAGGTCATGGGACCAACTCCCTGAACACGGACCATCAGCCACGGTTCCTCTATGCCAATTAGCCAAGCACGTTATATTAAACCCGGGATCCCAACATACCATCAATTCAACCCGTCAACACCGGTGAGACCACATCGCTGTGAATAATTTACCGCTGGCTGGAAGCAGTCCAGACGTTCTTGAGGTAACCGTCACGCTGGGCCAGACGGTTGAAGGAGTCGTCACTCTCACCGCGGGCACGGATGAAGCCGCAGAGAGCGAAGGTCTGGTTCTCGCCGGTGTAGCGACCGTTCTCGTCAACCTTGCCGACGGAGAGCTGGACGGAGGCGTGGTCGTTGGCCTTGATGATGCGGTTGGTGGCGCTGCACTTGCGGGGCACGTAGCTGTGGAAGAAAGTCGTTAGTTTTTTTTTATGGTTCTTTGCGAAAGATCATGTCCCCTCCGATCCGGTCCCTGCTGTGTCCGACTATTCGTCGTAGTTTTCGCAATTCCCCGCGGTCGCGCTCTTTCAATCCGGTCCAGTGGTGTTCATTCTGGTTTAGGATCGTGGGATTGCGTGCGGGATTGCTCGGCCACGCAGACACAGAGCACAGGGTAGACCGGATCATTGGAAACGAAGTGGTGGCACGTACAGATCGACGATCTCTCCCTTGTCGTTCTCCATTTTGGCGGGTTTGGTGGTGAGGTTTTGACGGGCGACGGTGAGGTTGGAGGTGGAGGGTTGTTCTGCCGCACATTAAATTCAAGACTCATAATTCCGTTTGTGGGTCATGTGACTGTTTGTCGAGGGCTGGCGTGTCTAAAGTGGGGAATCGCGTGGCTCTACCAACTTTACGCCCCTTTGCCGTGGCAATAGTCATCCGGTGGGGTTGAGATCTTCCTTGCCATCCATTTTGACCTCGAGCCCAAAATACGTAGTCTCTCCTGCAATATGTACTCTGTGCAGGGTCCCTCGTCGGTACTTCACGGCTGAGTGTCGATTTTCGATTTAGCTACCTCCAATGGCCTCATGACATCTTCCCAAAACCCATGTACAATGAACACAGACCCTAAGGGCCCACCACAAAGTACATCGGAAGATATTTCCAAAGTAAGACCTGTGATTGTTCAAGGTGCGATTCACTACCTAGGTCGATATGGGCATTTCAGTCCTCGAGGCTCAAGTCCTCATAATGCGAGTGGAATATCCTCGTGTAAACTCTACGCCTTGTACTCCGTACTACTATACTTGTCAGTCCTTGAACGTACTAATGCGGATTTCTTGAGTATTTCAATATAGATCAAGACCAAATATGATTAATAGGATTATTTTCTTCTAGGAACTCTAAAAGAGCCCCCGTTCAATCCGGTGGGGAGGACATTTTTCCACAGAGATCAGTCTTCAGTCCTGGAAATGCATTGTAATATGTCCGGTCATTAGATACGGTCTATAGACTTTTCTACAAGTTGCTCTTTTCTCTTTCTTGCTGCATAACGTCTTTCTTCCATCCAACTTCCACCTCTCTTGCGCTTCCCTTCTTGAACCGCACAAGCACAACTCTCTCGGACTCGCCTTGCCTATCCGTTCCATTCAATTCAGGGCCAGGCTCACTCAATCCCAAAACAGAGCGGCCATCGCCGGTCATTTGAATCATCTTGGGAGAAATACACTTGTGCACCCACGAAGGAGAACCAGAGTGAACAAACTCAACAAGTTGTTGACGGCGCTTAAGCATCTCTTCTAAAGAGGCGCCCGCACGAGGTTCTTTATCCAGGAACCCTGACACCAAGTGCAGCAACAAGAATTGAGGAGGGAAAAGAATTATCTCTGCCTTTCGTGCGCGATCGATCCATTCCATTGCCGGGAGGAACTGTGCTTCTGTAACCTCAATTCCACCATCGCTGGTTGGGCTCTCCAACTGGTCGCGCTCGCCTTCAGCCGGGAGTTCAGCAAGCACGGCCTTATCAACATCAGTGGGCAAAGGCAAGAAGTAAAGATACATCTGAGTGGTATATCGTTTGGGGACATTAGTCGGCGTAACCCAACGAGTGAACGGTATCAATTGGTCTTGATCGAGTTAGCAAATCAGCGCGCATCAATCATGCACCGACTAACCTATATCTGGCTCCGCATGAGCATCTTGCTTCAATAACCACTCATCGAAGGTAGCCTTATTCTGGTGGATAAGTCGTCGGCCTGCTTCTCTAGTAGGCTCATCGACGGCAATCATCCTGCCTGAGGTGCGGTTTTTGGCTAGAAGTATACCACTCTCCTCAAACAGCTCTCTGATAGCTGCGCGTCTGTAAGTAGGAGAATCTTCATGTCGAGCTAGGTCTTCAGGTGGAGGACAAGGCCCATCTTGGGTGGATAAATTGCCACCAGGGAAGACATGAGCCGAAGCGAAGGAGCTGGAAGTTTTCACTCGGTGAAGTAGAAGGAGTTCATTCCTGGACGAGACAAGGAGTACACTGGACGGGTCAGTTTTTTGGTTCTATCCGGTCACTCATTCGCCGGGAGCCACAGATCAGGCTCATCAGCCACTGCCTCAAGATGCAGCCCCTTGGCGACTACTTCGGGAGAAACTTACCTAGAGCTAGGCCGCGGAACTGTGGGCTGTTTTTTCTGATTGCCGTCTTCCTTCGGCATTTTACTTGAAGTTGATAAAGTGTCTGGTGTGGTTGTGTATCTTCTTGAGGCGATCTTGGATCTCGGGTATTGAAAAGGCGATGCCGAGGCAATGGAGTGAAGACGAGACTTGCTAGAAACGAGGCTCAATGTATACCGGCAACTCAGTTTGCGTACTATAGGACGACAAAAGAGTTCCTGACATAGGAGGGACATTTCAACTTTGTGAAAAAATATGTAGTTTATAGAAAGGACATACACCCGAGAGCCTAGGCTGTCCCCTGTTACCCCGCGTGCAACTAAACCCCATCGAAGTTAGCCGAACGCGGCGCCATGCGCGAACTACATGTGTCATCGAATGAATGGATGCTACTACAGAGCTTGCACATGGAGCTACGAATGAGTTTGGCTACTAAGAAATGAGTTTCAAGATAGAAAAAAATAAAACGTCTTTGCTCATTAACAGAAATGGCGTAAATCTTCAAATCGTAAACTCCTACCCTGTACCCCTATTTTATTTTTCAAGCATATCATCGGGTAATACCCCGATGAGCTATTCACAAGGCCAATCGACAGAGTCTACACTTTACGCGTAGAGCTTCTTGTCGTAGCTGTGCAGACCGTGGACATTACCCTCAGTCATAGCACTGGCACTGCGCATCTCGAAGCGGACGGTACCATCGTTGACACCATCGTGCAAAGCGGTAAGGCTAGGGACACCAATGTCCTGCAGGGAGTGCTGGACACCGGCGACGAGGTAAGGAATGAACTTGGTAACAGAACCGCGGTCAAGGACGGAACCGGCGACACCCTGAGCGACAAGGACGTTGGACTTCTCGGAGAAGTAACGGGCAGTACCAGCGTTGCTGGCCTTGCTGTCCTTGGCACCGTTGCCAGCCTTCTTGTCCTCCATGGCGGCAATACTGCCCATACCACGGTAGGCCTTGACGAGCTGGCCCTCGTTGCTGACATAGTACTCACCGGGAGACTCGGTAGTACCGGCAAGGAGACCGCCCATCATGACGGTGCTGGCGCCCATGGCAAGACCCTTGACGATGTGGCCCAGGTTCTGGACACCACCATCGGCGATACAGGGAACACCGAAGCGGGCAGCGAAGGAGGAGACGCTGCGCACAGAGGCGGCCTGGGGGCGACCGACAGCCATGACTTCCTGGGTGATACAGGCACTACCGGAGCCCATGCCAATTCTCAGGCCATCGACACCGGCAGCAATGAGAGAAGCAGCCTGCTCCCGGACGACGACGTTACCACCGATAACGTCGATCTGGGGGATCTCCTTCTTAATGTACTTGATCATCTCGATCTGGTACATAGAGTTACCCTGGCTGGAGTCCAGGATGACAATGTCCAAGCCAGCCTCGACGAGGAGCTTGAGACGGTACTTGTCCTCCTCGCGGGTACCAATGGAAGCAGCACAGATGAGCTGCTTGGAATCGGGAAGCTTAGAGGCAAGGGGGTAGTGAAGGTTCTTCATCAGATCGGAGCGGGAAAGCAGAGAAACGATGTTGCCGTTGGAGTCAACAATGGGAAGCTTGCCCTTCTTAGACTGACGGAGAACCTCGTTGGCTTCGGCCAGGGTGGTACCAGCCGGGGCGGTAACAAGGTCAGTGGCCATGATGGCAGTCACAGGGTCGTTGAGGTCGCGGTGGAATTGGATGTCACGCGAGGTGACCATACCAACGAGCTTGGAGCGAAGGGTTCCGTTCTCTGTTTCAAACATTAGCATTCTGATTGAGAAAAAAAAAATTGTGTCAAGTCAAAATGATAGTCATGGTGGTCAGATAAGATCTGGTTCTCTACAATGCGACTTTCGTCGCTGCAGTGGAACGAAAGTTATTTTGAAAAGAGTTTGGTCATCATACAATGGGGGTGGGGAGTGTTGCAAGAAAGAGCAAAGAAAAAAAAGTTCGTCAAACTTACCAGTGACAGGGAAACCACCAAAGCCCCACTTGGCCTTGAGCTCCTTAGCCTCGCCGACGGTGGCCTTGGGAGAGAGAACAACGGGGTCGAGAATGAAGCCATTCTCGTATCTCTTGACCTTGCGGACCATCTCGGCCTGGGCCTCGGGGGAGCAGTTGTGGTGGATGACACCGAGACCACCGAGCAGGGCCATGTGAATGGCCATGTTGTGCTCGGTGACGGTGTCCATGGGAGAGGACAGAAGAGGAGTCTTCAGGGAGATACGCTTGGTGACAGGGGTATCAAGAGACACATCGGAGGCGGGGAAGCCTGGACCAATTAGTCATTGGAGCCGAAAATTTGTGCCATCGCGGGGTTCGGCTTACCGATGTAGCCGGGCAGGATCAGGAAATCATTGTAGGTCAAAGCACCGTGCTTGTCAGAATCAATGAGAGTATCCACATCAAGGCCATCGCGGGTCTTGTAGGTGTCAACAACCTCCAAGGCCTTGGTGTAATCGGTGATCTCAGCCTTCATGGCGGCACCGGGAGCAGCGTCGCTGGCAGTGATAGGCATTGTGGAAATGAGAGAATGTCTTGAAACAGAGAGACGCGACTTTGAGATAAATATTAATCAACAGAGAAGAAACGATCTGCTGATGGAGAAAGTCGGGCTTTCCCAAAGAAAAGAAAGAAGAAGAAAAAGTCGGACGAAAAATTGCTTCCTTTTCTCTTCCGTCAGGCTGGTAGAAGGCTAAACCTATCCTGGTATAGTCTATCGTCTTATCCAGATCGCTTTGCTGATTGGCTGGTAAACGAGGTGCCCTCGGGCGGTGAACTTCCAAGGTTGGCCAAGTGGGACGTGGTCCACGAGCGCATATACGCCGTGATTGTGTAATCAGTGATCCAGGGCATTCCAGGGCATCAATTAATTAATTAAGCAGGTAGTGGATTGAGTCTAGCCTCGAGGAAAAAGGGATATAGTCCACGGGTGGATATACGCCCTGATTATGTGATCAGCTATCCAGGGTAGTATCAATTACCCGGCGATGGATTAAGCCTAGCCTTCGGGGAAGTAGAGACATACATAGTCCGTAGGTGGATATACGCCCTGGTTGTGTAATCAGCTATCCAAGGTATGAATTACGCCGCTCATGAATTAAACCCAGCCTTAACGAAGTCCACGGGTAGAGGTATACGAGTAGTCCGCAGGTGCCCAGGTGGATATACGCCCTGGTTGGGTAATCAACCATCCAGAGAATCGATTACGCAGTCGGTGGATTAAGCCTAACCGTGAGGAGGTAGGAAATATAGTCCACGAGTGCATCCATATACGCCCTGATTCGGTAATCAGCCATGCAAGGCTTCCTATGTTAATCATGGATTGAGCCTAACCCGCGATGCCTAAGGTAGCAGACAGATACTCTGCGTAGGTAGTCAATTTCATAGTATACAACCTTGATACTTATGCATGTATTTTTCTGGTCAGCGTGGATCTTTCCAAGGTTATTTTGGCTTGAGTACAGAGTAGTCACCAATCCGTTGGCGGATGTACCTAACTATATAGCCCTGGAGCTGGTAGTCGAAGCGGGAACTCGTGGGTAGCGATTATCACGATGTGCAAAATGCTTTCTTCCGATATTGCCAAAGGTGTCTGTCTTCCCTCTGCCAGTTCCCAGCCGGCGGATTTGAGTCCCGCGTGCCCTAGTGGAATCATGACGACAGAATGATAACACTAAGGCAAAAGGGCGCGTTAATGAGATAAATTTTCTCTGCGCAAGTGCTTCGTCTGCTCATGCATCTTTCTTCAAGGGTTACATTGAGCTGTAAACCTACCTAGGTACCGCACCCCAGGATGGAATCTTCCATGGGCCAACACGGGGCCTTCCAGCCCGCACCCACGGCACAATCCCAAAACAAACCGGGGTGAGAATACTTTCATTTGAGCAGATTGCTCCCGCTAAAGTTGTTGGTTAGGTTGGAGTCTATAATGACAAAACCCAGTGAATCAACAAAGCTAGAGGGCTCGGGCGGTTTTTATGAGTATACTGGCTCTGGAAAATTGAAGGACAAGAAGGCTCTCATCACCGGTGGAGAGTATGTGCATGAAGCCCATTGATTGCCAATTGCTCATCGCTTTTTTTAGCTCCGGAATTGGGCGATCTGTGGCGATCCTAATGGCCAGAGAGGGTGCGGATATCACTATCGTTTATTTGCCATCAGAGCAGCCAGATGCAGAGGCGACTAAGGCTTCGGTGGAGGGAGAAAATAGGACATGCCTTCTCGTCCCGGGTGATTTACGGGATCGCAACCTATGTCGCCACGCGGTGGAAGAACATGTAAAGAAGTAAGTTCCCGACTTCAGGAGGTCGTGTACTTCTGGCGCAAAAATTCTTGGCTAATGCATACATGTGATTTTGATACTCTGCAGACACGGCACACTCAATATACTTGTGAATAATGCATCAAAGCAGTACATGTGTAAGGTTTTTGAAGACATCGATCTGGATAAGACCGAAGACATATTCAGGACCAACATCGTTCAAATGATCGCGATGGCGAAGTTTGCGCTTCCTCATATGAATCGTGGTGATTCGTCTGTATATCTAAATACCGATCGCTCACTATGGTATTGCTAATTACGTACAGCATAATAAACACGTCTTCTATCGTGGCTCTACGTGGTTCCGGTACCATGATCGATTATGCTGCGACCAAAGGAGCCATTATAAGCTTTACTAGAGCTTTAGCAACCTACCTGATCCCCAAGGGCATCCGAGTGAATGCAGTGGCGTAAGGAGGCTCTTTTTCTTTTGAGTGTTATGGTCCCTATGTTGACGCTGTTCGAATCTAGACCAGGGGCAATATACACCCCGATTCAAGTCGACACTCGAGATGCCCAACAAATGGAAGGTTGGGGCCATAAAGTTGGTCTAGGTCGACCGGGCGAGCCGAGTGAGGTTGCAACAAGCTTCATTTTCTTGGCTAGTGCAGATGCTTCTCTGTACTGTGAGTGGTCAAAATCCCAGGATGGCGACCATGCCCCAATTTTTTTCTTCTTTTCGTTTTCTGACTCAATTTCTCCATCTAGACGGGCAAATACTGTGTTGCTATCCCCTTGGCGACTAAAATTTCTTTTTGTCTGATGGTCTCAAATGGAACGACTACACAAAAGCCACTGCAGACCGCGGGCGAATGTCCCCTGTAATTACAGCGGGAATTGACAGCATACTTGTATTAGGTTTCAGAATGAAATGCACTTGGTTAACATGGATAAGCTAGTTCAGAAGCCATGGCTTTGCCCCGGTAAGGGCTTTGTCCCATCCCTCATCATTTTGCCAAATGGCAACACTCTCGACCTCTTCTCTACCCAATCTGAGTCCATTGTAGAGATGCTTTGTTTGGTTGATCAGCGACTAAGGTTACCTTTTGTCCGGGTGGAACTTGACTCACGGGGAAAAGACCTTCTCCAGGACGAGGGCCAGTCACTCTCCCATCCGGGGATTCCCACTTGATGTCTTGGATAACGCGGTGATACTCGATTCGTAGCACATACACCAGGGGCTCTTCTGTGAAGAAAGTTTTCAGGGTATTTGCCACTTGGTGCGCCGTTGACAGATGGATAAATCCAGAACCTTCATCGAGATCGCTTACAGCAAGCTTCTCGGGCATTGGTTCGCGCACTGGCGAGGTCGAGGGCACAATCTTGTAGATGTAACGGGGCTGGGAGGCAAGTGAAGCCATGTTGATATTTTTGAAATGACCGAGAGAAGGTAGAAGTCACCGAATCTAAAGCTCGTTTGGTTCCAGGGCGAGAGGAAAGAAGGTTTGTTAGGTTTCATTGTTGGCGGGGTCGGTCGGTCCAGCCGGCAACTTGGCTTTTGCCAAATGCGTTGACCCCGTATGTTTTGACGTGCTTTTGCGGTACTGTGATTACTATGTGATTTATTGCTCGTGGGCTTTCTAGAGTCGAGGAAATTATTAGAACTTTAGAAAATGGTATCAAATAAATTTGCTACAAGCTGGAGCCAAGATGTGGATATATATTTAGGTCATTTTCTAAAGTTTCTAAGGGTACGCAAATGAACCGCAATAATGACATCTTCAGCCTTGAGACCTTATTAGATACTTCAGTAACAAACATATTGATATATACAGCCCAGATTATTTCTGGATACAAAGGGTCTCGAATTCATCTTTCCACTCTGATACTCTCGATTCAGACCCTTTACCTGTGGACCAACTTTGCAAGTCTATAATGTTAGATTTATTTTTTTTACAAAAATAAACATAAATAGTGGCAACCTGCTTATTAGAAGCATTAATGCTTAGATGAAAGACATATATGGTCAACTTGAGAAATAGTACGGAGTATCAATCAGTGGAATGGGCTGAAGCAGGGATGGTCGCACGGGGCTACGGAGCCACTAAACCCAGCCTAATCGGGCACCAGCCACTTTTGCCAAGACTAGAAGTATTCTGCTCGATATGCGCCCAGCATGGGATTAGAATGACCAGATAATACCAACTGCGATAAAGGACCCGTAATTCTCTCCATAGGCAGATCGGATCTACAACATAAGCAGGACATAGGCACCCGGGGGTTGAATTGGACATGTCGAGAAAGATGCGAGTCGATGCAAGTGATGGAGGGATCGACAAGCCACAATCACCTGATCGCGCTATACCGAATGCGGAGATTTGTTGTGCCCCCCTGCGCGGGCGTTGTGGAATCTTGGTCGCACTTGCACCCCCACCGTTAACAATCTCATCGGATATCATCTTGCGTCGCGCGATCGGAGACAGGTGTGAAATTCTTGAACCACTCTATCACATTGTGATACTTTTCGAATCTTAATTGTATCTTTCCAAAGGAATTGGAGGGCCTTGTTTGACTCGCGCATTCCGCTTCTGCCACCAGAGCAGGGATGCGGTCAAAGGAGCGCGTCATTTTCCAATTCATCTTTCCATACCTGATTCACGACTAAGTGATGTCAGCTCAATACCCATCGCTCAGACGGGCCCAGACAGACCTTCCGGCGCAGTCCACCAGCCCGCTACGACAAGACTCCACTGCGTCCACAAACTCGTCCGCATATTCCGTCGCATCCAGCTCCTTTGCTCCCAGCCGTACCAGCACAGTGTCGTCTCATGGGTCGGTATCCAGCAATTTGGGCCACTTCCGAGGGAAGAGCGAAGCAAGCAGTATAAGCTCCGGAACAACAGTGACAGACGCAATGGAGCGGGGAACTCGACCCAACGCCGGGACAACATACGACAACATTCGCCGATCATTGCGCCCGCTACAGCAAGTTCCCAATGGTACATTGCCTGCATCGAGTCTTGGTGGTTATCGGCATTCACGGAGCTACACGGTCGACGAAACCCAACCGTGGAAGGAACATCGACCGAGCACCCCCGAATCGCGGCTCCAGGAAAACGAGGCACCAAGTCGTAGGCTATCTATCTACGACACACAGACACCCACACCCACCTCTCCTCACCACTGGTCCCCTGTTCCTGGAGCATCGCGTCCCTCGTCCCCACAAAAATCGACACCCCAAAGCCCTCACCACCCACAATTGACAGCTGCACTGACGGCTCCTGAGCTCGAGACATTTCAAAAGTCCTCTACAGGCCATCTGAGAACCCTGTCCAAGTTTGCACAGTCCAGTGAGAACGATGAATTCCAACTCAATGCACCGGCAGGCTCAGTAACGGGCCTCGAAGGACGGCGACGCCTGAAGCGAGCAGACTCAGTTGCTGGAAGAGGTGGTGCGGTATCACCTGTCAAGCCAAAGGTGTCTTCATGGGCCGCTGGAAATTGGATGGACCAGCAAAGACAATTCATCCAGGCCTACGAATATCTGTGCCATATCGGAGAAGCCAAGCAGTGGATCGAAGACGTTATCCATAAGCAAATCCCGGCGATCGTTCAATTAGAGGAAGGACTACGAGATGGTGTGACATTGGCCGAGGTCGTGCAAGCCATGTATCCAGGAAAACCCCTGCGCATCTTCCGAAACCCAAAACTACAATACCGCCACTCAGACAACATCGCCTTGTTCTTCAGATTTCTCGATGAAATTGAACTACCGGAATTGTTTCGCTTTGAACTGATCGACTTGTACGAAAAGAAGAACCTCCCCAAGGTTATACACTGTATCCACGCGCTATCATGGGCGCTATTCAAGAACGGCATGTTAGACTTCAGAATGGGTAACTTGGTCGGTCAGCTTGAATTCGAACACCACGAACTTGAGAAAACCCAGAAGGGATTGGACAAGTCAGGTGTCAGCATGCCCAGTTTTGCAGGCATGGCTGCTAATTTTGGTGCCGAGCCCGAGCCAGAACCCGAGCCCGTTGAGTCAGAAGAAGAGCGCATCGATCGCGAACTGCACGAGAACGAGAGCGCTATAAGCGATTTCCAATCGCAAATTCGAGGAGCCATGTTGCGCCTGAAACTTGGTCAAGCGATGACAGATCTCTGGGAATTTGAGCCTCTTCTAGTTGAGCTGCAGTCCCTCCTGCGTGGAGATTGGGCTCGCCAGATCAGTCAATACCGACTGAACATGCTCCAGTTTTCGGTGGGATTACAGGCAATTAGCAGGGGTTTCATTGTGCGTCGCCAGCAACAAGATGACAAGAAGTGGCGTAAAGCCCAAGAAGCAGATGTTCTACAATTCCAGAGTGTCATTCGCGCTTCAAAGGCCCGCGCCCAGGCCAATCATTTGCAAACGCGAGCTCGCCGAGAAGAATCCGGCATCAAGAAAATTCAGGCGGCCATCAGAGGTGCATTGTCACGTAACAACGTTGCCAATCAATACGAGGAGTATCAGGACACCGGGAATGAAGTCATGATGCTCCAAGCTGCCATTCGTGGTGCCTTGCAACGCATGACTGTTGCCGACAAATACGAAAGGGTGCAGCAGGCTGGAAGCGAAGTAATGGCACTTCAAGCTGTCATCCGGGGTGCTTTGCAACGTAAGCAGCTTGAATCTCAGTCTCAAGAAGTTGGCCATGCCGGTATTGCTGTCAAGTCATTGCAAGCGGCGATGAGAGGTGCTTTACAACGAACCAGAATGAATACTCAATCCAACGAGGTGAAGCAAATCGAAACGCCAGTCAAGTCCCTTCAGTCGGTCATTCGGGGATCAATTGCCCGCCAGAATCTATTGGACATGAAGGTTTCACTGAGCAAAGAAGCCTCCCAAGTCACTACAATCCAATCGCACATCCGAGCCCTTATCGTTAAAGATCGCCAAACTCAGCTGCTACACGCCCTGGAAGATACCGAACGCGAGTGTACTGCATTGCAAGCTATTCTACGTGCCGGTGTCGTGAGGAAATCAACCTCAGCCATTCGCAGTGAGCTTGCAGAACATTCGTCGCAAGTGATTGATCTCCAGGGTATCCTGCGTGGCCAAGCTGTCAGAGAATCATTGAATTTGCAGAGATCTTCCTTGTCGAGCGAAGAATCTTCAATACTGGATCTGCAATCCCGCTCTCGTGGACTTATCCATCGGATGCATCTGGCCGAGGAGCGTAGCGCACTTGAGCAAGAAGAACATGTAATAGTCGATCTCCAAGCTCTGACTCGTGCCGCTGTCTGCCGGATTGAAGTGGGAGGCCTTCTTTCAAGCCTGGAGGAGAGCGAGGAGGAAGTGGTCCAGCTTCAGTCCATGGCTCGAGCTATGATTACACGTCTAGAGACCGGTGATATCTTGACCGACCTTGAAGCAGAAGAGGATTTCATCATGGACCTTCAATCACAGATCCGAGGAGTGAATGTCCGAAACCGTTTCGAAGAGCGACGCCAACACTACAACGAAAACATGGAGAAGGTCATCAAGGCTCAGAGTGTCATTCGAGGCCGCATTCAAGGCCAAGCCTACAAGAGCCTGACAAGTGGAAAGAACCCGCCCGTTGGGACAGTCAAGGGATTCGTCCACCTTCTCAATGATAGCGACTTCGATTTCGACGAAGAAATCGAATTCGAGCGGTTACGCAAGGTCGTTGTCCAGCAAGTGCGACAGAATGAACTTGCTGAGCAATACATCAGCCAGCTTGATATTAAGATTGCACTTCTTGTCAAGAACAAGATCACACTGGACGAAGTTGTTAAGCACCAAAAGCACTTTGGTGGTCACATTGGCAACTTGTTGTCAAATACCGAAATTTCTTCCAAGGACCCTTACGACCTGAAGGCCCTCAACAAAACCTCACGCAGAAAGCTGGATCAATACCAGGTGTTCTTCTTCCTCCTCCAAACCCAGTCACAGTACCTCGCTCGCTTGTTCCGGCGAATGCGCGAGACCAACACCTCTGACAAGGAATATGAACGAATTAGACACCTCATGATGGGTCTCTTTGGCTATTCGCAGAAACGGCGCGAAGAGTATTACCTCATTAAACTTCTAGCACGATCTGTGAAGGAAGATATTGAAGGGTTCACATCTCTCCCCGAGTATTTGCGCTGCACCTCATTCTGGAACAAGCTTTTCTCCTCATATGCCAAATCACCACGAGATCGAAAGTTCATGCGCGACGTGCTGGGAACTGTCGTCAAGGAGTCTGTGATCGAAAACCCCGACCTTGACCTGGAGAGTGATCCCATCCAAATCTACCGTTCTGCAATCAACAACGAGGAACTCCAAACAGGCCAAAGAAGTCGCCGGCAACCAGATCTGCCTCGAGAAGAAGCAATTAGGGACCCTGAGACCAGAGACACATTCATTCAACACTTGCAAGATCTCCGTGACATTGTTGATCAATTCTTTTTGGGCTTCGAAGACTTCCTGTATCGGATGCCGTTCGGTATCAGGTACCTCGCGCAGCAGATGTACCAAAATCTCCTTGAGAAATTCTCTGGCGAAGATCAAGGATTTGTGCTCCAAACTGTGGGCCACTGGGTTTGGAAAAATTACTTCCAACCTGCTCTCCTAGAGCCTGAGAAATATGGAGTCGTTGACCGGGGCTTGACCCAAGAACAGAAGCGCAACCTTGGAGAGATATCAAAAGTTGTCGCCCAAATAGCTTCTGGAAGGCTGTTTGGGGCTGAGAATGTTTATCTCCAACCACTCAACAACTACATTGCAGACTCGATTCAACGGCTGGGGCAAATTTGGGGCCAGAGTAAGTCTTGCTTTTACCCTGTCACCCTCTGGACTTTTATTAATACCATGCAGTGATCTCGGTTCAGGATGCAGAGACCTACTTCGACATTGACGAATTTAACGACCTTTATGCCAAGGCTAAACCCACGCTATACATTAAGATGTCCGATATCTTCTCCATTCATCAACTCGTGGCCTCCGAAATCAACCACATGTGTCCCCACCCGGACGACTTCTTGAAAGAGCTTGTCCGGGAGCTGGGCAATGTCAAGAGTAATGAGAACGAACTGATGGGAGTCAGCTCAACCGAGATCAATCTCACCCTGAGTCCCAAGATGGCCCAGATGGAAGGTAGGCAATGATCAACGACCCCATTTCGAAACTTTGTTAACGTCATCCCGGCAGATCCTGAAGCAGACGTGAAGACACTCTTTATGGAGACCAAGCGCTGCATACTTTACATTATCCGTGTTCAGAGTGGCGCTAATCTGATGGATGTTATGCTCAAGTCACCAACGCCGGAGGACGAGGAGCGTTGGCACGACTTGGTCAGGGAAGAGTTGAGCACCGGAAACGCACGCCGGGGTGCTTATTCCGAAGCCAACAGCTTGATTGACATCAGCTCTATGGGCTATGCACAGCTAAAGGGTATTGCACTCGAGAACATCCTGCGTCTAGAGCAAACCGGGCGTATCAATCGCCATAATCACTATCAAGATCTCTTGAACGCTATTGCCATCGACATTCGCACCAAACACCGTCGGAGAATCCAGCGTGAGCGGGAATTGGAAGGTGCTCGATTAACCTCCCAGCGCCTCAGCGACCAAGCTGTCTACCTTGACCAGCAGCTCAAGACATACAACGATTACATCGAGCAGGCTATGATCACGTTGCAGAACAAGAAGGGCAAAAAGCGATTCCTGATGCCATTCACCAAGCAATGGGATCACCAGCGTGAGCTTCAGAAGTCGGGCAAGGTATTCAAGTTCGGATCCTTCAAGTATTCAGCCCGCACGATGGCTGATCGCGGCGTCCTCGTTGCCTGGAAGGGCTACGCCGAGCGACAATGGGATCGGGTAGACTTGACCGTCTCCAGTAACGAGGTGGGCGTGTTCACCATCGATGGCAGTAGCGGCAACATGATGATCCCCGGAGCAAATGCACAGGTACCGCTGGACGACTTGCTGCAGGCCCAGTTCAACAACACGCAATTCATGGACTTCTTTGACGGACAGATGCGGGTTAATGTCAACCTCTTCTTGCATTTGATCATGAAGAAGTTCTATAATGAGTGAGGGTCATGGATTTATGGATATGAGGGATGAAGGTACATTCTTATCGATATTACTCTTTTTGTTTTCTTTTTTTGTTTGAGATACCTTGGGTATTTTGTTTTGATAGCGAATAGCGATCGGTCTACATGGGGATGAATGGCATGTACACAGTATGATACGATTTGTAAAACACAAAATTCATATTATCATCATGCATCTAAACTCTCCACATCCCACTAAGTCAAAAGACCACGAATTTCCTATGAACTGTGTACAGAGGACGCATAATACAGAGTACGACTTCCGTCACAAAGCTCAGCCTTGCATTTGCCCCAACAAAAGATTGTGGAAGGTTTACCGTTCCATGATTTCCTACAGAGCCACCTCGTGTTGATAGGTTCTCTCCCGCTACGGTCTTCTTCCTTTTTCAGAATGTCATCTCTTGGAAGGCTTCCAAATTTGGATGGCACAGGTTGCTTTGAGCAATCACGTCTACCATTTCGTGAGTGATGGCCTCCCCAATAAGAGAGGTTGGATTCACTGGGGCATCCAGGAAAAGAATTGTGACCCCCTTAGACCTTGAGATGTTACGAAGTAGATACTAGCTTTATTATTGTGTATCATGAAGCCCTGGAGTGCCGCGATCTATAATCAGGCATGTTCAGGCACCAACTTAGTCATTGGGCCCCTGGGCGCTATGCACCTTCGTAATCGTGTTGCCAGCTGGGAACCGGGCATCCCCTCCAACCATTGTCTACCAGTGAGGGATCTCTGACAGTTCTTCCTGGCTTAGCCTGCAATTGCCTGTTCCTTTTCTCCCATTATCTGGACACATATTTTCTTTCTATTTGTCCCATCAACTCTACCCCTCGCCATGGATTTCTCCAACCTCAAAGACCAGGTCAGCAACATGTCCTTGTATGACCTCAAGGCCGGTGTTCGTAAGGTGCAGAACGGTACGTGAACTGCATTTCACCTCAACATATCCCGGGCAGTGACCTGGCTTCATGCGCGTCTTGTATTCGGTGCGAACTGACCGCTTCGTCATAGCCGTTATGAACTATACCGAGATGGAATCCAAGGTTCGTATGCAACCATTCCTCGCGCAACTACCCTCAGAATTGCGCGCACATGCAGCCAGTACACCAGACGCAATGCTTACTCAAGCCAGGTCCGGGAGGCTACGAACAATGAGCCCTGGGGCGCCTCGACCACGCTGATGCAGGAGATTGCCAATGGAACACACAGCTAGTGAGTTTGGGTTGCTTGGGTTGTCGCCTCAATATGTGTCCACTGATTTGTCTCCGCAGCCAATTGCTTAATGAGATCATGCCTCTCATTTACAAGCGCTTCACCGACAAAGCGGCCGAGGAATGGCGCCAGATCTACAAGGTACCGGGAGCAACGTCCGTCGGGCGAGTGCTTTGATGAAACTGACAATTCCCTTCCTGATAGAGCCTTCAGCTACTCGAATTCCTTGTCAAAAACGGTTCCGAGCGAATCGTCGACGATGCCCGATCCCACCTGTCCCTCATCCGGATGCTTCGGCAATTCCACTATATCGATATGAATGGCAAGGATCAGGGCATTAACGTGCGCAACCGATCGTCCGAATTGGTGAAGCTTTTGGGTGATGTCGATCAAATTCGCGCCGAGCGAAAGAAAGCCAAGAACAACCGCAACAAATTCAGCGGATTCGAGGGCGGCATGGGTGTCGGTGGCAGCGGCGGAATGTCCAGCTCTGGTCGATACGGAGGCTTTGGCAGTGATAGTATGGGCTACGGCGGCTACAGCGGAGGTGTGTTTGGAGATGGCGGCGGCTTCGGCGGTCAATCCCCCAGCGATTTCCAGGACACCGGACGCCGGACCAGCAAGTTCGAAGAATATGACGAGTATGATGAAGGGGATGCCCCCGCGCGCTCTCGCGAGCCTGCCACTGCTGCCCGAGCGAAGGCCCCGGCAAAGAAGCCGGAACCAGCTCCTGCACCTGTCGCAGACCTCTTTGACTTTGGTGACGATGAGCCTGTTACCACAACTTCAACCGCCGCCGGAAAGCAACCCGCTGGCAGTGCCCTCAACATGCTTGACCCAACACCAGCTGATGATGATGACTTTGACGACTTCCAATCTGCAACTCCTGCTCCCCAGCCCACCCAACCTTCGTCTAACCAGTTCGCTATCCCGCCGCCAGCTTCAACCGCCAGCACAACTGCAAGCACACAATTTGTTGCGCCTCAGCCAATCTCTGCTTCGCAGGGCGCCAACATCAACGGCCTGGTTGGATTCACTTCGGCAACCCCCACCCCCTCGTCCAGCGGGCTTACCTCTCCAATGCAGGCTCCGATTCAGCAGTCCAAGCCATCAGGCTACCAAGCTGCCACTCCCAACTACTTCACTTCCGTCTCCCTGAACCCTCAAGCCAGCTCTTCTCATGCTGCATCTCCATCTCTGTCCTCTGTGACGTCATCTACGGCAAAGACCGCCGCGCCGGCAGCAAAGAAGCCCTCCGGTGACGCCTTTGGCTCGCTATGGTCCACCGCCAGTGCCAGCGCCGGTATCCAAAAGACCAACACAGGTGCAAACAAGGGTCCCAATCTCAACAGCATGGCCAAGGAAAAGGCTAGCGCCGGTATCTGGGGCGCGCCCGCTGCCAACACGAGCCAGACCCAGCAGCAGAAGCCTTCCGGCTCGGCTTTTGATGATTTGCTTGGTTGATCAGCGCCCTTACCTTTGGATACATTGGTTCTTTTTCTCTTTCTCTCTTCAACTCGCGATTTGGGTCATTTAGCATTCAAAATTCCAAGGTTTTTGGATCTTCTTTTTTCTTTTCTTTTCTTTTCTTTTTCTTTGTATACTCCCATTTCATCTCGCTGCATTGTTTCGCCAGACGAAAGTTCACTTTCCCTTTCTTTTCTCTATTTCAAGTAAACAGACGCTTGGGCTTCGGCATATGTCGGGCACTGCCTGTGGCAGTGGGAAGCAGGGCGTTTATGTCCTTCCTATGATAGAGCAGGGTTTTCAAAGGTCTAGTCTTGCAGATATGAGCCACTATCATACGAACCACGAATTTCAATCAATTGATTTTGCTTGATCTACATTCCAAGCCTTGCTCCCGGCCTACACGTCTTGGAACCGACCCCACTGCCTTGGCCACCCACGTCTTGATAAATGGCTACACATACTGGGTACTCATTGGTAAGAATCTTGATTTTAAGTAGGCATTACGCTGATGCTCATTGATGCTGGTATAACGCCTGCGCTGAAGGAAGCTAGATACAGGAAGGCGGGGGGTAATAAGCACTGCAAAGACAGAAACAAAGAAACAAGAAAGACCTAAAGTCTTCCAGTTCCGACATGTATTAGAGACATGAATTGCATCGTGAAGGGGATATACGTTAATTGGAAAAGGTGACTGGTTGGATGTATCGAGCAGGGACGTTTCAGAGCCGGCTCTCGGGGTATTTGGTTTCGGGGCCATCTGGCGTCAATGGAAACACATTGTAACGCACAGATCAAACCCCGTCGGTTTCATGTTGGGTCTTTCCTCCCCCCATGAACAGGGAAGTGGGCGCCAAGCTTGGATGATCGGCCGTTTCACTTGAAACAGACAGGTGAGCCGTGCGCGCCAAGGATTTGTATCAAAGCCACTTGATGGCTTAAAGTCGGTTCAGGTTTTTATGGGTTTGGACTCGGCTTCGGGATCTGATGTAGATTTGGAGGCGCCATTTGTCGGTTTGCTCGATTCTCCATTGAACGAAGGGCGCTCCGTCTGAGTGGGCGTGGGTAGTTGGTCAGACTCATTAGAGTCTAAGCTCACGTCTGCCGTTCCAGTGGTGTCTGGGTTGGGATCATCATTGAGCGAAGTGAGGCCTCCTTCAATATCTCGCAGGAGGCGAACGAATTCCTCTGGGACGAGGCCGTTCTCGCCTGTTTTGGGATCTTCTGCGACGAGCCAGCCCTGGCCGTGTCGGTATGAGACGTAAATTACCTGGCCTTCGGTAAGAGGGAGTTCGTTCTCATGTTCCCGTGTAAAGTCGAAGAGAGCAACGGCTTTTCCATGCATCTCTTCATCTGGACAGCCCACGGCGAACTGATAGTCCCTTGAGTATCGGTTCACACCGGGGATCTCATCCTCCGACTCGAAGCCCGGATCGGTATCAAAGCCCTGGCCACCAGGGCCACTGTAACCCATGATAGAATACCGCCCTTCATTCGCGGGGTATGTGACATATTCCCCACCGGGGCCATCATCGACGGTATCTCCCTCGTTTACATAGTAAGTTTCACTGCCATCGGCATTGATACCGACGAGCATTCCCCGATCATTCCCCGTTCCGGACATGACTCTCTCGTCTACAAGGCCATTCATATCGGATGATTTCTTGCGATGTCGTGAAGTGACTACCGGGCTATGCAAGTCCTCATCCTCGCTATATGGAGGTCCATCCCCGAAGGACATCGCAGGCAATTGTTGAACATTAGCATGACTGGGCTCCGAGCCGGATTGGAATGCCCAGGACCCGCGCGTGTCCCACGAGGGGGGTGGATCGGAGAGGCGCCGGTGTTCACTTGCTGGGGTGGAGACGCCCGAGGCCCGAGGCGGAGGAGGTCCATAGTGTAGGGGGTGAGTGGAGGGGTAGGCGAAGTCTCGGACGAGGGCGTACGGAAGACTGGTGTGGAAGATTGGGAAGACGTGAGAGCCTGGGCGCGAGCGGTTTTGTGACGCAAGAGACAGGTTGGAGTAGGTAGATAGGCGATCTTTCGGATTCGGTTTGACCGTTCCATCGGTGAGGATGGGCGGTAGAACGGACAGGTTGTTGTTCTCCGTCGAGGACATCATGATTTGACAGGGACCCAAAATTGGGTTGAAGGAGGAATCACGGGTCAGGGCTCAGCAGGGAAGATGTGGGGTTGTTCATCTGTCGCGTGGCTTGCGCTCTTAGTTTCGCATTGCGATTGCTGGACCGGTCAATCGATGTGGCGCAGGTAGTCTTCGCGGGGGCCGTTTACTCGGGTGCACACAGGGTATCTGATCGGAGATCGAGATCAAGGCGATCGTGCAGATGGTGGCTCTGGAGGGGCGCAATGCAGGAACCGCCAAGTACTCAGGGACAAGTCAAACTTCGGGGGTTTGGGAGTCTCGAGTTATGTTAAGTGTATCGGAAGGGATATCCCAGAGGAGACGTGTGAATGGGTCGGCAGACACGAGAGGGGGTTGTGGAGTGGGTACACCCAAGCGCAACACGGATCCAAATCAATGAAGCTGCGACAGAAAAGCAAAGCCAAGTGCTTCAAGTCTGCGCAAGAGAGAGAGTGTGTGGGATTTGGCGAAATCGGAGCCGTTGGTCCAGACGTTGGTCCCGCGATCTCGACGGAAATTGCTAAATATAGCAGAAACTGCAGAAAAGGGCCCAGTGTCAGATACTCTCTCAACGGCGCTTAGAGAACCTCCTCCCCCCAAATTCCAGGTGAAATATCTGAGATCTTTCAGGAGGTACAAGCCAATGATAGGAAATAGGAGGGAAATAGGGATTGGAAATTAGGAAATGGGTGTTGAGCACTGCCGGAGATTGCCATACCTGTCTAGGCTTCGGTAGAGTAATGATCAGCGCCTATGTGACTTTGAATCGGGGCTATGGTCGCCAGTTAGGAAGATTTGCCGAGAACTAAAGAAGATATTCGAGTCATCGTGTTCATCGTGAATTGCTGAAGCTTGACACGGTCACGTGTGTGTTTCAGGTTATCCCCGTTTCGGTTTCGACTGTCACCGATCGTCTACTATCGTCGAAGGCGTCAAGTCTATTACTGTGGATGGCTGTCTACGTCTACAAAAGTATATGGCACATGATGTGTTCATCACTCGTCAATTGTGCTATGAGACCAATTGCTTTTTCTCCTTTTCAAAACCCCAGATATCGGCTCTCAAGTGGGTAGACTCATATAGACGGTGCTTGTACTGGTCTCCCAGTCGGTCACGGTGACCCTGCGAGCCGTGGTAGCCGCGACAGCCGTGGCAGAACGAGCCATAGTGGTCAAAGTGGTCAGAGTGTTCTGAGTGCTCGGAACAGCAGGGGTGGTTCCAGAGGCTTGGACAGAGACCCCATCTCCAAGGGAATCGAATTGCGCCGGAATTGCGGCCTGGTTGAGATCCTGATCAACATCGTATTCATCGTTGGCTGCCTGCTTGCCGACCCTGGTCACCACATCCACATCCATACAGGTGGTGTAAATTTCAGCTTTGCCATTGGGGTAAGTAGGGTCAGCCCCTGCGGCGGTCGGCCAGTCCCACACCCAGTAGAGAGTGTATGGCTTTCCGCTTGGGGCATTGGAAGGCAATTGGATATCTTGCTGACACCAAAGGTCCGCCCCCATCAATTGATTTGCTGTGTGGGTGAACTTGGCCTGTCGAGTTCCCGAAATTTCTCCAGAGTTGACCTGGTAGCAACGGCCGTCGTCAAAATCCTGCTTGGAGAGAAGAACACCCCGTCCATCGCCACCCGTTCCGTCTGCCGTCCATGCGCCATGGACATCGAGGAACTTCTCTCCAGTCTTGGGCTGGGTTGTGCCATAAACATAGACAGTACCTCTGTTTGGCGGCTTCCCAGGCTGGTTTTGGGGCAGAGTGACATGACCATTCTCCTGGAAACGAAGGGCAATCGCAGCGCCAGCGCTGGCTTCCAGTCGGGGGCTTCCGTCTGACTGTTTCTGTTCCTGTTGGGTATCTTTGCAGAGTTTGTCGGTCGGTAGGATTTCGGTCACGTTAGCTCGAGAGCCCGGTGGAATGAGGTAGGTCATGGTGGTGTCACTGTAACCCGAGGTGCTGCGAAGATAGTTCCCACGGGGGTATCCCGGGGTACCGACGAATGTTCCATTTGGTGCAATGAGAGTCAACTGTTCAATCCAAGAATGAGCGTTGATTGGGGTGTTCAGAGCGAACAGCACTATCAAAATGATGGCCAGCATCATGTATGTATCTCTCGAGTGTACGGATGAAAGGGCTGGGCTTGTTGATGTGGCGACGGTGACCTGCAGCGTCGTTGGGTATGTGTTTGGTAGAGGGTGGAGGGTGTAAGGAAGAAGAAGTCAGGTGGAAGGTTTGATGGAAATCGCCGTATTTGAATCCAGACGAGTAGACAGAGCCCGAGGGATCCAACAATAGCACTTTGTCCAGATGAATCAACATCAATGGTATCAATAGGCTGGTGGCAGTGTTTGGGCATGAATAAACAAGGAGGGTTTTGATTGTTCCATTGACCCCAGGACATTGACCAGACCCCGGTGAACAAAGAAGGCGACAGCCTGAATCAGAGGGAGATATGTTCCACATAAAGAGAGCCATTGTTTGACTGCCCAGTCCTCGCGGCTAATTGGAGAGGCTCCAAACATGGCCACCGTCGAGGCGAGCCTCTTCAAAGGCTCATTGTTTGTAAATAGACCGAGATACCCTTTTCATTAGACTGGCGGCTCCTGAAGATCGCAGGACCAGGGCTCAATGACTGGTTGAGACGGCTTGGCTCTCGGGGAATTCTGCACCAGATATTTAGAGTCATGTCTTGAGACACGGGGGTTCCACAGCTCCTGGCGCGTAGACGTTGTCTGGCTGCAGATGCATGAATATCGGGAGATGTTCGATCTCACAGTGATGCGTATGTTGCAAGTCTGCAGGTCTATCGACTCGGCCTACACGGTCATTGGCTGGTTAGAGCCCCTGGCGCTTCGCTCTCGATTCGAACTAAAATAACCCCAACACTCCGATCCTGGCTAATATCGCTTTAGATGTGCAATAATATGACTTCTATTGCCTATATATATACCTTAGGCACAAGATGCGAGGGCCATCCTTTCGGAATGGCCTCTTGCTTTTTTTAACTCTAGTTTTTTTCTCTCTTTGATTTTGAAGATTTAAATGAGGGCCACCCCTTCAGGACAGCGTACGAGTACAGCGTGCATAAATACTTAAGTATGATTTTATTTATCTTTTTTATTATTATCAATCTTATATTATTCTCTATTGTTGTATTGTATTGTATTCTATATTCTATATTCTATATTCCATCCTCTGTACGGAGTATTTTCAAATTAGATAGTTTTGATAAAGGAAATAAATGAGGCAACAGAAAATACTACCCGGAGCTTTAGAAGCAATATAGCCTAAATTTACATTGAAGTTCATATTCATATAGTATACACATAGTTGACAAGCGCCTGTGCAGCAAAAGGTCACATAGGTCATTTCTCTAGGGACTCCTGTGGCCGTTGCTCAAGTGCTCCATCTGGGGCACCGAGCCCTCGGATGTTACCCGTTTCTGCAGACTTTTGGACTTGCAAAGTACGACCACAGTCAACTCGGGAACTTACATTAGGTCCTTGAGTCCCAAGTTATAAGTCTCATGCCGGTCTTGCCCTGGTTCTCGCAGGTAAGGGAGAGTGTCGATCCCACTGCCACTCAAGCAGTACTCTCCGTACTCGGTGTACTCAAGAGTATCAACACCTTCTTCCATCCTCGTGTTGTTTTCGGAGCAAATACCGCACACGGGGCCCTCCGAAACGATCTTATCTCGCAGCTTGATTTGATTTTCCCTTGGCAAGCTCGGTTACCGAGTTTATTATGGATATTTGGAGTCCACACCGGAGCAACCGGAGGCGATGATTTGACTCGAGTTATCTGATTTTTATCTGATTTCGCCGAGACTCCACCTGGTGGGTTCCTTCATCCTGGCACTTGCTGCTATGAGACATGGGAGTGGGTTTTATTCTGACCTACAGTCGGGCATTGGGTAGCTAAATACCTTTTTTGCACTTGCTCTCGCGACCTGGGCTGACGTGGACGGGACAAACCGCCGTTTTTTTTTTCTCTTTTTTTTTTTCCTTTGTACGAGACGCTAAGTAACCCTGGAAGAAGTGAGTGGAGCCTGTTGATCGTATTCCCAAGTTTGGGTAATATATACAGAGTACAGGAAAACATTTGCAAAAAGAAGGTGTAGTAGGAATGTAGGAGTGTGTGGTCAATGTGCATGCCTTATGTAGGTATGGATTTATGAAATCAACTACATGAAGATGGTAGATCGACGGGCTGCAGCAAGATGAACGCTGTGCAGCAGATGATTGTTGCCACCCGCGAAAAAAACCAATAGGGGCTCTGGAACCTAGCTGCCCGGGACCTCGAGGAAGGCCTTATACAGGCAGCGTGATTCTCCCAAGTCTGCAGTGACACGAAGTATTCTGTACCATGCATGCAAGCTCCTTCATTGCCTGGAGCTGAACTTTAAGAAAAAAATAGTAATACTCGTAGTCCAACTAGAATCCCGCAACCTTGGGATTACTACTCCGTACTCCATACTCTGTGTACGGAGTACTCTACAGGGTATGTCGTAAAGTTCTTTGATCGGCTCTTGAGTTTTATGGATTACTCCGTATTGTTCAGTTAATATTGTCCCTCCTGGACTATTTATCGAACTGCACTTGATCCTCGATATACATATTTCCAACTGTTCCCACTTCGTAGAGACTAGGAAATAATTTACCAGACTTCTCCTAAATTACCATCGAAATCCCCACCGACGGCTTGGCGACCCGTTGTCGGCATTACTTAATTCCAGTCGCGGTGTCGGGGCTATTATTTTACTTCAGGGGCCCTACCCGCGCTTTTTCCCTTCTCCAATTACAAAGGGCTGTGCCTAGAGGATTTCTCTGTCCCATCTCTCGGTATGCGCTTGTTACTCAACCCCAATGTGGGAGCTCCCAATTAACATATCAGGAAGAAAAAAAGTCCCCCGTGGAACGGCCAGTCCCTGAATCACCGACTCGTGCAGTCCATATGCGGTCCGACAATTAGGTCGAATTACCCAATCTTCCACCTTCAATTGAGCTTGGTGTAAACCAGACCTCTTCTCCGGCGGCTTTCCTCGTAGGCTTTGGTCCCCGCGGACCGTCCTTTTTTTTTTTACAAAAAAAAAAAACACACCCGCGCCTTCAACAGACGTCCTCACCGCTCCCGAAACTCGTCACCATGGCTACCTCGTTTATCTCTAAGCGACTTCGCTCCACCGAGGAGGACCAGGGATCTCACCCCAGTTGGCTTCGCCGTCAGGTCGTTTCTGGACTCCAGTCAATCTCTCGCCGTGCTTGCGTGCACCCAATTCACACCCTCGTGGTGATCGCTATTCTCGCTAGTACAACCTATGTGGGACTTCTAGAAGGCAGCCTGCTGGACCCCAGCAGGGATGGTCATGGTGTTGCCGGACAGGTGGATGCAGACGCTCTGCTCCAAGGAAGCCGCAACTTGCGACTCGGTGAATCTACTTCTTGGAAGTGGCAGGTGGAAGACCTCTGGACTGAAGTAGAGGTAAGATTCCATGTGCCCTGGAATATGGACAGAAGTACTGACTCCATGGAACCATAGACCGAGAAGCCTGCTGCCCAGCACCTGGCCCTGGCCACCCTTATCTTCCCGGACTCAACTTCCAACCAGGTTTCCACTGCTCCCTCAGCGGAGGATGTCCCCGTTCCCGCCAACGTCTCTGCCAAATCTGTCCCATACACCCCAAACCTGTTTTCGCAATTCACCTCTGACTCTTCTCTGGCGTACACCGTGCCCTTTGAACAAGCGTCGGAGCTTCTGAGGGCCGTGCAGGAGATTCCCCATGCCTCTACGGATGAGGACGAGGAAGAATCCAAGAAATGGATCATGAGAGCTGCTCGTGGCCCTGCATATGGTTCGCGCCGAGCTGTGAAGCTCTGGTTTGCGGATGCCTGGAACTCGTTTGTGGATCTGATCAAGCACGCGGAAACTATTGATATTGTGATCATGGCCCTCGGATACATCTCCATGCATCTGAGCTTCGTCTCGCTTTTCTTCTCGATGCGCCGTTTAGGCTCAAACTTTTGGCTTGCGGCCACTGTGCTCCTATCTGGAGCTTTCGCCTTCCTGTTTGGTTTGCACGTGACCACCAAGCTCGGCGTGCCGATCAACCTGCTTCTGCTCTCCGAGGGTCTGCCTTTCTTGGTTGTGACAATTGGCTTCGAGAAGCCAATCATGTTGACCCGGGCTGTGTTGAAGGCTTCTGCCGACAACCGCCGGCCTCGTCCCGGCGCTGCCCCCCGTCCCCTAGCTTCGAGTGCCCCCAGATCCATCCAGGACTCTATCACTGCTGCCATCAAGGATCAAGGTTTCGAGATCGTCCAGCACTATTGTATCGAGATTGGCTTGCTGGCTTTGGGTGCTGCCTCTGGAGTCCAGGGCGGCCTGCAGCAATTCTGCTTCCTCGCGGCCTTGATCCTGTTCTTTGATTGTATTCTTCTCTTCACTTTCTACACTACTATCCTTTGCATCAAGCTTGAGATCACTCGCATTAAGCGTCATGTGGCGCTGCGCAAGGCCCTGGAAGAGGATGGCATCACTCACAGCGTCGCTGAGAACGTTGCTTCGAGCAATGATTGGCCAGGTGCGGCTTCTGGCAGCGCCGAAGCTGACACCAGCATTTTCGGACGTAAGGTCAAGTCAAGCAATGTACGTCGGTTCAAGATCCTCATGGTTGGTGGATTGATCCTGGTCAATGTTATCAACATGTCTGCCATTCCTTTCCGGAACACCGCCAACGGTAGCCTGGTCCTCGGTTTCTCCAGTGTCCTTGCCCCTACACCCATTGATCCTTTCAAGGTTGCAGAGAATGGGTTGGATGCCGTCTACGTGGCGGCTAAGAGCCAAAAGCTTGAGACCGTGGTTACGATTCTGTCCCCCATCAAGTACAAGCTGGAGTACCCATCTGTCCACTACGCTGCTGCTCTCGAATCTGGTTCATTTGACATCGAATACTCGGATCAGTTCCTGGATGCCGTTGGTGGCAAGGTTCTCGAAAGTTTGCTCAAGAGCGTCGAAGACCCCTTCATCAGCAAGTGGATCATTGCTGCTCTGACCTTGAGCATCATTCTCAATGGTTATCTGTTCAACGCTGCTCGCTGGAGTATCAAGGAACCCGAGGCCGCCGCTACAGCTTACGTGGAACCTGTCGCGGCTCCCAAGGTCTACCCCAAGTTCGAGCCCAACGAGGGCGAGTCAAACCGGACTGCGGAGGAGTGTGAGGCACTGCTAAAGGCCAAGCGTGCTCCCATTCTTACCGACGAGGAACTGATTGATCTTTCTCTTCGCGGAAAGCTTCCTGGCTACGCCCTCGAGAAGTCCATGGAAGATGAAAACCTCTTGAGCCGTGTCGATGCCTTTACTCGAGCCGTGAAGATTCGCCGATCCGTCGTTGCCCGTACCCCTGCTACCTCTGCTATCACTGCCACCTTGGAAGAATCCAAGCTTCCCTACAAGGATTACAACTACGGTCTCGTTCACGGTGCCTGTTGTGAGAATGTCATTGGTTATTTGCCCCTTCCTCTCGGTGTCGCCGGTCCCATCAACATCGATGGCCAAATGTACTTTATCCCCATGGCCACCACTGAAGGTGTGTTGGTGGCTAGTACCAGCCGTGGTTCCAAGGCAATCAACGCCGGCGGCGGTGCCGTGACCGTATTGACCGGAGACGGTATGACCCGTGGACCTTGCGTTACTTTCCCTACCCTGGCCCGGGCTGCCGCCGCCAAGGTCTGGATCGATTCCGAGGAAGGTCGTAGCATCATTACCGCCGCTTTCAACTCCACCAGTCGTTTCGCCCGTCTCCAGAGTCTGAAGACTGCCCTCGCTGGAACTTACCTCTACATCCGTTTCAAGACCACCACTGGTGATGCCATGGGTATGAACATGATTTCCAAGGGCTGTGAGAAGGCGCTGGACGTCATGTCCAAGGAATGTGGCTTCGACGACATGGCTATCATCTCTCTTTCCGGTAACTTCTGCACAGACAAGAAGTCCGCCGCGATCAACTGGACTGATGGTCGTGGTAAGTCTGTTGTGGCGGAGGCCATCATTCCTGGTGACATCGTCAAGAGTGTGCTCAAGAGCGATGTAAACGCCCTTGTTGAGCTGAACGTCAGCAAAAACTTGATTGGTAGTGCCATGGCAGGCAGCTTGGGTGGCTTCAACGCCCACGCCTCCAACATTGTGTCTGCTATCTTCTTGGCCACTGGTCAGGATCCTGCCCAGAACGTTGAGAGCAGCAGTTGTATCACCACCATGAAAAAGTAAGCTATTCACCCCACCTTTCCATGACGATCGGTCAAGCTAATGCCCGTTCTCTCAGCAACAACGGTAACCTCCAAATTGCTGTGTCTATGCCCTCCATTGAGGTCGGCACCATTGGCGGAGGTACCATCCTTGAAGGCCAAGGTGCTATGCTGGATCTGCTGGGAGTCCGCGGGGCTCACCCCACTACCCCTGGTGAGAACGCTCGCCAACTCTCCCGCATTATTGCTGCCGCCGTTCTCGCTGGTGAACTCAGCCTGTGCGCCGCCCTCGCAGCCGGTCATCTTGTCAAGGCCCACATGGCGCACAACCGCAGCGCCGCACCCACAAGGTCTTCGACACCGGTATCTTCAGCTGTCGGTGCTGCCCGCGGCCTTTCCATGACCTCCAAGTAAACGACGATGACATGACCTACCCTTCCCCGGACGATTACCGGGCAACTGTACATGTGGCCCTTTATCTCCGATGCCGACACATGGCTTGGCCATGGCGCATCCGGACCTCCAGGAATGATTACTGCCGGAAGACCTCGGCAGCGGACCTTTCTGCTTGGATCGGCATGATCTAGACGAGGCAGGCAGAGCCCTCCCAAAACCTCAACGCTTCGACGCGATAGAGCCTGTAATGAAGTCTGTACTGTTTCCTTTTTTTTTTCAATGAAGAAATTACCAATTTATACATATCAATGAAGTACTCTGTATTTCCAATTTTCTAAGCGCAGCGTGTGGAGAGGAATAATATAATATGAGCGATCAGCGCCAGACCACGGGTATTGTAAGTTAGTCGAGGGTCTAGATCTCTTGACTCCTGAACCCCAAATGGGGCCATTGTGAGAACCTACTCGTACTTATACTCTCGACATGAAATACCTGGGCCACCGGAGTCTGAGCACGGAATACATATTTAAATGTACATGGGATTAGAGGGGCACGGGAATTAAGGAATATCATGCTTATGGTTTATCTGCAGGCGACATCCCTGCATCCTTTAAATTGACCACCTGTTAGCCCCTTGGCCTAGCCGATTTAGTACGAAATAATGAAGTACGGAGCATACGACAGCCGAACAGAGGAATATGGACAGATCTACATAGGAATTGACATGTCTTTTGAAGAGAGTAAGGCATGAATTGCAAGACCAACAGTGCAGAAGTCGAAAGCCCCCCAAAAAAGAACAGCTGAGATCATAGTGCATGAAGCGATACCAGGGCCGCTGTAAGGAAAACGGGGTTGTCCCGTAAGGGAACCATCTCATCTCACTACTGTATCATTTCTCCCCTACTTTGGATTTTGCCCCCTTCCAAAAGGTTCAAATCCTTCACTCATTTGGATTTTGTCCTTTGTCTTCTTCGTGGTCGATCGCTCCCGGCTTGTCTCAGATCGTTGGAATTTTGGTGGAGAAAATACGGGGGACTATTGTCTTTTGACGTGAATGCTCCTATCGGTTATCCGTGACTGAATATTGCACTACTGTCCACCCTGATATGAATGGCGGTTCGGGTGCCATGTCGCCTGTATCTGTCGATGGAAGCGACTGGTCAGGCCTGAACCAGTATGGAAAGTCCGAGTCGCCCTTCTCACCCACATTCCCTTCATCCCGACCCAATCTAGCCACACCCCCGACCTCCGGCGTCCCCAGCGCACCTTTGAGTCCCAATGGACCGCCTCCCTCTCTCTCTCCCTCCAACCTGAGCAGCAATCCCTCCCCGCCCAGCTCCGTCGCAGCGAGATCCAGTGTCGGAACCGTGGGAGACGGTCCGCGCGATGGACGGCGGTATCGCCAGATGGAGGAAATCCTGGGGCAACACTATGTGGTCTTGAGACGATTCCTCGCCGGTACCGCTCGCGACGACCGAGGCCAGATGAACAAGGCTCGCGATAAGTTGCAGCGGCTGTCACCAACCCAGTTCCACGAACTTTCTACGGACGTATACGATGAATTAATTCGGCGGCAGCAGGCCTCGCCGCCTCCCGGTCGACCACCTCGTCCGGATGTGCCTCCTCACCTTCCTCCTCGCCCGGACTTCCACGAAAAGCGCAACTCAGCCCGCGAAAGGCTCGCGGCTCTCACCCACGTTCGGTTCCGTGATTTGGTTACCGACGTCTTTTGTGAGCTGGGACGCCGGTTCCCTCATTTCAATTCGCGGGAGTACCAGGGACGGCCGCCTCCCAACATGGGGCCTCCGAGCGCTCGTACTTCGCAGTCCTCCCGGGGCCCTCCCTCGCGCATGGGACGGGGATATCCCTCCGGTGGACCACCGGGGAGTCCGTTCCCGCCGCGGAGTGGCTCCATGGGAGGCCCACCCTCGATGAACGGAGATGGTCCCTTCCCTCGGTCCTTCCAGAGCAACACAATGGTTCCGAACAAAAGCACAATGGTTGAAGACAGCGATGATATGGGACCCGATGACGAAGACGATGCTCGGAGCGATGCGTTCGCTCTGGACGCAGTTTTGAGTCGACGGGGTACTGCTACGACCTTGGGCGACAGTGAGCGAAGAATGTTGGTGGAAAGCCAGACGCAGGTGGCAGCCTTGCAGGACAAAATTGAAAAATTGGAAGATTTGGTTCGTGCCAAGGACGAGGAGCTCGCGCACTCATCACAGGATGCGGACTCTTCAGGCATCAGCCACAGCGAACGGCAGGAGTGGGATGATTTACGCCATGAGCTTGAAAGCAAGGTCTCAAAAGCCGAAGATTTAAACAGCTCACTCCAGCTCGAGCTTGACCGAGTTCGAACGGAGCACGATACCATGGAGCGGGATTTGCGCAGTCAGCTCGACGAGTCATCCCGGTCAGCCGAGGATACAGGCCTCCAAGTCCGCTACGAGGACTTGGAACAAAAACACCAAAGCCTACAGGGAGAGTTGCAGCACCAAAAACAAGTGACCGACGAAGTTCGTCGGGAGGCATCGGTTTTCCTTGAGGAAATGAAGGCTCTCACAGCAGATAGTCATGCCAATTGGGAGCGCGAAGAACAACTCTCCAATGAAGTTCACAGACTCGAGACAGAGTCCAATGATTGGAAGAATCGTTACGCCAAGGTCAAAGCACAAATGCGGCATCTTCGTACTTCGTCTGGTGGCTTTGCCGATTCTCGGCCCGATGCCAGTGTTCTCACCAAACAGCATCAGCTGGTGCAAGTTGATGGGTTGGTCAAGGATATTCATGTGACAAAATTCCAGATGTCGGTTGATGAGCTTCTGCGTATTGCTCGATTCGAGGACTCGCGTCTCGTGCTTCAACAGATCAAGATGGTCATTGCGACAGTTCGCCATATCCTCCAGGATGTGGAGCACTCCCCGATTCCAGTCGATGGGTCAGCTGCCATTCGGACCAAGGTCAAGGGCCAAGTGTCCACCACGGCGAACAATATGATCACCGCTGCGCGGAACTTTGCCAACTCTAGTGGACTGTCGCCAGTATCACTTCTCGATGCGGCGGCCTCCCACCTCTGTACCGCCATCATTGAGTTGATTCGGGTGGTGAAAATCCAGGCTTCACCAGCTGATGAGCTGGAGGATGAATATGACGAGGCGGATGTGTCACAGGAGCAATTCCCCGACTACTTTGATACCTCTGCCAGTCAGAAGCGGATGAGTAACAACTCCATTTACAGCGCCATGAGTCGTCCAGACGAAGATCAATTCCCCGTGCAGAACGGGGTCACAAATGGTGTCAATAATGGCTGGGGACACGTGGAAGAGGACCACGACGTATTGGAGCTGAAGGTGAGCATCCAATTTCTCAATCCTAGCAACTGATATAATGCTAACTATTTTCTTAGCTGTACGTCGAAGACCAAACCGATGGCATGGTCCAGTCAATCCAATCCTTGGTTGCCAGCATCCGAGCCGAGGACAAGCTCCCCACCGTCCAAACCCACGTCTCTGCTATTCTGGGCGTACTTGCCAACGTAGTCGGCGCCACAGAGCACCTCATGCACGAGCGTAGCGCCGACCTCGTTCTCCGCGAAGCCTCTGAGCCAGCAATGCTCGCCTTAGACCAATGTCGCAGCCGACTCGAGACTACAATTAATGAAGGCGAGGACGCCATGACCCCCGAAGAGCTGCGGGAGGTCACAAACAAATTGCCTCCGATTGCATTTGAGATTGCTCGGCAAACCAAGGATCTTGTCCAGCGCCTCGAAGCTACTTCTGCCGAAGAGGATGATTTCCGGTAATGCCGAATGCCAGGTGCTGGATTTTGAATTCTGAATGTTCACTGCTTTGTTCTTTTCAGCGATCCCCATAAGTGGACAATGTGAAATGATGTTCGTGGCATGGTTTCTTTTTCTTTTGCTTTTGTTTCCTCTTCTTTGTATTTTATTCCAGCGCTCTTCCTATCTAGGTTTCTTGACCAGATCTCACGTCAAATCTCTCCCTTCATGACTCCTCGATTGGTTTTGCTCCCATTACGTTCCCATTATGTCCTGGATTAGAAATACTTGTGCTCGACGATACCAATAAACAACGCAGATTCACCATGCACCTGATTAGCCAGTAACCATGTACTTCAGTCACTAGTGCGTGACCTGTATGTACTCCGTACTGAATCGGAAGGGATATCCCGTATTATGTAATCATCAAGCTCTAGGCGTTTTCTGGCATCGAGCTTCATTTTTCCCTCTCTTCTACTCCTTGTAACCCAATCTTCATCAATTTATATCATTTGTAAGTATGCAAGATCCCCCTGCAAGATGTGATTTGATTCAATTCCTGGGTTTTATTCTTTCCCTCTCCAGGACATCCCTCATCCATAGAAGAGATGTTCCTCCTGGAGTCTGGAGAAGCTTGAAAGTGGAGCCTCAGGCAGAAACTGCGCTCAAGGTCTTCCTGGAGTAGTAGACAAGCTAACCCCAAAGTAGCCCGGTACCCGAGTTCACCCGCTCCGCCCTGCCCCTCACCATGTTCTGCCGCCTGAGGACTTTAACCCCACCTTCCTCCCTCTTCTCTTCTTCTTCTCTCTTCAATTGCACTTCTATCCATCCCGCTGCCCGATCTTTCGCATCATCAGCCGTCGCCATGTCTACCGCTTTCTTCGACATCCAGTACCAGCTGCCTGGCCAGGGTAAGTTTTGTTGTTTTCCTCTTGCTGGTGGCGAGGCGGTGCTTTTGCCCCTCCCTAGCTTTCCCCTGCTACCATCATGATCAATCTTATGAATATTGGAACTGACTTGATCTTTAGCTGTCACCACCAGCCGTGTCAACTTCAAGCTCTACAACGACGTTGTCCCCAAGACCGCCGCCAACTTCGCTGAGCTCTGCAAGAAGCCCCAAGGCCAGGGTTACAAGGGCTCTTCCTTCCACCGCATCATCCCCGAATTCATGCTCCAGGGTGGTGACTTCACCCGCGGTAACGTGAGTAACTCCTGGTACATCATGTCTTGATCTATGTTCTAATCTGACTTTTCTCGGAATAGGGTACCGGTGGCCGATCCATCTACGGTGAGAAGTTCGCCGATGAGAACTTCGCGAAGAAGCACACCCGCCCTGGTCTCCTCTCCATGGCCAACGCCGGCCCTAACACGTATGTCTCAATCTCATCTCACACGCTTCATTCAATCTAACTTCTCCAGCAACGGCTCTCAGTTCTTCATCACCACTGTCGTCACCTCTTGGCTCGATGGCAAGCACGTCGTCTTCGGCGAGGTTGCTGATGAGGAGTCCCTCCGCGTTGTCCTGGCTCTCCAGGGTACCGGCAACCGCAACGGCGAGATCATCACCCCCACCAAGCCCACTATCGTGGACTGCGGCAGCGCCTAAAAAGCTTCTATGAGCATTATTAGTTCAGATTAACGTTCTCTATGTCAAGGACCAGGTTCCTTCAATGACTAGCATCGGTGGCTTTCACTTTTGCACCCTGTAATCTAAAGTCTCGAACTAGTTCGTTTAACGCTATTCGGAGCCTGTTCTTTTTTTTCTCTCTTAAAGTATTTCTCCGTAGAAGGTCATCGTATAGGTATCATCGTCTAGAACTGGAATTGAAATTGGAATCCCCCCCGGATGATATCAGCGCCCCAATATCCTGCTTTGCTCCCAGCCGCTTGGATCGCGCATCTTACCCCGCGCGGGACAGGGCAAGTTTCCTGAAAATTGTTGTCCAAAAGATTCATGCAATGGTGCGTTCGTTGCATTGGATAATCCTACTCGATCCGAGCACAATGTCAGCGCTCATGCCTCGAGCCCTCGGCTTTCCCTTTGTGACGCAGATTCCTAAACTTCGTAAAACCCGATCGTTCAAAGTCTACTCGAACCTTCGACCCGCATTCATGCTCGTGCATACTCGTACATCTGCGCATGCATGAATATGATCAGCCTCATTCGATCTTTCCGGCTGTCTGCGTTCCTGGTACGAAAATCAGCCCATGTCTTTTCGATGCCAACTGCTGTAGATGCTGTAGCTTGGAGTAGATTTACGGTGCATCTTTTGATAATCCGAATAAATAGAAGAAACTCAATTGTGTTGGGGTGCTCACAGATTATGTCGCGGGCAATGATCTGAACTAGATTTGATGCTGGCTTCAGCGATGGGCACTGGAGACTGGGCTATACACGGCGAAGGGTTTGTCCAGGCAATGGAAGTGTTCAGATATGACAAAAACGGATGAAAGGGAGATCGGCATACAGTATTAGTGTGTATAGTCTAGGACCCCTATGGTTGGACTCATTCCAGACCTAGGACCTCATAAAATTCATCCATAGGTGGCTGCGAAACGGTTGGCAAACTGCATAAGTAGAAGTCTGTTCTGTCTGTATTGTAATTGATCTCGGATATGAATGGAATGGATTGTATGGAGTAAGTAGAGGGGTCCCTTGGTGCCACAGCAATGACACTCATGTTTCATGAAGCCATCGATTTCATTTGACACTACAAAAATAGGTCACAACTTACCATATATCATTCAGTAGCATAGCAGCCGTGAAACAGTGCATAGAGAGGCGATTTCGGCTGTCTGTTCATTGACACGAAGCCTCGACAATAGCAACAGGATCAGAGATGCGAGCAGAAGCAAATATCAACAACCACTGAAGCTTGATGAAGATATTCTTCAAGTATTGACACTGTTGGGTAGCCTAAAAACCACTACTCCAGATACCAGTCCCCCAGAAACGGAACCTGTAGATGGGTATGGCTCAAGTCACTAGATCTGCTGTAAAACACCAACGTTGTAGGATATCAAATACAGCATGCCGTCTATCCGCAACACTTCGTGACCGAGGTAGCATCCGACCTTGGAATGATCAGGTCAATTTGAAAATAGTAAAGAATGTAGTACGCAACTCACTCCTCAGACAGATTGATAGGCTCCCACGTAAAAAAGAACGCACCCAGGAACGCGCCAATGAAGATGCAGATGATGATGTAGCCGTTGTAATACATGGCCAACAGCATGACGATGTATGCCACTGCGAATTGAACCATATGGATCAAAGAGCGCACAGTGTGCTGGACAAGCGAAGGACGATACATGACGGAGGCCCGAGTGACAGAGTCACCAGTGGCAGCAGACGTAGCCTGCTTTGAGGATCCGGGAATGCCGATGTTGTCCTCGGTGTTGGGAGCATTGTCATCATAGGTATCATCCAGCAGAGCGCCACGAGAAGATTGTCGCAAACGAGCCTGACGGACGACATAGCCGTCGTATTCTCTACCGGCACGACGAAGGAATTCAAGGCTGATGACGAGGCAAATGACGCCAATGCAAGAACCAGCGAACATGCCGCGAGAGGTGACGTGCCAGGATTTGGCCAGGAAGCCTGTGATTTTGGGTTTTAGTTCCGTCGGTAGAATATCGAGAATAAGACCATACATGAACCAATGGTGTACCAGTTCCAGTACATCTGTTGCGGTTAATTTTCGAGTTTGAACAGATGAAACTGGGTAGACTCACCGACATCTTGCATTCATGCATACCCTCCGTGTGGTTGCCCATGCCCATGGACATCCCGGAGCCCATACTGGTGGTCATAGTCATGGCTGAGGTTGCAGTGGCCGTCATATTCATTCCGTCCATATTGAAGGATATCAAGATCGGAGAAGGGGGATTTGAAGCATCGAAGAAGAAGAAAAAGAGAAACAGAGAAAGTAAAGAAAGTAAACAGACGGTAAGGCAGTATGGGGCCAAGCCCAATGAGCAGATTAGGGCGCCTAAAGAGAGCAAAAGAGAGCAAAAGAGAGGGTTTGAGCACATTTCTATGCAAAGAATACATTTGGGTATCACAGTATTTTTTCGGAGTATCTTTTCGGAGTATCTGGTTTTTTTCATTTGGACTTGATAACACCCTCCAACAACTCCCGGATTTGACTGCATCCGTCAATGCCCACAGCAGTCATAGTCTCCAGATATGTCGAATGAACCTTGGACTCCATGGCGAATACGGAAACCTTCATCGTCTCTTCATCTTCGTCCATATTATTCTCGCCAACAGGCACAACAGTCGTTGTCCCGACCGTAAGGAATGGCAATTCTTGCTCTTCGGGCAGCGCAACATCAAGCAGCGGGTCCAGTTCGTCGTGTCGCGGGTCGCGCGGTGTAGAAGCACTTCCACTCATACCAGCAGTACAGCCAGTGAGAAGGCCCGGCATGGGGATACCGGCATCGACCAGGGCAAGGGTACAGGCGTTAATGGCGGCCGCGAGAACGGACCCATCGGCCGAGAGAATGGAAACGTGAATACTGATTGTGCTGTGAGGGTAGAGGTAGGTGTGTAGGTGAGACTGGAAGGCTGAGCGCAGGGTTGAAGCAATCCGGGTTGATTGTCTGTACATCATGTTAGTAGCTGTAGCGGGGTGTATCGCATGAGATTGGGTACCTGTCGCTTCCTCCGGCCTTGCGCCTGCGATCCACGCCCGCAAACCCGGCAACGTTGACATCTACCTCCACAATCGCTTGGCCGCTTCCTGCAGCGCCATCGCCGCGACGGCCCTCAGCGGGACCGTGGACAGAGCACATGATTGATGTGTTACCCATGGAGAGATATGAGGAGCCTGAGCTGGCGGGGTTGGTGGAGATCTGGGCTTGAAGGAGACGAAGCTCATTCCAGCGACGGCCGTCAAGGCGCAGCCTCGTGAGCGGGTATGTTGTCGAGGTATCCAGAGGCATTGTGAAAGTAGTGATAAGGGATTGAGCTTGCAAAGGTGAGAATGGGAACAAATAGGGCAAAGCTCTGGTGAAATCTGGGTGGATATCAGAAAACAGTTCTCACAATTGCTGGAATAGATCTTTACTCACGTGTGGATTCTATTGGTAAGTTGAGGTATCGGAATCTCAGCGGCTTTTTTTTTCCTGGTTATATCATGGCACGTGATCAACAGGACTATACAATGGGTATTTTCCACATACAACGTCGTTCAATAAAAGTGTCTCCAGGTAAATAGACCGAAGTCTCTGTACTGGGAGCTACATCGGTCTTAATGGGACACGGTGTATATGCGATTCGCTCGCAGTCTCGCTACCTAGGTACTGTTATACGAGTCTACCCACTACGGAGTAGTCCGTACGGAGTACACAAGAGCTCACATGTCCACGAGGGCCTACGTAATCATGTAGTTTGTTGTAACGAAAATACTTGAAAGGGACTGTGTTCGCTTTTAGACAGCTTTCTTGTATTTTTGTTTTGAGTAGTGAGTGGTGTAGCTACTTGGGTACGGAGTATAGATGGCAAGTTTTCATTTGGCCGCTAGCGCCCGCCGTAATTCCTGTGTCGCGATACTCCGGTTTCAACTTCTAAAGTTCACTCCCCGACCACCCTTTTGATTTATGGACTTTGGTCTGAATTATGGAGAATGACCACCTAGGCAGTGACGGCCATCCGGAGGTCATAAGTATTGACTCCGATGATGACTTGGAGGTGACGCACTATTCCACCCCGCGAAGTATGAGACCTTTTTCAACGCGTTGATTTGATTTGCAGCTCACATTATCCCTTCAGACAGATCTTCCGGGGTAAAACAAGAGATTGCGACGCCGGTCAGGTCAGGATCAACGCATATTTCATCTGAAGCAGCAAGCACGGTCAAGGTTCAGCCCGTGGATAGTGACGAAGATGTCAATGATGGCGAGCTGGCTTACAAGAAGTTCAAAGAACGCAAATCTCTCAAGCGCAAGCAAACTTCTGCCACTGGGCGGAAGAGCAAACTTCCCAGAAGGAACGAATTTGTTGGTCGAGTCAAACCAGAAAGACCTACGCCACGACCCAAGCGACCTTTGAAAAGTTATGGTGAAGTATCCTCCGAGGATGAACTGATGGAGAGCACACTGCCTGGCTACTTGAAAAATCGACGTGCTCAGTTCGAACTGAACCACGAGCGTCTGCAAGATTCGGGACTCAAGTTACCACCGACATATGAGGATGTGGATTTTTCAGATGACGAACGCCTGGAGGAACTTCAGGAACGACCGGTGTTTCCCAACCTGGCAACTCAGAAGGAGTACAAAGATATCGAGCTTCCATACTCTCTCGGTGTCATTCCTGCCCCAATCGCCCAATGGTTACGTCAATACCAAGTGGAGGGAGTTGCTTTTCTCCACGAGTTATTCGTATATCAAAAGGGAGGTGTCCTGGGAGATGACATGGGTCTGGGTAAAACCATCCAGGTGATTGCATTTTTGACGGCTGCATATGGAAAGACGGGAGATGAACGAGACGCCAAACGTATGCGGAAAGTGCGCCGATCCGATGATAACGCATGGTATCCCCGCACACTCATTGTATGCCCTGGAACTCTGATTGCAAATTGGAAGTCGGAATTCACGAGGTGGGGGTGGTGGAATGTTGACAGCTACCATGGCGAGAACAAGGATATTGCTCTCGACGCAGCAAGGTCAGGGAGGGTTGAAGTTCTGATCACCACCTACACTACCTATATGTCCAACAAGGATTCCTTGAATATGATTGAATGGGACTGTGTGATTGCAGACGAGTGCCACAAGATCAAAGAGCGCAAGTCAGGGACCACGCAGTCGATGAACGAAATCAACGCCTTGTGTCGAATAGGGCTCACGGGCACGGCAATTCAGAACAAGTACGAAGAGCTCTGGACTCTTTTGAATTGGACAAACCCCGGGGTGCTAGGCCCAGTCAGCACCTGGAAAGCGAAGATATGCGAGCCGTTGAAGATTGGGCAATCGCACGATGCAACATTAAGTGAGCTCAGCAGAGCTCGCAAAACGGCCAAGAAGCTGGTTGAGAACCTCCTCCCCCAGTTTTTCCTTCGGAGAATGAAAACCTTGATTGCAGACCAATTGCCCAAAAAGATTGACCGTGTCGTCTTTTGCCCTTTGACTGAGACACAGTCTGAAGCCTATGAGAATTTCCTCGACAGTGATATTGTCGATTATATCAAAAACTCCACACAGATTTGCGACTGCCTGTCAGGGAGAAAGCGTGGTTGGTGCTGTTACCGATTTATTCCTGGCAGAGACCCTCCAGCCTGGCAATCCTATGTTTTCCCTGCTATTGCAGTGCTGCAAAAGCTAAGCAATCATCTCGCCATCCTGATCCCCCAAGGGTCAGATCCCAAAGAGAAGCAGGAGAAAGACAATGACTATTTAGAGGTCGCTCTTCCCGATAAATGGGAGGGTTTATACCGCACTCGTGATTCGATCGTCAACTACGCCAATCCTGAGTTCTGTGGCAAGTGGAAGGTCCTTCGCAAACTCCTCAAGTGGTGGCACTCGAATGGAGACAAAGTGCTGGTTTTCTCTCATAGCGTTCGGCTTCTGAAAATGTTGCAGATGCTTTTCCACCATACTAGCTACAATGTCAGCTACTTGGATGGGTCTATGAGCTACGATGACCGCGCCAAGGTCGTCGACGAATTCAATGCCGACTCTAGGCAGTTCGTCTTCTTGATTTCCACAAAAGCTGGTGGTGTGGGCCTGAACATTACCTCTGCAAACAAAGTTGTCGTTGTGGATCCGAACTGGAATCCGTCTTACGACCTGCAAGCTCAGGATCGGGCCTATCGCATCGGACAAAATCGCGATGTGGAAGTCTTCCGTTTGATCTCTGCCGGGACAATTGAGGAGATAGTGTACGCCCGGCAAATCTATAAACAGCAGCAAGCAAACATCGGATACAATGCAAGCTCCGAGCGTCGGTACTTCAAGGGTGTACAGGAAAGGTCTGACAAAAGGGGCGAAATCTTTGGCTTGCAAAACTTCTTCCAATACCAATACGACAACATTGTTCTACGTGACATTGTCAACAGAACAAACGTTGCTGAAAGTCGTGCTGGTGTTCAAGTCGCAGACGTGGATTTCCAACTCGGAGACGGGGGTCAAAATGCAGATGAACAGGGCGTGAAAGCAGAAGATGAAGCAATGAGCCAAATTGCTTCTATGATCTGCGACGACGAAGAAATGCCGAAGCATTCAAGCAAAATCTCCACGCCACACAAGCATGACCCAGTCCAGGCTATTCTTGCTGGCGCCGGCGTTGAATATACCCATCTCAATAACGAAGTGGTTGGGTCTTCCCGCGTTGAAGAGAATCTCAGTCGTCGCGCAGAGCTCGCCCCCGAAGACACGACAGGTGATCAACAAGTGTTCATGCCTATCAAGGGACCCTTTGATGAAGTGGAGGAGGAGGAGGACTTGAGATTCGAATACCACCCACCAGAGAATGTCAAGCGGCGCCAATTCTGCAGTATGGCACAGCACTTTGGATACGCCGATGCTACGGAGTTTGCTCTTGTTGTTGAGAGTATGACGCAGGCCCAACGCCGGTCGTGCCTTGACCAATGGTATAAAGAGAGGAGGGCAAAGTTGCTGAATACCGTCAAGGGTGAGGTCAAGGGTGAGGTCAAGGATGAAGTCAAGGAGGTCAAAAAGGAAGTGAAAGTGAAAGAGGAAATTAAAGAGGAAGTTAAAGAGGAAGTTAAAGAGGAGGTCAAAGAGGAGAGTCCAGCCCTTTGATGGGTCCTGTTTGTTGCTATTTTACTTGCTTGATACCCCTTTTGGTTAATCAAATGCTTCCCATGACTGAGATGGCACGATCCATCCAGATGGTTCCAGCCTCGAACGAGCTGGCACATTGCCGCTAAATCATAAACCAAGAGAAAACAAACCCTAGAGCCAAGCGACGGTCCACAAAGCCGGTAGATTTGGGTATTTTTCCTGCCAGTCGGCCAAAATGCCAGGGACATTCTCGTCAAAGCTCTGACGCGCAGCACCAGCGCCATTCTCCCAGCCATCCGAGCCATGAGCTCGATGCTCATTCGCAGCAGCGGCATTCAAGCGGTTCGCAAGATCGAGAATCGCTTTTCCACCGGTCAAGGCCTCTTCGTGGTTATCCTTGATATCGACATTGAAGACGTGGACGGGATAATTGAGAGTTGATCCCTTATTCATCAGGTCGTCGACCACAGCATCCCAGCAACGCTCTTCACAGGTGATGATCACATCAACGACACCACCCTCCGTCCCAGCGGCGCCCTTATCGCCCTTTTCTAGGTGGTCAACGCGCGGAACGCCAGGGACCCAGTCTTGGAATCGCTCGGGGCCCCATTTCAGCTGACGGTTGCGATCAAGCATGTTGAGGATGCCGTTACCACGGTATAGACGCTCGTCTTTGCCGTTAAGCTCCTCGTACATCTGGTTGTAGGAGGTCGAATTGAAGTGGTAGACATTTGGTTGAGTGATTGAGGGGCCCGGAAGACGGACGAGAGACCCAGTTCCGAATGAAATGACTGGGAAAGCAGTGCCGGAGAGTTGGAGGTGGGCTTCCATGGAGCGGTTGTTGTTCGAGGCGCAGACGGTGCAGAACTTGAGCTTGTACGAGTCTGCTGGATCTAGTACTGGAGCCATGCCGGATGCTGGAGGGGGAGGGGGAGGTTGGGGAGTTGAGGTTCCCGAGTTTGTTCGGCGTGGATCATATGCCATTTTGAAGACTATGTAGAGGGAGTAGAAAAAGAGATGTAGAGACTAATGGGTTCTAGGGATCATGGAGGTTTCTTCAGTTTACAATATGCTGTTGACTGTCAGAAGCAGTTAGCGACTGACTTGTGTGGCAGATTTGAGTGAGGTTGAGTGGAAGTGACAAGAATTCAGAAAGATGAAAAGCGTATAATGAGTTTGTCCGCATAGCGAAAGCTCAGACAGCTCCAATAATATGGTTCATCATGCAAAAGGGATAATGGTAAAAAAGAGCAGACACATACCTTGCTAACTCTCATGATCCAATGGAATTTGATTTGGGGGCCGTGGCCCTGAAGAGACGCGGAGGTTGAGTTGTGCGCAGCCGAGAGCCGTCGTTTTGGGGAGCTTCCCACCGCCGATGGTTCCGCCTGAGGGGTATTCTGCCGGATATATATCGATTCAGGTCACTGTTGCTTCTGTTGCTTCCCTCTTCTTGCCGTCAACTGGCTCATGAAAGATCTGTTGCTCGAAAATATTGCAGAACGACTACTTTTTTGACTGGCTGTATTCACCAATTCCACCGCAAGGTCCAACTCCTAATCGCCTCCAATCCCTCTCACTTTGGCACACCTTCCACTCTCAAAATGGCAGCAACTGGCACTTCAAAATCTGCCCTGATTGTGGTAGATATGCAAGAAGACTTCTGTCCTCCAGTGAGACCATTAGCTTCAGCCAACCCAATCATAGAAGCCACTGATCAAATTAGAACGGGTCTCTAGCAGTACAAGATGGCCGCAACATCGCCTCAACAATCAACCATTTACTAGCAAAACCCGGGTTCGTGACTCGCGTTTTCACCAAAGACTACCATCCAGCAAACCACATATCCTTTGCCCCCAATCATCCTGGACCGGAAAACATACCTTTCGAATCATTCATCGCAATGAAGAACCCCGCATCAGGCAAGGGATCAGAAACAAAAGCACAGCGCCTCTGGCCAGTTCACTGTGTAGCCGAAACTGCCGGGGCCGAAATTATTCCCGAGATCAACATGTCGAGCGGCGACTTGGTCGTGCATAAAGGCATGCGCCCCGATGTTGAAATGTATTCTGTCTTCGCGGATTCCTTTGGGAACTGTGATCCAGGAACGAACTCACACTCGGTCAGTATGGATGTTGCGGCAGTCCTCGCTGAACAAGGCACCACAGATGTGTTCGTTGTTGGCCTTGCTGGAGATTATTGTGTTAAGGATACTGCGATCGATGCTGCTAAGGCTGGATATAGAGCCTATGTCGTCGAGGAGGGGACCAAGTGTGTTTTACCTGCTAGTTGGGATGACATCAAACAAGAACTGGTAGCTGCAGGTGTTCATGTGGTTTCTATCAACGATCCTATTTTCGAGGGAGTGTGAGAAGTCTAAGATTGACGAGCTTCCATTTTCCCCTATACTTCACCTGTGCACAGAGTGCGGAGTAGATATTAATAAAAAACACAAAAAGTAGATTGAGGTTAGCTAACTCATATTTTATATGCTCCAGGGCTCTAGGGCCTTACGGAGTAGGTTGCATCGGTGGGTTCACGTGATCTCTATACATTTTTGATTCGAGGACGACTTCACTTCAACCCTCCCGCCAATCCAGGCAATTGAGAGAAATCGACTATACTGATCTATCTTCCAAGAAAGACTCTATATATCACTTGGCCTTCATTAAGCTGAAAGGCATACACTGTCAACGAGGGCCATAATCAATTTGTCCTCCGGTCTAGGGTCTCTTTGTCTTGTCTTTTCTATTACACCAACCTATTCAATTTTCGCAAAAAAGCCACTCGGTTGGCCCCTTTTCCAGGAAATTTGGAGGGGTTTTCGAGTGAGGCCAGAAAATGCAGATCACGCCGGCCTTCATGGACCTCTCTTCCCCGAGTATCAAATCAAAACCCCCACAGAGCGTCCCCGACAGACATATAATTGACCCCGTGGGCCCTCCAGAGAGCCAATTACTCCATTCAAACGTCTTGATGGGTGCATCTACCTCGGGAGATTGGCAAAGCCCCGCCCAGGCTCAATTAGAGGCTAGCTTGATGACATCTGCGGAAACACCGGGTTCAAACCGAACTCGGCCTGCTCGTCGGACCACTCAACCGACAAGTCTTGATGTCGAACCTGTCGCAGTAACCACAAAATCCAAAACGAGAAAGTCAAAGGCACCGACTAAGCGGAAACGCCTGATTCGGCAGATAAACATAGTGTGCACAGGCTGCTATCGAGGAAATAGCCCTTCAAACAACTTCATTGTGCTTTGTGATGGGTGTGACAGACCATGGCACCAAAAATGCCATAACCCTAATATTGGAAACGAAGTCGTTCATATAGCAGACATGGATTGGTTTTGCAGCAAGTGCAACCCAAACCAACCGCGCCAGCTCAAAGCCAAAAAGCCCCCGGTCAAGAAGCCCGGACCTGCAAAGATCACAATGCCTCCCCAAAAACTTGGCCGATGCCACTCAGAGGAGGAGCGCCGAGCGTATCTTTCATCGCTTTCACACGACGCACTGGTGCAACTCCTGCTCCGAATCTCAAATGAGTGGCCCCTCGTCCCTATCTTTCCTCCCGGCATGCAAATGGCTTCCGAAGCACCAGCTGCCCCTGTGGCTCTCAGCAACGTCGTCAATCAACCCCCCATCTCTTCCAATGTCGATCAGGCTCAGGCCTCTGCCACACAACCCACCCTCGGAGCTCTGTCCCACCTCGCATCGCCGGCAATGCGTGCACCTGCTCGTATCTCGTATGCAGAATCGTCGGACTCTGATCCACTCAGCGACATTGAATCTGACACACGCTCACCGCTTCCATCTCCTGTTCCTTCTCTAGGTGGCTCCCAGCATGACTATGATTATGACTCGGAAGATTATCGTGCATACCCTGAGGCTGGCCACGGCTTCGATGTTCCCATGTCGGCGGATGATCTTGACATCATGGCCGAGGACGAGCACTACCCTGCGTTCAGTCATGCCATTCGGGGGGCTTACAAGGCCCAAAAACAAATCTTAGAACCTTTTGGCCAACGCGAGCAATGATCAATTCGCATTCTGTATTTAATCAAGGGAAGTCCTTTGATTTCGTGGGTATTTCCTACGTCGGTTCCTCTGGTTTTGTTCTCAACAGTAGTCAATTATTTCGATATTATCTTAATTCAGCAGTGTCTTCGTGCTTGAAACAGCCCAGGTGTAAATCAACAGTACAAAAATAGATTATCTTATCGGCCCCGCAAAACCACCTGGGCAAATGTCGCGTCCAAATCTCCGACTCAAATTCACCGACCTCTACTCGTGTGCACCGGGGCAGTGACCTTGGAAGTACTCCCCAGCTGTCTCAAATCACGTATCCCTGGGTCTGAGAAAAGCGACTCCACAGAATCCTCAACCATGCCAGACGCAAACCCCCCAATAATCCAAACAACAGCCAAGCAACCCAAACCAACCCCCCGTCCAACCCGCCTTACAGTCGATACTCTTCTTACTGTGCTTTCCAAGTCACTGTTTAATCCTTTCATCGCATGGATTCTGGTCCTGTGCTTACGTGCCCACGTAACGCCTCAAACAGACCCTGCCTGGATCCTGACTGTGACCTACGCAAGTGTGCTGACCGTCGTGTTCGTCGGGCGAGGCATTAATCATCGCATTGCGTATGGGTCGCCGCGCACAGCCTCTGAGGATGAGGTGGTGCTCGTCACCGGTGGGGCGAGTGGGTTGGGATTGTTGATTGCGCAGATTTATGCAATGCGCGGGACGAGTGTGGCAGTGCTTGATATCAAGGAGCTTGATGGGGACGCCAGTGAGATTTTCGGGGACGGGGTTTTATATATTGCTTGTGATGTTACAGATCGGGGAGCTTTGGAGACAGCCAAGGAAAAAATTGAGAAAGTGGTATGTATATCTCATATTATGTTTAGTTTGTTTGTGATAGGAAGGAGTTCAGTTTTGATAGCTTGCTTCAATTGGTTACTGATTCGCTAATGTCCTGCAGCTAGGAAGGCCAAGTATCATTATCAACTGTGCTGCGGCAAGGATCAATGGTCTTCCGCTACTCGAGCTGTCGGCTGGCGCGTTCGAAAAGACCATCCGTACCAATATCCTCGCGGCATTCCATCTCTACCAACTTTTCTTGCCTGGCGTCGTTGCTGCAGAGAATGGAGGCACCCTTGTGACCGTCAGCTCCGTGCTTGGCCACTTGACTGCGGCGGGTCTATCGGACTATGCAGCAAGTAAAGCTGGGCTGAGTGCGCTGCATCGAACGATAGAAGCGGAGATGCGAGGATCGCCGATAAAGACACTACTGGTAGAGATCGGACAGATGTCCACGCCGCTTTTTGATTGGGTTCAGGCGCCTAACCAATTCTTTGCGCCAGTCTTGGAACCGGTCGAAGTTGCCCGAGAGATGGTTGCCGCGATTGATGGTGGTCGAGGTGGAGTGATCAGATTGCCCGCATATGCAACACTTGTGAATTGGTATGTCGTGTTACCCGCCGCAGTGCAACGGATCGCGAGGTATCTGAGTGGGATAGATGCCGCGGTGACTCAAAGTCGGCAAATATCTCCAAAAGTAGACTGAGATGGTTCGGGTAGTTTATATGGGCGTGATGTAAGGGCTCGTGGATCAGCCGATCCAGCATGTATTATGAAGTGGGGGGTATCACTCCAATGAACATATTTTCCTTTTTGACTAACTTTCGATGCAAATATGCGACTGAGCCTGGCCACGAATCGACAGAGTGGATGTGCCAGTTTATTTCTCGCTGGTGAGGATCATCTTCTCACGCTCGTGAGTTCTGGGCTTCAGCTCGCTCTTTTTAGTATGCTTGCGCACATTCTCCTCGCGCCTCTTGATAGCATTGAGCTCCTCGCGCTTGATTTCGCCAGCCTTCTTGATAGGCTTGGGCACATGGCGCTGGCGCTTGATGCGCTTGATTTGGGGCATGTGCGAGTAGCGCTTGATCAATGCCTGGTCGTACTCCAGCTTGGATCGTTGACGGGCACTCTTGATACCGCTGCGATCCGATGCCGTGGAGCGCCATAGACGAACGTTTCCATCATCTGATCCAGACAAGATGTACTTGTTATCGGGTGTGAATGTTGCTGAGAAAACGCGCTGCATGCGCTTAGTGTGGTAGATGTCACGCGAGTGCCCAGTTGACCTGTTCCACAGGCGAATTGTGCGATCGTAAGAGGCAGTGACAAGTTCCTCACCAGTTGGGCTGAAGTCGACGTCCATTACAGCAGCCACATGGTCCTTAAGAACGTTCAAAGCACGGTCCATTTTTCTCATATCAAAGATGTAGGCGTTGTGATCCTCATTGGCCACTGCAAAGTTGAAAGCCTCCATGGGGTTCCAAGAGATGGCATTGGATGACAACTTGAGGATTGTCTTGTGCACCGGTTGAGAAGTCCTCAGGTCATACATGATAACCGAGCGGTCGAGGGCAGTCGAGGCCAGGATTGATGTCTCAGTTTGATTGAATGCAACCGAGGTGATAGTGTCGACGCTGGTGGGCCAGTGTAGAGTTTGTGATGGGGTGGAGGATGGTCGCGAAAGGTCATAGATAGAGATGACACCAGAGGCAGCAGCAAACGAGGGCATGCTCCGGTGATGCGACACACTAGTGAAAGCACTGTTTCCGAGATAGGTCGCCAGTGGCGGGGCCTCATTCGACGAATTGTAAGGATCCCATAATTTGATCGTCTTATCACTTGCGCATGAAAGAAGTTTTCGCTCCGGTGTCCAGCACAGACCCTTCACCATGTTTTCATGACCCTGAGTCTCCCAGACCTCACCTTGTGTGGGTAGATCCCACACCTTCACCACACCATCACCACTACCACTTGCGAAGCGATTGAGCGAACCGGGGTCCTTTGCCATAGTGTATACACCGTCAACATGACCATTGCCCATCTGCCCAAGGAAAGGAGCAGCAAACATGCGCTCCATTTTGATTGCATTCAGAGCCCTAGTATATTCACGGGCCCTCTCAAAAGGATGTTGCGTCGGGTCCAGATTCCGCGCCTGGCGAACAGTGGAAGACCCGGGGGCCTGCTGCGACGCAGTTGACCGAGAAAGTGCTTTGATTTTCTGTGATTCATTAGCATATAAATCCAACGAGCAAAATTTTGAACAAAATTCCTTACCATTTTGTTGTTGAAAAAACTTTGGGAGAGAGGAAAGAAATCGCCGATGGAACTTTTTTTCTGTTTGATTTGCCAACCGGGCGGTGAAGGACGATGAGCTGCCGCCAGCTTCGAGCTCCCCGTCCGACTTGGTCATCAACCTATCCTTCAATCCACCATCGCCTGTTAATCTGTTCCCCTAAAACTCCTCACCCCACTCCCTTGCAATTTGCTGTCAAACATCATGTCCTCTAAGGTCTCGCCACGGATCCAAGAAGTCCGAGATCTGGTGAAGCAGGATCCCTCGAAAGCCGCGCCCAGTTACCAGAAGATCCTCTCAGAGGGTCCCGGATCCACAGAAGCATCCTCACGAGACTATGAACATGCTTTGATTGGTCTGGGTGAGGCATACCGGGATGCAAAGAAGCCCCAAGAGATTGCAGACCTCATCAAGACCAGCCGTGACACCTTTTCGTCATTTGCCAAAGCGAAGACAGCCAAGTTGGGTAAGTTGCGTGTCATTCAACATCGGGCAACGGCATCTAATAATGTTTGCTTTAGTCCGTCAACTGCTCGATCTGATTAGCGAAATCCCCAACACACTTGAGCTCCAAGGCAGCGTTATCCAATCATGCATAGAATGGGCTATCTCCGAGCGAAGGTCGTTCTTGCGCCAGGCTCTCCAAGCCCGACTTGTCGCCATTTACATGCAAAAGCAATCCTACTATGACGCTCTCACTCTCATCAACTCCCTTCTACGTGAGCTGAAGCGCCTGGACGACAAGCTGATGCTAGTGGAGGTACAATTGCTCGAATCGCGTGTTTACCACGCCCTGGGCAACCAGGCCAAGGCACGCGCTGCCCTTACCGCGGCCCGTACATCAGCTGCATCTGTGTACACACCGCCAAACCTCCAGGCCGGTCTGGATATGCAGAGCGGTATGCTTCACGCTGAAGACAAGGACTTCACCACTTCCTTCTCCTACTTCATCGAGGCCCTTGAAGGGTACAACTCGCTTGACGAACGTGATCTGGCCACAGCAACGCTGCAATACATGCTTCTTTGCAAGATCATGTTGAATTTGGTGGATGATGTCACACAATTGCTAGGCTCGAAGCAAGCACAGAAGCATGCCAGCCCACGCCTGGAGGCAATGAAGGCTGTGGCCCGAGCACACGCCAATCGTTCTTTGGAGGAATATGAGAAGGCCCTCTCGGACTACCGGTACGAACTTGGCGGTGATGTGTTCATTCGGAACCATCTCCGTCGCCTTTACGACGCCATGCTGGAACAAAACTTGGTCAAGGTTATTGAGCCTTTCAGCCGAGTTGAGCTGGATCACATCGCCAAGATGGTTGGTCTGGATACACAGCAGGTAGAGCGCAAGTTGTCCCAGATGATTTTGGACAAGGTTATCATTGGAGTGTTAGACCAGGGCTCCGGCTGTCTGATTGTGTATGAGGAGACGCAACGTGACCAGGCTTACGATGCTGCACTAGACACAATTGAGAAGCTCGGCAACGTTGTGGAGGGGCTGTACACTAACCAGGCGTCTCTCCTGGAGTAAGGGGATCTTTAACTGTTATTGTTAGACTATGACTTGACAGGAATAATCGAGACTTATACGATCAAAACCGGGAATGTTGAATTTTCTTTTTCTCTCTCCATGGGAGAGTCAGAGAATTGTAGTATATGAAGTATCATATATTGTAATCTCCTTTTTTCTATATCAAAGAAATCAACGCTGGTATTTGAGAAGTCCAAGAAGAAAATGGCAGCTTAGTCGCGACATTCCGAAAAGGGTAAAGCGCGACGGCAAAATCGCGACTTCGCATCTCCAACTTCTGGCATCCTAACATCTATCCACTGCTCCACCCTATACTCCTCACAATGCAAGCTCCAATGCAGCAAGGTTTTCGGCCAATGCCCCCGGCTGCGCACCGGTCACCAGCTGCGCCCCGTCGCCCAGGTATGTTTCCTCGATCTTCCTAATTATTCCCTTTTGTTAATCTCCATTTGTGAAGGCATGCACGCTCCAGTTCAACAACAAATGGTCCCTCAGCAGTATATGACACGCCCTATGCCTCATCCCAATGATGCTGCCCTTCGACGAAGCCGCAAGCCCACCGATAAGAATCTCCCCGACGGCATTGAGGACGTGATCATCGGCGAGGGTGTTCAGCAATACAAGAACCTCCGCGACCTAGAAAAGCGGTTAGACGCTGCTGTTATTCGAAAGAGGCTCGATATTCAAGATTCCATCAACAAAACTGTGAAAAAGTACCGAACAATGCGCATCTGGATCACCAACACCGTTGAGAACCAACCTTGGCAAGGGTCGGGAAACAACCCCGGCTCTGGTCGCTACAAGGTACGAATCGAGGGCCGATTGCTGGATGACGAGACAGACCCCACTGTCCCCGACGAAGAGGAGAAGGATGAAGATGCGATGGACCATGATGGTGAGGGGGACAAGGCCACTGAGTCTGAGTCCAAGAATCAGACCCAGCGCTTCTCGCACTTCTTCAAGGCCATTAATATCGACTTCGATAAGCCTGTTACGGCAATGCCAGAAGAAGTCAAGCCAGTCAACTGGTCCAAGGCTGTCCCTCACCCCAACACACCCACGCCCCCTGGTTCTGAATTCGACAGCCTACAGTTCGCTCGGGCTTCGCAGGAAAACCTCAATATTACTATTAGCCTCGTCCGCGACGAAGTTCCAGAGCGATACAAGCTGAGCAAAGAGCTGGCCGAGGTCCTGGATGTCGAAGAGGAAACTAGGAGCGGAATTGTTCTTGGAATTTGGGACTACATTCGCGCGATGGAGTTGCAGGAGGATGAAGAGAAGCGACAAGTGCGCTGCGATCACCGATTGCGCTCGGTACGTTGATTATACATCCGCCTGGTTACTTCTTACTAACACATTCAGATCTTTGGACGCGAGCAAATGTTCTTCCCCCAGATTCCAGAGAGTGTCGGCCCCCACACTAGCCCAATGGAACCGATCAAGCTTCCTTACACCATTCGTGTCGACGAGGAATTCAATGCCGACCCCAAGCCAACTGTATACGATATCCAGGTTGCAGTGGAGGACCCGTTGCGCACCAAGATGATGGCTCTTACCCAGAACCCTGCTTACACGGCAGGTCTGCGCCAAATTTCGTCCTTCGATGACCAGGTCGCCTTGATCGTTCAAGCTCTTACTCACTCCCGAGCCCGTCATTCATTCTACACTGCCTTGAGCAAAGACCCAGTCAGCTTTGTCCGTCGCTGGATCAACTCTCAGCGCCGCGACTTGGAAACCATTATGGGCGAAGCTACCCGTGGAGGCGGTGAGGATGGCAGCGGACCTGAGTTCCGGTTCGGTGGTCTTGATGGTCCCTGGGATTCTGAGGTTGCTAAAGAGGCAGTCAGGTATATGCTGGCCAAGCCTGAGGCTCAGGCTGCGGCTGCTCGATAGGTCTCTTGATTGGACTTCGACTTTTCCGCGCGCGGACGAAGCCATGCGTTTTGTCTTTCTAATATCAGGTGTTTCGTGAGGTGTTTGGACTGGTTTAGGATACGACTGGCAGGATTGAATATTCTTAAATTTCTTCTGCAAATCTGAAATGAAGCAATGTGATTCTGCGAGTGTCTTTCTTTTTTTTTTTTTATGTTTGTTATTATTCAAGTTGTCAAAAACAACAACCTCTAGCCAAGTTTCCCAAATGGAATCCCATGGTTGAACATGACAAGTATCCTAATATTGGCATGACTTGACAAACTCGAATTGCGGGATGAACTGCAAAAGGTAGCGTAAGTAGAGAGGGGCCAGCAAGACCAATTTACATTGCAGCAATGCACAAAAGAAAAGGGCAAGGGAAGAGGTTTGGGGGAAAACTCCAATGCAAGCAACTAATTTGACCACAGCTCACGCAAAAAGAGTACAAAATTTATAAGGGGCATCTCAGCAACTCCAGCCCCAAGTTGAACTCCCACTCGTATGATTCAAACTGCAAGGTCGCTTAAGCACCAGGCAAGGGAACCTTTGCAACAAGTTCGGCCCTACGTTTGCGCAGGTCATCAGAGAGACCGGAGTCAACAGCCGAAGAGACCTGCTCCTTGAGGGAAGTAAGATCACCCTGCATGACAGCGCTCTCTTCCTGTTCCAATTGTGAGGCCGCCTCAAGGACAACCTCGTGCACAATGTCCTCCTTCAGCTTTGTCTTTTCTGTGCTCTCCTTCTCGGTTCCTTGTGCGGGTCCACGGAAGCGCTTGAGCACCGTTTCGACCATCTTCGAGAACCAGAAGTAATTCAAGAAGTTCAAGATCATGTTTGATCCCACGTAAGTGACGACCAGCCATGTAGGCACGCCACCGGCAGTGAAGTCTTTGAACTTGGTGATCTCGGCATTGGCGCGAGCGCAGGACTCATCAATGCACATGCTGCCGTCACGGGCTGGGTAGAATACCGCTGCGTTGACGCTGACCGGTTCGGAGAGTGGGGACGCCGCGGCAGACCAAGTGTGTTGGAGCGCGTTCCACATGTCAGAATAGACCACTAGAGACTGCCAGGTGCCCCAAACAAGACGGCACCCAAAGAATGAACCCAGCAGGGCCATTCCGTTATACCATTGAGCACGGCTACCGGTCATGTTGACCTTGTCGAGGAACCAGTGGATATTGAGGAATGGGCTTGAAAGCTCGTAGAGGATGAATGTCGGTGCATAGTAGTTGAGGAAAGGTCTCTGTTGAAAGAATGTAAGAAAGAATCTGAAACCGAGCGCAAATATATAGAGAACAGTGACGATCATTGGGTCTCAGGATAGATCAGATAGATCGGCAATGGAACTTACAAAACCAAGACTGAACACCCATAAAGCGCTTACAGCATGGAATAGCATTCCGATGCCAAACATGCGCACATAGATGACACTGACTATCAGGTCGTAGATGAAGTAACCAACAGCGAGGGCCTGGATGAGACCACATGTACCCGTGTACCCGAAGACCCGCTCACCGGAGGACATCGCGCTGCGCTCGCGGTCGACATACATAACCCACAAGGCGGCGACGTTGATCAGAATACTCTGGACCAGCGAGACAACATGGATGTCCCAGTTCAGCCGAGTCCTTGGCTTGAGGCTCTTGTAAGATTGCGGGAAAAGGATCGGCGATAGCCATGGCGAGAGTACCGCATGAATGACGAGATAGAAGACAAATGCTCCAACCACCTCGTGAATGTGATCAGGTAGTGTCGGACTGTTGTAGTAGAGGGCGTAGGGCTCAATGAAGCTCCGCAGCCACTCCGGCGGAGGCGGGAAAGGATCCAACATCGTCGGAAGTCCCCTCAGGTAGCTATCACCCGATGTGGGGGAACAGAATCTAGATGCAGGAGGGATATCCTATCCGGTCTACCATAGAGAAAGAAGAAGTTATGAGAGTCAAGAAACGCCCAGAATAGAAGAGAAATGCCTCCATGGGAGACTGGGGTGATAAGAGAGGTAGCCACGGTGAAGGCCTCGGCTTGGCCTCAGGCAACCACCATTTGTTGGGACCGTCACATGATCAGCTGCGTAGCCGAAGTTCTATATGGAGAGGTCAGGAGTTCTATAGTCTACATTCTACGAATGATCAAAAGATCAAGAATTCGGAGTGGTCTGAGTGACCTTGGCCCCATGAAACTACACACTACATCACATGAGCCAAAAGAAGCAAACATTGAACATTGAACATTGAACCTAATCATTCATAATAAAAGTCATACACGCCAAGGCAAAACAAAACACAGAGTGGTATATGAAAGGAGGGAATTTAAACAAAAAAAGAGAAGAAGAAAAAGAATACATCAACAACCAAACTCCATCCAAAGCAAACAATCTCCATTAAACGGTAACCTCCGTGGCGGGTTCACTGCCCGTGGGCGACAACAGCTTCATGACTTCAGCTTCTGCGGCCTCGTTGGCCTCTCGGATCTGGCGAGACATCTCATGATCTTCGTCATGCTCGTGTTTGTCCTCGCCATGCTGCTCTGAATCCTCGTGGATTGTCTGAGCATCGTCCCCAGACTCAGACCCATCGATAGAAATATCCTCATCCTGGTCCTCGTGGTCATCTTCAGCGATGGAGCTCTCTGCCACATGTGGGCCACTCTTGGGGCTCACACCACTCACGCGACGGGGATCCAAATCATCGGTAACCACGCTCTCGGAAATGCTGCCGACACAGGTTCCGGCATAGCTGGCCCGTCGCTCGGTCCCAGCATTGCTAGCTGTGTAGCTTGTGCGACGGTCGGAACCAGCATTGCTCTCGGGGTATTTGTGTTCCGTTCCGGCCTCTGATCCTGCGAAGCTAGTTTTGCGCTCAGAGGGAGCATTGCTTTCCGCATAGCTTGTCTTGCGGTCAGAAGGAGCGACGCTTCCCGCATAGCTGGATCTCCGGTCTGTTCCAGCATGACTAGATTGTCGCCGAGGGCCAGCGTCCCGCTCTGTATCGCTAGCAAGTTCATCCTCTTCGTGGAAAGGCTCGTTCTCCTTGTCGGCGACGGAAGTGGGACCAGCCCATGAGGCCTTGCGAAGGGTGTTGGATTTCACAGAGTGACTGCGCTTCAAACTCGTGATGCCGGACTTGCCGCTGACCTGTCGGTCTACACCACGGTTGCCGGTCACATGGCTCAAGCTGAGAATGCGGCGCTCTTTTCCGATATTTGGCTGCACGGCAACCGTTCCAGCGTGGAGTGAGTTGGGAAGTCTGCGCTTCAATGCCATTCCGACACCACTGCCAACAAGGCTGCGGTTATCTTTGGACTCTTTGGCAGTACTGACTGAGCTGGCCGAGCTGGGGCTGCGGGCACCCGCGCGTGAGCTACGGGTGCTCCGAGTGCTGCGATTTCGCTTGAGGTTCATAGCCTGCAAGCTGTTGGAACGGCTTAGAAGAACAGTCCGTGCGTGGTCTAGCACGCCTTCAAGAATGCGTTTCTCGAGGCCATCGGCACGGTCCTCCATCTGGCGCATCTCCTCGTGACGGATTTCAAGGGCGGTTTCCAGACCAGATAGGTCCTTAGTGAGCCTGTTGTTTTGTCTGATCATCTCCTCCTTCTCAGCACTGAGGCGATGGATCATGTTCAACATGGAATCCTTCTCTTCGTGCAGGCCAACAAGCTCGGCTTCAACTTGCTCACGTTGGGCAACTCTGCGTTCCAAAGCAACCGCAGCTTCCTCGGCTTCACGACGCTTGCGTTCTGTGTCTTCTGCAACCAGCACTGACTGTGCAGCAAACATCTCATTCATTTTACGAGAGTTCTCCATGATGTCCTTGTGCATCTCGTCCAACTTCGTCATCTGGACTGAAGAACTATCGGACCCGGGCGGATTTTCGGGGCGACTGAGCAGGGCGTCCAATTTCTCGTGAATAGGACCAGTGCCGCTTGTAGCATGGTCGAGCAACTCATTGAGCTTCTCGTAAATCTGGTCATTCGATCCCGACCCTTGTTCAAGAGCCCGATCAAGCTTTTCGTGAAGCTGGTCGTTCTTCGAGCTCTCCAGCAAAGCCCCCAAGGTTTCATGTACCTGTTCATTCTTCGAACTCTCAAGTAGAGTGTTCAATGTGTCATGAACATGGGTATCTTTGGAGTGATCAAGGAGGGTGTTCAGGATCTCATGAATCTGATCGCTCTTGAGATTCTCCAACAGGGTGTTCAAGGTTTCCTGGATTTGGGCATTCGATCCCGACCCTTGCTCAAGAGCTCGATCGAGCTTCTCATGAACCTGATCATTCTTCGAATTCTCTAATAGAGTATTCAGAGTCTCGTGGATCTGGTCGTTCTTGGAACTCTCAAGTAAAGTATTCAGGGTTTCATGAATCTGGTCGTTCTTGGAGTTCTCAGCCAGAGTATTCAAGGTGTCATGAACATGAGTATCCTTAGAGTGGTCAAGAAGAGTGTTCAAGATCTCGTGGATCTGGTCGTTCTTTGAGTTCTCAACCAGAGTATTCAATGTGTCATGGACATGAGTATCCTTAGAGTGATCAAGAAGAGTGTTCAAGATCTCATGGACCTGGCCGTTACGAGCGTGCTCGAGAATATCATCAAGCTTGGTGTGAAGAGGTGTGTCCTCAATGGCCAGAGTGCGCGATTGTTCTGGCTCTGGCTCCGGAGGGGGGAGGGCAGGAAGCATCGCAGGAATGTTTGCAGGCAATGCGGAAAGCTCAGATTTGAAGTCCTCGGCTGACTTCTGAGAGTGGTCATAGTGCTGGTTGACGATGCTGAGAATTTCTTGCACAGATTCCAAGATTTGAGGGTGGAACTCCAGGAGTTTGCTTTCTACTCGATCGGTGGCAGCGACGGCTCTGTCAGTTTCGGCCTGAGATTGCTCCTTGTGCGACTTGACCTCGTTGTGCATCTCCTCCATTTGTTGACGGGATTGATCGACCTGTTCCATGAGGGCTTTCGTGTCTACACTCAGGCGCTCGCAGGTCTCATTGACACTGTCACCCATGGATCCAATGACAAGTCTGATATCTTCAGCGAGACTCTTTGTGCTCGTCAGGGACTCGGTGTGTGCCACATCTCGCTCCTCAGATTCAGAGAGCTTGGTGTGAAGGGCAGTGTGCGCATCTTCGTACTTGGCTAGGACCTCGGAAATCTTTTCATCAATCTTGATTCCAAGCTCCACAATGATGGCCGCCCGAGTTTCGTCGTGCTTCACCATAACAGCGGCGTCTCGCTCCTCCTTCTCGATTTTACCTGCATCTTCTTCGCCCCGAGAACGTTCAAACTCCCGATTGATGAGATCGGTGACCTCCTGGATGTTGTCGACAGTAGAGAAATTCTCGGCTGTGATAGCCAGGCCTTCAAGCAGTTGTTTGAGCTCAGCCAAGCCTTCAGTGCTACCGTCAAGCTTGCTCTTAAGTTCATCACCCAGCTCGCCAACAACGAATTTGGCTTCATCGATCTTTTCGGCTAGACCGCCATGCTCGACCTTGCGAGCATCAAACCCTTGAGCGGTCAGTTCGTTGTTGGCTTCCATCTTCTCTCGGAATTCGTTGATCATTCCGGACAGATCCCCAATGTCGGTTTTAGTCGGCAGGGTGTCGACATCAGGAAGCTTGAGCTCATCAACTTGGGTCTTGACCTCGAAGATCATGGCTTCCACTGTTTGGAGATCGGACTTGAGAATTTTCTCGGCGGGATCTTCTTTCTCGCCTTCGTTCGCCTTGGTCTTCAGTTCCTCCAGTACGACCCAGACATCCTTAATGAGGCCTTCGAGTGTTCCAATCTCGGCCTTTGTCGGGGATTCGGCTTCCATGCGACTAGAAAACTCTGTGATTGAGTCCTTGGCCTCTCGAACCAATGATTCGAGTGTTCCAATATGGTCAGGAGTGGCAACATTGTCTGGCGAGGGGAAGACAAGTTCTTCGATCTGGGCCTTTGTGCTCAAAATCAGCTGCTCGAGCGCTTCGGTATCCTGCTTCTTCGCAATTTCGTCGTTCTCAGCGGACTTTTGAGCGCTGATTTCACCCATTGCGAGCTGGAGTTCGTGGATAGCAAGAAGAACCTCATCCAGATGAGAGCGCTTCAGGGCATCTTCATCGGGCTCTGTCGAACGGGGGGTAGACTCAATAATCTCGACCTTTTCGTGGACATTTTGGAGAGCAGCGAGAACTTCATCGAGGTGGGAGCGTTTTAGGCTATCTTCATCGGGCTCTATCGAGCGGGGGGTAGACTCAATGACCTCAACTTTCTCGTGGACCTTTTGAAGAGCGGCAAGAATTTCATCAAGGTGAGAGCGCTTCAACACATCTTCATCGGGCTCTACCGAGCGTGGGGCAGATTCGATGATTTCAACCTTCTCGTGGACATTCTGAAGAGCAGTGAGGACTTCATCGAGGTGAGAGCGCTTCAAGGCATCCTCAGCAGGCTCAACTGACCGAGGCGCAGACTCAATAACCTCGACTTTGTCGTGAAGCTGGGTGATTAGGGCTTTGAGACCATCAATGTCAGGCACAATGCTAGGTGTCTCAGTGGTGTCGTCGGTCCCAGGTACCTCATTCGCGAGCATGAGTTCACCACCGCGAGTAGAGCCAGCCTCGTCGAGCTCCTTGCTAGATTGACGAAGACTTTCCATTTCAAGCTTCAAGTCTGCAAGACCATCCTTGATGGTCTCGAGAATCTCAGTGCTGTCAAACTCAGTCGGTTTCTCCAGAAGCTTCTTTAAATCTTCGCGGATTGAGTCCACGCCACTGGTGAACACTTCGCATGTCGTGGAAAGCGTACTGTCGTTGCCGTCTTTGTCGGCGGATGCTTCACGAAGATTATCGAAATGCTCACGGAGTGCGGACATGATCTCGTCCTTCTCAGTGCCAGGCTCAGATCGTACGACACTCATGTCCATGCGCTCTCGCAGGCTCTCAAACTCCTGCTTGATGGAACTGATGACTTCTGCATTTCCGGAGGAGTCCTTGGTCTGCTCGGATGCTTCGCGAATGGCATCCAAGATCTCCTCTTTATCTCCAGGGGCGTTGTCTCGCAGCAGAAGCGTGGTAATTGTTCCGCGCAGGTGCTCAAACTCCTTTTCCATAGCATCCAGGAGCTCGGGGGTATCCGGGGCGCCCCGAGGACCGTTGGATAGAGCACTATCGGTGATAGTCTTCTCCATGTCGGCGTGGAGAAGGCGGAATCCTTCTTTAACGGTGTCAATCACTTCGTCCTTGCCTGAAATATCAGCGGCCGTGGCAACATAGGTCTCAATCTCCTTGCGAACGACATCGATGCCATCTTTCACTGCGTCGAGGACTTGCTCGGTGTCGCGACCATTGGCCGAAGAGTACTGTTTGAACTCCTCCTTCATGTCGTCGACCAGAGTTTGAAGGCGTTCGGTCACTTCCCCGCCAACCTGGGTGTTTGTAGAACCCATAGCTTCACTCAAACCGTTGGTGATTGCTTCCATCAAATCTTCCTGGTTGAGTTCAATCTCTCGTGTGACTGAATTCCCATTCTGGATACCCTCCGAGATAGCACTCAGAATCTCTTCGCGAGAGATGGTTGGTTCTTGCACGCTGGTACTTAATGCTGATTGTTGACTTTTCTGCGAAGCTTCAATGCCTTCAGCAATGGCGCTCATGATCTCCTCTTTTGAGATTTTTGTTTGGGTATCTTCCCCCAAGGAGGCACGAGAGTGCTCGATACCATCAACAATTGCACTGAGAATATCTTCCCGGGAGATAGAGGGTTTTTCATCTTCGTGCTCATGCTCAGTAAGAGCGAGAGACTGGGAGTTGCTCTGTGAGCTTTCAATGCCGTCGGCAATGGCGCTCAAAATCTCTTCCCGGGAAATACTTGGGTCTTGGCGGGATGATGATTGTTCGAGACCCTCCAGAATGGCACCCAGAACATCGTCCCGGGAGAGAGAGGGTTCATCGTTGGTGCTGGTGGAAGAACGCGATTGCTCAATACCATCCACAATGGCGCCAAGTATCTCCTCGCGAGACACAGGTTGCGGAGCATTGGTAATCAGAGCGGAATTGTGGGTGTTCATTGAAGTTTCAATTCCCTCGGCGATAGTATTCAAGATCTCGTCCCGCGAGACGCTTGGTTGTCCAACAGTGGCGCTGAGGGCGGATTGCTGGGCATCGAAGGCTTCGTTCACAGCATGAACAACATCATGGCGAGAGATGCGCGGCTCGTCCATTTCCTTGGCTGTGGTGAAATGGGCTTCCAGGCTATCAGAGACGGCGCTGACGATCTCATCACGTCCGAGTCCAGAATCGTTGCTGAGTGTGCTCTGAGCCACTGAACCGGCCACTGCACCAAGGATCTCATCGCGGATGGAATTTAGGTGGGTAAGGTGGTCTTCATCCAGAGATCGGGAGGTGTTGTGGGCCGCCATAGTTCCAGTTACGGCTTCCATTATCTCATCTCGGACCGAGTAAAGGTGATTGACATGCTCATCACTCAATTCCTTGGAGCCTGTGTCATTGGTAGCCATCGCACCAGCAACGGCTTGGAGTATTTCATCTCGGAGGGAAGTTAGGTGACTGGCTGTCTCATCCTCGTCTGCAGATTTGGTACTGGCGGCATGAGTAGCCATCGCTGCAGTAACGGCTTCGATGATCTCATCACGGACAGAGTGTAAGTGAGTGGCATGCTCCTCGTCTACAGACTTGGTGGCGGCCATGGTACCATTGAGTGCATCGAGAATCTCATCGCGAACACCGTATATGTGGTTGATGTGCTCCTCGTCCATCACTTTTGAGCCTTCCTGTTGGGTAGCCATGGATTTAGCGACTGCTTCAAGGATCTCTTCGCGCATAGAGTTCAAGTGGCCGATATGTTCCTCGTCGAGAGTTCGTGGAGCAGGTTCTGCCTGCTTGTCCAGACATTCACGAATGACCAATATGATTTCGTCGCGACTGATGCCGGGGGGAGCCTCAATCGTTGGAGGATTGAATTTCTGCATGCCGTCCTCGACGGCCGCGAGGACCTGATCGTATGTGACTGCCTCTTCATGCTGCGGCTGGTAAGACTTCAGTCCTTCTTGAAGGCAAGCAAGGATTTCATCACGCTCCAAGCCGAAGTTGTTGAACTCAATCTCAGGCTTATATGTTTCCCACGCTTCGCGGACGGTTTCGAGGATGTCTTCTCGGTCCATCTCAGCCCCGCGTGGCTCAGATTGCGGTTGTGGCAGTTCAAGCTCATCGAGGGCCTTCTTCACGACGGAATAAATGGCGGCGCTGTTCATGTTGGATCGGAACTCAGACAGGTCGGATGATTGTTGTCGACTTTCATTAATTGTGGCAGCCAGCTGCTCTTTGAGATCATCAAGACTGCGGTTCACGATCGCAGATATTTCTTCGGGGCCAGCGGCTCGTGGCTTGTCATCTGGCTCGTCACTGGCGCGAGTTGTCTCAATGTCGTCGAGTCTGCGGCCAAGTTCGCGGCCCATGCCCAGCACCTCACCTCGCAATTCGCGGACTAGGTTCTTAACCCCATTCGTCATCCCACCGGATTCCGCGACGCTGTTCTTGACGCTTGTGAGGACTGCTAAGACTTCTTCGGAATTTGCGCTAATTGTATCCCCCTTGTCAGACTTAGAAAGATCAAGTGCACGTACAACTTCAGGATCGACTGATCCCATCGAACGTGATCGTGAGAAATCGGCAGTCTCGTCATCGCGTTCGTTGAGATTGTTTGCCATACCGTATGACCGAACAAGGGCTTTGCTAGAGGGGTCCTCCTTCACGAGGTTGAGAATCTCTTCGAGCATGGCAGTCACCTTTGTGTCGGCCTCTTTGTCGGAAGCGGTAGCGGCGGGTCGCGACTTGAGCTCTTCAACGAGCTCCAAGAGCCTCTCTTCACCTTCCTTCGTTGCCATCTCACGCAAAACCTTTTCGAGTAAGGCAAGAGCCGCGGAGCCGTCCGAAATCGGTGCGGGTGAGGTGCATGAGTCGCGATCAAAGGCGAACGGATTAGGGCTAGGCATACGGGGTACCGAGTAACTTCTCTTCGAAACGGGACTATCCGGATCCTTGGGGTTAGGCCCATCACCACCCTTGAAAAGATTACTGAAATCAAACCTTGAGGTTTCGGTATCCAGATATTTGGTTGTGAGGTGGGAAGACAACTCTTTGAGACTTTTTCGGATGTCCTCATCACGAGCGTTCGTAGCCGCCTTGAGGCTGACCAAATCGGTGGCATTATCTTTGCTGCGTCGGCTCAAATTCATCATCTCACGTTGCAGGCTACTCGCAATGTCGGTCAGGCTGTGAATTTGGTTGGCGAGAGAGTCCATGCTTGTGTTCTGGGCGGGTTGTGGCCGAGGTTCGAACGGCGCGGTGATCATCTTGGGAGGTTTTGAGGGTGATGGAGGGTCGGGTTCCATGGGGAGTTGCATGTTTTGTAACGCTAACATGGTAGCAGATGGTGGAGTGCTCTCTCCGAGGATTGGCTTGGATAGGTACCGGCTTGACAGCGAGTATGTTACGTCCTTTTCTGCATCCTGGCGAAGTGACGGCGAACTGGCTGATTTGTTGGGATCACGCTGCTTCGTACTCTCGACAATTGTCGCACGAAGAGGTCGCTCTGGGGATCGGCTTTCCAGATAGGTCATGAACTCACTGCGCGCGTCTTGTCGGGTATCGTCTGGTTGCAAAGACTGCATGCGCTTGTGATGTTGACCTTTTATTAACGACCTCTCCGGAGAGCACGACTTGGGTGGCATAGGGTTTGTTGTGTATGAGCTCGGCGCATTGTCGCTCGACTTCTCCGTAAATTTTGCAGCAACTGCTTGGATGTTGGGCGAAACATGAGACCTCGTCGTAGGGCTCATCGACGGACTCATCGAACGTGGGTTCATTGGTAGCGGCGGAGGCGCACGCTCGGGGTCCGAACTGTCCCACCTACGCAGACCGCGTTTTAGCTTGTGTTTAAAATCACCCATGAAGTTGGGTAGGCCGAATCGTGGGTCCGTCGCGCAACTTACATTGGAATCTTAGAGTCGGAGTGCGACATCGAATGTCTAACCAATTCGCGGTCACGGGGAGCGTCCCTGTCCTGGCCCGGCATGATGTCGCGAATGGATTGTCAAGAGTTGTCTCAGGCAAGTATTGACAATATGGTAAATGGAATGTAGTGAGGTAATGTAGAATGCGGATCAAGTCAAATTGCAAGTAAGGTCGTCAAGGGCATATCAACACAAGGGAGAAATCGCTGGAAGAACAAAGCAAAAGCTGACAATCCCAAAGTTGGAGATGAGAAGTCAACCTTAGAGCGGGTGATCAGCTTTGATAAGAAGAAAACAAGGTCAACAAGATCAACTAGTGTATGGAGCCAGCGACTTGCGTACACATCACGCCCATAGCAACCGGGGCAACTACGATCACCCGGTAAACAAACTGAGTCAGCCCAAAAGTGGGTCTGGACAGCCCAAAGGCGGTGAACCCCGCCACATCGTCTGCTTATGTCATTTCACCTGGGCAGCTAGTCCCAAAATGGTTTAGACACCATCAGTCGGTAAGTCGGCCAATCAGAAGTCCCCCACAACGAGCGACTCGCGAGTTTGCCCTCCCTCTACCTCGAAAAACCGATCACTTGAACTTGACCGTTCCGTATCTCGACAACCACCAATCCTCGCCGCCCCCGGGACCTTCAAAATGAAGTGTACGTTACGACCGTTCGATCAGTTATACGACCTGCATGCTAATTAAATGCTACAGTCATGAAAGTCGGCCGTGTGGCCATCATCACCCGTGGCCGTTACGCCGGTAAGAAGGTACGACAAGATCCTCCCCGAACATGCAAATGAACCCGAAAGAGATGGATGCGATGAAGGCGATAAGATTGGACAAGTGCATGCAGCAACGAGGCCATTGAGGGAACGGAATGCGCAAAATTTTCAGAATGCTAATCAGGCATTTTTTTTTCGCAACAGGTCGTCATTGTCCAGCCCAACGATGCTGGCTCTAAGACCCACCCCTTCTCCTACGCCATTGTCGCCGGTATCGAGCGTTACCCCCTCAAGGTGACCCGTGGTATGGGCAAGAAGCTCGTCGACCGCCGCAGCCGCATCAAGCCTTTCATCAAGGTCGTCAACTACAACCACTTGATGCCCACCCGTTACACTCTCGAGCTCGAGGGTCTTAAGGGCACCGTCTCCAACGACACTTTCAAGGAGGTCTCCCAGCGCGAGGACGCCAAGAAGACCATCAAGAAGGCTCTTGAGGACCGTTACACCAGCGGAAAGAACCGTTGGTTCTTCACCGCTCTGCGTATGTGCCCGGAACTGTGTCTTTTCCTGCCTTGCGATGCTAATATTTTTCATAGGTTTCTAAACGGTTTACTTGGGCGTTTTGTCGTTTTGAGCGCACGGGTCTAGGTGAAGGCGAGGTCGAAAAACCATCGAGCACATCCGGTCCCCTGCGAGCATGGGATGGGAAAACATATACCATAGCTGGAATCAGATTCGGGATTGTGTCGATGAACTCCAGTTTTAACGAGGGGCGCCACTTCCATACCTGGTGTCCGTCTGAATGAAATGGAAAATGAACAATTATTTCAAAATACATGTTGTCTTTACCTGTGAAACGCAACATATCCTTCTTTGGTCTGGATTCTGGTCTGGATCTCGACGCAGATCACCGATGAATGACCTCGTAGTCACGAGGTATTGGTCTAATATAAACTGGTTTGACTTGTTGATATCGGCACGCCATTTCCTTACACTTTTTGAATCTGCGCTGTATCATCGTAGGACTTTCGCAGCCTTAGGGGTCGACCCACGCCTGGCCAGAGTCTCCAGTCCAGATGACTTCGTTCAGCCGGGACTCCAAGGTCACAGGTGAAGGCGGCTCTGACACTGGAGACCACGGGCGATTTGAAAGGCCTAGGTCTCGGTCCACGTTTCTGACAATGCAGATATACCAAGTAGTTTATCTCCGATTAACCCCACCCCCACCAAGATATACGTTCACAACTTGGATGGTATTCAGCTCGCAGGTCAGGCTCAACATGCACCTTTCGACTTGTTTCAAAACCACGAAATCAACCATTATTGACATGTCTGCTGTCCGCTCGATCATCATGGAGTATCGGTGTGCTCTGCAAGCTATAGCAGAACAAAGAGCTGCATCGGTTCGATTATACCTGGTGCAAAGTCTCACCACTAGACATTACAATGAGCTTTATCGGTGGCTTTTTTTACGCTTGAACTCCCGAAATCCGACAAAGACTTTCTTTATGCCCATTGTCTCTTCTTATGTGCAGTCTATAAGCCGCAACTTTAACCTCTCAAGTCATTATATAAAGGATTATATCCTCTTTGCCGTCATTGTAAAGCATCCCCTAGTGAGGTCATTCCAAGGTTGAAACATGTCCACAGCAATCACAAAGAACAGTCGATACAGGCCATATCGATTTAGGTATCAGCGCATCGACACTCATTCCGCTCTTTTGGCGCCACGAACAGGAGGAATCGGTGCCAAAACCCTCGAACTCCCGGGATCCGTCTATGAACACCCGGATGAGAAGTGGGCCGACGATTCAGTTCACAGGTACTACAAGGTGCCCACACTAGTAATTCACGCAAACCCATCAGTCACGATTCATTGCGAAGTGCAGCGTGACAAATCAGTACTACGCCCCACCTCTCTTAGCGTGAATAGGTGGGTCAACGCCGAGTACTTCATATGGGAGATGTCTGCAAAACTGGCCGACAGCCTCACTAACCCGGTATGGACTCAGTTCTTCAACGAGCACCACCAAGCTGAGTGGCAGTGTATCAAAGAACTGTTTCAGAAGATAGGTGATCTGCCTGAAAGATTTGTTCAAGAAGTCCCAACACCACCATACTTCGTTGCTGATGTTAGCATTCGGATGGATCAAGGTAGCTTTTATTTTCCACTCTGTGCGCAATCTGGGAGAGAAATGATCGATTCTCGATTCTGGGCATTCTGGCTCTTTGTTCTTCGTCAGGAGGCTGAAACTGTTGGCACTTTTAACGTGGTTCTAAGGGTTCCTCATCTTTCACCTCCCAATGAGAGCCCTATCGATCTTTATTCTGAGTTCTTCGCCAGAATGTATTAGACTCCTCGTTCCCATCCTCTTGGGGAAAACATGATTTTATATCCTTGGAGCCGGAGCATTGGCTCCTGAAGTCTCGGTGAGATATGGATTCTGGTCAACAGAGCGTTCACCTTATCTTGTTTTAGAATATAAATATGCTTCCAAGGTTATATTTCTTTCTTACAAAATTCGAAGATGTCAGAGTTCATTATGATGATTAAATAGATCAAACAATAGGATGCAGATAAGCCCTCGATGTCTACAGGTTGACGCTGTCATGCTCAATTCGGAAATTCTGTAACTAGCCGTAATCGGAATTGCCATGGACCTCACAACAACATACATACTCGTAGTATCTGGGTTGAGGAAAGCCATGCTAGTGTATACCAAGGTATATACAATAAAATGAAACACAGCTAGTATGCAAAGACAAATGCAACCCCCGCCATGCACATATAGCAACATGTACTAGATCAACGAATCACATGATAACGTTAAGAAATATGAATATCGGAATCTGTCCCGCTCGGTGGCGCGGTCTAGAATGAACACACTCAATGCATCGGCCCAGATACTTCTCTTGGCACAGATGTTGACGTGGGAGTCTCAGGGCCAATTCAGGGCCGCTCCAGGGCCATCGTCCTAGCACCGCCAAGCCGTGGACAAAGCGCTTCGAGAACATGAGATTCGGCATCTGTTATCATTGGGCCTGGGGGATCTCATTCTTCTTGTTTCATGTGACTCAAGGCAACACAAATAGCACACTGTTTCGCATGTGAAGTGACAACGAATCACGGATCACGCCCCTCCGCTAAAGTATAGGGCTGTACTCGCCTAACTGTATGTTGGCTCGAGTCTGGCAGGTACTTATGTGCATCATATCTAAGGAAGACCCCAATGCCAATTAGCATATTAGTATGTGGATTGGATCCTAGTCTCGAAAATAGACATCATAAATGGCGTGCTTCCCCCAGGGTGTATCAAGGATTGTCTGCGCGACTTCAAAAGCGTGCTACAGGCCTGTGGACGGTGACAGAATTCTAATCGGTGACATAATCCCAACAAATATGGAGAACTTCTAAGGTTAGAACAGTTCAATGTACCCTCTCCATATGCAAGGTATACTTAGTACATATATACGTACGATGTGATGGCCCGGCTACCGTTCAAGACCCATTGGAGAGATCTGCAACAGAGCTTAATCAAGTGGGTTGCCACTCGATCGACAGGAGCCCGTTAGCTAGTTAAGGATATTACTGTTATCATTGTTTTCTTTTTATTTAAAAAAAAAAATTAACAAAAAAAGAAGGATCACGACTTTGAACTTGCCGTCACCCATTATATTCCGAATCTGCATTACTAGCCTTTCATGTGCTGAGAAACGTCGCAATCTCCGGCTTATCCCAGTCGTACCGAAGACCCCTGTCGTCCAAGGTTTGACTGTACGTACTAGCAAATTTTGGTCATACACGGGTTGTGCATAAATCATCATAGTTGGGGTGGCACTCCCGAACACAGCTGTTTCGAACAAGCGCCGAGATTCGGATGACGGATAAACGAAGCAAAAACAAAAGTACGTCCAAGCCCGTTACGTATTGAGTTCTCTGGGGCAAGAGTAGAGGGGTACGCACAGGCCGAGCGCGATCGCTAATGTAGGTGCGGGCTGGCTTATGTTGGGACTAGGAAGCCGACAAAGTCTGGCAATGGCAGTCCGGCCCCGATGTTAAGATTCTGCAGATAAGCGTGAGAGCGAATCAGGGTAGTGTGGCGATTGCACCGAACCTCGGACAGAGTATCAGAATTGCGTTAAGTAATGAGGCTGAGGGGTTAAACAGAGTAGATCCGAAGTACCAAGTAGTATATATCTGTAGTCGTGTACGAGCAGAGTCCTGAAGTCGTAGAGTAGATCCAGATAAGTTGAAGTGGAACCTGACCCACTGTCACATGAAAATTGCGAGCTATCAATTTTCTGTTTCCGGTTTCTTTCGCAATTGGAAAGCGAATGGTATCATATTCTCATTAGTGTATGCTGTTGAAACATCATAGGGGGAGGAGAAGAATTCCAATTCCAATGTTCCGTGGGGGGAGGATAGGCCTAGAGTCCGGAAACAGCCCACTAGAGCGCGGGGAATGAAAGGACATAGCACAAAATAACACAAATCAATTCAGAAATAAAATACTAAAATACTAAAATACTAAATAACTCCCAGGCACCTGTAGTGAATAGAAGCTAACCAAAAAGACCAGGCAAAAATACGACTGCGCTAAGACCTTTGCCCAGTTGCATGACGGCGCTATCACATGTGAAAATCCTATTTTTCTATACAAATGCTATCTTCGCTCTCCTCATCTCTCTCTTCTTGAGATTTCTCTGGAATCTCTCTCTCTCCTCAACTAAAACCATCCTCTCTTCATGCCCCACTCAGAATCCAAAATGGGTGAACCAATCGTCAATGGCGAGAAGCACTCTCACTTCCTGGAGGTACGTACTCAAGAGCTGTTCCCATTTCAAAAAAATAACCCCCACTAACAACAAACAAAGCATTTGACTTCTTACCCTGTTGTCTCGGACTCCATCTCCTACTACAAAGGCAACCCCTACGGAGCCAAGTCCATTGAATTGGTCGATCATGGCTACACCCGCCTGGCGAAGCCCGTACTGCCTTACTTCTCCACTCCCTACAGCTATGTAGCACCCTACCTCGCCCGTGCCGACTCTCTTGGTGACAAGGGTCTCACCGAGATCGATACTCGCTTCCCCATCATCAAGGAGGATACTCAGAAGCTGCGCGGCTCGATTTACAACCGGGCCTCATTCCCTGCTCGTCTGGCCGGCGATGCAAAGACCCACCTCTACGATATCTACGGATCTGAATACAAGAAATGCGGTGGTGATGGTATCTTTGCTTCTGGAAAGGCGGTAGTCACTACCAGCTTGGTGCTGTCACAGGAGTCACTGGCTTGGATCAGCACTTTCCTACAGACCAAGAAAGAGGAGGCCAAGGAGATTGTTGAGAAGAACAGCCACTGATACTAGATCTAACGTTTCAAGCGTCTTTTGTTTTTAGAGAAAATAATACCTCAATGTCTGTTATTCTGTTGCTTGCGTTGGATGTATCTAGCCTTTTTTTTTTTGCTATGTTTACCCAGATACCTTTTTCTTATTTAATTTCTCTGTCTCCTCTCTTTTATTACTTATTTTCCATGGTCTTCTCAGAATTCTCGAACCCTACTCTTTTATTGTGAGCTTCGCTTCAAAGCTTGTTTCTTTGTGTGTTGACTGGGCATATTTCTCGTCTACTGATTGCTATAAATAGGCACCTTTCCAAAGATCAAGATTCAATTCTCCCCCATTCTTTGTACTATGCTGAAGGCAACTCCCAGAATCTCTCTAGTTAACTTTATCGTCTTTCAGAACTCCGTATCCATTCAAGAAATCCGAAAGAAATTACCTAGGTAGCAACGAGGCATAGTCTTGAAAGCGATAGGAACAAAGAACCGATAAGAGCGCACAGACCAACCCCGATGGGGTAAAATCATTCTATCGCGTCGCGTCTTTCACACCTCAACACAATCATGCCTCGACGAAGAAGAGTAAGTTCACAAATAAATCGACAGAACACTCATCTAACAATCACCAGGCAGACTCAGATTCAGACCAGGACTCCGCGCCGGCACGCCGGCGCAGGCGAGATTCCACTCCCGGGTCCGGTAGCGATGGACCCAGCGCCCCAACAAGCACCGACGCAATGGTGAAGAAGATGGTCCGACTAGCGTTAGCAAGCGAATATTCGCGCATGGTAATTCGCCGCCCAGATATCAGCGCCAAAGTGCTTGGTGAGCAAGGGACCGGGGAGTTCAAGCTCGTCTTCGAACAAGCGCAGCGCGAGCTGCGCTCAAAGTTCGGCATGGAAATGACTGAGTTACCGGCGCGAGAGAAAGCCACGGTTGCGCAACGACGTGGTGAGTAGGAATCATGCTTTCTTGGTTAATTAATTATACACGTACTGATCCCCAGCAGCGGCCCAGAAAACCGAGAAGCCATCATCCACTAAATCCTGGATCGTGACTTCTACAGTTCCACCAGCATATCGTACCCCATCCATTCTCGCCCCAACAAAGACACCATCTCTTTTCGCGGAAAGCGCATACACGGGCATCTATACATTCATCATTGCGCTTATCACCTTGAATGGTGGATCGCTTGCTGAGCAGAAACTCGATCGATACCTTGCGCGCACAAATGCGGAGATTTCCACGCCTCTAGAACGTACAGATAAACTACTGCAGCGGCTATGCAAGGAGGGATATCTTGTCAAGACGCGGGAGATGGATGGCGGCGAGGAGATCATCGAATATATCCTCGGTCCGCGAGGCAAGGTCGAGGTTGGGACTGGTGCCGTTGCTGGGATGGTGCGGACCGTTTATGGAAAGGAAGTGCCTCCTAACTCAGGCATGTCGGAGTTTGAAAGGAGCGAGATCGCAGACTTTGAGGGAAGACTTGCCAGAAGTCTGGGTATCCAGCCCAGGGAGGTTGAGGAGCCGTCAAGTCAATACATAAGCAATGGCCATGTGAATGAAGAAGCACCAGTGAGTGCAGCAAATGTGTCGCCTCCTTCGGCGAGGAGACGCCCCGCCCCCGCCCGGCCTGCTAGCGAGGATGAAGAATCCGAACAATCTGAGGGGGGATCCGAGCAGTCTGGGGATGAGGAATCCGACGGATATGCAGAGGAGAGCGATTAAATCTTCTTGGGTTATTTGTACTCTGAGAATTCTATGCAATTTTGATACCCAGCGATTTCTTGTGCATGTTTCAAAACATTTCTCTGCATTGTACATCCCTGCTAAACAATCCATACACGGCCATCCGACTTCTAAGTTAACTCAGGCCATGAGGATTTGCCTAGGTATACCTAGGTACGAAATGCAGCGAGCGAATTTCTCAAACGTTGCGGTCCAAACACTCCATGTTCAAGTACATGTGTCGACTTCATTCAAGGTCACGCGTCAAGCGAAATAAAAGATACTACCATAGATTGGTGTTGGAGCTGGAATAATTGAAACACACGATATGCTCCTTTGGGCATACTTGCCGGGGCCACATATATTGCCACTTAAGTAGCACCCATCATGCTCACTGTCGAATACGCTCACAACACATATATTTTGCACCAAGCACCTGGGCATTCAGGTGCTATAATGTGTGTGGAGGTACGTACTTTTCATACAACAGACTCCAAGTCTGACTTCAGGACTAGAAAGGATATCACTCCTGCCATTACTCAAATACATACACAGTGATTATTCCGATGCAGACAGCAACCTTGAAGCAATATTATCAGAAATTCTGGCCAGTGAGCATCCTCGCCGAGACGCCTATGCTGATATGAGTGATCTATAGATATTTCTAGCTCTTTGTTGAAGGCGCTCAAGGTCTACAGGTGCCTGGGGTCTGTTTGCGATGTCTGCCTAAGGTGCCCACTGTAGATAACCAGCCTAGCTAGCTTAGATCTTCTCTCTCCTCTCAACCCAATACATCACGTTGAAGCAGTGCTCTGATCCTACTTAAGTAGTAGCCCTTCCCTGCTGAAGAGAGTCTTGGCACACTACCATGAGAATCAAAGTGTCAACAAGCCCAGTCGCTTACACTGAACATATCTGAGTTACTTATATCGAATCCATAGCTACCGCTACCGCTACCCAATGTTTCCGGATATATGTCCACGGCAAAGGATACCACACCCACCGCTCCCAATGAGGGTGTGCTTCTCGTTAGCCCGACATAGCAGACCATCAGCCTTGCGCAAGGAAATATGCTCAGTTCTCACAGGATATGGTGTACCACGGCCCAAAAAAGCACCTACGTTTTGATGCATTTCAAAGGCCAATATAGCCGAAAAGTGGCAGCCGAATAATTGGCAAAAACAAGACTGGCGAATAATTTCATCCGAAGAAGGGCTTTCCAAAGCATGATTGCATGCCCCCAGACTGAGATTCCAAGGTTGTAAATTCATGTTCATGTAGGCTGGTTGTAGGTGGGGGTTGTTGGAATGGTTGATAGAATGGACGCCCGTTCCAGATTGGAACGTACAAGGGCTTGTGAGGTTGGTGAACACCACATCTCCAAGACGGCAACGTAGATGCCTCGTTTGAGGAGACAAGCCTGGAACGGCCCGCGTAGTACTGCAAGTAGGCGACTGTCCCAAGGGAACGCAACCTTACCACAGTGTAGGGACCAGGATAGAATTCAGTCCACTGAGTGGACAGACTGCTTTACTGCGCGCTCGCATGCGAGGCATCTACGGGCTACGACATTACGGTTGAGAAAAAGTGAGTTGAAAGCATGTAGTATTCAGTGACTACAAGTCAAATCTAGCTCGATCCAGTAATTGTTTTTGAAGCAAAAAAAAAATCATCACGGCATAATTTCATCCGAGAATCATTTATTTCTTACCAGCCTTGGCAGCGGCCTTGGTGACCTTGCCAGCGCCACCAGCGTTCTTCTCAACGGACTTGATGACACCGACGGCGACGGTCTGACGCATGTCACGGACGGCGAAACGACCGAGAGGGGGGTAGTCGGTGAAGGCCTCAACACACATGGGCTTGGAGGGAACCATCTTGACGATGGCGGCGTCACCGGACTTGATGAACTTGGGGGAGACCTCAGTGGCCTTACCGGTACGGCGATCGATCTTCTCGAGGAGCTCGGAGAACTTGCAAGCAATGTGGGCGGTGTGGCAGTCCAGAACGGGAGCGTATCCAGCGCCGACCTGACCGGGGTGGTTCAGGACAATGACCTGGGCGTTGAAGGAGTCACAGCCAGCGGCGGGGTCGTTCTTGGAGTCGGAGGCGACGTTACCACGGCGGACTTCCTTGACGGAAACGTTCTTGACGTTGAAACCGACGTTGTCACCGGGGTTACCGGCCTTGAGCTGCTGGTGGTGCATCTCAACGGACTTGACTTCGGTGGTGACGTTGGCGGGGGCGAAGGTGACGACCATACCGGGAGTGATGATACCAGTCTCGACACGGCCGACGGGAACTGTGCCAATACCGGAGATCTTGTACACATCCTGGAGGGGAAGACGGAGGGGCTTGTTGGAGGGACGGACGGGAGTCTCGATGGCGTCGATGGCCTCAAGGAGGGTCTTACCGGTGGACTTGCCAGCCTTGGTCTCCTTCTCCCAACCCTTGTACCAGGGGCAGTTGGTGGAAACCTCAAGCATGTTGTCACCGTTGAAGCCGGAGATGGGGACGAAGGGAACGGACTTGGGGTTGAAGCCGACCTTCTTGATGAAGTTGGAGGTCTCCTTGACAATCTCGTTGTAACGGTCCTCGGACCACTTGCAGGTGTCCATCTTGTTGAGGGCAACGATGAGCTGCTTCACACCGAGGGTGAAGGCAAGCAGAGCGTGCTCACGGGTCTGGCCATCCTTGGAGATACCAGCCTCGAACTCACCAGTACCGGAGGCAATGATGAGAATAGCGCAATCGGCCTGGGAGGTACCAGTGATCATGTTCTTGATGAAATCACGGTGACCGGGGGCATCGATGACGGTGACCTCATACTTGGCAGTCTGGAACTTCCAGAGAGCGATATCGATGGTGATACCACGCTCACGCTCGGCCTTGAGCTTGTCAAGAACCCAAGCGTACTTGAAGGAACCCTTACCGAGCTCGGCGGCTTCCTGTTGTAATGTATTAGTATCATTGTCTTCATGTGTGGAAATCTGATGTGTTTACCTTCTCGAACTTCTCGATGGTACGCTGGTCAATACCACCGCACTTGTAGATCAAGTGACCGGTAGTGGTAGACTTGCCGGAATCGACGTGGCCGATAACGACGATGTTGATGTGGGAACGCTCTTCCTTACTGCATGATGGGTTAGTAAAGTGATTCAGAGGGAAGATGGATTGATGACACATACCCCATGGTGACGGTTTAACTTTTGTAGTTCTTTGGAAGATACTAGAAAAATCTGTGTAGGATACTTGCTCAGAGACAACGGCAGAACGCGTTGAGGTACTGAGCAAGAGAGCAATCAGTAAAAGAGTCGAAAGAAAGAGAGCGATTAAGCAGTATGGGGGTCGGGAAAGACTCACTGTAGCAGACGAGAGAGAGAAAGAAGAAGACTGTGGGAGGGGAGGAGGGGAAATCCTTATATGGAGGGGCAAGCGAGAGAGGCGAGTCAGCAGGTGGGGCCTAGCCCTCTCTGGGTCGCACTTGCCATTGGCTGTTTGCTCTACGCAGATTTTTGCAAAGTGGGTGACGGGACAAAGTAGAAAGTACTTGATTTAATATGCCAATTCCCTCAGATATCCATGTATTCTCTACCTAATTGCTCTGTATGCATCTTGTCCGTTTCCCTGGTTGCCCTCGTTCACGGTACTCCACTCGGTGCGAATTTTTTTTTTTCATGGATCCTCCCCAATCCACATTGGTACGCTCGATGGGCAGCAACGCAGAGGTTGGGTGAGAATCTTGTTTGGTTTGCATTGTTTATATCATTATACCTCTCATCAATTCTGTCTTTGCGCCTACCAAAATAACCGTGAATTTTGAGTCGATGCACATTTTTTCCTAGACTATAGTAACCCCGCGGATGAGGGGCACACCCTCACCGCCAACATATCCCACCAACAATGTCATGCATGGAAAATCTCTGCGTTTTTCTTTTTCTTTTTTTTTCCTTTTCAGTTTCACTTTAGTGTTTCCAAAGGGCTAACTGAACACTCGTATGATTTTTGCCCCCATGCCTCTATGATTCATAAGTTACCCGCCTCTGTTGTCGGGCTCTCTATCTGTCCTAGATTAATGTTTAATAAAGAGTCACACACATGACTTGCTAATAGCGTACAATGATATACAAGTATCCAGGATTCTTTTTTTTTTTTTTTTTTTTTTTTTTTTTTTTTTTTTTTTACAAAAAACCCAAACCCAAATAAGGGAAAAAAAAATAAATTAAAAAAAAATTTAACTCCA